TTTCGCTTTTGCGCAGCATCACTAAGAACAAGCCCCGCTTTTCCCTTCCCCTAACCCTACTGCTCCTGCTTTGCTGAACGGGCAGCAAGAAGATAAAGCCTTCGATGCTAGAGAGAGAGGGAGAGAGAGAGAGAGAGAGGAAGTTCGAAAACCCAACACGGAGGAAAGAAAGGAAGACTTGAGGAAAGGTGGGAAGGAGGGAGGGGGAGGAAAGGTAACCCCAACCCCCACCTCCACCGTTCGAGCCTCACAGGAATAAGAAGAACCAGGAAAGGGGAAGAAGGAGGATCAAGAACCAGACGTTCACTAGATGCCCCGTGTCCAAATTCGTCTGCGGCCATAGAGCAGCATCCATGCAGCCTCTCTCTATCTCTCTCTACCTCTCTCTCTCTCTCTCTCTCTATGCCCCGTGAACCACCACCTAGTAGCCCACCGGAGCTGAAGAAGGTGGAGAAGGGAGAAGAATACACGAGATATCAGGGCACCTCTCTCTTTCCCCTTCCTCCCTCTCTAGATCTCCTTCCTCTCTTTCTCCGGCTCACTGCCCCCAACTCAGCCCACCACATAGAAATGAGAGGCCTCCGTGGTGCATCCGGCCTACATGTGCGTGCCGCTTCGGCGCCTACGTCACGTCTAATATATTCAAATACTTCAGATATTAGATTTCCCTGATCTAGAGAAGAAGGACGCATGCTGTACTTGTCGGCTCTCTTGTCTATATTAGATTTCCCCGATCTATATTCAAATGACTCTCTCTCTCTCTCTCTCTCTCTCTCTCTCTCTCTCTCTCTCTCTCCTCCCCTTCATCCGTCCGGATCCTTTACGGACCCTTGTCGGCTCTCCCCTTCCGGGCCCCAGACTCCCCTTCAACTGTTCTCAACGAAATCACATCCACAGTGAGAGAGAGAGAGAGAGAGAGAGAGAGAGAGAGAGTCGTCGACAGCCCGTCATCTCTCGCTCTGCATGTCGGATCCGGCGACCGACGCCGAGGACGACCAGGGGTGACCCGAAAGAGGGAGGAGCTCACATATGGCCCGCCCACCTCCGCGTCCCGCCCAACTTCTCCGGCGACGGCGACGGCGCTCGCTAGTCGCTGTAATCACCATGATTAAGAAATTAAGGTTACTTAATAATCCCGAGAGGGGAGAAGGTTCCTTTCTATCGAGGATGAGCAGATTGAGAGCTAAGCAAGATCGGGATACTCCCTTCGTGGCGGCGATGTTGTCGCCCCCGAAGATGGCGGCATTCTTGGCAAGCGGACAAGATCGACGGTGCTGGTTCGTGGGCCCAAATGGCTCCTTGGGAAATGAGAAATATTTTTGGACCGGAAACGAGATGAAGCCTGAGAGAGGAGAGAGAAAGAGGAGAGGTTGGGAACCTACCGCACACGTGAGGGTATGCTTGCCTGCCACGCTTCTAGCATGACACTGACCGTGGCAGACTCCATGGGCCCCTTTTCTTAATGGGCTGATCATCAGGGGCTCCTCTCTCTCTCTCTCTCTCTCTCTCTCTCTCTACGTTGACTACTCAGTTAACAGGTTTCGGATCCGAACCTCCCGTACGGATAATGTTGGCGTAGGGACCGATAACATTATGAGCTTGAAGGAGAGATGTCGAGTTCACATTCTAAAATAAATATCCAACCAATTGAATAGTAAAAAATGTAAAAGGGGAAATTTTAGTACACGCATTAGTAGCAAGTTATGGCTACAGAATTAGCGAGCCGAAGGTGAGCAAAAATGGGTTTTTTTTTCAGATTTCCTTCGAACCCGCCTGCGTCTTCCAAGATTGCAAGTAGCTATACTGTGCGGCAGCAATACATGCAACAGCGACGTCCGGACAGCATCTATTTTCATATTTATCTTATTTTCTGAAATAAGTCAGTCACAGGTTGACCCTCTCTCTCTCTCTCTCTCTCTCTCTCTCTCTCTCTCTGTGCCTTCAAACCATGCCCAGAACAGTTCATGCTTCGTCTTCAAGTGCCTGCGGCGTTCCATGGATTCAGATCGCTAGAGAGAGAGAGGGAGAGCGGCAGGAGAGGAAGAAGGCGGTTCCTCTTGTTCCAGAGTAAGCGCTGAACGTTGAAAAGCGGAGGCGGAGGAAATGTAGAGAGAGAGGCACGCGAATCACTTTTGCTAAGACGGTATGGCCAGTGACAGTGCCCCTCCGCCGCACTCGCCACTTTGAGAGCTCTATTCGGCAACGACAGTGGTGGCGGCGATAATGGCGGTGGGTGGCGCCGAGTGCTAAGAAGGCCCACCACCATCCATCACCTCCCCGTTCCCACGCCTCCACCCAACATCAGGTCAATATCCCCATGTTCTGAAACCTCTCTTTTTTCTCTATCTCTCTTGTCTCTGACTCACGGTGAAGGGAGGGGAGGATGGTAGTGCAGTCCTGCGGTCGCTTTCCTTGGCCGCACGCGGGGAACTTATTCCCGGCGGAGGAAGGGGGAGGGGACTCGTTTTCCACTGCAGCGACTCCTCGGATGAATAAACCAGTACGGAATGGGAACGTCCACCGCTGCCGTAGCCGGCGGCCTCAGAACTGCCTTTCTCCGCCGGGGCGGCGACGGAGTGGCGGCGCCGCCAGACTGTTGCGGACCTTGGAAATGGCTCACCGTGATCGTCTTCTCTGCTTCGGTGGGGAACCGCATGTGGAAGGAAGAAGACAGTAGTATGGAACAAATTTGGTTGACTAGGTCAAACTTGTTTTAACAGAATGGTCAACATGAGTGGTGCACCCGAAATGGATGGTCCATATCGAGGACGGCCCGTAGGCCCAATTAATGGTTGACCCGGATTAGGGCAGGGGAGAGTTGGATGCGTGGCGCGGCGGCGGCACACGTTCCCGCGGAATTTGGCGCCACCGCAACGTTCTTTTGTCTGTTTTTCCCGCGAAAAAACAATTTGGCGCGAAAATAAAACAATGGGCGTCGGACAAGTGAATCTGCAACACCAGCCGACGCCGCAGCCGCCGCCGGCCTAGATCCCAACCAGCTCGCTTCTCCACCGATGGCCCCTATGGCTCCGATGAGGAAGAGAACCAGAGCTCCAGCGCCTTCCTCTCCTCTTCCTGCGAGAGGGGGCGGTGGGGACAGGGGCTCTGAGATCTGCTGCGAGGAGTGCGGATCCGGTCACGCCGGCGAGGTGCTCCTGCTCTGCGACAAGTGCGACCGCGGTTTCCACACCTTCTGCCTCCGCCCTATCCTCGCCAGCGTCCCCAATGGCGCCTGGTTCTGCCCCTCCTGCTCCAAGCCCAGGAAGCCCCGAAGTATGCCCTTACACTGGCTCCTCAGTCCAGTCATTCCGCATCACTCTCTCTATCTCTCTTTCTCTCTCTCCTTCCCCCCCTTGTGTGTGTGTGTGTGTTTGTGTCTAGTTTCTTGTATTTCAGAGCATCCAATCTAAAATCTTCGCCGTCCCCCTCACTCTTCTTTCTCTAATTTCGGCTGTTTCAGAGTTTCCTCTTGTCCAGACGAAGATCGTAGACTTCTTTCGGATCCAGAGGCCATTATCGGACTCTGACAGCGCGTGGAAGAAGCAGCAGCGGAGGAAGAGGGTGGGAGGCCTCGTGGTGGCCAAGAAGAAGAGAAAGCTGCTGCCCTTCGTCCCCAGCGAGGACCCTAAGCGCAGGCTGGCCCAGATGGCGTCCCTGGCGACAGCGCTGACAACCACGGGAACCCAGTTCAGCAACGAGCTCACCTACTCCCCCGGCATGGCGCCCAGATCGGCCAACTGCGCTGCCCTTGAACGGGGGGGGATGCAGGTGTGAAACTCTGACGCCCACGCCCAAATCCGCCGTAGATTAATCAATCTAGATTGCCTCTGATGAGTTTCCAATGCTACCCACTTTGTTGAATCTTCTCTGGATCATGGAAATCTCCAGGTTCTGTCGAAGGAGGACGCGGAAACGTTAAATATATGCAAGAGAATGATGGAAACGGGGAAATGCCCACCTCTAATGGTGGTTTTTGATCCCAACGAAGGGTGACGTTTCTTTCTTCCCTGATTCTCATATTTTCCCTTCCCATTTTCTGTGCTTTCCAGCCTCATTGCCTCATTCCGATCGAAACAGGTTCACAGTGGAAGCTGATAAGTTCATCAAGGACCTCACAGTAGTTGCAGAGTACGTGGGCGACGTCGATTACCTGAAGAACCGGGAGCACGACGATGGCGACAGCATGATGACTCTTCTATCCGCAGATAACCTCTCCAGAAGCCTCGTCATATGTCCCGACAAGCGGGGGAACATCGCCCGATTCATCAGCGGCATCAACAATTACACTCCGTAATCTTCTGCCCCATCAAGTTGACTATTTTACATTTTAAAAAAAAGAAAAGGAAAAAGTGAAGCTTATTTTTTTCTGCTCGTCATAGTTTTTCAAATCTGTGAGTGAAACCGAGTAAGAACATCCTTAGAGCCACTAAGAGAAACAGGGTCTGTTGTTGAATGAGATGGGCCTACTACTCCACTGATAGCGGATGATATCCGCCTCTTTCCTCCCTCTAACATCTACCATCCGATCTCCGTCGCCTGATTCAGGGGCGGGAAGAAGAAGCAGAACCTGAAATGCGTGAGATTCAATGTGGGAGGCGAGGGCCGCGTCCTGCTGATCGCAATCCGAGACATATCGAGAGGCGAGAGGTTGTACTACGACTACAATGGGTACGAGAAGGAGTACCCGACTGAACATTTTTTCTAGATCGTCGATTATTCCTTTCATTTTTATTTTTTTATCGTCTAAATTTAATTTTTGATCATGTGGGTTCTCTGTAAAGTCTGGATAGAACAGCCCGATCGGCTGTTCTTTCCCTCCGCTTTCTGAAATCAGAAGTTGAGCAGGGGTGAAGTCTGATAGGATTTGAGCCCATTTATTGGGGTATACTGATGGAAACCCAAACCCAATTGTTGTACCCACAGAAACAGACGTATTGTGGTTGAAATTAATACAGAGCTCAGTGCTCTTTTTGGTCAACTACCGCTTCTGTCGGCGGTTCTGGTCTCCTGCCCATTTCAGGGATCCCTGCTGCTCAGAATCGGAGGGGAAATGGAGCAAAAAATATCATCTGCCGGGTTATACGTTTCTTGAAAACCATATCATCTGCCGGGTATATACATATTTATCACTTGTAATAAAAATAAAGCGGTCGTCGTCCATTCATTTCGATGTGCATTATCCAATTTCGTTATGATTTCTCATTTTATTCTGAAAGCAGAGACTGTGGCCCTGTCCGAAAACTTGAATTCGTCTGGTGAGAGTGCGGGCCTCTTTCATCTGGTCTGGTGGTTTTGACGTCGTCTCTAAACCGGATGATTATTTCGCCCCAGGAGCGCAGACAGGGTCAAGCAGGGCGAGACTTTCAGAGTGTTGGCAATAATCACGAGGCGATGAGTGGAGTAATCTGATTTAGACAATCGCGAGGCCTGTTTACATCTCTCAGAACGAACTTGCAACGTGGAAGAGGATCTAGATGGGTCAGTGGGCGCCCTCTCTAATCAGTAGGCACAGAGAGAGAGAGAGAGAGACAGACAGACAGAGACAGACAGAGAGGACGTGGTGGGAGGGGGGATCAGAAGGCTTGAGCTTCACTCTCCTGCAACCGAGCTCGGACCTACCAGTTGAGAAATCATATGGACAGGGGTACTTAAGTGACTGGTTAGGCCAAGAAAGTGATCAGATCACAATGCGCAGGGGAGCAGAAGCGCCGCATGAAGCAGGGGATAGAACTGGGTGGGCAAGTCGACGGCGGCGTGGGGAGGATCGGCGTATATACACAGCTCCCCAGCAGCAGCGCAGTCTCTTGCCCAGTTGGCTCGCTAGGCGGCCGCCGCGTCGGCAGCTGCGAGCCGGGAGAGCTCTCGGTCAGCGTAGTGCAGAAGCCGTCGCAGCCTGAGGACCATGTCGCAGTGGAAGGGCAGCGGCGTGCGGCGGCGCAGATGGAGTGGGCTCACCGTCAGCCAAGAGAGAGAGTGGAGCTCTGCGGCAAGCATCTCCATTACGTAGCTGGTTTCCATCTCATGCCCTCTGAGCGCCACCTCCGGGCCGGAGATCCTCGGCTGCTTGCCACCACCACCGCCGCCGCCGCCGCCGCTGGCCCGGAGCTTCTCCTGAATGTTGCTGCTGTTACTGCCGCTGCTGCTGCCGTAGTGGTCGACGAGGGTGACCAAGAGAATTGACGGCCATTCCTCGTTGGTGGCGGCGCCGCCGGTGGCGCCGGAGGGGACGGCCTTGGATACGACGAAGGCGGAGGTGAGGGGGATGGAGGGACCTTTGCTGTGGAGGAGGTGGGCGAGAGGGGGAGACTCGGAGGTAAGGCTGGTGGGGAGCTGGAGGGGAGTCGTGGGGAGGTAGTGAAGGCTCATTGAAGGGACGAAGATGTACGCCGCCGGGATCGATCCCAGAGACTTTACCGGGCTGAACCCCTCCAGATAGCCCGAATGAGAGGAACTGGCGATGGTCGGAGTCCCTCCTGAAGAAGAAAGAACAACAGAGTTAGTAATATAACACCCAGACAAAGGGAGAGCTAGAGAGCTAGAGAGAGAGAGAGAGAGAGAGATGGGAAAAACCCACAGACTACTGGTGCCTAGACAACATTGGCCCCTAGGGGAAACAATTTCATTTGCAACAGATATAAAATAGAGGGATATGAGATGAGAAAGTACCTGAGAATGGAACATCGGCCGGCAGCATCAGCTGCAAGGAGTGATCAATCAGGACTGAGACTAAACTGATGCTCTGCACAAACTGGAACAGCCCCCTCGAGAGGTCCACGGTGGTCTGCCCGGACAAGAGCTGCTTCTTTGCGTTGGACTGTACCGAACCGCTCTTCATGTAGCTCAGCTTTGCGTGGGGGCTGTAGTGAGGACTGGGTGAAGAAGGCAGTGGCCTCTCTGCGATTGACCCCATGTCCTGCTGTAACGAAGCTCCACTGTGCCCTGAGCCAATCCCGTCAGGTGCGGATCTCCGCAGTTGCACGGCCCATTTCTTGACTTCGTTCCCCCCCACTAAGTAAACAGCTTTCTGCCACTCTGCAGGTTTCAAAGCAGTGATAGGAAGAAGCTCAGTTTTGAGACAAGACTCAACAGGATATGATCATAAGAAATTCAATGTCTCATCATACCTTGACGTTCGAGTTCGAAGAAGAAACCAATGCGGGAAATGATGATGTCCCTGGGGCGGATGGTTCCAGAATCGGAAGACCATGAGAGAATCTGACAGCCCTGGTGGAGGATCTGGACAAAAAGAGATTGGAGGAGTTTCGTGTCTTGTCGGCTGCTGATGCCGCCGAAAGGAATCACCTGGCTGTCCAGCAATTCACCTCTAGAATCCGTCCAGACGCAGACCAACCAGCGCCAGTCTTCAGTCCACCCATAACAACAATGAAGGCTGGGCGCCTTTGGGTCATTCTCAGGTCCATCCCCGTGGGAGTTCATACTAGCATCTGCACTCCCTCCAGAAATGGAAGCTTGAATGAAAGCGCCAGCACCATCATCAGCCGCAGCTCTTGAGGTGCTGGGCTCTGACAAAGAGCCACCTGGGAGCACATGAGAAATCCCTTGGTCCACAGAACTGGGTTCAGACAGAATAAAGAGTGGCTCAAACAGGAGCCGGACATCATCTTGAGGATGGGAGTCAAAGGACCTGACAGTTTGCCAGGAGCTGTCCCAACTGCTGGACCTCAGGGTAGCATCGATTTCAGAGTCCCTCGCGAGGCCAGCTGTGGGAATTCGGGGAGCGAGGGTCTCCTTCCAGAGACCTTGCATGGTGGCGCTCATATGCATCAGCGAAGATTGAGGTCTCCCTGGAATCGCTGACTGAGCAACATCGCCAGTAGAAGCCCGAGGAATCCTTCGAGCTTTGTTGTAAACTGTGAACGCGTACTCCTTCAGCATGGCAAGCTCATTTCCTGGTTTGAATCTTAATAGGGAATCTACAGTCACAATCTGCAGGACCAGCTTGGAGATGTTGAAACCAGATAGCATGAGAACACTTGACACTGAAGCTTCATCTGCAGCAGAGGCACAACTTAATGCCTTCGTAACTTGAGAGTGCAGCACGGAACGCCGCTCTTTGTCTGAAGAGAAAAAAATCGACCCAAGAGCAGCTGAAGCCTCCACTAAAGTTTGCAGAACTGCAGTGGGTTCAGGGAAAGGGCACACAACATATACTACCTGATACATCCACATCAAGAGTTCGGTCAATTTATGGCTGATCTTTCATGAACTGATTTTTAAATAGCCTTCACTCTTTGCGCAAACCAAAGCATGAACAACATTAACTGACTTCCTAATAAAATAATGATGTCTGATAAAAGCTGCATACATGTTAAAATACCCAAAAACAAGTGCTGACACAAGATGAAAGTTTGCTAGATATCCAGAATGGATGGGATAGGCAACAGCATATAGTTTTATGGATGCCCACCAAATCACAGATCCAGATGTGATTTATGAGAAAGTTTCCTAGAGGACACTACCTCATCTAATGAGGTATAAAGAGGGGAGTGGGGGATATCAAAAGTAAATCGTCTTCTAGTGCCTAAATTTTTTGGAATTGACGGTGCATTTCTGTGGCACTCTAAATTGATTCCTTCGTAGAGAACGCAAAAGTGGTTGGAGGCCAGATCATACTTGGAAAAACAGTTTCTACGATTTTTTTGCAAATGAATGGCCATGGATGAATTATCCTAAAAATAACAAAGCCTGTACATCGTCATATCAACTCTATCTGAACACTCAATTTACGTCTATATTTGGAGTTCAGAGCCCATACAGAAGGACAGTTGGAGTAAGAATAAGTAAAGATCACTCATAAAAGTGTAACTAAAAAATCACAGTTAGCATGCATTGATTTTAGTTAGCAAGAACAGTTAAAGTAAATAAAGGTGCCCGCTTGTGGAAATATTCGTAGCTTTTTCTTGAATATTCGTTTGTATACAGGACCAGCAATTATTTCCAAACAATACACACCCCGGTTAACCGTTTCAAGAAAATGAACTCCAGAAATGAAGGAAAAAGAAATGCTGGACTCACCACACAAGACCCTCCCTTGATCTCTTTCTGATTTATTCCAGAAGATGAACCCAGTTTAAGATTCTTCAGAGCCTTAGTAAGAGCCTTGAGAAAACTCTTAACATCCCAACCACTTTCTAGAGCCACAAAAAAGTCCGTCATCGAACTAATAGCAGAAATGTTACTGCTAGCCACCTTAAGTGACTGGGGACAGTCAACAAGGACTAAACCAGAGGATGAACATTTTCCAGAGGTTTGGTCCATCTGTCCACCACTTCCATGCGGCGAATGCGTCCCCAGTTTGCAAGTTTCATAAACTGCAAGGAGAAACTTTTCCGTAAGTCGGTTCATGTTTTGTTCAGCATACAACATTATAAAATCAATCTATAAGAAGGAACACGCGAACAATTCCTTTATAGCAGGGTCATAGCATATAAATGATGTTAAGGCTGTCGATGTAGGATGGGAAGAAAAAAATAACGAGAACATAAAAAATGTGTGCATTAGTCTTGATTTTGTTAAAAAAAGGCTCAGATCAAGATTTTTCGTGTTGGACGACAGTTCATGCAAAAATCAAAAGCCATATTTCCCTACATATGTGAGCCTTCAACAAGACTAAGAGAGGACAATTTATCTGAAAGACTAACAATTACAAAAGCATCTGACGTTTAGATAGCATCAACTTTATGGTTTCAGTCGATGAAATGAATTAGCGTGAAATAGAAAAACGGAACCCTCAGACTGAACATCCATTCCAGGTACAGAGTCATTTCATTTAGAGGTGCTTGATGGTCGCATGGCCTTCCAATAAGGCGTGCCACTTCTTTTAAGAACATGTGATGATCAAATATGCAATAGAGATATCAAGAGAAGCAAGAATTTTTATTTTTATTTTTTAAAACTTCAAATTTCAGAGAGAACTTATAAACTGGAATGATCCTTCAGTTTTAGGTGATGGAATATGTTAATGCAAAATAGTAGGCCTTAACCTGAAGGACCCGAAATTCCAAGGTCACATTTCATTCCTCATCTACGAATGAGAGATAATTTTAAGAAATAAAACAGGCAAGACAAAATGGCGCCAATATCTCCTCAGTCAATCCTTCATAATGAGAACAAAACAGATAAGTCACAAATTCCTTTAGAACAAATAGCCAACACTCCAGCTAAGCACAATTCGCTCACCCAACTGATGGGATTTGACAACAGAATGGAATATAAAACTAGCATTGCAGATAGGCAGCAGATGCCTCTTGAAGATAGGAGGATTTTCCTCGATTGACATCTCTGTCAGAGAGAAGTACAGTGTGGTGGCAGGAGCCGGGAAGTATTTTTTAATGCTCAAGGGCTATTCACCAATGGCATGAAGTGGTACTAGAAGGGCTACAATAATCTTGTGAAGAATGCTCATTCAAAGGATATTGAGGGTTGTTCACATACATAACTTGTGGGAGAAACGGAAAACAAGTAGCAGGAATACCTCTACCAAGTATAGGATAAGATATGTAGGTATTTCTGTCCCACCTAAAGACTAATACTTATTAACAGCTTTTTGTGTCTTCTGTGCTTTTCACACTCATTAAGGACTCTATCACACAGTGATGTTAGAAGCTTTGGTGAGATTATTTCAGCAGCCACCTCTACGTTCCCTATTCTTTCTCACATTTTTCTTTGATTGTTTCTGAGGAAATCATTGCATTTCAAAATGCAAATAACCTCTAAATTATTTTCCAAACATTCTATCCATAATATTATAGTTCGATAAATTATTTAAAATTAATTAATTACTTCGGTTAAGGAACATGACTATTTTTTTTAAGACAAACATATTGGTCAACCTTACGCATGACACGCCCTTCTACACGAAAGGACATGAATTATTAATTCCGGTACCACAGATTCGCTCAGGAATCAGCAGTCCTACTGAAATAGGTTGCTTCTTCCTGGAAAAACTTCTTGAAGTTATTTAAAAAACACCATTAGTCATAAATTTCCAAGGATTATCCAAATCCTAAATTTTTTCCTCTATTGAATTTCTTTCGAGCCCTTAAGATAACAGGATTTTCATTTAAAACCTCAGATATTCCCAAAAGGGACTTAGCAGTCATGCTTTAGATTGATGGATAGAGATCTAATAATACTCCAACAGGTAAAATTCTCTTCAAACATTTTCTACGTTTAAGTAGCTTCGTCATAAATCTAAACTCCGGTCGGTTTACAAAGATGTTATTTAAGAAAAAAACAACTATAGTCATTTATTCGATAGAAGATAATTATACAGAAAATTGAAAATTGAAAACATAGTCCAAGAAAAATCAATGAAGCAACGGTAAAACTTAAAGAAAAGTTAAAAAAAGAACATACCAGTCCCTAACTGTAGAAAGAAATCAATTGCAGCAGAAGAAAGGAGATCAACGTCCGGGCATATCGCGTAGTAAGTCATCTACAAAAGGCAAAGCATATATATAGGCAAATGAATTAGTAAAATGCAAAGAAAAAAGCGCTTGAGTGCATTCATGAGCGTATACATTTGTAGACAGTGCGGGTACATGTGCGTGTGTATGCGTGAGAGATAATAGAGAGAGAGAACAAAGGTTTGGGTTCTCAAGAAACTCACAGGTTTTGGTAACGCATAAGGTTCAAGAGGTCCTTTTTCCCAAAGCTCCAAGGAGCTCGATGACGTTTTCAGCCAATCATCTTGGTAACTATATAAGATGTATAATTTAATTCTTAATGAGATGAAATTGTATAAGTTTTGAAGATGATCACTTTCAAAGGCACAAGATAATTATAGAAGAAAACATACCCAACCAGCAAAGAAGGAAATGGAATCAAGGAAATTGTTGCCCGAAATCGGGAACTGTTGTGTGGTTGTTCTAGCTCAGAATTTGAGGCGTCTTGATATGTTCTTCTTTGCAATGGGTCGTCAATTCCAGTTCCATCTGCATAATGGCATAGCTTCAATCATTCAATTTCTATTGACAGCCTTCCAAAAGGCATTTTATCATATGCAGAAGAAATGTACCTTTTAGGAGGGACGAACTACCAGATAAAACTTGAGGTGGGCTGATGCTTTCCCCCCTAAGGGTAATAGAACTTGATTCTTTAATTTCACTTCCAATACAGTCAACAGAAAACCCATCACTGACTGTCACAGAGTCACTTGCTTGATTTCTACCCTTACACCAATCAGTCAAAGCTAGCGGACCATCCAAGCTTCCAAAAGCATTCTTTAAAGCTACTTTAACATCTGATTGTAGCAAACTGGCCACAAAAGAAGCATGAACCTGCTCCGAGAAAATAATATCCTTATTTCCTTGACATTTAGGCATATGAATACATATAAATACAAATACACAAGTCAAGTCTAAAGGAGAAAAAACTAGCTAGCATTATAATAAGAAGTAGAAACTACCGACTCTGATGTACGACGTATTATGATAAACCATGCACATGCATATGATATAGGCAAAATATATCCACATAAAATGAAAACAATGATCCTCAAGCACGATTAAGAGGTTCCTTTACAAGAAATATAGCAATATGACCGATAGGATTAAGATCGAATCTGATTTCGAAATCAAGGCCCGAAATGTTGGAGAAAAATACTTGTTTATGACCTAAATTAAAAGAAAGATGTAGCTGCAGAACAAATGTCTATTTAGGCCCCAAAAACCATGCATAATGTGGGCTTCAAAAGAATGCAAAGGACTTCCCAGGACTACTACGAAAGAATCATTCAGTTTCCTAGTCACCAAAATCCTCTAACGAAAAAGGCCAAAGAGACTAAGTAACAAAAGAATAAGACTGCACCAGTAAGTGAGATATTAATACGTAGGGATTCTCACCCTGAGATCAGATCAACATGAAAAATTCCATAAACAATTACCAGTCCCGCTATATAATCCAATTTCCAATTTTGGCAACAACAAATTCAATCCTCACTATATGGAGTTTAATCAGAATTCACGAAACGTTGAAAGAAAGCTTGGAGTTGTCAAAAGATACAGTGAAAGATGATGTACAAAGGAAAATCTATGGTTAGCCAATATTCCTTCAGAATACATTTTATGCAGAAGTGCTTCCTTCTACTATGTATTTGCCCATGATCCTTCTGTAGGAGGAAACAAGCTGAAGATCCGAAAATCAAGAATGCAAGTATAAGTAGAATTTTATATCTACTGAGCATTATTTTACATAAATGTAGGAATCATTAAAAAAAAATCGGATAAAATATGGTCTCCTGAACGAAGAAAATCGTAACCATTCTAACATATAATAAAGACAGTCAAAAATCATAAACTGATAAAAACTACATAAACGGTGTCTTACATCAGCAGAAAGTGGATCATTTAAGTCGACCCCAGCAATATCAACAGAATGACAGGCTGCTAACAGTCCACCACAGCCAGCGTGGGCCATCAAAGGACCACACGAAAAACCACGCCTCTGTTGCTCCTGTAATGCGAGCCAACAATAGGGCTCCTCTCCATCATATGAATCAAGAGCAATGTCCACAAACGAAGTAGATTGCTGAACTACCAAAGGCAGGGCATCTAGAAGCACTTGCAGAGGTTGGCTTTGAACATTTACAGATAAAGATTCTTCAACAAATGTATTCTGCAACAAAGATGAAGCACTGTCACCTTTCATTGCATTCAGTGACTTTGTACCTTTGGCAGCACCAACAGACCGCCACACACCCACAGGCGAATTAAGGGTTCTCTCAAGGGCTCCACCATCAATATCACCAGCAATTCTGACTGGTACTGAATCTTTCTTTCTGAGTTCACTCCTGCCTGAGATTAAATCCGGTAGGGGACTAGTTTCGCTCAAACGCTGATCTGAAACCTTAATCCCAGTTTGTTTTGTCAATGACGTAAAGATCTGCTTTGGACAAGATAATAGTGTGTGTCTGATCCTACACATAGCAGCTTGAAGCATCATACATTCAACTTCTGTGGCAAGGCTTGTCTTGCGAGATAACAAGGTGTCACCCACTTCCAAGATACTGTCAGTCTTCTTCCCTTGAGCACGTAATGAAGTACTTGATAAACTAATTCCAGAAATAGAAGATGGAGCATCTTCTTTATGTGAATACAAGTCATCATCAATATGAACTATACTTTTGTCATAACGTTTGCTCCCTCTCTGCACATGTGTATAGTACAGTGAAGAAAGAATAGGAGAACTCCCATCAAGCCTACTAGCCTCCAACTTTCCTTTTACTGACACCTCAGACTTCTCTTCTGACGGTTCAACCAGAGGAGAAGGAGGTGGTGTTGCATTGTACGAATAAGCACCAGAACAAGAATGAGAACTCTCAACCCTTTTTGACTTGGGTAGGTACAGAGTTCTGAAAATAGGCATGGGTAACTCACTGGCCACTGTTTCAACTGCTGCATACTCAGGAGCAAATGTCATCATTGCTTCCGCTTTTGACAGAAAGCTGAATTTGTCAGATGAGGGTGCGGAAGAATTTGTATCATCGTGTGCTGAGAGTGTACCTCTCATGTTATCAATATGTTTAGAATCAGCCTCCTCCAATTTCGTAAGCAGGACATCGCTAAGGCTTTCAAAGGAAGAAAATCCCACAGGTATAAGTGACTGATCCTGGATATCCATACCTGTAGTGGAAGGACTGCCATTAACAGCTCCAATATCAGCAGCCACGACAAGGGCCTGGGATTCAGCAGTACCAGGAGGCTGCATAAAAGGAAAGTACGATTATAAACGGCTAAGCAGTTGACTTTGACAACAGTAAAAATTTCATCCAAAAGATGGAAAGTAAACTATTAAAATGGGAGTAAAGAGAAGGTAATTACAATACTAAACTTCAACCTCAAATATGCACATTCTCATAACTGGCAAAAATATCGCCAAGGAAAGGTTACAATATATCGAAGACCACCAACTACCCAACTAATACAAAGATGAAAATACAGGGAACCCTTTCAACCTATGACGGAGTGAAAATGGAAAGAAGAAAACTATTACCTCCCCAAAGCAAAGATTGTCATTTACAAAGAAGTCACCAAAATCACCAAATTCAGAAAGAAGTGATTGGATATTTATGCCATAGTCTCCATCATCATCAGCTAAATCCCAATACGATCCAATCCCATCATTTGTCACAATCGCAGCGGCTGAACTGTTTGCTTCAACAACACTATACTCAGACTTGTATGTTTCTTGCATGGTTTCAGTACCAAATGTTCCTGCTTGATCACACGATTCCGCGATGCCTGTTCGTGAACGTTTTGAGACCTAAAATCAATGCACCAGTTATTTGTAAATAAAGAAGTTAACATGAAACAAATGCGACAAAAAAAATTATCCTTTCTGCTCGTCATGTTAACGGGATAACAAGAGAAATTTCTCCCACAAGTAATACCAATTAATACATCAGGTGTCTTACCAAACTGAGTTACCGATAAATAAGTGAAGGCAACGTTTAAGAATGACAAAGACGGAAATTGAGCGGGCAAAATTACACAGTTTTTTTTAAGGCTTCCAAGGTTAGTCACTTCTTAGTTGGACTGAAGGCTCATAAGGTTAGTTGCGCCAACCTGTGTAGATCATGTTTTATTGCATGAGGCAATGCAATCTAACCAATGTCGATCTAAGCCGAATTGGTCCAACTTGAGTTGAATCGCAAGGCAACCTTTTAAAACGGAATTGTTAGCGTCTTCACTTTTCCGTAAGGATATATAACTGGCACAGAATGGGTTAACTTGGTTGCTTACGCTGAGAATAACTTTTGTATGAAGCTCTTTTGAAAATTGGATATTGGACCATTTTCTTCAAAATATTAAAGAGAATTTAATATTACAGATCCTTCATATTTTTCAAGAGTTTCAGTTCAATTCCAATGTCATGGTATGTAGTATATTCTTTAAAATGAGCAACCATCAGTCTAATTTAATGTCTTTTGTCCCAGCTCTCCACAACGTCTTCTCGCCAAGTTTAGATTTTTTTAGACATCAGCTTCAAACTTCTTGCTCCATCTAAACTTGGCGTCACTATATTTGAAAAGTAAACCAAATATTTTGGGCCTTCCTACTATCAAATTTCATTATCAGTTATAGACATTATCGTTTCATCTATCTCATACTTTATAACCTTGGCATCCTTAACAATTATTATCGATCCATTAATATGCTCTATCATTAGCATTGCCAGCACATAAAAGACTATAATTACACTACTCTCATAGCAACCAACTAAATCCAATGTACTACAAAATTTTAGTCTACCCTCATGTCAAAAATATGGGACAAAAAAGGTTAAATCCAAACGATAAATGCTGAGATCAAAGAAAAGGATTTTTTTTCCCTTCCTTTATGGTTAGGTCTGATGTCAGACCATAGCAACCAACTAAATCCTATGTACTACCAGATTTTAGTCTGCCCTCATGTTACAAATATGCAACAAAAAAGGTTAAATCCAAACGATAAATGATGAGATCAAAGAAAAGGATTTTTTTTTCCTTTCCTTTCTGGTTAGGTCTGATGTCAGACCATAATGACGACCAAAACCTCCTCTGTTCTTTCATTCCTACATTGTAGCTTATTGTCCTCAAAAACCCAAAAATGGTCCACCACATGCATCTCCTGTGTTGAAAACATGGACTGATAAAAAAGAGCCGCGGACAGATCATGACAGTGAACTTCATTCAAAACCTCAACTTTCTTCTATCCACACTACCATCCTAATGGTAGTCCATAAAATGCCCCTGTTTTCAACTCTCTTAAAAATATTTGTAAATGATTGCACAAAACGCATCCAACGATTAATTGCAAATATTAGAATATACTTTCCCTTTGATCACCAACCCTGAAGAACCTCAGGTCATGCAAAATCGCAGCAGCTGGTTCACAGTTTAGTTTAGTTTACACTAACCATATATAAAATTCATGGACAATAATTCCCTCTCCACACTCTGCATAGATACATCTTTCTATCAGGAAACGAAATTCCCTCACTGTGGCCCTGCTTTTCTATCTAAAACCGTTTTCTAGAATGTTTTTCTTTTTTGATGGAAACAAATGTTGAAAAAATAGAGCAACTCACCATATTCTAGAGTAGGCAATTCGAGAAGATAGGCCATGGCACAAAAAAAAACCAAAATGGGACTAATACGAGGACTAGAATAATATTAATCTATTGAAGATGAAAACATAAGTTAAAAATTTTAAAATATTTGCTTTTGGTGAAATATATGTTGCACTTTAAAGCTGTTTTCATAAACATTCACGAAATAAAACGTTAAGAAGTCAACTAAATAGCACAGGACAGTACTTATCGGTTGATATGGCACTCCATTGCATTGTTCTTATTAAACTTTCGATTAATTAATCTAATCAAGCCAAATTTTACCATTTTCCGGTCATTATTGTCAACGTGCTCATTTCTAGATAATCCAGACTGTCTGCAGGCAACAGAATCCGCATCTGCTTCAAGATCACGAGTTCCAACAGCTGCCACATTCTCACTGCCGCTGGATGTGCTACTTATACTGCTGAGGCTGCTACCATTGCTGTTGCTGCTGCTATTATATCTCTGCTGCACCATTGCAGCACCATTGCTCATAGAAGCTGATTCAACCATAACGCCACTTATAGGCTCCACCATTGCAGCGCTTTCGAGTTCCAAACTGTGCCAAGGAGTAATCAAACCATGAAAAAGGTTTAAAAGAAACAAACTTCTCAGAATTAACTATATCTTCTAGAACCCCAACATAATAAAGTACGAGAAACATGAGGCCATCTTATCAGTTTATATATATTTTGCTTCCCAGCATTCAAGTGATGCTTTTTTTGTCAGTGATCTAAACATTGAACCTTGTCGATTGCAATGAGAGTTCTTTAATCTTAGAAGTTCAGACCACATGCTTCAATAAGAAATTGGCATATTTATGAATCTTGCTAGCAAATAAAATCTTTCCAAGACTATACACTTTCTGTTTATCTCGGCTTGTATGATGAAAAGGATTAGAGATATTAAGAGATGAGAGTTCACTTAGCCTCATTCAAATAATCATTGATAAGTTCACTGCATAAAGGGAACCTCATATGGCATTGGATGTAAGCCTATATATTGGATTTTTTTCTCAATTAAATAGTCATTGAAAGTTGGCTCTAAGGAATAGCAAGCAGGTCTACCAATCTAGCATCTACTAACGTCTTGATTCGGTCTACGATTTCAAATTTTCAATTATCTGTATCCAGTTATAAAGTTTGTAGCATGGATGGGATGTTATAAAGTACTCAAAACTCATAAAACAACCTATATCACTTTAAGCAGTGAGCTAACATGTCTGTTGAGTAGATATTTTGAAAATGATTATGACTCACTGAAAGAGAACTTTTATTCGCATGCCTAAGAAGATTTTTTATTGATCCTTGGACATCTACTAACGTAACATACGAGATACTCTGAAACCCTGAAGGATTTACAGAACTTCAAATGCAGAAACAAGGTAACATTTAGACCAATTCCATCTCCTAGATTTTGGCACCACGTTTGTATCTTGCGGAAGGGGTTTAAATGAATTGAGAGGTCCGGGTGTTAGTCGGAGTATCAAAATATTGTGTGGATACAATAACCCTCATGAGGTGTTGAGAGTGCTTACATAGGTTTTGTATTTTGGTCATTTTAAACCCCCTGATTTGCTTGAGGGAACGGCAGCAATTATGCAATTGGCCAGACTTCGATTTCATCCTTACACATTGAATGGATCCTAATAGATTGACCCACGCCACCATCCTCTCATCCTCACTTGATACCATGCTTCGGGTCTTCCGTGCTGCAGCAGACGAACTGAAGGGTCTATTGCAGTATTTGGAGGCTGTGATCACGCAGTAGTTGTTGAAAAATCTCAGGCGTGCTTGCCTTGGTGGTTTTTATTATACTATCCCCGTATTAGGACTTTGTTGGTGCTGCCAACCTTATTTAGAACTTATATCTATTGTTATCCCCGTTTTGTTTCTAATTAAGGTTTCTTCTTCGGCAGGACTATCAATCATGGACTTCGAAATTTTCTGCATGCAGATGACTCTTTCCAAAACTGAATCAGAACTATAGGTGGCTTACAGTTGAGAGGACGTCAATAACAGGTAAGGCTGCCTATATTAATGGAAAACTCGCTCCAGAATAGAAAGTCTCCAAGAATAAGAAATGAAACCAGAGGAATAGCATTGATATGCCATAGACCTTCAACTCTAAAAGCAGCTACTTCCAACAGATTGTTGTTAGGAAGAAGACAAGAGGATAGATGTAGGTGATTCATAGGGCAATATTTAAGCAGAAGTGAGATATTGCAAATAGATATCAACAGGCTGGAACCATCCATAAGCAATGACAAAGAAACTTGTCAGCGTTCACAGTGGTAACACGAAGTGTAATGGAATATTCACTATCATGCCATTAATGGGTGGGATAATTTCTAAAAATGTTTACAGAAACACAATTTCAAAAGTATCGACTGGCTGAGGCAAGAATTTGAAATTTAGAAGAAATAGATTTCGATCATGTTCCCTCATCAGCACAGGTCATCAGTAAAAGTCTAAGTGAAGACCGTCAATTAAAAGTAGTTAGTAAAAGCACAGAGAGCTCAACTGTAGGCATAGATGGGATATAGATTCAACCCTAAAAAATGTAGGAGTAGAACACAGAAAGATAAGTGTAGAGGAAGGAAGTCTGGAGATCGCCACAAACTGAGGATTTATGCTGGAAAATGCAACCAGACAAGAAACCAAAAAATTCGACGCAAACAAAATATTTAGTAAGGAAAGAGAAACATTGTGGTGGCTCAGCCAGTGGACATCTTTACTGTTTGTTTTGTTGAAGGCTCTGCAAAAAGCAACGAGTATTCTCTCGTAAGTATTTATAAAACGACTTAATGCAGTTGCACAGAAGGCTTTTATAGCCCCTCTCATTTGACTGCATTATCTCTTCGGCAATGTACAGTGACAGTTGGTAAGTGTACTACCATCCATCTAAAAATACGTCATAAATCATAAACCGAATGCCATAGACCACATGGCCATAGGCCCTCTAAGATAATGTAATGATAGTCAATAGGAAGCACCACAATTGCCAAAAAGAGCATTAACAGACTGTGTAATAACATACATGCATTTGCATTATGTACGAATTCGCTTCCGAACAATTACTCTGACTATAGGCAATAGCTACTTTGTAAAATCCTTTCCTAACTGCTATACTTCTCGAGATTTAAATACAGAAAAAATTATTGAAAGTGGTCATAATTTTTATTTTATTTTTTCTGTGGAGGGGGCTAAGGCACAACTCTAGAACTCAGGCCGATATAGATGTTGACTAAGAAACCAATGAGATGCATTCGTAGTATGGGCATCAAGGACATGGTGCATTTTTTAGGCTCTTAAAAATCGTTTACCCTTCATTGTGTGAATAGATAAGTTCAGATGTGTGGGAACCTTCTAATATTTCCTCTGGAGTAGCCGTGGCATTTTGATAGTTTCATTCATGGCCACATACTTCATGGAGATAAATGAAAACGTTCCTTCTGTCCAACGGTCCAATGAAATCGTGCAATATCAACTATTTGACAGAAAATTAGAAGCGCTTAGATATGACAAAGATGAAGAAGATTTTCAGAAACATCTAGTCATTTTTATGAACTATGAAGACATTGTCCATGAGTTATTTTTTTGTACACTCGATAGTAAAAAGGGCAATGAAGTGGTCGAGAGATAGAGCAAACATCTACAGATTGCTAGAACCTTACTGCCAAAGAGAAGCTACCCAACAGATATGGGGTAAATGGTGCAGCTATAGCTATAGCATCTTAAGATACACATAGGACACCATCAACCGTGTTTCAAGATCATGATTCCATTGCACCTTTCTCAATTCAAGCAAATCCTTGTTTCAGCTTTCTTAAGGAGAGAATGGACGAGTAAGAGTCTTATAAATTTGATCAATGAGCATAAAGATGTCTTTCTTGCAATTCATTTACTCATACATAAAGTGTCTTGACCCAAAGATAGAGAGAGGCTATGCAACAAAAGACGTCACATTTTCAAAGTCAGAGTATAATATCCTTCGTTGGGTATGCAAGAGAAGATGCATCCCTCTAGCCAAGCCCTCTATGTTTGCACTCCATGTCTTTTTAATGTTTAGGTGAGATAAATTAAGTCGAGTGCCATAGACGTATCTCCTCATGACGCATGGACCAAGATCATCTCTGGTGGAAAAGAGAAATAGTCGTTTACAAACACAAGAAAAATAAGAAAAGGGGATGAAGTTCCTATTTATGATCACTCTCAAAAGGATGTTTATCCTAAAAATCAATTTGAGCCACTACCTTATTTCATGGCTCTCCAACTCCGATCAACTCTAAGAAAGGGAGCCAAAGAGTGCACAAAAAGCACAACATCCAAGTATCTCTGCTGCTTATATCTTTCACCATCTTACTATTAGGCAGCTGGCGGATCTCTCAAATGAGTAGACATTACTTTGCTCCAAATGATTTTTTAGCAGATGAATTGATGGAGAAACTAGTAGCAAAAGCTTGACATCAACACATAAAATAGATTAGCAATAAACTTTTCAACGTGGCAATGAGGGTAATCGTCTCATTGACCGGGGATCACTCTTTGAACCTTAATTAGCTTGATCTAAATAACATATTTTTGAACGGGAATATTTAGAAACGATTGTACAGTGTCTACCAAGCTATGAAGTGAAAGGGAATATGTGCAAGTCAGAAAAGGTCCTGGACGGGAGTAGTCTCTTTGATCTTGGTTTCAGATATTCAAAACAGCCGTGGTACTCTTTTCTTAAATAAAAGGAATTCAAATCACTATCGTACTCAAAAACAAATATATGATAAAGTGTCAATCCAGGCTGCTTATTAGATAACACCAAAGCCGTAACAAAATAAATAAGTAAAAGGAATTTAGACCACCGTACTCACAAACAGACATATGGTAAACAGACATCTAGAAATTTAGATGACGCCAAAGCCACAAGCGGTGTTAAAGATCAACTTAACAAAAGAGTTCAGAAGAAAACATCGAAACCTTCTTAAGAATTTCTACGGCATACATGTGACTAAATGTACAGAAGACATCTGTCTCTGTCAGAGGAAATATGTACAAGGATCGTTAAATACTACAGAAAATTAAGGAGCTAAAATATGTACACTTTTACTAGAATGGATAAGAGAGTTTTTCTGGTCTGCAGTCTCTGTTTAAAAGATTGAACGGTCCAAAAACCTCTCCTCCATGCTTCTATCGCTGACGTCTCCAAATTTCTGCTGGAAATACTTGTTCTCCAATGTCACTTCACTCGCTAATTCCACACTGGACATCAAGCCTTCCAATTGTTTTTGATGGCCCTCGTTGTAGTACCAAAGAAGCAGGGTCAGGAACAACGAATCTCTTTATGGTAAACAGATCCATTTTGCAAGTTCGTTATTACGGGTAGTTACTACAAAGGGCCGGACAAATGACGTATACAAGAATTTTCGATGTAGATGCTACATAGTTGGTTCTCATCCTTCAGAGACTACGAGTGTAATAGGAGCATCCATCACAAAGAATCACCCTAAGATGATCATCTCATGGCTATTGAGAACGAATCAAATCAGATGGTTCTTTTTCCCAATCTTTCTAGCTTGCTCCTACGCAACCAAGGTTGAAAGATTGAAAAAGTCAGTCATTCACAACCACTGATGGAGGATTCCTCGAAAAGTTAAGGATTAATCCTTTTTAGAAATCGAATGGATTCGGTCTTATACATATGCGAGGATAATCTAAAAGACATAAATGATATTTTCAAAATGTAGCTATTGTGCCAACCATAAGTTCAAGCAAATTCCCAGCCTAAGTAGAACAAAAGAGCATATATGCTATTCATTCAATGGTGAGACCAAAAACAGGTGGAAAATTATAACTTTTAGTCAACGTAACAGGAAAACATCGATGTTTATCAGACATAAAAACTGACCTATGGATAGCCAAGGAAGGGTCAGAAGAATCCCATAATGTCCAAACATCAGAAAATGTTGTTCCAAGCCAATTCTGAAGCCAAAATCTGCAGATAAACATTTGGGTCAACCAACCAAGAGATAAGTACAGGAACAAATTGAAAGGTGAATAGATGGGATACCTCTTTGGAGAGGATTTAGCAAAGGCTTTGTACAGTACTGGAACAAGTATTGCTTCTACGGGGTATATTAGTGTTCTGTCAAGATTCGAAAAACCTCCAGATAGACCCTGTTTCTTTTCACCTCTTCCCTGAGCATTAAGATGCGGCTCATCTGTAGGATAGTTCACAATATTTTTGCTGGGATTTGGACCTGAAAGCAATGTACTGCCGACAGCCACTTCAACATAGCAGTTCTGACCCTTCAAACGGCAGCCAGAATACTGGGCAAAGTGGAAAGGCGTATCAAGGGCGCTAAAACCATTCGAAGATGTAACCTTGCTGGGATAGTTTCACAAAAAAAAAAAAAAAAAACCAGTTAGAACCCATTGTAATTCTGAACATCAAGTCAAAACTGATTGATTCAGCATTACGTGATTTTCTCAGAAAAGTAGAATAATCAGAAACATGTTTTACTCTCGTTTCTTTATGGAAATATATGAACATAACCGGAAGAGAACACTATTGAGAGAAACGGAGAGAACTCAACACCAAAGTTCATCAGAATTAAACTTGGAGGTTGAGAATCCTGACTCAAACCATCCTGCTAGGAACTTGACATATAAACTGAGTGGATTAGGAAAATGTAAAATCCAGCGGCCACTTGAGCAATAAATTTTCTAAGAACTGGATAACGTGCTTACCCCATTTAAACACTCAAGATTTATGAATACTCTACCCTAGAAAAATAGATGAGTCCGTCTGCGCACTCCGACCTACAATTGTCAATCAACCTGGCTAGAGCCCAAACACTAATCACATTAAGATTATCTTGGCCCGTCCTAATGGGTAAACACATGATATGGCAGGTCACTTATCAGCTTAGTATGAGCAAGTCAAACCATCATTAAATCCATTATTTGCACAAGAAGCCTTGAAAGCGCAAAATAAATCTAGAAAAAGATATACAGTGAAAATTTTGAGAATGAAAGAATGAATAAAATATTTCAATAACATAGAGCAAGTAAATTGACTATATTAGTGAAAACTGTGGGAAAAACGTGTAATTAGGAATTAGTTCCTGTCGGTCAGCATCCTTAACTTGGGTAGTTTCCTTTTTTGTGGCCAGGTTAATTCTATATAACTACCAATTGTTCTATGAGAAGAGACGAGAATTTTCCACTGTTTATCCTTGCATGGTTTGCGAAAACAAGTGAAGAGAGTAACGATGCACACTAAAAACCAATATTAGTCGTTTCTCCGATGAGTTAAACGGGATAAACCAGTTTGTAACGCAACCATTTTTAGCACAAGCAGAAACCTCTGAGAGAGATTTAGAGGTCATGTCCTAGATCGTTGATATCGTAACCTAATGTCAACTTAAAACTAGAATAAGTGTAAGTAAGTAAGGGTGGTAGAGCAAATTCACATAATTAGAGTCGCATCAGCTCATATACATGTAAAGATGGTGATCTCATCTCTCCCCACGGAAATGGATATCTCCCGGTTTTAAGAAGCCTTTGACAACGGCAGATGATCAATCATTCAACCGAAGGTGGCTATTAGTCAAAGCATTTTGGGTTGGTTTCAACACCAAAAGTAGGTTGACTAAAAAATGCAATCGATTTTTGGCATTCCTCATTGGAACCAATTCTTGAATGGTTTCGCAGATCAGCATAGGCAGGACCTTTTCTCTACAACCTATGAAGAAAATGATGAAACTGTATACCTGAGATACACTTGTTTTACAAGATCACTGGGGCAACCGCCAACAAGCCTGCCTCGCAATCCATTTGGAGCAGTAATGACTGAAAAAGTGTCACAAAGTCCAAAACAAAAAGATAGAGTTAACTTTCCAATCATGTACTTACGAACAAGGTTAAAAAACATCAGCATGACTTATTTCTTCGAGAACAGGATTGTAGTTTCGTGGAGTTGAAATTATGTTGGGTGATTGGATGTGTGCATTTTCACCTAAGAGATGTTTAGGATGAATTTTTTTCACAAAACGCATATATTACATGCTCCCAAACCATAAGACAGGTAACAGTAGCTGTAGCAGTAGGCAGCAGCAGATGACACCAGCCAGCGTTGGTAAATGGAGGGCAAAGAAATGTTATATTTTATCACTTTTCATCTACTTCTTCCTTCCATCCTCCGGCAAACAGTTATCTGGAAGCTTTTTTCCCAAGACCTGGAAGTAGATCAAATCAGGAATTGACCACTCCAAGTAACCGTGGCCACTATACCTTTTTCTTTATCAATATTCCGAAGTGGTCAGATTTTTCTTCTCCAAACACAGAAGAATCATGTGGTGACGATTTCTATCAGCAGACACGTTAAAGACATTGAAATAAAAAAATATAGTAACCGTGTGAATGCCAAGCTCAATGTACCATTCAAAAAAAAGAAAACCCCGCCCAAGGTAAACCAAGCACCTGACACGAATTCATTGAGCACTGGACAGACTAATTATCCAATTTTTTGTACTGGTTCAGATCATTGCAAGGTTCCACAAGCACCCTCGACCATACCACGTTTACTATACTGCTAATAACACAATTTTTTACACTGGCTCTCATTGTCATTGCCGTGTTGGAAGTTCTAGGTCATAGGGAAATAGTATAATAGTTGAGGGTGTTTTTGCAAAAAACTGTGTATCGTTACTCCCTATATAATGGGGGTCAAGTTGAATGAATCTTGTGGCAGTTTCTCCCATTCTCCCCTCTGTCCTTTGTGAAGAGGTTTATATCCCCATTTCAACACCATGTACCCCGCCAGAAAATTCTCACTCAATTCCCACAATCTAAAAGGAAACAAAAACTAATTAAAAATTACCACAATTTTCTGTCTCCTCCCAAGTAAAGGAATACAACTACCACAAAGAACACAAAAAGCCTTCTCTTATTGTATTAATGGAGTTGTATTCCGTCCATCAAAGTACTTATAAATACACAAATAAAAACTGCAAAATAACCTAACCTGTCTATTTTAACATTTCCACCAAGATTAGCTAACTTGACTAATCTAATCTAAACCAAGATAGGATCAGACTTTATGACAAGGGTCCTTCCCCCTGCCTTCCCTGCGTGCAATTGACCTCTCATCCTATAGAGGAGATTTGGTAAAGATAGTGATGAGCCATGCCAGATCTGATGTCAAGGAGTGATATTCCACCTCACATTTAAATGACAAAAAAAACACCAAGGCGGCAAACAGAATTTCAGAATTCAACTGGCATTAATTCGGCTGGCTCACTCCTCAATAAGGCCGTCTAGTCAGTGCCGGAGGAAGAAGAGAGATGAGAGAAACACCACCTGCCAGTAAAGGGTGGAGGAAGAAGAAGACAAAGACCAATGAAAAGGGCATAAACTTCCTTGTTATTGGTTGGTATACCCCACGATTGTTATAAGTCACCATAGTCACGAGTTGCTCACATCCCACTCATCCCCTCACCAGCCCAAACCAAGGACTTGATCCGGGACAAGAGGACATATTAAGATAGGGAAGGAGTCGTTTTATTAAAAGCCCACTTACGACATTTCATTTTAGTTGTACTCTTTCCAAAATCATTTTGCAGGTAGAGTACAAAAAATATGAAAGTATCTATCAGATTATTTTCACTAGAAACAACCTTTTCCCTCAAACTGGCCAATCTGTTAATCTGTCATGTCCAAATCAGATTATCCCCCGATTTGGGAAACCGATTCGATTCAGAATACCATGGAGATAAAAACCCCCATGTTTCCTTCTGAATCCCTCGCTCCCTCCCTCCCTCACTCCCACATCTGGCGACAATAAAAGGAAGGAGGGTTGCTACCAACTATCCCTGCCTCAGAAGAAGTAAATTTTAATAGGTTTTTCCAATCTAATGCTGAACATTTAAAAGTTGGATCAAACTCAGCCTAGCAATTTAATAGGGGGTTAACCAGTGATTTCAGATGCATATTACTAACTATAATGGATTTCGGTGATATTTAGATTAAAAAATATATATTGGCATTGAACTCTAATTGAGCTATTCATATGACGCAAAACACATACACCCGCCAGGTAAGCCTTCATAGCATTACCAGGTAATATGCATCATTTATGAATATACATGCATACATACAAATACTACATGGAGGCATGCATGCAAACAGCAAATAAATGAGCGTAGACACAAACGGAAAACGTAGCATACCAGGTAAGCCTTCTCCAATCTTCCCATAAGAGAGATACTTTAGAGCTCTCTTCACATCATCCTCAGGAAGCCCTCGAATATGCCTAGAAAATCAAGTGTGCACATACTTCACCATATATCAAAATATCTGAACCGAAACAAAAGATCATTGGGAAATAAACTCGTACTTAGCAGATACTACTACATGCACAAAGATAGCTTCCTCAGTAGCCGCAAAAACAAACTCAAACGTTGGCTGCAGTCTCCTACAGATAACACAGTTAACACCCGATTAGCAATAAAGATATTAGTAAGGAATAGACAGTCCACGGGAAAACAGAAATAGAATTCTAGTAACAAAGTTGTGAAGACTATCAAAACATCCCACATTAGGTATGGTAATCAAGCAGATATAGAATAAGGTATAACTTCAAAATAAATTGAAGCACAGAAGATAAGATGAGCATCCTGAACAAAAGCAGTCAACTAGTAAGCGCAACATCAACCATGGACCTTTATCAATACACAAAATCTTCTTCATACTAGTACCCTACTTTATGATAAGCTTTGTTGGTTATTCAGTCTACAGTGAACAATTATCATCGCCTGTTTCTAATGACGAAGCCTTAGCAATAATGACGAGGTCTCAGTCTAAATGATGCATCGGCCTGGACTCTACATCATTATGCGGTGCAAAAACCCGAGAATTCCCTCCACAACTCAACATCATGACATACGGCTTCTGAACATGCTGCAAAAGGCGAATACTCCGTTCCCTGTCAGTTAGCTAGACAACCAATGGCCTATGAGATAAAGGCTCACCTTAACAAGGCAAGAGCAACGCATCCAAATGAGGGAAGATGGCAGCTATACTTTAGAACAGACCACGTGGAAGAGGAGATTAGAGACGGACGAATTTCCCGCGGATAGAATCATCCAAAGTTGCATTGAATTTTAAGAAACAAGATACAAGTACAGAGAGATGGAAATCCAAAGAGTAGTTGTCGATGAGCTACATTTAAAGGCTTCACTCACTTCATTTGGCATACAAGTATTCCTAAAGCTACTAAGGTTTTTCTCATTCATAAATTATGAGTCCCCACAAAGAGAGATTTTCTCTCACGTGACAAGAAAAGAAAGTTTCCAATAGACTCTCCTTTAATATTTTCACTATCCAATCGTTTAGTATAAAGATACATCAAAAACTCGTCGAGTAAATTGCCTCTATTTTGCCTATAGATACAACCGTGGAAACAAAAACATATTAAGACTCGAAAAAAAAGCACGAACTAAAATACAGATACATTTGAACATAAAATATTAAATAAAGTCATGACAAACTCCCTTGCAATAATAAGAAACTTTGACATGGTGAGACTTCGTGAGCTAACCTGAAATTTTTTTCACTTGAAGAAAACGGGTCACATTTTGTGAACACATCTCCAAATCTTACATAGGAAAGTGTCCTAAGAGATCTGCAGTGCACATAAATGATAGATCAAGACTGAGAACAAAAACGGGCAAAAAAATAAACTAAGGAACCAAGGAAAACCTCTCGATGCGATTTCTCAGAGATTGCGATAGGGCAAGTGCAACCTCTTCTGAGTCCCCTGGAGCTGACCAAACTCCACTTGCAATGACTTACAGGGACATATGAAAGAGGAGAAACTTTCAATACAATTATATGAGCATCAAAAACGGAAATTCAGCACGATAACAAAATTAAACGATTTCATGAATTCAATGCAAAATTTCCAAGGGCTAGTACCTCTCAGACGTGAAACAGCAGCATGTGCAGATTCAGAAACTGACGAATGACATCCCGGAAGAAAAAGCCAAAGTTTGATTTTCTCATCTGCTTGTAACATTACTTTGATTCAATTTACAGAGAACAAGTAAAAACTTAAAAAGGGATATCTAAGATACAGCTTACAAAGCTCACCGGGGTTGTGCACACCCTGAGACGGATCCCAAGGGCCAACAAAAGAGTTAGTCCATGTGCTGAGGAACCCTTCATTTTGCAGTTGGAGATGAGAAGAAAGTATGGACAAAGTAGTAGCATCTCTTTCCTCTGATCTATGACTGTTGGTTGTGGAGGGATGTAAGCATCATCCAAGAGGAACAAATCCAACACACCATCTTCAGGAACATTATTACAAATATACTTAATAGAAATGAAAAAATTATAAAGAGCACCTTTTCTCTGGTAGCGAGGATGGATCGAATTCGTATGGAAGAAATTGGAACCAGGAAACAAGCTGAAGGCCTCCCTGAACAAAATATATAAAAATACGATAGACAAGAAGATGTCATCTGGCATAGATAAACAGCGACAGAGAAAACTAAGTCAGTAAAACATCCTTATCGTCAAAAAATTATGCAATGGTGTTCCAACATACTTTATAACTTTCACCGACAAATTTCTGTATCTTAATGAGATCTGATACATCATTACTCACAATAGCATATACACAGGAAGTGTCGTTAATTGATTTGACCCATAAGGAGGCTCCTAAAGACCACTCGATCCGAGTTTAAAAACCTTTTTTGATTTCTTCTTTCCCTCGCAGTCTATTCAACTCTGAATTTAGACATATAAACACAGAGGTTTCCATCAGCCAATCCCATCTAGGCTTGCATTTTTTGAAGGAAAGATCTCACCAGACTCATCTGATACCAATGTTGATAACCTTGTTTATCCATTCCAAATATTGTGTCCTTAACTGAACCCTTGTTGATATAGCACAGAAAGACGTTCTTGAGAGAACACTTTCTGAAGACCACATGAGAAATGAACCTATCTATTTAACTCTCAAGATCATTTCACAAAATGCAGCAAATGGACATGGGACTTGCAATTCATACAAAGTTATGGACAAAATAAAATTTGGCATTCACTAAACGCAGAGGCAGAAATAGTAAGAAGAAAACAAACTAAGAATGTATTTACGTTATTAAAAAAAAAAGTTTGATTATTACAATTTTGAAGACATTTGTCCACATAATTTCTCTCAAACCAGAGCCTCCCCTCGTAACAAGGTTTTCTGATAATCTAACCAATCAACACATTCTGTAGACACCTGCAAGACGTACAGAAGAAATTCATCTTATTGTATATTGCAAGTAAAATGACATAAAATTCCGGCTTAGGATGAGATCCAGTGAGCATGTTACAAATTACGAGCTTTAAAGAAGGGTGTGAAAGAGGCGACAGTGTTAATGTCACCAGAATGTCCTGGTATGAAACTAAAGACAATGCAAAAAGCACGTCTGATAATAACTCACAGCAACATTTCAAATAAATTCTACATAAACCATTCAGCATACTCTCCGCTTCAACAACTTTTTTCCACTTACCTGTTGTCAAACCCATAGATCCACAAAAAGCTTCTAGGATGTGCACATCAGTCTTGTGTAAGCACTGACCATTTTAGGGGGGTGGGAAATCCACTAACCTTTTTTTCATTAACATGTATTTAAATTAGAATGAAAATGATTGAGGAAATAGCCAATATATATATATATAGCGAAATTAAAAAAACATATGTCCCTCTACGGAATTGTTCAAGTAAGACATAAAACCTACAAAAATAGACATTAAAAAACAGAAGCGGGGAAAAGTTTCAAGCAAAGAGCACAACTTCCATACAATTTCTCATTTGGCCTGCGGCTCTGTTCACCAACCATTAGCAAGCCTTGATGCTGAAATAGGATAATTATCTGCTCTTTCAATTCCTTATAAAAGATTTTTCTATTCTCCTTATTCCAAAACATCCAAGGGCAACTAACTGAAGGTCAATTATCACTGTAAATATAATTTTTCTCTGTATGGAACTAACAAAAATCACAACAAACAATTCAAAATCAAATTTCTCCTTTATTTCTGTCCATCCCCCTTGAGAGCGAAAGATACCAAAAAAAACTGAGCGAACATCACATTAACTCAATGATATTAAGAGCTAGTCTGATTTGACTTGGATAGTTTACCTAGTCGAGCCAGAAATTTGAAATGCCAGGACAGAAGAAGAACAAAGGAATGAGAGGAAAAAAATATAATGAAGAAGAGGAGAAAGCTGGAGGTTATGGAGAATATTCACGAGGAAAGGAGAAAAAACAAAGAAACGGGAAACATAGTTTTCATGGTGTTAACGAAGAAGATTTAGATACCATGTGCCACAACTCCTTCGCCACATAAAAGAATCCATTCATCTTTGATCATTACTAAATGGTGATAAAGTATCACGGAAAATGTATGCCAAGGGATATATCACGCCGTTTGACAGTAAAAGCTTTTCACTGGTTTGAATGAATTATAATCAAATTAAAGTCAGAAAAGCCCTCCTGCGCATAAAAGAGGGCCAGAGAGATAATTGGCAGCCAGAAGAAGGAGAAAGGTAATGGATCACAATACTAGTACATTCCTCCGTTCGATCAACCAAAAACAATTGCAAACAATCTTGGGGTCGCGGTCAGCATGAGTGAACGAAGTAACCTTACAATGACATAGAAAAAGTCTTCGCCAGTCGAAACGGAACTCACCAGGCACCAAAACAATTTCAAAGCTACAGATGCATGAGCAACCAAGGTAGAGAAAGGAACCGAGCTCTAAGAACTTCGTGTACAGCGACAGAGCACAAGTTTCAAGGCAATCTCGAAATGAAGACTACAGCGAGCAAAACGCTCACGGAATAAAACTAAGGCATCCCCAAATTGCACAGATTCAGATCGTGAACTCAGAAAGTTCCACGCAGATGGAAGACGCCAGCACATATACCTTGATCCAAGCAAAACTAGACACAAAAACCTTACCTAGTGAAGCAGCTGAACCGACAGAAAACACTAACCTGAAGATCAGCTTTCCAACAAGGCGTCGGATCGAACACCGCCAACCAGGCACATAGACAGAGTAGATAAACAGCCACTTCCGGAATCAAGGGTTTGCCCAAGGACGGCTCTACCACCTTTCCCGCAGAGACCACCCGCAGAACTGGTGCCAAGCGACGAAAACCTGGTACTCGGAGGAAGTGGCAGGAGGAACTCCCCGGTAGAAGTAAGTGGGAGCGGCTATGCCGTCGCCGCCAAGAACCTCGGCCAAAGCCGCCGGCGACCTCCCCGGCCCCCGTTGCCACCGTGGATTCCCGCTGCCGGAGCTCTGGAATCTTCGTAATAGGGGACGCAGGTCGGAAGTCGGATCTCGGGTTCATTAACCAATGAGAATATGCAACGTAACCCAACCAAACATCATTTTACCAATAATGCCATAAATACCCTTATGGTTCTGGACCGAGATGGGTACGTGCTGCTCTACCATTTGTGATAGTAGACTCTAGGTGCAGTGCGGCTCATTATCAGGTTCGAAACGGGTCGGCCAACTCGCCTCAGCATGGGGTTTGGCTGGGGGTAGTGGCAGGAAGAGGTGTAGAAGACGGGGAGGAACAAATAATAATAATAATGCATTTTTATAATAAGAAAATAATTTCAGCGAAAAAAGCCGCCTTTTCCAGAACTTATTCCTCTTTTTTTATGAGAAAAACTAATATATTTACTAAAACATATATTTTACTAGTATAATTTTTGAAGGAAACGGCTCATAAAAAAAACCAAATATGGCTGCTATATTTTTCACTATAATATCTTTCAAGAAAAAAAAATAAAATTTGTTGACTTTGTTCCTTCTTATGTTTTATTCAGAAAACTAAGCCCTGGAAACAATTGTGATTGCTTCTACCATAGAGGGTTATACAATTAATTTCATACAAGGTCTACACCTAAAGGGCGCTCATTTTATTTATTTTATAAATAATGAGGGCTAAAAAAAATGTCCAATGAAAATATTCTCCGATATATTCTTTAAAAATATTATCTTTATATTCTTTTTAAAAAAACGAGTGATAGTTAAGTAGTGTTGACAAAGTATGTATGAAATAAATATATTTTTACAGATTTCTACTATCGTGGTTATTTTAGAGAATATTTTATACCATTAAAAATATTTTAAAAAGTTTACTAAATAATTTTCCTCGCTCACGGAATATTTGTCGGTAGGGAGAAGGGGGGGCGAGGGGGGACGATTGGTTTTTCGTCGTCCATTCTTCTTCCAAGAAAGCGAACGACCGAGTCCATGGCGTCGTTCTGTGGAGTTCGCCCCAATCCCTGCTCGGGGAAGCAGCTGGAGGAGCGGTCCAAGGATGCGCCGTCGCTGCCGCCTCATGCAGAGGTTGTCAAGGGATTCTTCGTCCATAATCTCGGGATGCAGGAGCTCCCCGAGGTCTCCGAGAAGGGGGAATTCGGATCAGCCCTCATCCGGAGGGCCCTCAAGTTGGAGGCGGCCGAGCGCGGGCATGTCGCCTTCTCTCTGACCGTCATTCCGCAGCTCACCGTGAGTTCATTTGTGCTGTCACGGAGATCGATTCGTTTTTCCAGTTCCTCTTGTTTATTTGGATTCTGATGCCTGTCCTCTTCGACTTGTCGCCAATTTGAAATAAACCTGAAAGAACTACTACAATACCCTGCACGGTGGAGCGGTTGGGGCGGCAGCGGAGGTGGTCGCGCAGGCCTGTGTGATGACAGTGGCGGGGGATAAGGAGTTCTTCCTTGGGGAGTCGAGCTTCACCTACCTTGCATCTTCCAAGATCAACGTGCGTAAGCTCACTCTCTCTCTCTCTCTCTCTCTCTCTCTCTCTCTCTCTCTCTCTCTCTCTCTCTCTCTCTCTCTCTCTCTCTCACACACACACACTTCCAGCGACACGTGCTTTAATTCTTCTGAGACGCGCGTTTGTCCTCTCGTACCGCTCTCATTCTTCCTAGTTGTCTAGTCAGGTCAAGGTCGGGATAAGCGATTCTCAAGCGTGATACGCAAATTTGAGCCTCTCTGTGATTCTCAAAGGCTTCTGTAAAAAAATAAAGGGATATGTTACAGGAATAATTCATTTACTGCCACCAGTGTTGAGTTTGAAGGGGGGAAATTGAGGGACTAAGTTAAGAAGATACCTGTAGAAGACGGAAAGGAATATAAAATATTCAGATTTTAGCATCGATGCTTTTGTCAGTCATGTCAGAATAAGCGGCCAAGATGGGGGAGCAAGACCTCATTTTTCTTTTATGACAGTTGATATGCTGTGATCTAATGATCTTTGACCTGTACATAAGCCATTGGGTCTAAGGGTTGAATGGGCAAATTGGATTGAGATGAATTGTTAGTAATAACTAAGCCAGTACGATAATAAGGTTCAGAAAATGTAAAAAATAAATTATAAGACATTAAACTTCGACTTAATTATTCTTTATTTAACACATGACGGTTATCAATTACTGGCGATTGTCTATGACGATTAAATTGTGAAGAGACAGAAGCATTTAGAATGCTGGACAGACCAATCCTCTCAACCTTTTGGTAATTTGGAAAGGTATCTCTCAGGGAGAATTTTCTTGATGTTGAGTTTCGGGATTATAATGTTTGTAAAGTGAATTGAGGTCCTAAGCTGATAAGTGGTGGTCAAGTCCACACCTTGAGCAGTTTTTTACCAACATTTCCGACTTGTACAAATTCAAAACAGCAGATCACATCTGTAGAACTCTACTCTACACGACATGCCACAATTCAGAATAAGCCTTGAAGCAATCTTAAATATTGCTTTGAAGGAAGGTGTTGAAGGCTGTATATTTTGGAGATGAAATCTCAAAGGAAGGTTTTGAGATTTATTGACGATGTAGTTGCTCGGCAAAGAGAAGAGGTAACTACTGTGTGCCAGAGCGAAAGATTGGTCTATGAAAATTTAGGGCGATGAAGGACAATATTCATCTGTCCTGAGATGTTCCAGGGTTTGACATGGTCTCCGTCATTTTCGTGTTGACTATGGGGATGTTGTACAGCCCCTAGAGAATATGTTAGGCCCATGTACCCTCCTTTCTTTTTAATGTTGAATGCATATGGGGTACTATTAGCTTAATAATCACGGGAGGTTGTAAAACATGATGGACGAACCTATATGGGGATTTTTTTTCCCTACAAGGATCAAAACTGTCGTCTTGTGGTCGCCAATGGTCAGTGATCATGTAGGATGATGACTAGGAAGTTATCTCGCTGCCTGCCGGATGCACGGATTATTTATGGAGTATGTGGTCTGAGAGGACAGATTATCTATTTGCGAATAGTGGAATCATTAACGCCATCTAGATCTTCTTTCTTCTTTTTTTTCTTCTCCTAGACATAACGTGGATTGAGAAAGAAAGTATCACAGATTTGTGAAAATGGTTGGAAGATCTCATCCTATCTTACTGTCACAAAGGGAAGTGGAAACTTTTCATGCTGGCTGTGCTATGAGTTATAGGAAAGATGGAGGACCAGGAGGAAATTCTGAGGGAGGCAATTGTCAAAATCACCAATGATACATTGGTGTCAGAATGGAGGATACAAGTTAGGAGAGAGAAAAAAATGATTAGCATCGGGTGAGAGGCTTTTGTCGGAGTCATCAAGGATACAGCTATGTTGGCTACAGAATGGAAGATTGCAGCTATTTTCCCACTTTTCCTTGAGGTTGCTTGCTTCTCAATCTTTCTTTTCTGATTGACCCCTTTGTTTAATTCCTTCCAGTTGTAATTGAAGTGTGCATGGCTCAGTTTCTTTATTGCTACCTTGATGGATTAGGGCTTTTTTTCTTCTTCTTCTTCATTTCCTGCCATCTATCTGGTCTGTTCCAAACTAGGTATTGGCCCTTTTTGTACGTTTTTAAATGAACGACGATGTTTTCACTGCTCTCCAAGAATTCTACTTTAATGCAGACAGTGGGTAAAAGGTAAATTTGTTTTCATTCCAGAATTCGTTAAATCCTAAATAGTCAATTAATGTTTTCATATTGAGCCATTTTATCAATTGAACTTGCACCACAATGCTTACCCTTTTCTTCACACTCCCCAGTCCCGTGGTCGGTCATGTCTTCCCACCGTCTTCAACAATTTCTATGTTGATAAATCATTATGCAGGAAAGATAAATACAGATACTTGCCTCGATGGCTTAGTGTCCGATGTAATATTTAAGCTTTTCTTGATCCATTGCGTATCAAGCAAGCACGATCACGGCGCCCGTTATGATACATGATAGGCCCTGCCCTTGTCCTAAGGTGGATAATACAATACATGCAGGAACAATTGGACGTTGATGGATATATACTAAGGCAAGGGAGAAATGTCGTGGTGGCCTCTTTGGAGTTTAAGGCAAAGAAGACCCGAAAACTGAAATATGTGGCTCACTTAACCTTTTACAGTACGGCATCTGCAAGATTATGAAACATCATTTCCTATTTGTAGGTAACGTTGTTACATTAGAAAAAGGCTGAAAATGTAAGCCTTGTGGAGAATATTAAATTGAATGATTGCACTTCCCTAGTCTTTGTCGCGCATTGTATCTTCTCTGGTGGTTATTCCAAAAAATCTGAAAATGTCCACTTATTTGGCATGCGGAATCCATCTGCAAGATTATGAACATCATTTCTTATACGCAAAATAGTGTTTTTACATGGAAAGAAGGCCAAACCCAAGGTGTCGAAACGATATCACGTTGGATGATTATGAGCTTCCTATTCTTTGTCGCACACCATATATTATCTGTTCTTATCCCAAAAAGCTCATATTTTCCATTTATTTGGCTTGCCCCATTCAAAATCTAGTCTAGCAACGTAGAAAATCTCACATATTCTTCAATCCCTCTCTGTGAAAAACACTGAAGAAGAAGAAGAAGAAGAAGAAGAAGAAGAAGAAGAAGAAGAAGAAGAAGAAGTTTTCTGCTGGATTGGATTCCCCCCCCCTGAGGTTAGCATACAGCATATTCCGAAGCATGGTAACTAAATATAGAAAACATTACCACCATCAGGAGGGGGGGGATAGATGACTTTTTCTGGAACCATTGCTTTCCGTCTGCCAGAAACTGTGATAGAAAGAGCAGAATAACATAGAAGTGGCCGATTCCCTGAGAAAATTGGGTCGCTTTTCGATGAAAGGAGGAGGGAAGAACAACAAGGATAAGCTACTTAAATATATCTCGTCAGAGTCTAAGAATGTATTTTTTATATATATTTTGCATGCCGCCTTAGAATTATTTAGGCAGTCCTTTGAGGAAGGGCCCTCCGTCCATAATTGAATGTGGTACTGATCTCGGCAGTCCGATTGGTGAGTCATTGGAACGGCGAGCGATCTCGGCCGGACACGCGGGCAAGGAAAGGAGGAAGTGGGTGGCGACTTTGTTCGCCGGAATATCTTATCCCCGTCGCTCTTCGACGTCCCTCGGGATGTCCTTTCTGCCGGGGAACGATAATTCGACGGAGAACGAATTCCCTGTGGCGCCGGAGAGCGAGCTTCCCATTAATCTGGATCTGCCGGAGGACCAGCTGGAAAGGAAGAAGTAACAGTCACGAGAAGCCCAATGAGAGAGAATCTCATGTAAAAAGAGAGAGAGAGAGAGAGAGAGAGAGAGGGAAAGAGAGGCGGGGGTGGGGATGGGGGTCCTCTGTGAGGAGCTTAGAGCTTGGCAGCTGTCCCGACCATGGCCATCGGCGAGGGGGAAGCATCTTCCCTTTTGGCGTCGAGGACTTGACAGCTCCGGGCCCAACAAGAAAACCGCCCCATCCCTCTGTCCAACTCTCCTCTCTCTCTCTCTCGCTCTCTCTAGTGTTCCCTTCAAAGAGTTTCCGCATGTGTTGCCTTTCGTCTGTGCGACTCTAAATCAGCAGCCTTGCCACGCCTGAGACATGGGTCTGTAGATAGGTCACATACATATGAAAACATCTTGTCGAGGTGATCACTTCCCCTCTTATCTCTCTCTCTCTCTCTTCAATCATGCCTCGTCATCTGGTCCACTCGAAGAGAAACGAGGAGAACCTCAGGTGAGAATCGCCCGGTTGTCAACCATCCGCGTCCAAAGTTATTAAAGACGAGAGACATTCTCCGCAATCTAAACGTTGACGGAGCAGCTGGTGCACTGCAAGAACATGGCAAAAATCATCGATTAACAAAAAATAAGGAGAGAGACGCGTTCTTTCTTTGTTTCCCCGCGGTAGCGAATCCTGCCAACGATGTGACTGGTATCAAGGAAAATTAAGATCCTCAACTTATCAAGCTATGATAAAGCACATCGTTTATACTCATTTATGTAAAATAAAAAAATCCATGATCAAAATTATTGTATCCTATGTGGGCAGAATGTGAATGTTCGTGATAAGTTCGAAGTCTGTTTTCTTACTATAATCTCTCTCTCTCTCTCTCTCTCTCTCTCTCTCTCGCTCTTAAAGGCATGCGTCGAGGGTGGGCAGCCCCTATCTAGGCCGGACATAGACTTCACACGGTAAGACCAATCAACCATTTTTTTTGCCTTTTTTATACATATTCTCAAAGTATGTTTGAGTGCTGGGGAAGGATTCCAACTCCCGGTGTCTGGAGACAAACGGTGCTATTTGGTGGCTTTGGTCTGCTAGAAGTTTGTCTAGCTCGCTAGGTCTTGTATTCATTTAAACTAGAAGATATTGTGTCCACAACTGAACTGATCCAACCTGTGGGAATCTTATAAAATGCTGAGAACTTATTTTTCTAACCTTTTTTGCTTGTATTCTTGAGAGATGATGAACACGACTAATTACTTGGACGAAATTCAGAAAATGAGCCATAATTTAGCCTCTAAAAGACCATGATGCAGTTGCGATAATGGTCGCTTGCAAACTTTCCTGTTCTAGAAAAAGAAAACCCGGTACCCAGAGATCATTCTCATCTGAAACTGCTCCCTGTTATGTTATTAGGGTTCTTGATAGCTCAGACAGCAGTGTTCCAAAGAGCGCTCGGAATATATGCCGTAGGTTAGACGCCTATGCGGCCTAAAGTCTTCTCACCCAACTCCGTCTCGACTCACTAATAAGATGCGTGCTTGGATGGGAGTGCATCTTTATTTGCTAATTATTTCTGAAAATGGGAGATTTAGCATAAGAATAGACATTTTTGGCAAAATAGCCGCCCGGTACGCGGCGATCCAAGAAGCAATGCCTCTTTTTGGATATATTTAATACCAGAATAATAATCGGTGCACACGAACATATTACTGAGGCTTCCATGGAAACAGTAAGATAGGTTGGATTGCTTTCAGAAAATCCGTTTAAAATGAGGCAAATTGAAAACTTACTTGATAAGGGACAGAATGAAATATGTACCCTCAGAATCTTGGCTCGTCATATGGCGTACCGTTACGGGTATATTTATGCAGTCGACCCTTGGTTTAACAGTGAGATCCGTCCTCCATCGCTCTCCGGCCGACAACGAGATCAAGCATTTGCCAAAAATAGAAGCAACCCATTAGATGCATGGTGAAGTCCTCAGCCCATCCTCTGTTGCTCCTATATGAACCCCTCACCATCTTTCTCATTGACAGGGTGTCTCTCCATCTCTCTCTCTCTCTCTCTCTCTCTCTCTCTCTCTCTCTCTCTCTCTCGTTCGTTCTCCCGTTTTACTGCGATGGAGAGAGTGGGGGAGGCGCTGAGGGTGGGTAGAGTGATAGGGGAGGTGGTGGACCCCTTCACACCAACTGTTACCATGGAGATCTCCTACAACCCCAGGAAGGGAGTCGCTAACGGCCATGAGCTGTCGCCAGTGGCCACCCAGGCGAAGCCCCGGGTCGAGGTCGGTGGCGGCGACATGCGTTCCGCCTTCACCTTGGTAACTCAGCGCACACACATCTCCTCCCATCTCCCTCTCTCCCTCTCTCTCTCTCTCTCTCACGATACACACACATCGGTTCTCTGGTTTCTTTGTGGGTGTCTGAAGATCATGACGGACCCGGACGCCCCGAGCCCCAGCAACCCTCACATGAGAGAGCACCTTCACTGGTTAACCTCTCCTCTTGAGACTGAAACTTACCCATGAATCATACCATACTTCCTCATATGTGGGTTTATAGCCCGTTTTATTCACCATCCGTTCCCTTTTGTCTCAGGATGGTTACCGATATCCCCGGCACTACTGATGCATCATTTGGTGACCTACTCTCTCTCTCTCTCTCTCTCTCTCTCTCTCTCTCTCTCTCTCTCTCTCTCCCCTTGCGTCAAAAGGGCAAGAGGGATATAGTATAAAAACTGGAATTTCAATCTCCCGCGATGCATCGCCGGAGAACACTCCGCTATCGCCAGCCCCAAAAGGAAGGTTGATGGGGATGGAGGGAGCTTAAGATAGCGTTTGACCCACAACTGCGCCTGCTTTTGGGGCCGCCGATCTTAACCCACGAAGCAACGACAGACATCATCATGTATATCACCTTCTATCGGGGCTTCATCCTTTCCCCATGAAGATAATATAGGAAAGTGATTTATATATTATATTATACATTAGAAGATGGCGATTTCATCTTCTTCCGCTTCTTGTCTATTTGGAGATGACGGGACGCTTGGACGCAGGAAGAGAGCTAGTGAGCTACGAGCCTCCGCAGCCGTACCACGGCATCCACAGGTTCGTCTTCGTCCTGTTCAAGCAAAGGGGGCGGCAGACCGTCCGCCCCCCCGCCTCCAGAGACTGCTTCGACACGAGGAAGTTCTCCGACGACAACGCCCTCGGTCCACCCGTCGCCGCGATCTACTTCAACGCCCGCCGGGAAACCGCCCCCAGAAGACGATGATCTCCGCCACCTGCAGAAGAAGAAGAAGAAGAAGATAATGATGATGATGAAGAAGAAGCGGCCTTCCTCTTTGGCGGTTGCTTGATCAGTATCAACTACCTAAGACGGGTCTTATCAAGCGTCGTAATCTAAGTCTCCTCTGGAAGCGCATCATAAGCGGACCATCACCTCGAGACATCGAACAGGAGGGTGATCTCCGCAGTGATCTGGCCCTCTTTCATTGGCTGGATCAATCCATCCTGTCCAAACGTGAGCAGCATCGTACCATCCCGCCAGCAGTATTCGACTTGATAAAAATAAATAAAAAATCAACCATTATATCGCAGCCAACTGATACACTTATTTGTGTGCAACGAGGAAGAATTTGACTTTGTTCTTTCATTCTCCTGCCTGGACGAGATCTTGGAGTCAGTTCTTTTAGAAAATGGAAATGAAAGATAACCTCGGAGAATTGGATGGGGTGGTGTGATACCCTGAACATATCCAATCCTTCAACACAGAATCCATGGAGAAATTCAAAACAACTTGACGCTGGCTAAATGGCAGTGGATTCCGATGAGCCGACTCGTCTAGCAAGAACAAACATCAGAATTGAAGAAAACGTATTGAAGGATAAATTGATAATTTTATATTATAAAATATTCGAGGATCTTCACGGCTCTAATATTATTTTAGAATATTTTGAGCTAATTTTCCCACATTATTTCATGTTTTTGATACGTCTCATAAGGAAAAATGCATGGCACGATGTTGCAAGACAAAATATGAAAAATGACATAAAGTTATATCACGATGGAACATTTTTTGATTATTTTTTACCATTAAAATAGTAAAAAATAAGAACAAAGTCGTTCTATAAGATACATTATCCTCGCCCAAGTTGAGGAAAATCATTCAAGAATCAAAGTTAATATTTTTACCTCATGTATTCAAGCACCTTCACACCTCAAGAGGATTCAACATCTCTAGGTGAAGGAACTCATGCTAAAGGAAGCTACAGGTTGAACTACAAGAGCATTCTATTGTTCGTGATTTGTGGTTGGGTGTTTCTAGTACTTTGGACCGACTTATAACTACGAATATAAAATATATTAGCTAAGTGTCATCTAATGGGCCTTTGACACGTAATGAATGTGCAAGAAGTGTTTCTATGAGACACTTGGATTGGTTAGAACTGTGAAATTTAGTGGAGGCTAGCTAAAGCCTTTGTGCTTAACATCTGCATCTCATTGGTCTAAGAAACACAAGGTCCTTAGAGAATAGAATATAATAAGCCATCTGGGTCAAACGAAAATAATATGGGTTACATTAATTTTGATAAAAAATCAGAAACCCAAGAGTGATTCAAGAAGGATCAGTCCATCCCCTCTCTTGGTTCCTCCCATAGCTTCCTTAAAGTCTACACCTTCACCTTTCCTCTTCTTGGACCCGATTTACATTATGGAGAGGGGGAATTGGGCCTGATCAATTTTGACAGCTTTTCCTGGGCCCATCACTTATATTTCCCCAGCATTAATGTTTGAGTAGTTGTGACCAACTTACGCCATAAGTAGCACTTGTCCCGAGTCAACTGGGCCAACCCACAAGGATCATGGACCGACCCTAATGCGTCTGGCCGAGCTTAGCCTGAGTCCAGGCGTTGACTATTAGGCCCAGATCAAGCCCTAAAATACACGTCATGTCAGAATTAGAGAGAGAAGCTGGGAGTTCAGAGAGAAGGAGAGAGAGAGTAACGACTGTTGGGCCAGTGGCATTGGGAGAAAATAGGCTGGGGGCTTCCATCTAACTAGACCTGGACTGAGACTAGAGAGAGACTGTGACGGACCTAGTTTTACTTCCGAGCATGATTACGGGGTGCGAGGGCCGAGAAGCTTTTTTTTAATAAGAGTGACCATTAATGGCGTCCGACGATCTCGTTGATCAAGCCTTCAAATGGAATAAATAGCATGGAAGATGGAGCGCACCGGCCTCCTCCCATAAAGTCGTCGGGTCTTTTCAATTTAGCAATAAACTACCTGTTCCTCGGGTTGCACCGAGGCCGCCATTGACGCCGCCATGAACGCGAGAGCTCAAGCTAAGACCTGGAACGATAGATATCTCTCGAGGGGGGCTGGAGAGAGAGAGAGAGAGAGAGAGAGAGAGCCCTGCACGAGATTTAGTTTGCAGTAAAGCCCATGGGTGTCTGTGCGAGGGAGGGAAGATAAATAGGGGAGAAGCGGGTTGACCGGTAAGGTTAATGGCCTTATATTTAATGACCCATTTGTAGAGAGAGAATTTATTTTTTTTCCTGGTTTGGGGAGTCCGACGGAACGGAAATCTTCGCATGCAGAGAAAGGACGATCGAAGGAGAAAGGATCTCAATGGGCCGCCCACCTCCCATCTACCCAGGCTGCGATCTCTTCTTCTCCGTCGCCGGCAGCTCTCGGCGGCGCCGACGATGCCCCCAAAATGAGAAGCAGAGCGGGTGCACCGGGCTGCCCTCCCACTGAGCGTGAAAGCACAGGAAATAGTTCTCTCCCCTTGTTCGATTCCACGCAGCGAGGTGCACAGAGAGACAGAGGGACAGAGAGAGAGAGAGAGAGCTAGGTATCCTCTGTCCACTCTTTCTATCTCTTCTTCTTCTTCTTGCTCGCTAGATCAGGTGATTGCGACCAGACGCCAGCTATCGCCACACCGGCGGAGGGGTCGGAGGAAGACGACCGTCGGAGATTCGGGGGCCGTCGGCAGGTAAACGGAAGTCATAATCCGATCGGCGTGGCAGCCACTGGTGAATACGTCCAAGGAGAGAGAACCCGGCCGGGCGGAGGGGGGCCATCGCCATTAAATGTGACCAGCTGGACCAGACGCAGAGCGTGCATTAAATGCTTGCCCACGAAGGCGTAGCCCCCCCGGTACCGGCCTCTGCCGGGGGGCTCTTCCTTATTCACACTAACAGACAGGAATGAATAATCGAGAGCGAGAGAGAGAGAGAGAGAGTATCTACGTATTTGAGCGGAGGGGAAGATTGAGGGATGATTTGGAAGACAAAAAGAAAGAGTTTTGAGAGAGTAAGATTGAAGGAGGATTTGGATGATCGTGAAAAAGCTCAGAGGGATGAAAAAACATGGCTCAGAGATCCATACAGAAATGGAAACAGAAACGGCTCAGAGCAGTGCAGAGATGAAAAGAAGTCAGAGAGAAGGAAAAGCTCATAGACTGAGTGAAAGGAAGAGGGGTAGTGCAGAGATGTAGATACAGGGAGGAAAAAAAAACTAGGAAAGAGAGAGAGAGAGAGAGAAAGAGAGAGAGAGAGATGAATAGAAAGCGTCCTGAGTCAAATGGGGATAGTCCCCGAGTTAACGCAAATACAAGAAACATGAAAAATAAACGAAGAAATCAAAAGAACCTCCCCAACGACTGGGCTAGTCAGAGTCATTCAAACTCCCGCTCTATCCCTAGAACCACAACCATCGCGGTTTGAGACAGAGTCAATGCCGAACCACAACCATCTCTCTCTACTTTCCCCAAATGACCAAAAGATTGAGGCGGGGTTCGTTCTTGACTCGGCCTCCTACGCGATTCTCCGGCAGTTCAGCAGAAGACTGTTTATTTTTTTCTTCCCCGACCTCAGCTATCGCAGTGGAGGGCAGCCTTGATCTTCTTGATGGTGCAGGATATCAGGTTGTTGACCGTCTCCGCTGACTCCACGGTCAACTTCGCCGCCGGGAGGCTGTTGACGAGTATCTGGAAGGCCACAGTCAACAACGAGCCGCCGCCTCCCGGGCCCTCGCCGGCGCCGCCGATCCGCCGCTGCCCGTCCGCCCTCCCGTCCGGCATGATGGCGAACCCCGACGGGAGGAGCGCCACACAGGATGAGTCGCCGCCGTTCATGACTAGGTGCATCGCCGGCGTGTCGACGGGAGCGTACACCACCAGCGACCCCGCCGCGTCGGTGCAAGTCTCCTGTAAGATCAGCATACTGCTCTGGTTCGCGCCGCCGGCCTGCGCAGATGACCCGGAGGAGATGACGGAGCTAAGAAGAAGAGGATGAAGAAGAAGGAAACCCTAAAAAGATGGGGGAAAACATTCTATTCCTAGCCATGTAGGGTTCATGCATGCACGTCATCCGTTATCTGACAGAGCCGCCGACGGCGGAGGCCCGATCGGTGGAACGCTCATCTTCGGCCCCCCCCAAAAAGTTACAGACTTCGGAACCGGTACCCAAAACAAGCCATTTTTTAATTTTCTCATAATCATCGCAAACTCGCGCTATTATACGTAAAAAAAGCGATCTTTATTCTCTTCCGAATAAAAATAGAAACTTTTGACGGTCGATCGATCATGCAATACAAGCAAGTGAGTCATGGATGCACGGGAGTTACTTGGGCAGATATTGCACCACAAGTTTTTACTTTCTTGGTGCAAAAAATGAGTGAACGAATGAATGATGCGCACTATTTTGGGGAAGAAAGAACGGGGAAGGGGGGGAGAGGGTCTAGGGTTGGAGGAAGAACTCACGCAGGCGCGGAGGAGGGAGACGGCGTTGCCATGGTCCTGACCCTTGGCGATGTGAGCGACTTCCTGCATGGGGGCGCCATTGGAGAGGATGTCCCACTCGCTGCGGAGGCCCTCGTCCCGGAGGAAGTCGAAGAGCCGCCGTGGTCCGACGGCCACCCAGACGGAGGTGGCGGCGCTGAGCACCACTCCCGGCGGCTCCCCGGGGTCAGTCTCGCTGTTGCGGGTCATCACCCGCACGTTCTCCCCCACGGCGGCGCCGCCTAGGCTCAGCCGCGCCCACCGGTGCGCCGACGACGCGCAGACCCCCGAGCAGAAGTTGTCCGTCATCCGTCGCGCCAGCTTCACCATGCTCCGCCTACCCGCCGCCGATATCACTGCCGGAGAGAGGGGAAGGGGAAGAAGAAGTGTGTGTGAGCAGTGGGCCTTCGCCGTCGATAGGGAAGCAGCGGCGGCGAGTTTCACCTACCCGTTTGGTCGCCGGCGGCGCCGGCGGAGGACATGAGAATGGCGAGGCACTCGCACTGCCGCTGGAGGGCGCCGAGCCACCGCTGCGCGCCGAACCCCGCGCCGGAGCGGAGCAGCGGGCGGTAGAGCATGTGGACGGCGGAGTCGTCGTTCTCGGCGTGCTCGACCCACGTGACCTGCGCACAGCACCGCACCAGCTTAGGAGGAGGACCTCTTCCGCCATTACCGGCGGCGGTGCGATTGCACCAGTCTCTCTCTAAAAACGGAGAGCACCCGCCCGGCGAGATTACATAGGCGTTGACCTACTAACTGCCTGCCTGCCTGCCTGCCACCTCTAGAGCCCCCATGTTGATTGACATCGGGGAGGGAGGAGGAGGCGACAAAGAACCACATTCGGAGGTGGATCAGAGAGGTCTGCGGAAAATATACTTAAAAGAGGAGGGTTTGGTCTTCCGAGAAAGTCACTGAGCTCGAGGAGTCTGCGAACCCAGAGGGAGAGAGAGAGAGAATACCTTGGAGTAGCCATTGGGCATGTCCTGGAGGAGGCAGCCAGAGGGAAGACGCCGGCACGTCGGAGGGGACGATGGATTGTCGCCGGTTCTCTCCACGGAGACATCCACGACGGTCCAGAGGCCCTCCGTGTGCTGCTTGCAGAACCTCAGAAAACTGACCTCCCGAGTGGGCACCAAAGGAGAGAGAACCTGGAGTTCGGATCGCATCTGAAAGGGATGCCGACGTCAGGAAGACAATGGCAGAAGAGAGAGAGAGAGAGAGAGAGGGAAGATGGTGAGTTGAAGAACTCTTACCAAGTGGAGTGCACCGCTCCGACCGCCGCCGCCGCCGCCGTCGCCGGCGGCGACGACATCGGTGGTCGCCGTCCTCGCGACCATACAAGGGAACATCCCCGGCCAGCGATTCTGCAAAAAAATAATAGGGAAACTGTAACGGTCGTCGGTTCTACACAGCTCGTATCAGAGATCGGAGGAGAAAGAAGATGTCGACGGAGTAGCTCACCGCGTCCATGAGGGTGTCGACGAGGACGGCGGCGTTGATGATCACCACGGCGGTCTCCCTCGAGGCCTCCGTGACGTAGCCCGGCGGTTTCGGCCCCAGGCACTGCGAGGAGATGCGGAGGTACTCGTCGGAGTTGAGGACGCGTTTGCCGGCGGCGTCCATGAGCCACAGGGGGTCCTCCATCTGCGCCATCTTCATCAGCTCGTCCATGGCCGCCGCGGCCAGCTCCTGCAACATGGCCCTCTCTAGCGGCGGCGGCGGCGGCGGCGGCGGCGGCGGCCTCTCCATGCCGGCCACCGGCAGGAAGTACTCACCCAAGCCGGAGAAGCCGTTCCCCGCCGCCGCGAGCTCCAGCGGCGAGTGAGGTAGCGCGAGGGGCCGACCGAGGAACCTCTCAGCGATGATGGCGACACGGTCGAGCTCGTCTCTGAGGCGGGCGTTCTCCAGCCGCAGCTGCTGCTGCTCGAAGGACACCTCCCCGAGGACGGCGCCGCCGCCGCAGCTCGGGCACAGAGGGTTCCTCATGGACTCCCGGATGGCCATGTTCTCCATCTTCAGCCTGTCGTTCTCCTGCTTTAGGAGCGCGTTCTGGTGCCTCTCCAACTGGGCCTGGTTCATGATCAAATTGTTGTTCTCTTCCCAACTAAGCTGCATAAATCGAGAATTCCCCCATTCACATCAGTGATTACCTTCATCTGGGTACGCCGATTCTGGAACCAGAACTTGATCTGGCGGCTCTCCAAGCGCAGCCTTTTGCTTAGCTCCATCCTCTGCTTCTCGTCCGGATGAGGGCACTCCTTGAACAGTCTGCACCAAGGGGTTGCAGAGAGCTGACCCATGAACAGACTCACGAAGGGAGCGAGCGAACACAAGGAGAGAGAGAGAGTTCTTCATCGGCTTACGCTTCCAGCTCCTGGATCTGGTGAGGAGTATGGCGGTGGTATCTCTTCTTCTTGCGCGGGTGGTCAGCGTCCACATCGTCGCCGGAACCGCCGTCGAGGTTTTCGCTTCCCGATCTGCTGTCGTACTCTTCCTCCTTTTGCCCCCCGCCGGTGTTCCTCTCGGCAGTGTGTCTTCCGCCGCCGCCGCCGGCAGCAGCGTCGAAGTCCCCTACTTCCGCAAATCTTCTTAGCATTTCTACTTCCCCTCCGCCACCCTCCAAGTTCGATTGCTGCAGAGAAAGAAAAAAGTGAACCAGTCAGCATAAACTCACGAGAAGAAATTGAAAAACACGATGGAGAGGTCTTCTGCAGACGAAGAAGAGGACCAGAGGGGCCCTTTTCTTACAAGGGCAAGGGAGAGGCCCGGGGAGGAGAACATGGGCTTGGGGAGGGAGGAGGGGGCGACGAGGCGCGGCTGAGTCAAGGCGGCGCCGCTGCCATATGGGATATCCGCCACCACCCTTGCACCGGCGCTGCCGGCGTCGAGGAAACCCCCAAAGCTCATTTCTTTCTCCTTCTGTCCGCTCTCTCTCTCTCTCTCTATGTCGCTTCTCGGCTTTATGTATTTCCCCGTCGTCGTCTTCCTCCTGCTGAAGCTTCTCACTACTTTCTCACAGATCTAACTGGAGCTACCCTTTTCTTCCTTTGCCTCAGGTAGACGACATCTGATTGGGCTCCTACAATAGAACCCTCTCTCGCCGAGTCCCTCGGGATCCTCAACCCTTTCCAGGTCTCAGACCCGGAAGAACTCTGGATCCCCTCTATCTCTTTCTCTCTCTTCCTCCTTCCACCCGAAGCTCTGAGAGGGGAGAAAACGGGGAATCATCAAGAAAATGACATGAATGGAGAAGCACGAGGAGCGCCTCCCGGAAGAAAGACGAACCCAGAAAAGTCAAGTGATGAGAGGACTGAAGCGGAAAGGGGGGGCCCTCACGGTCATAGGGTACTTCCCGAAGAAGCCCCGAGGTAGAAGAAGACAAGATTAATGGCAGTCGCGAGCGACTATGGAGCGAGACGATAACCCCACCCTCTCGCCTGTCCTCCGCTGGCCGAGATCATCAGAAGGGGAGCGGCTCTCGAAGCAGCAGTGAAGAGATGAGCAGGTGCGAATGGGGAGAAGGGTGGGGGAGAGAAAGAGGGCAGAAAGACCTTCTCGGCTCCAGCTCCCAGCAGGATGACGCGGGAGATGAAATCATACAGGAGATGAGATAGAAAGGTAAAAAACGGTGCCGGGACTGAGGCAGTGAAGACGAAGCCTGCAGTCCACTTACTGCGGCCAGAAGAAGCCCCTTGGTGGCCCCTCCTCTCTCTCCCTCTCTCTCTCTCTCTCTCTCTCTAGATATTTTACGAGGAAGAACACTGACCAGCGGAAGCGATAGACAAGAGATCCAAGCCTTACCTTCTTACCCAAGGCCTAGTGTGACACCCCTCGCCCCCTGATCTCAAGGTGTTTCGTTTAGACCGCCAGTGCTCACTCTCTTCTTCTTCCTCTCTCTCTCTCTCTCTATCTACCCTCAGATTTTTTCGTGGAGTCTCTTCTTCTGCAAAAAACGTCCGGGAGAAGAGAAGAGAAGAGAAGAGGTGGGGGATGGACCAACGCCGCGGTGAATACGGGAAGATGGTCGCTGATGGGGAGAGGTTTGAAACCCGTGGATCCCTTGAGAGCGAAATGGATGAGACAGACACGCAGGGCAGACATATATGTAGAGAGCGAGAGAGAGAGAGAGAGAGAGAGAGAGAGAGAAAGAGAGAGAGAGAGAGAGAGAGAGAGAGAGGAGGAAGAAGAAAGGAGAGAAAGGTCTAGAGCGATGGAGGGTGGTCGGCAGCCGCCGGCTTTCACAGCGACGGGTTCAGGCCGGCGGTGGCTCACGTGAGGACGGCGGACTCTTCGTAGGCGCACGTGTGGAACCAGCCTCGCCAAATCCTCCTACCTCCTTCCTTATCGGATTCTCACCCGGACGATCCTTGGGCCATCATCCGCCGTTGGATTGAAATCTAACGATGAAGAGAGATCAACATTCAGGGGTAAACATGTAAATAAACACATCCCCGATTCACTGTCGGTTCGTTCTTTCGGGAAGGAAATCCGAATCGGGACGTTTCCGGTTCCGTCTCCGCCCTGTTTTGGATAGTATTAAATCCCGCGAACGAGACCCGATTAGATCCAATAACGTGATCGGATAGACCACAACGGCGTCAGCTGGCGCAGACTTTTGAGCGCTCGCCCGGGCCCACATGGCGGGACCACATCGGGGTCAATGGTACCCCCACTACCGCTTGTTCCCCCAGGGTCTTCAACAGAAACACCTCGGTTGGATTGGGCCCACCATTGTGGTAAAGTCAACGACGGCAACCACAACGCCGGGAAATCTCTGACGACGACGAGCCGTGGGAGGCGAGTCACCCACCCAAAAAAGATTGAAACGCTACTCCATACCGCCCGCGCGTGGGGACCCCACTGGGTTTTCAATTCCGAGGGTCCACGGTCAATTCGTCCTCATGGTCTCTCAAGCTGAGTTACTATCTCACTTTGACCTATATATATCTATGGACACATGTGCATATGTAGAAATAGAGAGAGATAGAGAGAGCTGGCCCGGGCCTCTCTCTCCAGATATGGACTTGGAGGAAGATTGCTTGAAAAATGGGCTGTTGGAGAGCCTTGTCAAATTGGGCCCAGCCCGATCCACCGAATGTACAGCCAAGAGAGAGGAAGAGGTGCGTGTGTTTCGAAAGGGGAGAGAGAGAGAGAATAGATCGAGTCCCCATATCCTACATGGCACCTTCAGAAATTCCAAGTTATATTAGCAAGTTAATTATGCATCAATATGTGTTTAGGAAATCAGGTAAATTTATCAATGGATATTTTACATCAAAATGAGGAAATTTCATATCATCTCATTGATTTTTTTTCCCCTGAAGACCCCTTTTCTTTTTTTAGGAATTTACCAAGCAAAAAATAGTTAATATTTCTTATTGTAGATTATAAACTTGAGATTTTCTCCAGTCAGTCCTTATATTTTTGTACATATTTTCATATATTTTATGTTGTGCCAATCCCATACGTCTTTACTTATTTTATTTAATAATTTGTATTTTTTTGATATAATTCATACTGACAGTGGTGTTTTGAACAAATATAATTCGATTGTAAATAAAATCGAGGTGTTTATGCCCATTCATATTTATATTGGTTATATTGGTTCTTCACTTCAACTATTACTGAATATATTTTTTTAATCGAAATATATTCTTACTTGATTTGACTTCAATGTTGAGATGAATAGATTGTGTAATTAATTATTACATATTTTATAAGTGCCGGCCATACATAGGACGAATTATATTTCAAAGACTAACATTTATCCGAATAATAGTTGTTCATGTGTTCTATATTTGTGTCCATTCAGGAAAAGAAAACATTGAATGGCCACAATTCTAGGCAGAGGGAAATTAGGAGTTTTGAAAGAAAGAAATTCCACGTGAAAATATATTTCCAGCTCCATATCCACTTAAAAATCATGCAATAACGTCCCATTTCATGAAGTAATGATCAGCTGAAGTTCCCCAGATTCTAAATGAGAGCTGCCGATTAATCGGAAGAAATATGAGACAGAGAAGGGTCACAGTTTGCTCGAGAACGAGGGAAATGCTCAGATCTTGACAGGACTCACCGCCAAATGAAAAAAGGGGAACAAGGGGAAGATTACCTCGCATGAGGAAATGCTCCCTTTTATGGGTTGAAGAGCTTCCGAAAGGGGCCATCTTTGCGGTCCTTAGCGGCCTCTGTTAAGGCGAGAAACCTCTTGAAGCCGGTGGTGGCGGCGCCTCTCCCGAGGGCCGCCGCACGGGTGAGAACATCCTCCCGAGATGTGATGGACCCCCCCACGGCCGCAGCGGCGGCGGCGGCGGCGGTGGTGGTGGTGGTGGTGGAAGGGGTCGACGCCGTCTCATTCTGGCTTGGTGGAGGCGCCGAGATGACCACGGTGGGAGCCGTTGACGGGTGCGTGATGCCCGGTCTATGCTTGCTAAATTCATCGAGTATGGCTTGCTGGTCTGCCTTCTTCAAGCCCTGTGCAAAGCCAGACAGTACATTTAACTCTGATTGGCACCAAGGATCGAGGTTCTCAGAAGAAGAAATAATCCATGGGGGGGGATGAAGGACCTTGAGCTCAAGGATCCGCTGGAACTCTGCAAGTGTGCCCTCTGGGAGCAGTGCTCGATAGGTGTTTGCGACAGAATCGACAGGAGATAGAATAACCTGAGGGCACAAGGAGCTCAAGTACATGCTAATTTTGGAAAGATCATAATGACAAGGGCTCATCAGGTTCTGTCACCTTCAGTAAAGCTTCGGCTTTACTCATCTCCCGGGTGACAAATTTTGCATAGCCGGCGGCGCCGGCGGTCTGTGAAAGGCAGGAAGCATCTGAGCTGATACAAAATTCCTCGTAAAATGCCCACCAAAGAATGAGCGCTGGAGAACTTTAGCACATTACCTGTCTTCCCATGGCAGGAATCTCCAAAATAATGGTTTTCACAGCCTGAGTGTCCAGCAGCATCTGCATTCTCAGCCATGAAGCATAGTCAAATAAAATAAAATAAAATATATATTCATTTATTTATTTTTGATATTATAGGAAATTTTGGCACGGTCAAACCTGTTGTGCACCAGTTTCTGATATCTGCTTGCATTTGAAGATGTTGAGGTAGAAGCGAGGGCCAAGGGAAGCAGCCAGCTGTATGAATTCAACGGTTAATCAGCTTAACTGGAACTTGCACCACTGGCTATGTTTCTGTAGATCAAGTCGGGTCAAGATTTGCAATAATGGCTAAGCAACGGTAAGCATGGACGATTGATTTACCGTAAATAGCTCTGTTCTAAAGCAAAATGAAACAGTACGTAATCAGATTCATTTAATCCCAATAGGGGGGGGGGGGTTAATTTTTTGACCTTTAGTGATGATGTAAAGAAAGATCGTGGCATTCTAAAGACAGAAATCCATGTCAAACAAAGATCTTCTGGACAGTGAGAAAGCGTTCAAGTAAGCTAATGAAAAAATGAGGAAAATCCGTGAAAATAGTATCGACACTTTAATCAATTATTTTCAGTTAGTGGTAAACCACCGAGATATTTTAAGTTTATAAGAACTAAATAAAGGACCCAGAAAAATTGTGTTCCTTCGACTCACCTTATCCAAGAAAAATTGAAAGTAAACGGGTGAAAGTAAGCCCCCCAGGACTGGAATACTGCCCATGAGAATCGAGTTTATACCATTGACATACCTGAACAGAAATGGAAGAAGAAATTATACGTTTCAGTTTACTAGGTTAGGTGGACATATTACGAATATCAATAATAAAATCAGATTCAAGCAACAGAAAATAAAGAAAGAGATGCCAGTCTGTGGGATGTTACTCAGATTGGTCGCCAACGGATTCAAGTGTACCCCATGGAACACGCGTCATTGCAATCATTTCAGCATCAAATTTTGTTTCCAGACCATGAACCAATGTTACAAGTGATTTTGTGATCAGTGATGAAAACTCATCCTGCAAAATCACATGTTTTCCAACAAAAACGTAAGAAAGGCATCAGACACATAGCATCGTGACCATAGTTTGTGAAATTAAGTACCTGCACTTCTGACATATCCACCCTGTCGGCAAATGGAGAATCAATTATCTTGGAAACATTTTCTGCGAGTTCACCCGACTGCCAAGCAGAAAGATCAATGCAGCTTGATTAAAAGAAATACGTAGAGAATCATTAGGAGATTGTTTAGTCTTTCGAGAGTCTGGCAATAAATCTGAGTCAATCAACACCTAGGAAATTTTCAACTTGAGAAAAAAACTCACCGTTTTGTGACAATATTCCGCCGTATTTACAATATAGCATATAACCTTCTCATCTCTGTCAGATGTCTGTAAAGTTAACAAAGCATGCATAAGACACAGTAACCATCTACTTTCATAATTGGTGAAAAAAATTGGTGAGCTTTGGAATAACCTTTATTTGTCCATCTGTACCAGTAGCAGCTGCAACAATTCCCATGCCACCCTTAGGCAATCTTGTGAATAATTTTGTAGCATAGGCTTTAAGAATTCTTTGGAAAACCTATAAAAAAAATGTTAAATTGTCAACTCATCCCGTGAATTTCGCAAAAATTGGAAACTGCTACAAGTAGATTGAAGGCATCATTGTTCCTAAGATACTTATGAATGGTAATTTATTCGCAGCATGGGATCCATATGAAACAGCACTAGCACAATCGTTTTAACAAAGTACAGGACGACACACAAAGTAAACATACAGCTTACTGATTGTGGCGTAATGCCTTTTCAACTTGTGTTACTATTTTTTTTTGTTCGAAGGATAACTGTATGCTACAAGGGATGTGTTCACAGTAAATGCAATGGGATGATGTTCAGTATACTCAACCCAGTAAAGCTGAAGAACAATCACTGCGTAGCAAACCTTTACTGATTGTCAAATATACAACACAACGCATTTTGTTTCTTAGAAATGTACCTTAAACAGACTGAAAAGTGTCTGGCTCTTTGACAATGCACTGCATCTTTTTAAACTCTTTCTGATCATCAGAAACACCTGCATAACAAAAGATCAATAATAAATAATTAAGGAAACACTTTGAAAGACTCATGTGACAACGACCATAAGCAAAGATTAAACAGCGCACCATATGCGTACTCAGCAACAATAATAACAAGGCATTTAATATAATCCTAAAGCTTCATGAAAAATATAGTTTTCTAAAGATAAGATTTTCTTCTAAAGACACAGTTGAAGACCTTGCAAACTATTTTTCATTTACAATTCCTCAACTTTCAACAATTCATGAATTCACAAACATTGGCAACGTGTCCATACCAAGGTTGTAACTGTACTGTCAGATCAAATCCTCTCTTAGTTGAACATAATGAGCTGTCTTGATGATTACACCCATAAAATTTCCATTAATTTTATTGATACTTTGCATGACTTTAAGGCAACGAAATGAATGTTGTCCAAGGTAAAAATGGCCAACAAAATGAAGACAATAGAAAACATAATGATCTCCTAAATTTATAGGCCAATATAGGGGGAAAATAAGTCGTTTTTGTGAGCAAAACATTTGAATCAAATTTCAAGCGTTGACCCTTGAACTGAAAGTGTTGGCCCTTAAAGCCTAAAAATCGCACTTGATAGCGAAACATTCACGGAGTTGACCCCTATAACTTGGGAGCTGTCTCTCAAAACATCGGTACCAACACCATATCTCAAGAGTGTTAAAATGCACGATTTACGGCAGCAGGATCTCCAAAAGTAAAAGGCAAATAATCCAAGAAAATTAAGCTTGATGGTTTAGTTGGTACTTTAAGAAGGTCAAACACTGTACAAAAGTCTGACCGATACATTGGAATAGCCATTTTACAACAGATTTGACAGAAACCTAGTTAAAAACAATCCAAAGGGAGGCTCCACTCCCTGAGTGAGTTTGAAATTGATCAAACCGCTATAGAAAGATATGTTCGATTAGGGCGTCTGGAAGTTTTATTTCACAGTTGCCTCATATTCTCAAACCAATGGTTTTTACCCAACTTAGGACTCGTCACACTTTAACTCACGATGTCTGCCTACAAATGATCTTTCTTTCCAAGTCATGATATTTCTGTCCATGAAATCCTTATTGGGCTGGGTTAGAATTGTTTATAAAAAATTGTTTATCCCCCAGATCCATATTCCATGATGTATATATAAATACTAGATATAAAAAGAAGGCACAAAAGACATGTAAGTATGTAGCTTTTATAAACGGAACATTCTCTTGTTGTGCATAATCAGTGTATATGTGAGAAAGAACATATATTTAGGACTTTAGGTCTTAGTTGGACCGTTCCCTACTTGTTGGTTCGTTTCCTATTTTCTCGGTTTCCTGGTTGTTAGGTAGTTTCCTTGTTCTGTGGCCCAGGTACTTTTATATAACAGTTATCCATGATGTGAATACAAAAAGCGTTTTTCCTTCATATATTTTCCTAGGGTTTGCACCACTGTTCACCACGACATATAATATTCATGAAAAAACAAACATTGAATAACGAATGGAATCTTACCTGCATGCTGCTCGACAAAATGTTGGTTTGACTTCCCTCTTCTGGGTCCCAGCTCTCATCCTGTGGATAAGCATACATTTTACAAGGCACATTCAAATGGAAACCAAAATATTCCATTTTCAGAGATTTATCAAATCAAACATACCTGAACAAGTTTTTCCAACTGTTCCATCAATGTTTTCTCCTCTAGTTCCACATACACCATTAAATGCGACTCAAAACAAGAGGATATAATGCCACGGAAGTTGAACTGCAAGAAACCAAAAAAATCGTGGAAAACAATGAGATACAGTCGAGAACTAAAAGCAAACGAAATATGATAACAGGGCCAAACTTCTTACACCAGCTCCAGGCACAGATGAATCTTTATGGCCATCCTTCTGCAAAAGAAATTAGAAAAATAGTTAGGAGACAAGACAAAAAAGGAATCATCAAGGTCATACAGATTTAGCATCCCACGCACTAGCTCGGTTCCAGGACCACCGTGGATTGCAAGCTTCTTTTCATACTTTTTCCGAATGTCAGACACAATTTGGTTGTTTCTCTTTCCTTCATCTATTTCTTCGGTCTCATTACCCACATTTTGATACTCAGAACTACCTGATCCTCCACCAAACTTCTCAGCCAATTCCTCTTCAAACTCAATGGTCCTTTGTAGCGCCTGCAAGAAGTTATCACCAGTGAATACAAAAGTAGATCGAGAGAACCGACTCTACAAGTCATTTCATAGATTACTTCTATGCATGATAAAAAATTACCTCCATTCAAGAGGTCAGTACAATCATTATGCAATCAAAACTCGAAATAATTATCAAGGAAGCATTGCAATCATCAGCTCTTTTAAAAGATATCATACAAGCCTTCCAATTCCATTTGTCATGTCAAAATAGCTATTCAGTGATACCAAATTCAATGTGGTTGTAAAAAATTACATAGATTTAACCGAAAAAAGAAAACCTTAAGATAGATACACAACCTAAAACCACCAGGCATAGTCATTCCGCTCTCCTCCAGGGAGTTTGAACAATATGTTAACTGTGAAACCAGAAAATTACACGGAGAAAAATAATATCAAGATAAATATGGGATTTACACATAGAAGGAGAATGTTTGTAGAATTCATCAGTCCACACGTTACATTCATCAATTGAAACAGGGGAATCTCCCAGTGAACAACCACTATGAGGACCTTGACTGTACTCTATAGATGACGGTGACACAACTGTGATCCAGAGAAGGCATCTTAGGTACATTTATAAATACTGGATCTTCAAATTCCTAGCAGACTTGAATCCAAAATTTTCAGATTTACAAGGTCAAATTTTGAGCAGGGATGCTCCCACTGGCAGACCAGGTGCAAAGAAAAATCCTACGTAAAGGTTTTGTCATGAGTAAGAATTCCAAAATCCCAATGGGAACTTCCTTCAGATAATGATCGTACAATGTAAATAGGGCTGAGTTCTACTCGAAATGGAAGTGGACCTCTAAAGCTAGACGCTTTCTCTCATATTCCCTCCTAAAAAGGCACTATAAGGATAGCGCTCAGTAATTCTACAAATTCTTCTCAGAACTCATGAGCCATCGACCACATGACTGATGCTCCATCTATTTTCATTTCTTACTCCTAGGCCAAGGGCAAGAAACATGACTATTCTTGTCAAGTCCTTTGCCGTAATTGCTGTAAAGGACACCACACACTAGGACGATCAGCTGATCTTACCCTTTGCTCTTGGTTCTACTAGCAACTCGACAAAATACAACATATGCCTGTTTTCCTAATTATTGTGCAGGCCTTGGAAACGATGCAAATGAATAAGAGTGATCATGAAGTTGGTGGGCCCTACTGTTTTGTACTTAAAGGAAGATCAGCTCTTCAAATATTGGTATCTAATTAAAACCAGTCACATAAAATGGCTTCTTAAAGAAACTCCAACAATGACAGTAACAAACATGAATGCCAAAAAAATCAATTCCATGAAATTTAAATACCATCAGTAATGCAGAAACATCTGGCTTTTCTTTGAGATTGTCGAGGATTTCCATGAGTTGAGCCCTGAAAATGTTTTTAGCAATAACTCTGCTGAAAACATATAATAAAAAGAAATGGAACCATGTACATGCATCTGTTTCATGAGCACTGGAAAATTCCCCATACATCAGAAACACTACACCACGATAGAGCAGGTCCTACTAATCCAAGTACTGAAAATTAATCTAATCTACTCTTTTGACCTGTCACATACATAGTTACACACTTTATTATCCAGAAAGCCTCGAACTTTTAAAAATATGCATGTTTCCCTCATGGCAGATGATTCATAGGTTGACAAAAAGCTTGGGGTTCCATTCCAGTATCGAATTGTACGTTTACACCGACCATAAACCATTTAACATGGATGTTCTCATATAACAAATATCATAAAAGATTGACAAAGAACCAATTTTCCAAAAATTCCCTTCATCCTTTTATAAGATGTGAACAGGTTGGATGCAAGCATAAACATAGTTGGATGATCAAATGAACCAACTTGATGCTGAATTGTAACTGATAATAAAAAGCGTACATAACTACAAACTAAACGTATTCAAATCAATATAAATTTATGCGTCTAAAGACTCATTTTTTTCGTGAGGTCCGACTGGGAAGCTAGCAGGAGTTTGGTCAAATTATTTTGAGAAACTCCTAGTTCTTTGTTTCCTATTGAAAGCTTTTTGGTCGAGTAGACTTCAATCAATGATATATGAGGAAATAAAAGATGATTGCAATGAGTAGTCAGAAGTTCAAATGTCCTACAGAGTACATCTCCCAAAAAATATGGTAATCTCAAATCATATTTTAAATTCCAGCTCTACATGGACAGGTGAAATGCTCGGAACATCCAGAAAAGGAAAACTGCGACTGACTTCAAAGATGAATAAGCCTCGTTTATAGATGAACCATGGAATCCTACCAATGTGAGAATAATGCCTAAATGCATACTAACTGTAATCTTTAGCCATCAAAGAGGGGATGGGGGATAGGGAGATTATTGTCAAGTGTCAAGTATGTCCCGGTCAGTAGAATCAACCAGAGATGGGATGAAAAAAAGACATAAAGGCAACTTAGCTCAAATAGTTTATTGTTGAATGTAGTAACCTGATTTAGAACCACTAGCAATACACTATCAAGAAAGTTAACCTGTATTTGAAAGACCTCTTGAAAGTAATGAGTTCGTGCAAATTTTGCTCAAGAAAAAGTGTAACTTCTAAAAGCTCTTGCAGAATATGCAAAGCAAACAGGCGACACCGGTTACACAAGATTTATAAATCCAATCTAGGTCCTGATTTAGTCATCAAGCAGGTCATAGATGATGAAGATTTCTTAAAAAAAAAGCCACCCAAATAACTAAAAATAGCTCCACAGCTGCATAGTTTCACACCCATCATAGTGGTGATATACTTTTCTAAAAGAAATATGAAAAATATAGGACAAAGATAACAATGCAATGTCATGGTTGATGATAACAAACCTTGTCAACTTACAAAACTGTATGCAAAGAAGATAATCAATGTGCCAAGCAGGTGGAAAAATTTTCCAAATATCCTCATTGGTTCGCAGCCTACGCTTAATCCATGCATATCTCCGTTCGGCTTTGTCTAATTTAGCCAGTTCTGAAGGTTTAAAAAATAGCAAAGATAAATGCAACACCAATTATGATAAACAGGACTAGAAAAGTTGCAATCAACAGAGTCATTAGTAACTTCAACTAGAGGCCAACTTTTGGGAAGCTACAGAACCACTCCACTCCGTTTTCTCAACAAAAGAACCTAACAATTTTCAGGACCTCATTTGTATAGAGATACATCTCCAACTTAAGAAAAAGAAATTAAAATGAAAGGAATGGAACAAGCAGACATGCAATTATGTATAAAAAGATTTTTAGACATCAAATAAAAAGTTCACAACTATCAAGCATTATATCTGACCCGCTCCTTCAAAAATCTGCCGGTAAGAAGTCAGTTCTTTGTTGCAAAAGTTCCTAACGAGCTCTTCCTTAACAGATGGTTCTAGCACATCAACAACCAAGCAGGCATCTGATAATTGCTGCAGCAAGTTGCTTTCCTCTGACTCCTTACCAGTTCCAAGGCTGCATAGAAAAGGATATCACAAACTCTTAGGAAAAAAAGCATGAAAAATCTCCAGCGTCTCTCCCCTGAAGGTGCATTGATGACACGATAATAACTAGGATAAGAGATTCCAAGATTAACACGAGGTTGTGGCACTTCCATAATTTCACTCTAATAAGGCCACATTGTTTCAAGTAACTTATTCTCTTATTTACCAGGTTAACAGCCAAGAAATTCTAAACTAATCAATCATCAACATGTAAGGATTTCATGGATCAGTGAAATCACATAAACAAGAGAAAGTAAATTCAAGTTGAAGAATTTCCTTCCAAATATTTGACAACTTCACAATTAAAAAGGAAGACACATTTTGTTTAAGCTTTAAAAAGAGGATACACATTGCATCTCATTGCTATAATAGCAACAGCTAACATAATAGAAAGCCAAATATTGAACGTGTACATACAGTGGTTACGTCCAACCATCCTTTTAGCATACAAACTCTTCTTCCAACTAGCCAAACCTTACTACAGAATTGCATAGGGAAAGTATTATTCATTATCTATTCATGGAATTCTGTATTATTAACATTATGCTGAAAAGTGTACTTATAATGTTCCAAGTGTTTAATCATGCAAATATCAATGAATTCCTGAGAAATCGATATGACATTTCCCTAATAACAACAGATTTTGACTGCTGCAAGGTCCTATCTGTTAATTGTATTGGCCAAAAAGAACAAAGAATTCAGTAGAAGCTTAACAAATTCAAAGGAACTGACGAAAAGTCTCCAATGGATTTGCAACTCAGAGAAGATATTGAACAAAATAAAAAAGTCGTCATGCAAGCATGTAATTTCTTTTCTTGAAAAAACGTACCTTGAAAAATCTGAGAATACATGAGACTTGAGAATCTGCTTGATGTTCTTGAATTTCTCCCGTAGCTCACTTATCTTTGGAATGTCACGGTAAGCTTCAAAGTGACTGCATAGTTGGTTTACTGCCTGAAAATGTGTTACAAGCTATATATGAGCAATTGTGAACGATTTCTAATTTTTTTTTGACGATGGTAATATACTAGATTACTACTGTTTTCTTGAAAAAGAATGAAGAACAGGATCAACATGACTTCTAAGTACTCTATCAAAAGACCATTGAACACAACTCTAGAATGCACCAACATTATGTCTTTATTTTAAAAAAGTTTCAACATTCTTCCTCCCGTTCATTTGAAAACTTTCCACACAAAAACTTTGCCAGTGGCGCCATATTATTTGAGTACCCCGTGTTTTTTTCACTGTGAAAACAATTATTTCAGCTCCATGGTGATGCTGCATATATCACATAAGAATGAGAATCCTCCATGTAGATGATTTAAAGAATCTAACTTATATCATAAGTTACTGGTAATACTGTGCATATATATATAAAGATTTGCCCCTTCATATGTAAGTGATCATCCATGTAAAACACGCCACAATAGCAGATTCTCACTCTTTCATCTATAACAGTCATCATAGAAGACCAATACAGTAGGAAATGGAAGCAATGAGGAAGACTCATAGTTCAATCAGTTAATGTGTTTAATACAACCAAGGTGGTGGATCCCTTGCTTACTGCCAAGGTGATGAGTAAAGATGCAAAGCATAATTTAATCTGAACAATTCAAAATTCATTTTTAAAATAATAATTAAAAATATGCTAATTAATGAATAAGGAAAGGCATATGTACATAATGCTAAAATGAAACAAATGCCCATAATTGATTCAAATTACTCTTTCTGAGTTATATAAAAATAATTAAAATTTTCATTTAATTATTTTCAATCTAGATTGCGTAAAAAAATTAAGTAGAAATAATGCAATGGTCTGCCGTCACATTAATGCGTTTTGATAGTCATTGTGAATCAATTTATTAGTGGTCACGTTACTAATTCGAGGACAGCTGAATTTTGGACACGGACAGGAGCTGCCACAGCTGAAGTTAGCTATCGCAGTTTACTAATCGTGAAAATGAGACAACCACAACTGCCTAAGTGGCCAAAGGATCTATCTGACACCAAGGCAGTTGAAGCAAGTCCAACCTTTGGATTCTCGCCTAGGCAACTTGGACGCGTTTTAGCATTTGACCCACCTCTTCACCAAAGAGACCTCTAAGATAATGTCAGTGCAATTATACAAGCATCCTTGGTAGGCTTCCACTTGTTTAATTTCCTCAGGATTTTTTGTATGCTTTCAGCACTCACCTCCTTCCACTATCATACATTCAACTGCCATTGTGACACCAATGTTATCCAGTATCTTGAAGAGTACATAAAATTGTTCCTAAAGAGTTACATTCTACACCACAGGACTTTCCAGAACAGAGTCATCTTTACATCTTCTTGATAAATCTACATAGAGTACAGTACTACACATGTAGCTGATATGATACCTATTCACAACTTAAAAACATTAATTGTGTTACTAGATTCCAAGCCTCGCAGCTTGGTTCTCCACTGGCACTCACATTTGATCGCTGCCAATCATAGCCCATTATCTTTGTTCCCAATTTCCACAGCCACTCACATTTCAAGGTCAACTTGAGTAACGAATGCTGATGATGTCATTCCATTGTCTACCTATTTAGACAATTTTCTCTGATTTATATCATTCCATTGTCACTGTATCAGCTTAAAAGAAAATATTCATGCCATATAGGGGGCATATTCATGCCCTTGTGGCACACTGATATATTATATATCCATTTATCATTCTTTAATTCACCATCCTATGAGCAATGGGGTTGAAAGCAGATTATCTTCCATGTAGTTCCCATGAGAAAAACGTTTTGGATGGACAGGCTTCATGATGCTTGTTAAAAGATATGCCAGAATAAACCTTGTTAATAGTTGTAGCTCAACTACTGGTTCTGTCATGTAACGGAGGACTGTACACTCTAGATACATTGGATCTCTCCTGCTAGCATGCAGATATCTTTTTCTTCTTTGGAGTTACCTATGATGATAGTTTTATGAAGAATAAGTTATATTGGATCCCGTAATGCCCGGAAAATGCAGCTGGCAGAGATATTCAATGCGTCTAATCTACATGCAATTCAGGCCAATGTACACAAAAAAAGGGCAAATGGAAAGGATAAAACCCTGATTCGGATGAAGCTCATGGACTGTGTATCGCTCAATTAAAAAAAGATTGACAATACTAGAACGAGTTTTCGTAACCACGACGATAATTCACAAGAATGGAGGTTGAAGAGTGTATATACATAAGTTTGAAGAGCGGAATCAAAAAACCAATTAAAAAAAAAGGTTTTAATCCATCTACTCAGATGACCCATTACATAAAATCATACCTAAATGTCTAGAAATAATGGCATTTAAAGCATAAATACTTACATTTAATTTTTAATTTTATTTCCTGAAACCCATTGTTTCACATATACCTATCATTATCCCATTTTAGAAATGTTCCTACTTCTTTTATTATTTAAAACTGTATTCATTACCAGTTCAATGCATATTTGCATCTCCCATGATTGTATGGGAGCGCATTCTGCCAAAAAAATTGCATTCTCTGACATTGTGTCTGCTTGAGTGTGACCATTCACTGAAGCAGTGGTAAGGCATCAAATGTCCTGTGGATCTTCATTGTCATCCTTAAATGGGAACAGAAAATTCACTATTGTTTAGGGGTGGGGCATTGTGAAGCTAATTATTCTGGGTTTCAATCATATGGTCCCCCTTACAGGGAACATGGACTCTCTAAAAGCGAAAATTTTGATCTAAAGTATCTCATTGGTGGCCATTTTTACTTGATCAGTATGCTTTTTTATGACACAACGAGAGGACAGCTAATAGTTTATATGAACCATTAAAATAATTTTACTTGAGAGATCATTGTCATCAGGTATTTGATAAAGATTTCCACACAAACTAAGCCCTTGTGAGGAAAGGTATAGCATACCAGCATATAATAGTGGATTATAGGAGGCAGAAAGGTTCAGTGGCTTATCCTATATGGTACTCTTTGAGACATTTAGGATGTATTGTAGAGAGGGAAATCTTTTCTATATGCTCTTTAGGACGTGAGTTTCGAGAAAGAATGACTTCGTTCCTTAATTTTGAGGAAGATGGAGTATTAGAACGGTCTGTACTGTCAGGTATGGACCATTAAAAAATGTACACATTTGTTTTCTGAACTCATTTACCACATAACTGTCTACTGCTATCACTTTTTACATTTAATGCATAATGTACCACCCACTTAAAAAAAAACAAACTGCTGGATGATGATGAGAGAGAATGGATCATTTGTTCCAAAAAACATGCATTTCATAAATAGCATTTCAAGAAAATGGAGGCAGCAATACATCGTGGGGGTGGTAACGTGTAGACGGTGATTACTCCAAGGAGACCTGATGCATGCTGGCTTGTCAGATATTCTAGGAGTTTAAACAAAAGAACGAAATCTTCTAGTGTAGACGTGATGATACTCAGGAATGGGTCGGACGAAAGCAATTTCATATTATAAACAAAAATGCAAGATAGGATAATCAATCTCAACTTAGAATGAATGCGAGTACAAAGAAGAATTTTAATGATGGAATCGTAACATTTTACATTTTAAAATAAATTGAATTATCATCCATCTTTATAAGGATGACTCCTGACATACCAGGTGATGCCAGGCATAGTTGGTACCGGAACGAAAATAAGAAAAATACGAGAAGACAATGACTGGTACACAAATATCCATGCCCGATTTTCTGATATGAATAACACGTTTAATACCTAATCTATAAGTTTCGAAGTTAGCAAAGAAAAGATAAAATAACGTGAGACCTAACCTCCAACTGTGCAGCCGCCTCCCGGTATTGTCGTTTTGAAGCCATCACTTGAAGTTGTTCCACAGCCGATACTACACAAGGAAAGAAAAGTTAGCGCCTCTGATAGATTTGAACTTCTTGTATATCAAATCTAGACGCAGAATTAGAAATAGTTAGGAAACGAAGATAACTCAATATCGATCCACATAAAATGAAAATCCTTAGGAATGTAAAATTGGGCAATGTAACAAGAGACCAACAGACAAGCAACATGGAAATTGCACAAAAGAGAGGAGCATATCATGCGATAAACAATAGAAAAGTAGAACTATGCTCAAAAGTTGAGAGAGTTCCCAATATTGGTAGATGATGCTGATAAACTAGTGAGATAAATAGAAAAACTATAAGAGTATCAACTCTGATCCATATGTTTTGAAAGAAAACGTGAGTTAACCTCTATCCAGAATTATTCCCATTATAACCCCGTTTTCCACTAAGAAATGAATAAAACCTCTTTATTTACCCGATGACCCTTCCTTGGGTGACACAAAGAAGAAAAATCTCAGTCCCCATCACAGTATACTTACAAAAGCATGACTACTAACCCAGATATACCACATGAAAAAATATTCCACGAGACCACCAAAGACACCTTTTATTAGGAGAATGACACTATTGACAAAATATCAGACCAATGTGTCGGAATTATTAGTAATTTTTTCTTCCTTAGCGTAGAACCAGTTTGGTTCGGTCTGGCCCAGTTCAAGCCCTGTACTGTGGGTCTGGTATAAGCACCAGACACAAGTGTTAAGCAAAGTGTGAGAGTTTAATTAGAAAAGGTTTCAGCGCTTGACTCAATGGAAAAAGAAATTGAATAACTATAACTCTGATCGTATTGAATGAGCTTCAGATTCAATTCAAGGGGGAATCCTGATCCTCCCGTAAAGTTAAACATTAGAAAGTAAGATGCAAAACACTCCACACCCTCTCTTTTTGAGAATAGGCCAATAGATCTAGGAGGGAGTTTTTAACGGAGGAAGACTAGTTTGTACAAGAAGCTGATCTTAAGGTACCTTTTCTAATTAAAAATCTGAGATACCTCTGCATAATGTTTTTTAAAATATAAAGCACCTTTTTTTCTACTCATTTTCTAAGGCCCCAATACAGCCAACACGGTAAATATAATACCCAAATCCAACAGAATAGTTTATGTCTTGGAAAGCCACGGCAACTGCAGATTGCAGCAACGCAACTATTGATTTGAGAAGTAAGGCATAAGCACGAAAATAGTGCAACTGCCTGTACAAAAACTTTACTGTATCTCAATAAACTACAAATGTCAAATGACAAGAAAGAAAGATACTAGAAAAAATGAAGCAACTGCCTCCGACAAACACGGATTGTTAGAATATTTATATATTAACTAATTCAAATGTAAGCATCTAATCATAAACATGAGCCTACTTCACTCATTGCCAATTAGTTGCGATTTGGACGTCCTAATAACTATATATCATCGCTTATAGTTGCCCTTGGACAATATAAATCTCATTCATGTTGTCAACGTGATAAAATCCGAAGGTCCAGTTTGCACATAAGGACACATTAGAATAGTCTCCATATTGTTTGCTTTGAAAAGAAAATATGAGGCTATAAAGATGAGACTACTCCGCTCATTGCTAACCAATTTGCAGTTGGATGCATCAGTAATTTCTCTAAGGAGAAGTAGTACGAAATTAACAAGGAGAATGTTTGATGCTAGATAACGTGGAGATCTGTGGCCTTCTAACCACTAAATAACTAACCGAGCATTGTAAGACGGTGGAGAGCAGTTATTGTTGTAGTGATATGTTTCTTTGCAAAGTCCAGCTTTTTTATGTCCCGACAAATTTCTTGGACCATTGCTTCACTTTGCTCAGCCTTTGTTTTTATTTCTCGTATCTTATTCATAAGCTCCTGAGAGTCAGGGGAAAAAGTTTAGCCAAAGAACAATTGAAGAGGAAGAGGGAAGTGGCACTAAATTTAACTTCTCCGCATCCAGTATTCAGCATTCAAGCTAACCACATGCATGACGCATATACTAGCACTGAAGCATCGCCGTGGTTTGGGATCCAACCTGAACAGCATGGGTAGCGGCAGCAAGGTCATCCTTTGCCTTTGCTCCAGATTTACTCTGTGAAAGTAGTTTTATGACATAAGCAACATAATGGGATACTTAACAGCTCAAAATACAGTTAATAACCTCAAATATGAAAAATTGTCATCATAACTTTTTGCAACTTTATGAAACTGGAGAAGAGACAACACCCGAGCATCAGAAAATTCAGGTTTTCCTCAATACCTGTCGGTGAACAGCTGCAAATATTTCTGCATCCACACGACGTATCTCACCATGGATTTTCTGCATGAGAGGCTCCACACCTGATAATGAGGCCTCTGAGGAAAGGAAAAGGAAAGTGGTCATATCCTCTGATACAATCAGTAGATCAATATTCAAGAATTTAATGCATGAGAGTCGCATGTGAGTGACTTGCAAGAATTATGTTAACATTGCACAGATTATTTGCACGAACATTGCTACATATTTTCTCCATTCTGCTACCAAATTTACTTCATACATGAAAATCGTTCACAGCTCCAATACTTAATTTTTCTAGGAAACCAAAAATATTTATTCCAGATGATATTCGTAATTTTAACATCATTCCTGACACCCTATTTTTCCAAATATTGAAATTATATAAATATCTCTACAACGTCAGTCAGTAGTCTATCTGAAAATAATATGGAAATTCTCCATAGCAACCAAATTATAAAACATTAAATACAAAAAGGTAGCCATAAGGGTGTAGACTGACCTGTTGGGAACATCTGGTTTATGTACTCCAAAGCACTTGACTTGTCCATCTTTACCTGACCGCTTCTGGCAGACTTCAAAGGTCTGAAATTTAAAATCAAAAGGACTAACCATGGTAAAATGATTTCTGATATGAAAGACAAATTTTGATCCAATTAAGGTCAGCCATTTACGACATAGGAATTTCAAGACTGGGATACATTATGGCAGTATGCATCTCATCTTTTAAGATAAATTCATTTAAGACACAAATTAAATGAACTTCTGCCGACACTTAATTTGAGACTGACAAACCACGGGCACTGTTTTTTTTGGAGAAGGGCAAGGGCAACATGAATTAACCGGTGAAATCCATTCAGAAGGATGAAACCTCCCGATTTTTGGGCAGTTTGAGCCTTTCTGGAAGGATACACGGTCCCTCATTTCAGCACATCTCTCAAAGAATAAGAGGCTAACTGTTTTCTCCAACGTTTCTTCGATGAAGTTTTTGAATTCTATTAATGCAATGATCCCACAATTCAAAAAAAAAGAATAATGCGGGTTATCAGAACATTTTGCTTGATTCTTGATCATCACTCTCATGAAAACCAATGTTTTCTAGAGCATGAGGTGAAATGACGAAAACTCCGTAAGCATATGTGGTACGAGATGTATGGAATCCAAGTTAATGGAAATTACATTAACGAGAAAAACAACTATGCAGCATCAACAAAAGAATGCCGTGAATAAGGAATAAAGAAAGAATTCCAAAATTCTGAAGGGAAAAACGAACTCTTAGCTTCGATTTGGATCAAGGTTTCCTCACCGCTATCAATCGGGTTATGGACACCCTATCTCCCTTCCTCCACCATCAGCCCACTCTTCCTCAACCTCATATGTTCCACCGTCGCCTTGGTATCCTCCCCCCTGCCCACCCTGCCTCGACAACCGCCGTCCAGATCCGCTGTCCTCGCCGCCCGCTATGAACCTTATGCCGTCCTGCGCATTTCCGAACCCTCTCGGCCCCGCTGGAAGGAAGCAAGCGCAGCTCCTTCTTCACTCAACCCCCCGGACTGTCGACAGCCGCCCTGGATCTTACCAGCTGCTCGACCAGTCCCCCCCACCCTCACGAGTGCTGCCCGGCCCGCTCACGCTCGTCGCCGGCCCCTCGTCGCCTCCGACCGCCATAGACACCCTCCAGCATCTGGCGCAGTTCCCCCGTCCCGACCGACTCCTCTCCGTTCTGCCCCGGGATCGCCAGATCTCCTTCTTTTCTGCTTAGCCCCTCACCACATGAATCCTTACCCCACTACCCCTCCCTTCGTCCCATGTAATCCTTACCCCCCTCCTCTCCTCAATCACCGATCTCTCTCTCTCTTCTCTGGGAACCATTTAAAAAACGATTTTTTTTATTTTTTTCCTTCCGGAATAATATAGTTAATGAGAATTCACCCTATAATTTCTTCCGGATGGCAACGAAAATTACCCGGAAAAAATAAATTTACTCCATTTTCCATTTTTCATTTTTTTCACGGAGATCATCATCTTAAACCATGGGAAGGAGGAGCTTTTCATTCCATTTTATTCATGGCACAGAGCCGAGGAGCGCATCAGACTGCATCAGTGGGGCCGGGGGGAAAGGAGTGGGGTGGTGAAAATTCCAAGTTTATTCGCGCATGGGTCATCGTCTCTCCTCCGGCGGCGATCAAGAACCTGTGCAACCCAGGAGAGCAGAGGCGTTCGTCAGAAGGAAGGTCACGAAGAGGGAGGAGGAAGGAGGAACAGAGAAGGAAGACAGCTACGTACTGCAGCGGACGGGGCTGAGGCTGCAGGAGGAGGGGAGGCTGGTGAGGATGTTGAGAGTGCTGCAAAGGCAGGACCTTTCGACGCTGCCGAGCGCCGAGCAGCACTGCGAGTTGGGCGCGGAGGCCCCCGGCAGGACGAACGGTGCGCACGCCGCCAGGCTGGTGATGTCGTCGGTGCAGTTTCCGGCGCCCATGGCCGTCTTGGTCTGGGCCGCCAGGCAGAGCAGCGCCACTGCCATCAGCAGCAGCGGCGGCGGCGCCGCCGCCGCCGCCGCCGCCGCCCGGCGGGGGACGGGGGAGCTCCTCTGCACGGCTGCCATGGAGATGGGGATGGAGAAAGCTCGGCGGGATCGGGAGGAGCAGCCCACGGGGCTACTCTTATGGTGGTGGAGCTCTCGGGGGATCGGAGCTTGCGGCGCGTGACCCAACTAACGCCCCCGAGGAATCCCTCTGAGCTAGGACGCCGGCGGAGGTGATTCATCCCTGCCCTGTGAGCTCCCCAACTCTCTAACCCTCCCTCTCCACACGCTGGGGGGATGAACAGGAAAAGACTCCGGTGGTGTTCTTGCGTTATATCATGGTGGGAATCATCCTTCTCCAGGATATTTACCTTCCATTGAAAGTATCCTCCCCGCTGTGGCAGAAACATTGCCATCTGCTGATCGCTGATAGAACTGTAGCACTCTTAATAGACGTGTAAAAGGCGGAAAATTGAAAAGGTAACCGACCATGAAAATAATTCATTTAAATTTCGTGAGACGGCCGAGGAAATCTTCCTTAGCTCCGGGAATTGGGTGATTGGCATGCCTCTCTCTTTCTCTCTGGATTAATACATACGTTTGTACATCTTGAGATGATCAAATATTTAATCTAAAAATCTATTTTTTATGCGCCGTCGATACGAATGAAGAGCCGACACGCGCGGGAATCGGAGACCAAATTCTGCGGTGGTCGGAGATGGCAACCTGTCGGCATTTGGGTCGCATCTGCTCTGCCTCTGGGGAAGCCCCAGTACGGCCAGTCTACACGTGGGAGGGGTCTGTTCAACTTTTGGACGGTGCGATCTGTTGGGTCTATGATGCCGCCATCTCACCTACCATCTCACTGTCGGCACAGGAGCACGATTTGTCCCTAGGGAGAAGGAAGGTTGGGAGAGACCACTTCCTCCACACTTGTCTGTCCGTCTGAGCTCTCTCTCTCTCTCTCTCTCTCTCTCTCTCTCTCTCTCTCTCAACAAATAGCAAACACAACGACCCTCCTCCCCCCTGCCAGAGCTCATCGTGAGAAGTGGCTGCCGCGGCGGCCCTTTTCTGTGCCTTCTATTCCATCGGCGTACGCGTGAGTCACAGTTCGATTCCTTCTTCTTCTGCTTCTCTTTCATGCGTTCCTGCGATCGATCCTCTGATCAAGGCTGCGAGAATCTATCTCTCTCCTGTTTATTTGGGTCTCAATTCTTGGTGGTGTTATATATGCGTTCTGTTTCTTGTTCTCCATCAGTCGAAAAGTTTGTTACTCCGTTCTTCTCTATTAGGCGAAGATGGAGAAGAACAGGGTATCTTGGTAATCTCCTGGGACGACGGGGGTGTGTGAGACTCTCTCGCTAGTCTGCATTGATTGCACCAGACCGAGAGGGATTGCCTTCCTGGAGCCGGCTGAAACTGTTATAACGTGAAACAGGAAACTGTTATAACGTGCCCTCTGAGTTGGGTTCTCATGGCGTCTCTCCCATTCAGCTCGCGCTCCTCATTTGTGTTCTTCCGATGCGACAGTAAATAGTTTTGTGTCCCGGCAAGGAAGTTGACTCCCGAATCCGGAATCAAGATGTTTCTAGTGGGATGAATTCTGCTCTACTAGACTTTCTTCGAATTGACCATGGCGCATTTATACGAGGAAAACGATGCAACCATGGTGTATACCGATTTTAGGAAATTATGGTTTAGTCTTTGTCATCTTAAAATGGCTTCTTAAAACTCCAATCATACAGCATTCATGGTTCTGGATTTAACCAAGTACCTGAACGATTACATCTCGTCATCGTATTACAATTCAAAGACACAACGAGAAATTTCTCAAGAAAATCCTCTTCTTCCGCCACCAGAAGAATGCCCCCCATCCCTGCTCCATCTCCTGCCCCTTACCCTCCACACTGCTATCCTGAGTACATCTCAGATAACAGCCTGAAGCCTTTGAATATATGCGACTCCAGACTAATGACCGGGTCGACCACATGTCCATTTCAATGGGACTCAGGGACCCGATATCAGGACCTTAGGAAATAAACTATAGAACTTTGAGTTTATTGGGATTTGGTTTCTCACATTAGAAAGAGAACTTAGTCTATGCTGATCAACTTAGATAAACGATGTTCAAGTGGCGTTGCCCAAAATCCCCTGAAGATCAGGATGCAGAGGGAGACACATAAACTGACTTGAACATCGTTTATCTCATTTCCTATCTCAGCTGCTATCATTTCCTCTTTCTAATGTGTATTGGTTTTAAATTTAGTTTTCAAGAAATTCCCCATCAGTCACACACGGGAAAACAATGCCGCGAAACCGTCACGTGCATGTGAATACTGAAGTTCGTCATTCTGGGAGCATGAGTGTCACGTCACAATTGGCATTGGATGAAGCTGTGGCTAAAGCTTTGCAGTACTACGAAAACAAGCTTGCTGTTGCCTCCACAAGTGAATCTCCTGCTGCAGAAGATTACGGTTAGGGTTTTCATTATATCTGGAATATATACATAAATATATGTTACTCCTTCTGGATGATACATGTATGGTACTTATGTGATTTAGTGAAAATATAGACAGATTATCTCATGTATTTATCCATTAATATTTCCTTCCTTTTTTTTTCTTTTTTCTTTTTTTGCATCACCCCTTGCTGTCAAGCTTAAGTGAAATGGGCACTCAGAACTTTCCCTGTGTGGATATTCTAGAACACCATTAACATTCCATTTCTGATAGAAAGCGACATATTGTACAATTCCTTTACTATCATATCCATGCTGAAACTAGGCTCTCGTGCAATTTTATCTCTCTATTATCCTCTTAGGTTTTGATTTTATGACTTTGATTGTTCATATAGCGTTGATCCCAGTACTGATCCCAATTTGCATTTGATTCTTCCAGGAAGATCATCAAATGCCACAAATGGCAATACAGCTTCTACGATCACATCTGATCTGGTGAATTTTTTATTGTGCATTATTTATCTGTCATTTAAGAGTTTACATTTAATATCCTTATATTATCTGCATCTGCATGTTCTTTCCAGGCCACCAGGCAAGATGATATTGATCCTGATGACATGAATTATGAGGTGCTCTTAGACAGCATGAATTTTTCTTTCGTAATTTTTGTTCTTCCTCTTGCTAGTTATATATTTTTTGATGCTATTTTTTGTTGTGAAAATGCCAGAATGAGGCTTTTAAATTAATCACCGATGAATTTTCATATTTTCCAGTGGATTCGCGTCGGTTGTTCTTGCACCAGAAGTGGGTTATTGGGATCTCGATTTGGGGTTCTGGGAATTCAAGCATTTCCTCAGTAGCTATAAATGTGAAACAGACAAGTAATCATTATCGACGCTGTCCAAAGTTGCAGTTCTAAACGGTCTTAAAAAAAGTGGGAACTCCCGATACACTGCTGATCTTATTTTTAGATGGTTTTTTTTTCTCTTGATCAAGGAGAATCCTGCACCGTGGACATGTCCCTCAGTAATATATAGCCTCATTATTTTCTACCTAAAATGACGGAATATTTTTTATTGAAGAATAACTACAGCCCAAGAACATTCATGGAAACTCAGATTGAAATGCACGAAGATCTCAGAGTGGTTCGTCCTGGGTCTGATCAAATTTCTGGCCTTATCCTTTCATTGTAGTAGAGGACGTTTTCCTGCATGTTGATTTACAACAAATAATACAACTTCTTGAGCCATGGTATTACCGTGAATTTTAGCACCCATCTCCGTTAAATCCCCGACTTCGTTAAAAAAACATCAATTTGGTCGTTCTTTTGCAGTTTTTTTTTTCAAAAAAAATGGTTAAAAAGAGGATCAAAAGTGCAAACAGCTTGACGCACTATCTCCCTTCAACCCTTTGAACGAAATGTGACAGAAGGAAGGAAAATCTATGGATCAACCCCGATGTCTCCACCCTGTAGGAACTAGGAAATTTTGAGGGTGGAGGAAGATGATTCTCGCCAAAATATGAACCCAAAAAGTGTCATTTTCATACAAATTTGGACACAAAATCATGAAAAGGTATTAATTCTGGTAGCCTTTCTGCTGTTTTTAATCAGGAAAATGTGGGTAACCAACCGATAATTGAGGACAAGACAATCCGATACTGTGTCCAAAACCAAAACAGTGGTGATCCGTAATGAGTAAGTGCGGCAGTACAATAGCGTGAAGTAATCCCCCATTCCCCAAAGTCACTCCATCTAGGTCGGTGAATCTTATACAGTGTCAGACTAAAATAATAGGAGCTCGAATGGCAAGCCTAGCAACAGCACTGAAGGTGGTGGTGTCTGCTGTCAAGTAGCTTGTTGCGTCTGGTCAACTCTCCTTGCCCTTCAAGTCAACAGGGCTTTCCAGATAGAAGACATTTTTGATTATGTACTTTGAACCGAAAAGTTAAAACGTTATCGGATCAGAAAGTTTCTCTAAATAGATGAATTTGAACTTTCCTCTCGTTTCAAAATGGTACTAATTTGAGGCTTGTTTGATCACATCAAATGGTAATACTGAGCCTTCAACTTTTTTGGGTAAAATTTAATTCATATCGCGGTTAGTAATATCCTGATCTCAGTTCAAAACAGCTTGGTGCACTAGGAGTCGTTCTACCCTTTATATTGTTTTGTTCTTCATTTTGGGGATGTAAATCGATTCCTGTCCTCACTTCCTAGGAGTTACAAGCACTAGGGGAAGCCATTGGCGCTGAAACCAGGGGATTATCGGATGAGCTTATTTCCTTCTTGACACCTTCCATGTACGCGACAGGATTCGTCTTAAGAGATGAACATGCTGAGTAAGAATTTATTTATGTTATCACTACACTTTTTCTTGCTTGTCAAACTATTGAAATGTTTTTAACTAAAAAAAAATACTTTCCTTATTTAATATTAGTCACAGTTTCGTTCAAAATATGATGTTTTGATGATTCGTTTCCGTGTCTAGATGCTGAGATTTTTCCTGCGAGGAATTTTTATCTTTGGCAGAAATCAAGCTCGCATTCAGGCAGAAAAGAGAGAGCGGTAATGGGGCGGGGGGTGCCAATGGATCAAGATACTATTTGCCTAAAGAAGTGGCATTGGGCTCGAGAGTGTGGCAAAGCTGGCAAATGCTTCTCTTCTCAAGGAGGATTAGCCCGCCATGAAGTGATGAAATTAGACCGTTGCTGGGGAGAATGGTGCTTGCAGATCAAATAGGAAGGTTTTATACATAAAGGGTACCCACCATAAGAAGAGAAAAAGTATGCGAAGAGGGCCACTGAAATCTACAGTCTTTGCTTTTTTGGGGACGATTATGTCAGGCTAAGGAAGTTTAATGTGAATAGTTGGCCTTTCTTTCCTAAAGTAGGCAGTGGATGGTGTCACTCTTTATTTACAGGCAGGAGGGAAATGCTGCAGGAAGTTTGTGCAGATCTAAACGGGTGGACAGCCGGACATTTAAGGAAACGTTGTCTATAAGTTGCCCAGTGTGAGTGTTGGGTGTTGCAAGAAGTGAAGAAGAGCCATCAGGTAGGTAGGTGCCCTCGATTTGGCATAAGGTGTTGCAGGAGGTGAAGAAAAGGATGAGGAAAGAGGCCTAGATTGGGCATAAGATGCCGCAAAGGGGAAGAAAATAATGAAAGGTAGCCTCTGCTGGGCAGAGAGTATTGCCAGAGGGAGAGAAAGGAGCGAGGAGAGTAGCCCTCATAGGGGGGGGGAGGATATGGTGCTGCAAGGGGCCAAGAAAAGAATGAGGAAAGGGGCTACTTTCCTCATCCAGAACGGCCATTTCCTTCTATGTATTTAATTGTGGTAATTATTGCAGAGAGACCTAAACAAGGAAATCTATTTGCTTCCATGGGCATCCAATACGCCGTGGCTAAAACTGAAAGGCAGCTCCTTCCATGTTCTTATTTTCTCGATCAAAAAAATGTTATAAAAAAATATTAAATGGGTTTTTTAATTAATTTGACCTTAGAAAAAAATGATGATGCACGAGATTATCATCTCATAATGGCTGCGAGTTAGTGTCGGGTCTCTTTTTTTTTCTTTTTTTACTTATTAGTGTTTTTTTTATTTTTCGGCTTGCTTCAAGCCCTTTGGGGCATCATCATCTCAAACTTTTTCTGCACTCAGATGCGTAATCTGCTGCATGCCTTATGAAGACCAAGCGGCGCTGATCACATTGCCTTGCGAACATCACTACCATTCCGATTGCATCAGGCCGTGGCTCAAAATTAATAAGGTGGGCTGCCCTGATTTTATAGATTCCCTTCAGTTGCTACGATTACTCTTGCTCATTGACTTTGATCGGCGAGTTCGATTCTTGATGCAATTCCTTCTAAGAATCTTCTGGCGCATGAACTGAGCTCCGAGCATAATAATCAGACAGCAGATGACACTCGAGTAGGATGATAGCGAGCATGAACTGTTTGAGATTTCTGAGGCTCCGGATTTGCAGGGCCGGGTGGGCTGCCCTGAATTATATTTTTTTCTGCCGTCATTGAATTGCACGTGAGATCCCAGTCTTAAGGTCAATCTCTGGAAAGTCAGTTGACTTTTGTTTCTGCATCAGGCATGCCCTATTTGCGGCGAGGAGGTATTCGGGTAGTTGCCGGGGCTAGGCGCAAAAAGATGTGGGTCGGAGTCTAAAAATCCGAGCTTGATGCCGAAGAAAGTTGCTCGATCGGGAGAGGTACTCGATATTTCTCCCTGACCAACGTGCATGATGATGTGGTTGCGATTTCAGATTTTATTTTTTCTGTCGCTATCTCTATCTTTACTCTCTTCCGAGAGCATCTTATTTTACTAAAGTTTGGATGGTCAGAAGAATTGCCACCGAGAGAGAGAGAGAGAGAGATGATGACGGACTTGGCTTTCATGGAATATTTTACATGGATGACTAGAGGATAGCTTGACAGAAAGACTGAAAGAGAGAGAGAGAGAGAGAATGCGATCTCCAGGGCTTACGTGGCATATTTTACATGGATAACTACGAGGGCCGAGCAGATAGTGTAGATTTTTGTTGGGATGCTTTGCATGGATAGATAAACTAGGAACGGGCAGTGGGGGAGAGAGAGAGAGAGAGAGATAAAGGGATTAATTAGAATCAACTCTCATCAAAGTAATACCCATAACCAGAAGGGCTTATTTCTAAGACGTATATAATATCTACAGGGCGGTAGAGCATAACACACGCTCGATTATTCATTTTACAATAACCAGGAATAAAATTTACTCGATAATAATAAATAATAAACTAAATTTACCCTTTTATCATTTTCTTAGTAATAAAAATCAGTTGATTTACTTGGGTTTTCGTGCTTTCCGTTGATTAAAAAATATTTTATATACTTTATGGTATGACGCGGAATTATTTTTGAAAAAGAGTGGGATATTTTGAGCTGGTCCTATGGGGGTGGCTGATCCTACGGCGGAAGAAGAATCCCCGTCGCCCACGTCAGGGGTAGAATGGGAATCATTCCCGGGAAGATTATTTCGCGTGATCCTTCATGTAGGGCGTGGGCAGCACCGTGACGTCGGCCCCTAAAGGGCAATCATGGAATTATCACGTCTCTCTCTCTCTCTTTCTCTGTAGGTAGTCGGCGTACTGGGAAGAGCCTCCTCCTTCCTCCACACCCCCCCCCCCCAACATAGCTTCGCGTTTTTCTCTCCCATCGCTGTTCCTGCGACTCTCTCTGTCTGTCTATCTGTCTGACCGCGGTGTGCGGCGGTGGCGGCGGCGGGGAGGCGAACGGATGCGGTCCTAAGGAGGCTGTCCGTCTGCCTCTCCTCCTCCTCCGGCGGCGGCGGTGGCGAGGAGGGGTAGAGATGGTCGGAGTCGGTGGCTGATTGGGGGGCGTCGATCTTGTTCCCTTGTTTCCCTGGTTTGGATTGGATTCTTCCATCGGGCTATGGGCGCAGGGGCGTCCAGCATGGTGGGGCCGGACGGCGATGGCCCGGGGCTCGGGGACCTGCCGGAGGCCTGCGTCGCCGCCGTCCTCGTGTACCTCGATCCGCCGGATATCTGCCGGGTGGCCCGGCTGAATCGGGCCTTCCGTGGGGCGGCGTCGGCGGACTACGTGTGGGAATCGAAGTTGCCGAGCAATTACGCGTACCTGTTGGAGAAGCTCGCCGGCGAGGACGGCGCAACCGACGATCGCCGCTGCGGGGGCAAGAGGATCTGCAAGAAGGAGATCTACGCCAGGCTCTGCAAGCCGAATCCCTTCGACGGGGGCACCAAGGTAGATCGCCTTCGCCCTTTCATCATCATCAGCATCATCTCCCCCCCGCCCTCCATCACAGTGGAGAAACACTGCGTGCGCGAGAGAATTGGGGATTCCCGCCGGGGAAGATTCAATCGCAGATTATTTCAGTCGCTCTTCGAGGTTTTATTATATTTATGGTGGAGATATCTGCTTCTAACCGGATTCGGATTCCGACCTTCGTCGGATGCAGATTCTCTGGCTGGAGAAGTGGAAGGGCGGCGTCTGCCTGTCGATATCTTCCAAGGCGCTGTCGATCACAGGGATTGATGATCGGCGATATTGGAACTACATCCCAACGGAGGAATCTAGGTGAATTCTTGTTCCCGTCCTCGTTCTACTACCTTTTTTGCTGCATTCCCGAATCAATATGAAGATGGGATCATCAATTGACCCCTGTGTGTTCCACGATCATGTCGGATGCGCCGTTCTTCCCCCGTTCTGCTGCAGATTCTAGAAACAAGGGAAAAAACTTCTGCGGAAGAAAGTAGGCGAATCCTTGGATGATTTGGTCAACGTTGGAGGAAAAATTTATTAGCAGGCCCTTCACTCTACACAATCGATGGATCAACTTGGCAGGAAAAATTCTCTGAATATTCAGCCATCTTGCTTTCTTGTGTTCTCAGCAGAGCGATTGAGGTCTGAAGATGATCCCTTTCGACCTCATGGCTCTCTCTTTCGCATCTGGTACTAGGGTACAGACTCGGAGATCCAATCTTTTGGTCGGTTCTCTCTCCTCTACTTTTTACGAACTCTAACCAACAGGTTAAGAAGCCAGAACATAGTCTGGTCTGTTCTCTCCTATCACCAAGAACATGTTGAACATCCCCCCAAACGGGTCGGCGGTGGATTCATAATATTTGGATATTCAGCATCTGCTCTTCCCATCTGCATCAATCCTAACCCAAAAATTCAGAATTAGGAGAGAGCAGAGAAAGCTGACCGCAAGGCGTGCGTGTATTGTTGTTTTTGGTGGTGGTTGGAACAGGTTCCAGACAGTGGCGTACCTGCAGCAGATATGGTGGTTCGAGGTGGAGGGGGAGATCGAGTTCTGCTTCCCGGCGGGGGACTACGAGGTCTTCTTCCGCCTGCAGCTGGGGCGCACCTGCCGGCGGCTCGGTCGGCGGGTCTGCAACGCGGAGCACATCCATGGCTGGGACGTGAAGCCGGTGCGCTTCCAGCTGCGGGGCCCCGACGGGGAGCACGCCGCCGCGCTCTTCTATCTGGTAGAGCCCGGCAGCTGGGTCTACTACCGCGCCGGCGGGTTCACGGCGGAGGGCGGCGGCGCCACGAAGCTCGGGTTCTCCATGCGGCAGATCGACTGCACCCACACCAAGGGCGGCCTTTGCGTCGACTCCGTCCTCATCTGCCCCACCGGCCTCGTCCCTCGCCATGGAGGGGTCTGCCCTGCCACGTGACCCGCCACGTGCGCGTCTCCTGGGGATGGGTGGCAATGATGTGGTACGTTACCGCGTGGACGGTCGTGCCTGTAAATTGAGGTTGTCGTTACCGTTTCACCCCGTAGGCCATTTTTTGTTTTTTTCTTTAGTTTATACCCATTACTACTATTACTATTAATAAATATATTATTATTATTATTTTAGGTTGATAAGGGAAATTAAAATTTTCTCGGAGCCAGGCCGCAGGCCTTATTATGCTTGCCCGTCATTAGATAATACATAGGACGTGGCGAGATTTCCAGCTTCAGCTAACTAGCTTTTTGGATCATTTGCTGACGTGGAATAGGCTAACAGGAAGAGAGAGAGAGAGAGAGGAGGGCGGGGTAGGGAGGGAGGTCATCTTGTCTTGTGTTCTACGTTGGTGGGTGGGGACGGAATAGGGTCGGCAGCTTCCCGCGCTGAAGCCGGTGGAGGAGCCTCTTTGAGCCGGGGACGTCCATCTCGGAGTGCCTCTTTAGGTAGCCGATGGCGCCATGAGAAGCCATCGCCTTCCTGGACCGCTTGCTGGCGGAGGAGAGCGCCAGGAGGCAGGCGACGGCGTGCTTCGCCGCCGTGTTCGGCGGTGCTGGGTCGAGCAGACGCACCAGGCTCGGCACGCTCCGGGGGTCCTTCTTCAACCCCCTGGCATTGGGGAGGTGCGCCATCAGGCTAGCCATGGCCTGCGCGGCGGCCTCCCTCGCTTCACCGGTCTTGGAACCCAACATGGGGACCAGGAGGGAGATGCAGCCGGCTTCCCCCGCGAACCTCTTCATCTCTGGGGAGGAGCTGGAGACCTCGCAGAGGGCGGCGGCGGCGGCCTGCTGCGCCGCCGGGGAGCCAACCCGCAGAACGTGGGCCAGCCGCGGGAGCAGGGCTAGGGAGATGAGCTCCCCCGGGGGGACCAGCCCGACCAGGTTTCTTAGGGCCCCGACGGCGGCAGGCTCCGGCGGCGACGGCGAGTCGAGGAAGGCCAACAGACACCCGACTCCGCCCTCCGCCGCGACGGCTCTCCTGAGGGCGTCGTTGCCGGCGGTGAGGTGTTGCAGGCACTCGGCGGCGTACTCTTTGGCGTGCGGAACCGTGCCACGGCGGAGAAGGTCGAGCATCGCTCCGATCAGACCTCCCCGGGCGAGATCATGCCGCAACTCGGAGACGGCGGAGAGGTTCTTCAGAGCGCCGGCAGCCGCCACCACCTGGGAGACGGAGTTCCCCGCCGTCCCGCAGATCTCCATCAGCGGGGCGGCGCCACCGTACCCGACGATGGAGCGCGCGGCGGCGGTCGACGCGGAAAGTCGCTGGAGCGAGATCACCGCCTTCTCTCTGCAGACGCGGCCGCCGCCCCCCGACTCCGCCATCCTGATCAGCGGCGGGATCACCCCTTCCGAGACCAGCAGCTCCCCGGAGCTCCCCGACTCCGCCAGCAGGCAGATCACCGCCGCCGTCTTCTCCCTGATCAGGGTAGGAACGGCGGGGGACAGGAGCTGTATCAGGGCCGCCGCGTTGCTGCGGATGAGCACGGCGGTGACACTCTTATCGTCGGCGGTCGCCGCCTCTAGCAGGCCCTCCACGGCGCGATGCTTCGCCTCCGCGCGGCCAATGTGGAGTCTGGCCAGCAGTTCCCGCACGTCGGGCTCCGCCGGCGTCCCCAGCTCCGTCGCCGGGAGGAGGGTGAATTCTCCGAGGACGCCGGTCTTTACGAGAAGTTTGCAGTCCCTCAGATTCAGCTCCAACTTGCTCGAGAGGGAGTCGAGGTCGCTCTGCATCTGCAACTTGCCGACGACGCGCGGAGGGTCGTCAGCTGCGCCGCCGTGGCGTCCGGCCAGCTCGATCACCTCCCCCAGGGTGGCGCAGACGGACTGAAGCTGCTCCCGGCACAGAGCGATCTTGGCGAAGCAGGGGTGGCTGGAGAGGTCAGAGAGGCAAGCGGGGAGGCGCTCGACCATGGAGGTTATCACCCTCCACCGTCCGCCGAAGCCCCTCGCCTCCCTCGCCCTCTGGAGTGCAGTGGGAACAAGTTCGCGGGCCTGTGACAGCCACCACTCGGCGGAGCCAGCATCTCCGGCGACGGGCTCCTCGGGCTTCTCCGCCATGGCTGCCTCCTGAAACAGATTGAACGATGAATGAGTGCTGCTAGAGAGTGAGAGAGAGACAGAGAGAGATGAGACTTCAGCACGGAGAGAGGAATCGATGTCACGGAGAAAGCACCGTTAGGGATGGATGCTCAGATCAAGCCAGAAGGGCGTCGCGGAGATGACAACCTAAATGGCGGAACGAATCAGGGTTTGGTGAGGCAGCTCTGTCAGAGCTCCTGGTGAAGGAAGGGGGCCGGTCAACCAAACCATAGCGAGAGAGAGAGAGAGAGAGAGAGAGAGAGAGAGAGAGTGCAGTGTCCGTCAGCCCACCCTGTGCCGTTCTTTATCTTCCGGAGCTTTCGGTGTCTCGGGGGGAGGGAACAGAGTTAGTACGTACTCCTCATTCAGATAAAAACTGCCATATTTCGACCTTTATGAAATATTATTATTTAAAATTTCAAAACTCCACTACTGAATGGATCACCCAATTTAAATCAAATTCCTTGACGTAGTGCCATAATATTGATATATATAACTAAAATAAACAACGTACCCATAAAATGATGAAGCATATGGGGAAATAGATCTCCACGAAGACTGGGAAAGGAATATTTGAACAGAATGAGGTGTATCTTCGAAAACGCTTTCCCCAGCCGCAAGCCCTCCGGCAGCTTTGGAACCTGACAGAGCCAAGAGAACGGTTCTCCGGCGAGCTTAGGAGACCGGGGGCAAGCAGCCCTCCACATACCGCTACCTACCTACCTACCAGCTGGTGTCTCTCTCCATCTCCTACCCCGACGAGTGGGAGGACAGGAAGAAGAAGAAGAAGAAGCTTGGAGTGTGATCTAATTCATAGAAATTGGGGGGGATCGAGGTCTCCATCTCGATCTCCTCCGACCCCTGAACTCAATCCGAAATCATCACAGCACGGCACGGTGGGAGAGGGAGCAGGGAGGATGAGGGGAGAAAAGAGCGCGGCTTCTTTTTCAATGGAGGAGAGTACCTTTCAATGGAAGCAAAGAGCGGAGGGGAGGACCTTCTCACCAGCCGTCGCGTGAAAAGAAAGCGCCTACGCTCGCCGATCGCATCCCTCTCCCCTTTCCCCAAATCACTCCTCCTCTTCCCCTCTCTTCCAGAAGCTAGCCGGAAGCGCCTACGTCGTGGAAGCGCGACACAGGAAGCTCTTCCTACCTTCCTCTTCTTCTTCTTCTTCTTCTTCTTCTTCTTCTTCTTCTTCTTCTTCTTCTTCTTCTTCTTCTTCTTCTTCCTCCTCCTCCTCCTCCTCCTCCTCCTCCTCCTCCTCCTCCAGATCCCGATCGAGTTGCAGAGATGGAACCAGACAGACGAGCCGGAGACGACGACGAGAGAAGGAAGAACAAACCGCAGTCAGTGGCTGCCCGTGGCATTGGTTAAAATCCCCGCGCGGGGGCGAGGGGACCGGGGGTTTTAATATAACTTTCCCATTTTCTCTTTCAGTTCCCATTTGACCTGCTTCCGTATAATCGGGATCGGACGGCGGGGAGTCCTCCAGATCGGGCGGCGGTCAGCTTGTAGTTTCAAACCCCGCCTGCAGCGTGCCCTCTTCCTGTCGCTGAGACCCGGCACCCCGGGGCACGTGCCGCCGACAGGCATGTACACTGGCATCATAATCGTATCTTAAATCGAGAATATTGAGGGATAAATAACTAACAGAAAATCATCAAGGTCTTTTAAAAAAGGAAAAATATATACGGCTCCGCGCGAGAAACCCGTCCGGCCAAGAAGTCAACGGTCAGCGTTTCCCACCGCCGGTACGGACGACCGGCCCTCCTCAACCATCGATTTGAAGGTTCTCTCCGCCGGCCGTGATGTAGAGCTCGAACCAGACACCTTCGTATCAGGCTCCGCCGTGATGAAGGACGGCGCTGAAAAGGTCCGGTGGTCGCTACCGATTCCTCTCCACCCCCAATCTCCCCCGGAAGAGCTCATCAGCTTTCATTCCCGTGCTCGTCTGTCTCTGCGATGCAGGCCGCCATTGTGGAGCTCAAGGTCTCCATGCACTGCAAAGCTTGCGAGAGATCGGTCCTCCATTCCCTGCGTTCTCTCAAAGGTGCAAGTTAAGGACATAGAGAAGATGAAGTAGAAGAAGAAGAGATGAGTGATCGGTCGTGTTGATTCTCCTTGTTGTTGTTGTTGTTGTTGTTCTTCTTCTTCTTCTTCTTCTTCCTCATTTTTGCAGGCGTGGAGGGGATCTCCACGGACATGAACACGCAGACGGCCGTCGTGAAGGGCCGAGTTGACCCACAGAAGATCTTGAAGACACTCAAGAAGCGGACGGGCAGGAGAGTCGAAATCGTGACGAAGAGGAAGGGCGACGAAACTGGCGACAACGTCGGCGGCGGCGGGGCGGTGTCTTCCTCGTCGGGCGGCTCTCAAGGCCTCGACTGCGGCCGTCCGACGGGCGGCGATTCCGGCCACGAGCTGCTCGTCAGCGTCGACATGTTCAGCGACGAGAATCCGAACGCCTGCTGCATCACGTGAGTTTGGTCAACAGGAACAGATCGTGCTCCATCCAACAAGTAAAGCTACAATATCTTGATCCCCACAATCGTGACAAAAAGAGGGTGAGGTGATGTGAAGTGAGGTACTACTCCGCGACCGCTGCCGCAGGAACACCGGAAGAAGTCGCCGGTAATCGCCGGTTCCCTCCCGTTATGTACAGTGTTGGTGGGAGACCAGAAGAAGAAAGAGCTCCCTCACACTCAGATGGAAAAACTCCAGAGGGACACGTCGGACTCGACGATCTCCACGTCGTCCCAGTGGGTCCCGTCCTGGGCCCACAGCTGGATATCCGGCGGCGAAGGCATCCTCGAGCTCCCCAGAACTCCAAAATCCGCAGAATACTCCGCCGCCTCCGCCGTCGCTGCCGGGGCCGCCGCCGCAACCGTCTCTGCTTGGGCGGCGCCGTCCTCCTCCTCCGGGGGGCGGAAGGCCTCGACGGCGAGGGCGGCGGCCTGGCGGATGTCCGCGGCGGAGGCCGATGTGGGGAGGGCGGGGAGCCGCCAAGCGGAGTCGGCGAAGTTCAGGCAGGCGGAGCGGCCGCGAAGGGCCATCGCCGCTACATCGTGAGCGCGCGCCGCCATCTCCGCCGTGGGGAAGGTACCCAGCCAGATGCGCGACTTCTTCCTCGGCTCCCGCACCTCGCAGACCCACTTGCCGCCGCTGCGCCGCCGCACACCCTTGTACACTGGGTGGCGAGTCTCCGTGAACTTGGTTCTCCCCGCCGGCCGCTTCGGCGGCGCCAAGGACACCGTGGCGTAGCGCTCCTCGTCCACCCCCGCCGCCGCCGGCTGGAGGGTCTTGTCGGTGGCGCCGCCGTTCATCGTCTCAATCGTACTGCAGGGAGGGGGAGTGGCGGGAGGGAGAGTGCTTGGTTCGGATGGGAGAGGAGAGAGAGAGAGAGTGTGAGGAATATAAATGGGGGGACGTGTCGCTCTCTACGCGGCACGCGGATTGCCAGTTGGATCCTGGTGGGGACAGAGAAAGCCAGCTGTAAATAACGAGCCCCAGCAGAAGCGAGATGAAAGCCGTCGAAGAACGCGGTTCAAGGCTGGCTAGGTGGCCCGGCGGGCCCCGATTTCTGTGGGGCCCAATAACGTAGACGCTGGGTCAGCTCTTTGGGCATCGTCTGATACAAATCATTGGACACGTGGGCGCACTATGGTTCATTTAAAGACTCCGATGTTTCATTATGGCTAATCAAGGGATTAGAACTCCGGGTCAACGCATGCGGATTGCCAAATAAGTTATGTGGCTCTTCCGTTAATGCTGGAATATAATTGTTTTCTTGGTAAAGATCGGTCGTACTTTGTCGGGAATTATTCCTTCAAGAAATAGCCATCAGAGAGAGAAGGGGTCTAAACTAGAAGCCAGCAACAGCCGCCACCGGCGAAAGCATGATCGGTCCAGCTGGCACCTCCTTTCCACCCCCGAGTAAACGCGTTAGGGGGGCGGCGTTTCGTGACCTCACCGAAGCCCACCATCTCCGAATGCCGAGTAGGCCCGCAGTATTGACACGCAGGGAATTATACGTCTGACTCTCCATGGTGCTGCCCGGAATTCGTAAACATGGAAAACTAAATATTTTTCATTGAAAACTGGGTTTTGGGTATTATCTTTTAACAATAAAATATTAACATAAATAAATAAAATGGCTATGAAATTTAGAAGTTACGTAAATTCGAGTAAGTTCCTTATTGGCTGTAAGAATAATTAATGTAAATCCTATAGCCATTTATTGGGTAATTGGTCGCATTTCTTAGGACACAGAAAATGCCCAAATAATTGAGTAGGTCAACGGGTAGGGAGACCATACATTCGAGCTCTGACTCCGAGTGGATGTTTGGAAATATGCACCGTATTCTCTAATTTCGTTTAATATGATTCTATCACGATTTTATAAAGTTGTGGTGAATAATTAGGGGATATAACGGTAGAAAGATATATATATATATATATATATAGCGAGAGAGAGAGAGAGAGACTGGTCCCTTCGCTTCCCAAGAGATTAGCGTCGAAATTATGACGCTTAATTATGCATTTTAATTATAACATATCTTGACCGTCGGCTGGCGCCAAAAAGAAGAGTATGTGTGGGGCCCGGAATAGTCGTTGACCGATCAGGTGGCCACCTCGGCGGGTCGTTCCGTTATAGCGCAGCGTCGTTGGTGTGGGTGGGGGAACTCTCGACAGCGACTGCACTTCCCAGCTCTGTGAGAGAGCCAACGGGGGGACGAGCGAGGAGGGGCCAGAAGGGCGGGAAAACGGGCTCTCCCCCCTCCTCCCTCTCTCTCCTCTGCCGCCGCCTCATCCGTCCCCTGGAGCGCTTTGCGAAACCCTAGCTCCGCTGTCGCCACGCAGGTACCTGCATTGCTCCCGCAGGGGGGGTTGAGTGAACGGATCTGCGGACTTTGGACGCCGAAGTGTTATATTCGCGTGTTTGTTGTGTTGTCGTCTGTGCCTGGGATTGAAGACTGCGTTTTGCCGGGCGTTGTAGTAGACGTATTGTCGGCTCGTTGTTGTTTCCTCGTGGTGGATGTTCACCGTGCGACTGGTACGGTCGACTTTGAGGGGGGGTAGGGTGAATGCCTGAAGTGAGGGTTGCTTTCTGTCCCGTATTCCGCCTGTTCAATTGGATATGGATGTGGATGTGCAGATCGGCTTTTGCGTACTCTTGCTCTGCTTTTATTCAGCTGGCCGTACATTTCGTTTTTAATTAGTCGACTCTTCTCCTTGCACTGTTCGATCAGTTACCTGATGTTTGTTTCCTTTTCTTTGGCTGTTTTTGATGTTTGCTTGCCTGATTTCTTCTTGTCCACGCAGATTAAGGCGGCTCCATCTGCACCTAATGGACCAGGTAAGTATGACTGCTCTCATTTCATGTTGTCATGTAATCGGCGGGGTTTCTGTCAGCCTTCTCCATTCAGGTAGCATTTGGTGAACAGTATGAGAAGGTCGAGAAGATTGGGGAGGGGACTTATGGCGTGGTGTACAAAGCTCGCGACCGCCTGACTAATGAGACCATAGCTCTAAAGAAGATCAGGTTAGACCAGGAGGACGAGGGTGTTCCAAGCACTGCTATCCGAGAGATCTCCCTCTTGAAAGAAATGCAGCATGGCAACATAGTCAGGTTCTATTTATTATAGTATATTTTATTTCCTTGCGTTCTCTACTGTGTAAAAGAGTTCCTTGCTGAGCACACTTACCCGTGGGATTTTTTTTTTACTCTTTTCTAAATTTAAACTATTGAAGATCTTCTCATCTAAGTCAAACGCGAAGTATTTGAAACCATTTCTGCTGACGATCTCTTGATAATTCGTATGAAACAAGATGATTCGCTGTCACACTAATCATATCGACTCAACTTGCTCTAAAATTGACGAGTTTGCTTGGTCCTCTGCTGATGACTTTGATTTGGTTGCTGCATTTTCTCTATTCGGATATGATCTGTTTGGGTCGAGTGAATTTGATGATATTTTTATTGATAGTTTTCTACTCATCATGTTTCTTTTAGTTTCTAGTTCAGAGCATTGTTATCACTATCATGACTGCTATGATCTGTCCTATTGATTGTAATGCATTATGCAAAACAGACGATATGAAACTGATAAAATAAATATGTTGATGCCGCTTAAGGTTGTGGTTGATGGCTTAGGGATAGGCTTTTGTCAAGTTTGCTCATTGGGGAAATCTACAATTTGCACGCATTTATAAGAAATGATGTATTTTTAAACGTGTTATTTCATGTATATTGCTAAGATTCCTTCACTGTAAAAGGAGGCATAATGTTACTATCTGTTTTATCATTAAAGCTCCTTGTCTGAAATGATGCGTAATTCTGTGGGCCAGATGGAAGCTACTGTGCATGAGAGAATTGGGCTGAACAAAGAGTTTTGATAAATGTTTTTTCAAGTGGTCCTCCCAGGTTCGTTTTGATTAAAAGAAAAATGTAAAACCATGTGAGTCAAGGCAGGTTACCCTCGAACTTGTATACTAAAGTAGCATTATGTTTGAACCTGTTGACTTGAGAAAAGTGAACCTGTTGTGCTCGGTATACTGTGTTCTTTCCTGTGCTGAATAGGGTACTCCTCTTTACTCTAGTTTGGCTTCCCTAGAAACTCGAGCGATTGCCTCACTTAGTTCCATTCTTGGTCCAATTCTTTTAAACGAATTCCCCAGAATATCCAAAATTCATGGCTCGACATCTCTCTATTATTAACTTCCTTCTGTATGATGAGCAGTTTCAATGGTCTATCAGTGGGTGATGTAAAATTTGATAACAAGAGGGGATTTCCTCATGTCATGGACCATGTAATGGTTTGACTGCATCTTATTGATTAGGACTTTTGAGTTTGCTGCTTACCTCTCATGGTGTTCGTTCTTTCCTTTTCACGTTTCTTTGGTGATACCTACCTAGTTTTTGGTCGTGCACAAGTCCTGGATGAAATGATGGAAAATGGTTTTTTGGTTGTAAGTATTATTTGCCATGAGTGAAACATTCATGATGTCTAGTCGAATGTAAAGATTGACAATTCAGTATTATTTCCCCACTTTTTCATCAGGAAAAGAAGAAGGAACCTTCCCAAATTCTGTAGCCAGTATTCTTCTATTCTAAACTAATTTTCTTTCAATCAGCTTTATTTTCTACTTGTTCCAGTCCTCTTTTCTGATTATTGTGGATTCTAGGAAGTGTAATGTCTCCTTCTGCTCCTAGACTTATCCTTTAATCCACAGTAGATGAATTAAAAGGATAATTTATTACTTTTACCATGCAGAGATTGATGATTCCTTTTGGGGTGTAATCGGGTTATGAATTTGGTAGCCCACGGTTTCATCATCATAAGGATAACATTAAGATTAATGGTCCTATCTTTTGGTTTTTTTGTTTGTGCGCAAACGTGCTTGTCTACTCGTGTGTACGTGTGTGCTTGGATGGATCGGATTTGCGTGTCTGTGCATGTGCACGTATTACCATTTTTCTCCAAACTTCTAACAATGATAGCTGTGCCTTCGTATCTGTGGTTGGGGCTGCACATTCAAGAGTTGGCATACATGTGTATGCATCTGTGTAAGTGTCTGTTCTTCGTGTATGCATCTGTGTACATGTGTGTTCTTCAAAAACTCTGGGACAATTATCTTATTTGTGCCGATGCTCACGTTGGTCCTTGGTAGGAATGCTGCAGTAAAAAAATCCATCTTCTTGGAATGTGAATGTCACGTTAGTTTATGCATAACTTTGTGTCTAACTATCCCTGTGTTGGACACGGTCCTCTTCTCTAAATAACTTTAATGTGAGTGTCAATGAAGGTTACATAATCTGTCATGCTTGATGTGTTGTTTTCACAAATTATAATCATGAAGCCGCATGGAAACATTTCCAAAATGCAGGTCGTGCCTAGACAACTCTAAATCTTACAAAGCATCCTGTATGGGTTAATAGTGTCCATTCCTAGGCAGATATATGGTGCCCTAGATTCTTTACGCAAGATCAAATGGTTGCTTCATTGCTCGGGATATTAAGACTGAGAAACACAAAAATCTTCAGAGTTATTCGCACTCATTTTGAACTTTGACGTTGATGACAACCAGCATCGTCCCGAGCAGCCAACTTAAAGATTATTTTTCATAATTTTTTTTTTGGTAGAACATGTTCAATGTGTTCAGATAATCCCCCAATATGAAAGTTTAAAGGGCATTCCAGGTAGTCATTGATTCCGCAGAGAGTCCTCACCTTTTGTGCATGTGCATCGTACACGAGCATTGTTTTCTTCAAGGAGTGTAACCCATTATCGTCTTCTTTATCAAATATCTCATCTTGCGGCATTCTCATTCTGAACTTCTTCAAATCCAAGGAGTTTGCACTTTCTGCTTAAATATTGGTGGGCGATTTCATGCTCCACACTTTTGAAAAGTTAGCATCCTGGAGTGGTATCTCACGGGAGTATTTTTTTCCGGATAACAGGCTGCAAGATGTGGTTCACAGCGAGAAACGGTTATATCTAGTATTTGAGTATCTAGACTTGGACTTGAAGAAGCATATGGATTCCTGTCCAGAACTTACTAGAGACCCACGATTGGTGAAAGTAATTCTTCCTTGTTCAAAATATATTCATGCGTGATTTCGGATTTCTGGCTACTTACCTTCGCTTTCAGTCTCTGAGAAACATGAACATGTGGGCCCTAGGTTCCCAATTTCGTTGGTGTTTCGTTTTTCAGATAATTCTGCAATAATAGGTCATAGTGATCTTCATTTCGCCAGTATTCTCTCACGGTACATCGAACGTTTTGGGTGACAATATCTTTGTCTTCTCGTATAACTCATTGCCATATTGTTCTTTAGTTTCTTTCTCAATGCATGTCTATCTTTTAACCCAAAATACACTAGATTTTCTCCCTTTTTCTGGCCTGAATTAGTTATTGCTTGTCTCGGATGTATGTTTCACTTTTCTGCATAGTCACCGGAAATTCTCATTAAATGCAATAAAATTAAGGATCACCTCTTCCCACTTTGCTTCGCTGTTGCTGTATCCCAGGACGCATTTTCTTGTTCCATCTCATCAGATCACGCCCTCGATTTGTTAATCCGTCTCCCTAAGACGCATTTTCTCGCTCCACTGCATGTTTGCAGACGTTTCTCTATCAGATTCTTCGCGGGATCGCCTACTGCCACTCGCACAGAGTTCTGCATCGGGACTTGAAACCGCAAAATTTGCTGATTGATCGCCGCACCAATGCGCTGAAGCTTGCAGATTTCGGATTGGCTCGGGCGTTTGGAATTCCTGTGCGGACTTTCACTCACGAGGTACTTCCTCACTTAACCTTTCTTCTGGCTTTGCAGTCGTCCTGTACATCTTCTCAGACAGGGGTTTAACCTAGAAAGACATGATTTTTTTTTCCCCTGTTAAATACACTATTAAGGTATGTTTTCTAGTCTGATCAAATGCTTGTTTTTGGAAAATAAATTCTGTTCATGGGCTAAACTGAGTAAGAAATGGAGGAAAAGAAGCTGATAATTTTCTTGTTAAAGCGTTAAGGGTAACCTTACTTTGCAGAGGAAGCAAGTGGTCACTTCTTTGGGTACCAACCCTTTCCATTTCCTTTTCACATATCTGGGGATTCGTTTCCTCCTTCCCCACCACACAACATCGCCTCCTTCCAGTTCTTCAGTTCACCAGATCAGTGAGAACATGAAATCAGATCAAACCAACGGCTCCGGTCGCTAGAGCTTTTGGTGATTTTGGGGAGCTCGTTGCAGGTGGTGACGCTCTGGTACAGGGCCCCGGAGATCCTCCTGGGGTCCCGGCATTACTCTACGCCCGTGGACATGTGGTCGGTGGGGTGCATCTTCGCCGAGATGGTGAACCAGAGACCGCTGTTTCCCGGCGACTCCGAGATCGACGAGCTGTTCAAGATCTTCAGGTGCCCCCTCCCACCGAAGAACTCTTCTCCTTCATCAGCCTCCTCCTCCTCCTCCTCCAAAAGAAAGAAAAAAAAAGGACCCGTTGTGCTTCTCTACCTCGAGCTGACATTCTTCGACCCCCCACTCCAAATGAAGAGTTCTCGGCACCCCAAATGAGGAAACATGGCCGGGTGTCACATCCCTGCCCGACTTCAAGACCGCCTTCCCCAAGTGGCCGCGCAAGGTATAGATTTCGCCTTTTTCGATCTTATTATTTGGTATTAATCCCTATCTCTTTCCTCATTATTTATTATTCACGTTTTCTTTTTTTTGGGTGCCCGAAAGGACCTCGCGGCAGTTGTCCCCACTCTTGATCCAGCAGGGATCGACCTCCTCTCCGTAAGTGCCGTCAATAAATAAATAAATGCATAAACTTCCCGTTAGACTCGACTCATTGGGCGTTATTTTGCGTTGGAGGATGATATATTTATTTGAAGTAGATAGATTATCTATATTACGCTTGGTCTAAAGCCCAGAGAGATCATTTATGCTGACGTGGCTGCATCGGTGCTCGCGAATGCCCAGAAAATGCTGTGCTTGGAGCCGAGTATGAGAATCACGGCTCGGAACGCGCTGGAGCACGAGTATTTCAAAGACATCGGGTTGGTCCCTTGACCGCCGCCAGCCGTCTGCCGCCGTCTTCCTCCCCACTTCCACTACTCTCTATGTATATTGATTGTCCAGGCAGCAAATACTCTCTTTGAGTCGACGTGAGCTCTTAGGACAGACAGCTCCTCTTGGAGCTGCCCTCTAGAATCCCATCTTGCTTGATCCTTGGATGTGGATCAAACCCTCCCCCCCTGTTTCTTCCTCACTTGGACCTCTGTTGACTTTGCCCCCGCTCGTGATCTAAATCTGGGAACTTCCGCCCTTTGTGCCACCACGCGGCAGCCCATCTACAAGCCACCAGGCACCCCCCCCCGCATGCCGTGCCCCCGCCTGACTGCAAAAAACAAACAAACAGTGCTCCCCTCCCCCCCCTTCTCTCTCCTCTCTCTCTCTCTTCTCTCCTCCTCTGTTCTCTCTTTCTCTTGTAAGAGCAGCGGCGGTTAGATGGAGAGCAACGAAGCGGAGGAGCCTCTGATGATGGGACAGGAGAGCGCCGGGACGAGGGGCCCTTGGAGCGGCGACCGCGTGAGGAGCATCGTCTACGCCGGCCTCGACTCCATCGTCACCTCCTTCTCCCTCATCTCCTCCATCTCCGGCGGCCGCCTCTCCTCCGGTACCCTCCCTTTCTCTCCTCTTCCTCTTCCTCCTGTTTTTCTCACGTTGGGTGTTGTTGCAGGGGACGTGGTGGTCCTGGGGTTGGCGAACCTGGTGGCGGACGGGATCGCAATGGGTTTCGGGGACTTCGTGTCCAGCAGCACGGAGAGGGACATGGTCCGCAAGGCCAGGGCCGTCCTCCAGCAGGGCCTCCGCCGCCACATCCGCCCCCAGCTGACCGACCTCCTCCACGCCTACCAGGCCCTCGGCATGGCCACAGCCGACGCCACCACCGTACTCCACCTATACACTTACACTTTACCCTCCTCTTCTTCTACTTGATCACTCACTCTCTTTTCTAGTTACATATGTATATATTTGTGTATATGTGTCATGCACGTGTCTGGAATTAAAATGGGTGGCGGTGGTGTTGGTGACCCTGAGACAGGTGGTGAGCGTGCTGGCTAAGTACGAGGGGATCCTGGTGGACGAGAAGATGAGCCTGGAGAGGGGGATGCTGCCCCCGCGGCAGATGGAGGCGCCGTGGAAGAGCGGGCTGGTTACCTTCCTCTCCTTCGTGGGCTTCGGCAGCGCGCCGCTCCTGGCCTTCGGCCTCCTCCTCCCCTTCGCCGTCCCCCCCGCCGCCCGCTTCCTCGCCGCCTGTCTCCTCGCCGGCGCCGCCCTCTCCCTCCTCGGCGCCGCCAAGGCCCGGCTCTCCGGTCAGAGCCTCCCCCTCTCCGTCGCCGCCACCCTGTTCAACGGCGCCCTCGCCTCCGCCTCCGCCTACACCATCGGCTCTCTCCTCTCCAACCTTCTCCGCCTCGAATAAACAAACATAGAATGTGATACTATGATGCCTTCGATCATGTCTCCTCGGCACATGTTTTTAAGAAATAAATAATAATATATATAATATATATGTGTAGAGTGTCTTCTTTAAACGGGTGTATCTCTAATTTTTCATAACACAAGTATATATTGTACCTCGTCATACCATTTTATTTGTGCGGAGCGAGCGAGCCCTATAGGAGCGACTAGAGAAGGGCACAGTTGGTATTCCATGGGGCCTAGTTCCACGTGGATAACGGCTCCTAATGTCCACGTAAAGATTCAGAACCGAGGGCGGCCCCACCAAGCTCGGATCCATCACCCCCACGATCTGCAGCGGTGGGTTCACTGGGTCCTGTGATAGATGGAAGCGGACGGATAGACGGCTATGGATTAATCTATTAAAAGATCCAACGGTGGCGGGAGGTCGTTCGCGGAAGTATACTCTGTAACGAGGAGCAGCAAAGCTCTCCCCTCTCCTGGAATCAGATTAGCGTTTGCTGCTTCGGAGCGGGACTCCGATTGCTGTTCCTCCCTCTCCGCCGCCGCTGCACTGTTTATCTTAATTGCGCACGTCGACCGGTCCCTCACATCTTCATCCAGGTTTGCGGAGAGCCACGCCTCAGATCTCGTCGGATCGTCGTTCGGAAGTTCGCCCTCGATTCATAGAAAATGGTGACGTTCACGTCAATTTCCCCTCTCCCACGGCTCGCTCCAGTAGATCCGCCGTTTTTCTTCGTTCCCATATTTCGGAGTAAAATTTTCCGATAATGTTTTTTGATTTACGTCTAGAGCTTGATTTTGATTCTTTCGCACGCTCATTCCTTTCTTGTTATTATTGTTTTTTATCATGGACAGGTGGTTCTCGCGGCCTCCATCGTCAGCAAATCAGGAAAAGGTGCGCCCCCCTACGCGCTGAAGAGTTTCCTTACAGAATTCTTTCGCTTTGATGTGGTTGGATCTAAAGTTTTGTGAGCACCTGTGATGTCGTCATTACTACGATGTCGATTCTCCTTTTTCCACATTTTCTCTTTTTATTGGAATTTTATTCAACTTACTGCGTTCTTCTTCTCTGTTTTCAAAGGGGAGACTCCCTTGAAAATGTAGATGATGGGTCAACTTTCTGGCCTTCTTTTCTTGTACTGTTTTTCTCATAATGCAATCCTGCGAATTGTAGCCACATTATCCTTTTCTCCTTTGACTTGCATGAATTTTTTTCCCCTGCTAAACGATCCTTGTTAGCTCTTTTTCCTAATTTTTCTCCGTTCAGGTCGCTTTATACGTCGGTTTTTTTTCCCCACTTATTATGGCTCAATGATCTCAGGTCTGGTGTTTCGGTTCGTGGTTTGATGGTTTCTCCGTTGTACATATCTGCACGTGTCCTTGCCATTAGCTTCCGCTCCTGAATTTTTCTTCACTCATTAATAAAATATGGAGTTGACCATTACAAGGAGCTTTCACATCTAAAATGCACTGTGTTCAATTTCTTCGTTTTTTTCTTATAAAATGCTCTATTATCATTGTTAACCTCTTTGCACATCGTATGGTTTACTGCAGCACTTGTTTCGAGACAGTTTGTTGACATGTCCCGAATAAGGATAGAAGGTTTATTAGCAGCATTTCCTAAACTGATTGGTACGGGAAAGCAGCACACATATGTTGAGACTGAGAATGTACGCTATGTGTATCAACCAGTTGAAGCTCTCTTCTTGCTACTTGTAACTAACAAGCAGAGCAATATTCTTGAAGATCTGGAAACTCTGAGACTTTTGTCGAAGCTTGTATCCTTTTCGTGTTACCTCGAAATTTTTCACCAATAAATAACAGCGTGGGTATTACGATTATGCATTACCATTGGCTTGCAGAGTTTAGTTCTTGTTTATGCCCCTTGATTACTTCGGTCAGCAGATACTTTTACCTAACAGTGTAGCACTGAAATATTTTCTCCCAGGTTTTTTACGGAAAATGCTAAATTCTTTTGCCACATATGGCAACTTTTTGCTACAACTTGATCTTCTGTCTCTATATTGCTTTACTAAAAATGGGAAGTTATTTGATTTTCAGTAAGTTGTCGTATTCATCTGGGCCTATAGATTTTATTCGACTCATGTAAGCTTTTACATAGGCACAGAAATAAACACTGTCTAAGACTTTTAGGTTTTCTCCTTAACTTCCCTTAGGTACCTGAATATGCTATTTCCCTTGATGAAGATGGCATCTGCAGCTCTGCATTTGATTTAATTTTTGCTTTTGATGAGGCAATTTCTCTTGGACAAAAAGAGAATGTTACTGTTGCACAGGTCAAGCAGTACTGTGAAATGGAGAGTCATGAAGAAAAACTACACAAGCTAGTCATGCAAAGCAAGATCAATGAGACGAAAGATGTTATGAAGCGCAAAGCCAGCGAGATTGATAAAAGCAAGGTATTCTCCTATTTCCGGGACTCATAATGTTTATTTGACATGAGATTGCCTATCAAATTATAGTATGACAATAACATTATTTGTCATGTTATACGGTGCAGATACTTGAAAAATATGATTCTGCAAGGAAATAACTTATATGTTTCTTAATTCCTGAAAGTTGATACCAGGCTCAAAAGATGGGTGTACAAAGAAAAGAAACAGGATGCTTTGAGAATGCTGAATTCGAAATTAATTATGTTCTATTATTGCATCCTATTTTCCCCAAAAATCTTGTTGTGCTTCACTTTTTGTGTGGGTCATACATTTTTTACTTTGTTTTTTTAATTTGGTATTACTACATAGAGTTGAATACGGCTTCAAGGAAAATATGCTGGCAGTTATTGGCACACATATTTCAATTATAAGACTAAAGCTTTGATGCTATAAGACTAAAGTCACTGGTGTCAGAACTGGTTCCTCGTTTTTGCTCCTCCATCTTCCCCAGCCTCTATTACTGGTGACAGTCCCCTACTTCCTGCCCCTTTCCTGTTTTCGTTTTCTACACAAGTTCAGATCCTTGACTACGTGAAGAAGGTAGAATATGGCTGAGTTTACAAGGGTTTAAATTTGCACTGAACTCATCATTGAGTTATATTCTCTTCTCCTTCTTAGCGAAGGATGTATAAATACATCCATAAAATTGGAGAAAGTTATTTATTTATTTTCACTTTTTGAACCCAAGTCTTGTTGTATTGGACAAGTTGGATACGAGTTTATGTTATTTGGTGCGTAATTGGCCCAATTACTCATAATCCAACCTTAGTTGCCTTGATCTGGACCTTAGCTGCACTGAACCTGGTCTCGTTAGATTGGGGCCGAGTAAACATTTGGTTTGGACCGAATTGGCAAATGTATGTTTGAGCTCACTTTTTGTGTAATGAAAAATGTACTTTTTCATTACATTTGGATGGAAAATTACAGTTAAATATTTGATTGGAAGGAATTGGATTTAATTAAGTGATCAGAAAAAAAGAGAACAAGTGTCATTAAATGGGTGGTCACAGCTAGAATTGATAAAAAATGTTCTGTGATGTAAATTTTTTGTTCAACTTTATTTCTAGAATCATTATACCTTGTTCAGAGAAGCATGTTAGATGACGTATCTTTGACTTTATGTTATATATAGCATCCTTGGTTAGATATTTTCTTATTTCCTGGCAAGTTATTTTGTTCTCCACTTGGGGAAAAAAATCCAGTAGTTAGAATGCGGTATGAGGGGTAGCTGCGTTAGTGATTGAGGGCAAGGAGGGTTAATTTTTGGGTTATAGATACTTAGGCACAACAGGGGCTCGTTGTTGATGTTTCCAACGTAAAGTAGAATGACCATTGTGGTGCAATATTGGGATCTTCATATATATTTCTCTTCAGTTTCTGCCTCCTAAAATCTGTGGATATTGGCGCACATTGTCAGCACTATCAAGAGAGCCAGCATTGCATTTACGTACATATAAGCTCTAATGGCAGAAGTTTGTTTCTTTCCTCTTTCTACGACTTCCCAACAATGCGGCATCTTAAAGACCATATTGCATGATCCCATGTACAAAATGGGTTTTGTTAAACTGATTTATGGGTGTCATTCACAAGAACCATTCAGTTATAAGTTTCATTCCCACGCAGGAAGGACCAAAATATTTCTATTCGATATGGGAACGAAGAATGGTCTGTGGCATTGTTATATCAGACTAATCAGGGAAAATATGGAAGGGAAGAGTTGTCGATGAGTTCTATGGCTAATTTGGATGGCAATGGAATTTTCTAGCATAACAAAGGTCAATGCAGGGAATAGCAGTACAGCTGGACTGCATAGTGTTTTTAGTTAATGTATGGACTCAGAGGTAGGATCCTTAGCTATTCTTCTAGATATGACCATTCAGTGTGCCCCTTTTGCATTCATGATCAGAATATTAAACTATTCCTTAAAGATATTGCCAGTCTCCCGCTCACCAAATTTTGAAGTGCAGTGCAAATTAGACATGAAGGACTTGGTGCATAGTAAGCTGTGCTAACTGACCTAAGCTCATGGATCACATTTCATGGTCAGATGACGTTGGGTATCCTTGAATGCTTGGATGAAGGGAGGGATGACTGCATGGAAAGGGAGGACTTTTAATGGTACATGTATGGATGGACCTAAATGATTTAAAGGTGGAGGCTATTGAAGTAACAAATTTTGAGGGGCATAACGAGATGTAATAAAGACCAAGAAAAGAGGATAATTGGGGAAGAAGGGACAAAAGAGGTCGTTTGATGCAGACAATTCCCTGTCTTTAGGGGAAAGGTTGGAGACATTGTGGATGTGTAATTTATTCATGCTATAGGCCTTTCGTTGACTTGAAGGAAGGGAGATTCTGGTTGCTTATCTGGAAAAGGTTTCTTAAAAATGTGGTGGAGGTCAAGACAGGGACGAGAGGGGTTGTCCCCATCAGTGGACTGCAAGACGGGATTACCAGGCAGATTGCACGATTGGAGGTCTCTTTCAGTGATTGGACCACACTGGAAAATATACCTTTTAATGTTTTAGAAAGAGTGCAGGATCTGAGTAAATTTTTTGTTTAGCTAGTTAGTACAACGCGCTATATTCACCCTTGTCTCACTGTAGAACGGGAGTTATGTTGGTTGTATGTCCTGCCTTCTTATTCCTTATCATGACAAAATTATGGCTTCCTAATTTTTCATGATCCCTTGTGATATGCCCCACATTTAAGGAAGATTGAGTCAAACATCTGGAAGGTGGACGTGGCAATAGGGAATCTCATATTGTCTATCTATTTTATCTCAGTTGATACTTTTTACACTATGAGGTTTGTGACTTGGCACATTTGCTGTCATATTAATTGACAATGAATGGAGGTACACTTTTCTTAATGTACAAATTGACAAATACTTGGTCCTCGGGAAGGTGGACGTGGCAATAGGGCTGGTGATCGATTTGTACGTTTCTGAAGAAAACTCTAAACATTCATTTGCGTGGAATAGGAAGATAAACTACCTAAAAAAGGACGTTGAAGGGAACATAAAATGCACCACTAGTTTGTCATATGGGCATAAACTGGAAATTAAGTACCTAGTTTCCTACCTGGAAACTGTCTAGGTATTACATATAGGGTTGGTGTCGGTCAAGATGCGGATAGGAATTTTTTTTCAATCCCTTGTATCTTTTGTTCCGCTGTAGCCAACTCATTTGATGGAAGAATACTTCAATTTTGATACTTTGTCAATGTGCATGGATGGAATTGCATGGTCCGAATATTTTGTATGTGGTGTAGCACTTGGCTGGTTGATCTTATGGATATTCAGTGGGATTTGGATATTTCCCTATGATTTCACCATGGAAAATTAATGGGAATATCATTTGTTACCATCTGCGAAGATAAAGCCTACTGAACTGTCTAGATGGAAACTATGGACCGGCATATTGTAGTGCCATTCGTTCCTTGTCCATTTATCTGAGCCGGCCTGAGTTATTACATTAGTGGAAAGTGAAAATGCATTGTACACTGCAAGAACCTGAAAGAGTCCAATAGTTGTAAAGTTTTTTAGCAATGTCTCATATTACTTTTTGTTTGTGTCACTTCATATCACCTCCACGATCATTGATTTGAAGGTGAGATCAACACTTTTTTCAGGTTTTTTCTCTTTTCTCTCACAATCGTCAATCATTTTTGCGAAACCATGATTTGATGTGATAGCTTGGATAAGATGCTTGGACTTTTTTTCAATCTGAATGATAAGGTCTTATTCTTATTGTGCACCTTGGGAGCACGTTGGGATCCGCGAAGGCAGTCACATGGATGCTCCAGATGCTCCCCGTAGCTTATTCTCTACATATATTAGCCCCATATCATTGAATGATCGATACTTATTGTACTGCCTTATCTTTTTGCCCTTTTTAGCGTGGAAAATCTTCATTCCTTTGCCTAAAACTCATGGAAAGATTGCTCCTAATTGTTCATCTGATTTTATACTTTTCCAGATTGAGAAAAATAGGGGTGACAAAGGAGGTTATTCATCTATATCAAGCTCGGGAAGGATTGATAGCAGCTTCAGTGACATGAGCATCTCCAGTGGTACAACTGGTTTTGGGAGTGCTTCTGGATTTGGTTCAAGTACAGATGTGGATTCATTTTCCAACCAATCAAGAGGTCCAAACTGCTGAACATGCATGTTATTTTCTTCAATCATCTTAGGCCCTTCCTGGCTAACGTGTGGGAGTTTTCTTCTGTGATTAAAGCATCAGAGAGCCAATCCTGCTAGGGTGGCCTGTGTCATATTTATTACTATCTTTACTATCCTATTTTAGGTTAATTGTATCATTAACCCATATGATTCAAGCTGAACAGGCCGAAATGTTGGTAAATAATTCAGCTTGATTATCATGCCTTAAATGATATTTTATCTTTTTTTCTTTCTTTTTTCTGGAGAATTATATTCTTGTCCATTTCAAATCAGTTTTGTACCTTGCCATTCTGACCTCAAATTGAAATAACCAACAGTCGAACTATACTATTGAGGAAAGAAAGTTACTAATTAAATTGATGGAAATTTGAAGTCTAGACATCAATACTAGCTTCTATGGTTAATATCAAACTCAGACCTTGCGTTTAGGAAACTTAATCTTCCTTCTCCAGTGAGGACCTCAGGTTCAAATTAAACTCATGTTTCACTTGGTTTCTTACTTGACTGCAAAGTTAATGCCACATTTGATTTTTTAAAAATAATCAAGAACCTAGATGTCTGCGCTGGATGTTTGTTGATTTTATAAAATGTCCTAGCTATTACTTGCTCCATTGATGTAAATGGAAATTTACATTTTGCGTTGGCAGAATTTGTTTGTTTTTTTTCTGTTTGAAGATCATGCATATATCATTGCAAAATTCCAATGACCATTGTTGAAATGTAATTCACAACTCAGGTAGGTTAATGTGAGAATTTGTGGGTAAAAGCTTCTGTTTTTCTTTTCCTGCATTTACATCTAGTGGTACTGAGATTTGTGCTGGTGAGATTTGACTTGATCAGAAACATAAAATTCTTGACATCATTTTTCTGGGCAAGTCTTGAACAATGAGTCAGATTTGTAAACTTGCAAACATTTGGCTATGAATACTGTTAGGATCCATCCATTGTCTTTTTCCTCAGTCATGCATGTCAGTAACAATGGCATACTAAAGGTAGTCACAAAATATTGAGTGTATCTGGTTCTCTATGAGATCCCATGAATCAGAGACTTTATTTCTATTATCAGGTCCACCTTCCAGAAGTGGTTCTGATTCTTTCTGATTGTATATGGGAGGTTGCAATGGAAATGCTACCTAAAATTCCAGAGGCCATTGTTCTGGACAAACCATCTTAAAAATGAGACTTGTACGCTCTGGAATCGTTTTGGTGACCAGTGGAGCTATTACCCATCCATCATGTATCTTCTTAGTCATGCATGCTACTTACAATCCTTCTTGTGATTGTGCAATGAATTCTGTATAAAGTGGGAGTAACTTTGCTATACAGGTACCAACAGGTTGTTACCCTTATAGCTGTGAATTGACCAACTTTCCAGATGTAGTTTTTCTATCTCTTTCCCATGGCGATCTTCTCTAATTTTAGTTTTTTTTGGGTATCTGTATCCCAAAGTAACAGGCCCTTTTTTCTCGAAAACAAAGGATTTCCTTATTATAGCTTCCTATCTAAATTTCTAATTTATGTACGAGATACAGAAGGAAGTATGCCTGTGCATCCAATTAACTTAAATTGCTATTGGTTTGTAAAAGTCAAATTTTTACAAGAAGAAATTAGATAATCTATATTTCATTTCTGCCAGATAAAACCGACATAATGGCCTGTGTCTCTGTTGCTATCCACATCATTGACACCGACGGGGGATTTTCTGTCGCTGCTTATTTTTTCTGTTATCTTCTACTTTGTTCCCCTTTCTATCTTAATAGATAAAAAGGATAACTAAGTTATCATAGCAAGATTAATATATAAATGTATGTTATATATATATAATGCATTCGCTTTTTTATGTTGGGAGGATCGTCTTTCCTGGTTTATACCGCCACTGGAGTGTTGTCCTCTGGAAGTATTGGATACCTTTTCTATCTAAGACTGTCTTTTTCAGAGCCCAAATACTTTTCCCTTTCATGTTGTTTGTTTTTTTAATAATTTATGTGTCTAGTTTATTGAAATGTCAACTGATGCAAGGATGCACATATTTTTTGGATCTTAAAATTCTAGTGGCTGATTATATTCTGATTTCCAGGTCGACCACCTGCATCTGCACCTGCTCCTAAAGGTCAGGGTATGCAACTTGGTAAAACAAAACGGACAAACCAGTTTTTGGAATCACTTAAAGCTGAAGGTGAAGTGATAATCGAAGATGTAAAGCCAAGTGCTATCCAATCAAAAGTGTCCCTTCCACCAACTGATCCTATCACATTGAGTATTGAAGAGAAACTTAATGTAACGTTAAAGAGGGATGGAGGAGTTGGTGCCTTTGACATTCAGGGTACACTGTCTGTTCAAATTCTCAACCAAGATGATGGACTAGTCCAATTTCAGGTTCTCTCTCTCTCTCTCTCTCTCTCTCTCTCTCTCTCTCTCTCTCTCTCTCTATTTATATATATATATATGTGTGTGTGTGTGTGTGTGTACATACATGCGCAGAAGAAAAAAAAGAATTATTCAGGCATTCATGTGGACAAGATGACAGATCTATCACTAAGCTGGCGTAGACAAATAATGCATGTTCTGTTTCCAAAATCGTAAATTTGTTTTGTAAACAATTAATAGCACAGGTGTTATTTGGCAGCTATTTTGAATTTCATTTATGCGATTAAAATTCGTTTTGAATGTGAACTGGTTATTCGAAATATCTAAAAATATGATTAAAATTCACTCAAATTGGTCACCCTAATTGAATTTAAATTTAAGCTAATGATGCTAGGCCAACTGCTTTTGTCCTCATCCAATTGGTGCTAATCAACAAGGAATTGCTGCCATAATACTCTTTTAGTTTTTCTTTTTTTCTATGTTACTTGGTGATATTCGGTGATTGCTGACAGCTGGGGGGTGCCATAATTATTCATCCACGACTACGTTATTGTTAGGGATTTTTATTCACTTCATTTAACTTTGTACCTAACACCTATTAGATCGAAAGGAAGGAACATCATAGCAACGATTGATTCCCTCCAGAAGGTCCAGAAGGTGGAAAAGATTATGCTCATCCATATATTAAAGAGAGCTCTATTAGAAAAGTCCACTGTATTACATAATCCTTAAAAAATGTTTCATTTCTTAATTTTATAGTAGAGGACTTCTAGCATACATTGCTGTCTCACGTAAAAGCTTTACAGTCATAAGATCCTTAAAACGTAATTTTCTTCTAGAATAGTGCAACATTAGTGGGACTTAAACTCTCTTTTGTATATTTGATGACTTCTATTTACGTTTGGCTCCTGTTGATGATTCGTTCTGGCTCTTTATCTTTCCCAAAAACCAGTGACAGATGGTCGATTATTGTAGTTGATATAGTCGTCTACTTGGTGCTGAAAGCATCCTTGAAGCATCATTTCGGGGTTATTGCTGGCTTACATGACATCCTGGTCATGTTGAATTACAACTGCTACTCTCAGAGGCCAGAAACAGATGGTCAGGATTGGCAATGATCAGAGGGAGAGGTTAAGTGCGGAGGGAGGGAGGATTTTTTTTTTTGCAATTGCAAAAAGATATACTCTGTGTGTGTCTGCCCATGCGTTTTTTTATTTGTGTGTGTGTGTGTGTGAGAGAGAGAGAGAGAGAGAGAGAGAGGAGATTTATTTTGAGAATGTCGAAAGAGATGACACAAGAAAGGTAGAGAGGGAAGGATGGACAGAAAAGGAGCATATATTTTCCTCACTCATGGACAACTTACCTATTTGACCGATTATTGGGTGGATCCAAACTGCAGTTTCATTTTGACGTATAATTACCTGCTCAATGACTATCTGAATCTTATTCTTTCAATATTTTATGGAAATTCCTGATTTAATAAGGTGGTCTTTTATTTCCATAATAGGATTGCATTTGTTCCTCCTGCAGGTTGAGAATCGATCAATACCTGGCCTCAGCTTTAGAACCCATCCTAATATCAATAAAGAGTTGTTTAATAGCGATCACGTCATTGGCCTCAAGGATCCAAACAGGCCTTTTCCTACGGGTCAAAATGATGTTGGTGTTGTGAAGTGGAGGATCCAGAGCATGGATGAGTCTGCTGTGCCATTGACTGGTTCGTGCCTGGGTTCATTTTTGACGTTGCCTCAGTTTCTGTTTTCTATGCTTTTATGTTTACAAACGTTTTGTTGGTGTGTGCAGTCAACTGCTGGCCATCAATTTCTGGAAACGAAACTTTTGTTAACATTGAATACGAAGCATCTGATATGTTTGACCTGCACAACGTTGTGATCACAGTACCTCTCCCTGCACTTCGGGAGTCACCCAGTGTAAGGCAGATTGATGGAGAATGGAGGTGAGCATTATATAAGTCGTGTTGAGGGTTTTGGTTGAAACCTCTCCGGACGCGTGCACACTACTTATTCAGTGCCTAGGTCATCACTAAATCACACCGTGCACAATACTTACTCTCAACTTGACTCGTAAATTTTCAACGATTCTCTGCGCAGGTATGATCCCAGGAGCTCGGCATTAGAGTGGTCCATTCTCCTTATCGATAGCTCCAACCGCAGGTAACTTGCTCCTAGGCATCGTTCAACGTTACACATTCTTCACGATCAACAAATGGAAGGGTCTATGCACTTGAAAAAATTCACGATTTACTAATATTTTGGCTCTTCTCTTTGCACAAGTAATAACTCGTCTGTCTTCCAATCCAATTAACAGCGGATCAATGGAGTTTGTTGTCCCTCCTGCGGATACGTCTGCCTTCTTCCCAATTAACATCAGATTCTCTGCTGCGAGCACGTTTAGTGACGTAAAGGTTTGTCATTTGACTCGATCTCAGCGCATATCATCTAATGGGTCTCTTCTTCTGCTTCTCTAAGTTGCCCACTTTGGGAAAACAAAATCCTGATTCTACGCAGTCCATGTGACCATCGCAAGTAGTTTCATCATGACGAAATGCAGTAGTAGTGGTTCACATCATTCCGAGATGCCCCTCCGTCGTCACAGTGACAGCCCTGCCCTGGAGAGAGTACTTGTCCCCAAACTACGCGACTCTCATCTCTACTAGCTTTGGTAGTGGGGATTGATATCCCTCTGTTGATAAGATATCTATCTTTATCCATGTACTAGTAGTACAGATACCTGTGGCTAAATCTAGGTTATGATTCAGCTAAAACCCCTGAGTAATCCTCGGGGTTCAGACTACTCTCTGCTTCAGTTGTTTGTTCTTCCTTTCTTATTGTGGAGTTGAGCATTGCCGCATCTCTGCAGGTGACTGGAGTGTTCCCTCTTCGAGGCGGCAGCCCTCCGAAGTTCAGTCAGAGGACCCAGCTGATCGCCGACAACTACCAGGTCATCTGATGGCTTCGCTTTGCTTTTGCTGTCTCCATTGGTCCGACTGCTGATGGGCATAAGAAAGGGACTTGGGTGGATGACGAAGAAGCTCTTCATGTTCATTTGTGCTCGGGTGCGTACCCTCTATTGAGAACCTCGCTGTTTCTTTTCCCGGCTTCCGGTTTAGTGCCGTGATTATGGAGATGGATACTCTCTCTCTCTCTCCCTCTCTCTCTCTCTCTCTCTCTCTCTCCCTCTCTCTCTCTCTCTCTCTCTCAATTATTGTCCAGGAGAACCCAAAGACGATGTAGGTCAACTATTATTCGGTCCCAGTTTGTGTTGCGGCCTCCTCCACCCCACCCGGAGAAATTCTTATTATTTTTTCAACCACTTGGGAGAAGAAAGAAAAAGAAGAAAGGTCTTACAAGCTAATAATGTATAATGGATTTCATCGGTGGCGTGGGTAGAAAAACATGAGAAAGAAAATCGCCAGCGAATATCCGACTTACTAGATGATAATTAGACCTTAGGCCAAATAACCCAAAGGTCAATTCGCAGTCAAGTCAACGAAAAACAGGGCGCGATGGCGCCTGTTAGTATCCTTCTTTTTCTTCTTCTTCGTAGAATGAAGAGACCTGACGGCGCCATGGAAGAAAATATCAGACGCCGCCGGAGGATCAGGATATTTCGCTGGAACACAACTCCAAGATGTACTCCGCCTCCTTCAAGAAGAGCTTGGCAAGGCGTTTCTGCCCACACCGGTAGATTACACTGGCCCGACGATTCCTGCTCATCTGCGCGTCCCCATCTCCGACCACCCCGCAGCCACTGCAGCTCAGAGTAATCGAGCATTACATGTCAGAAGATAAGATCTATCTGCCTTTGTTGAAAAAAACTGAGATAAAGCAGAATATATATGTAAATGTCTATAATCCAATCTGGGTTCAAAACATGATCGACTCAATTAAGACATAGTGATTAGACCGTGTTGGGCAAACGCACTAATCATCTGATCAAATCTTGGCTTTTCCCAATAACCCGCCTGATTCTCCCAATTCTGCAGTATGATCCATCCGTGAAGAAGATGAAGATAGGGGTGGGTATCGAAGATTAGACAGTGCTCCCAAGGTATGGAGGAAAAAAAAAAAAAAAAAAAATCTTCAAATCTTGATTTGTTCGACCATTCATACTTTGTCATTCTGTTTCAATCCACTGTGTTTTCTCTTGTTCCGAGGCTACTACTTTTGGATCCCTCACATTTTCTGTTCCCAAAATAAATTTCTATTCAGATAATCTGGGATCAGTTTGTCGTCCAGAATGGGCGCCCATTTCATCCTATCGATCCATGGTCACGTTAGAAGGGGGGGATCCCCACAGAAGAGTTGTCAAGTATCTCTCACGTTAGAAGGCGGGGGGGGGTCAATCTTAATGCAGAGCACCGACTTCAAGAACAGAGGAATAGGGAGGTAGCACAAAAACAGATCATCTGATAAAATCGACATACCTCGTTTCTTCTGCATGTTTCTCTGATGAACAGAAGCTTTCAAGCAACTCTACATCGCTTGCTTCTGTTCCAGAACCCTCTTCAAGTTCCTGCAACCTATATAACATAAATTACATTACATGGAATCAATAAAAATGACAAGGAAAAAAATCATCACGCTATCGAACTCCACATTTGTTAATTTTGTATTTCAAGTTATACCATCTTTTGATAAAAAAAATAAAATTTCTGAGCTTACCCTTGAAAATAAACTGCGCCACATCCATCAAAAAGGATGCAGGAAGCACAAAAACTAACGAATAGTGCAAAATGGATGGGCAATCTTTCAGATACCAGTTCCAATACGAACGCAAACCATCATTGAAAAAAGAAAAAAAAAGAACAACACTTTACTTTCTACAAGAAAGATCCGACTCTCATAAATAGTCTGTCCTTAAGGCAGGAGCAAAACCATCTTTATATGAATGATGACACATTTATCGATCATGAAATATCTCTAGACTTTTTTCACAGTGAAATTCTGGGTCGCTAACTTTATTGCTTTAGATTCAGGTACTGTAAGGTGTATTTTCTACAGTTTCACCGATAGCAAAGAGTCTCCTCCATTTACAGGTAACAAGAAACTTAAAATGTAACCATAGTCATATCAGTTTAGTTGGACCAAAAAAAAAATCTTAGAAATGAAAGTAGTTTTTTGTTCGCATGAAATGACTGCCATCATCATCACGTTCTAAGATTGTCATATTACTTTAGTTTTAATCATGATCAGGTGTCTCGTCTAATACTTAACCTTATGAACTCTCCTGAAAACATTAAGTAAAACATAATTGTTTTTTTTCAGTCGATGCATTTCTTTTACACATTTGACAACAAAGGAGAAATGACTTGACAGGTGATTTTAAAAAGAAAAGATTTACTGTTCAGAACGATTTGTATCAACGATTTGTCTTTTAAGAAATATTCTTCTGTTAAGGGTCAATTTGTGGTGGACTATTCCAAAAATAATAAGTCAAGGCTGCTTTCCTAGACTGTAATCACCCAGTTTTCCTATTTTGACGTTTATCGAAAGCAATTACAGTGCTTCCTATTCCAACCCACCCAACCCACTAAAGCAAAACCATGGACGTGCGTTCTACCACGCAAACCAACACTTCCCACTCACTTCTTGATCATCACTCAAAGATTAAATAAAGACCTTAGGTCAGAACTCCTGACAGGAATTCTACATGCAGCGTCCTCCTGGTCTCTCTAAACTATCACTTCGTGTTTGTTGTCTTTACATGGGAATATAGGGACTTAAGTAGGCTCCTGAATTTTGTTTGAGCAAAATTTTCAAGTTTTTTTGGATGCCGATTCATGTGAGAGTGCTAAAGAACACAGCCATCGCTAGCAATGATGCTACTGCCACTGCCTCTCTCGAGCAGCATCTCTATTATTAGTTTGAGACCCACTTTGGAAATTTACACTAATTATTTTTGTTTCAGTATTGTTTCATACTCCACGCACCGTTACCTATTATTTTATCATCGGGAAATCAGTAACATTCGTCAACATACCTGACACTCCTATGAAGCCACACCTCAAGCTTTGTTTCTCTGATAGTTTACACTTTTGAGTATCCTGGACACAATTGTAACTTGCCAGTGTCCATATGCTAGATTTTCTCTTGTCTGGACATAGCCCAATTCGTGTATATCTAAAGTTCACGTTGTTCTTAGTTTAATACATTCTACTGCCCTCGTTTACGTTCTCTGGTATTTATGTGAAACCCTCAATTACTCCCTATCTATGCTGCCTATTTCTCTGCTCCTTTGAGCCTACGTAAACGTCAATAAAGCAAGTGATCCCACTGACTGTCACTCCATTACAGGCTTCTGCTTTTATTTACACTCTTTTTCATATCTTAGAGGAGCAAGAAGGATGGTATCGTTTCTCATTCCAGCATAGAGGTCGAGTGCTCCAATATGATTGATACAATTGCGAGAGAGTCTGGCTCTACCATCTTCTGTGAGATTCGAGCATGGGTTCTTCAGCTCCTCTGCTTTAGTGTAACAAGAAGAGTGCTCTTCAAATTGTCAGCAATCCTATCTTCTGAGAAGGGATTCATTATCGTTCTGTCTACCAATATTTTCCCTCATAGAGATTCCTCATATTGCCTCCTGCCAAGACCTCAAAGAGCTCCTTGGCAAACTCTCAATGTAAGAACCCATGGAAGTTTTGAGGTATGGAGAGTTAAGGGAACATTGACTAGGCCAATTATGTGTCTCTTTTTTCCCCCCCTTAGGATCTTATAAATATTAATACCACAAGAGAAGTATCGCGTCCAGTTCCACTATCTATATATGAATACATCTAGATCCCAAGCTAAACAAGCTAAAAATGCTAAAAATGCTTCATTAAACTAGCAAGCTAAAATTAATTGCAACATAAAAATATCCACAAGTTTCCACCGTTTACAACCCCCCCCTCCCTGCTGTAGTCCCTATGGTATTTTGGCTTGACAGCACCCCTATTAGGCACCAACTTTCGTTGCATATGGTCAGCTCCTTGTGACAACTATCTTGAGTATATAATTTATGGATTGACGACTTGATTTGGTCGAGTCATGAAACTTGTCTCGTTTAGCTCCATAGGCAACTGGTGATCCTCATCAGTCCAGATTAATCTAAACCAGTTTCAGCAAAAAGTGGGTACACCTAAAACCATTGGTGATGGCTTGCTTGCAGAACCATTGATTGGATATGATGTAGTCCTAGCTTGTCCCTGTCTTCAGTTTTGGAGGTAAGAAAGTTTATAGTAGGATGAGATAAGCGGGAAATATGTAATTCATTCGTTTTCTGTTTTACAAAACACAGGGGTCAACCCCAAGAAACTTCAGAGGCTGACACCTAGCATAAACAACGCTAACCAAGTATCATCAGCCATATAACATTTTATTGGACGGTTAACGTTAGACCTCTGATGTTTCTCGGGGACAATCATTGTCATTCAGCAAGAAACAAATTGGTACAAACCACTGGGAATACTACATATAAAATAAGTCTTTGTAATAGTCAAAGGAATGATTACTATATCAATAATAAGATATTATTATAATTGACATCCACAGATCTATTCCTGACATTTTTTCATACCGTTTGCATATGTCGTATCAAAAAATTAGAAAAAAAAAATTGACCGGGTAAAGACAAACTATAACTATTAGAAAATAACATTAATTGGTAGTTGAGGGATGAATGTGGTTCATGGATTTTTCAAGGAATTATCTTAAAAGATTGGTGTGAAGGAAACGCTACCAGATGTCTCCCAGCCAGATTGAATTCAGTAGCTGAATTTCAATTTCTCGTAATTGTTGCTGAAAACTGGTGGATCTTTGGTGGTCATTGGAATCTACCGTTGCACAAGAAACCCCTCACTGTGTCTATGCTTAAAGCTAAACATGACCCAGAAAATGAAGCAGCAAGGCTGAACAGGAGGAACCAATGCTTTTTCATGAGTTCAGAAAGGAGAAAGTTAAACCTCATACCTATTCTTCTTCGTACCAAATATAAAAGGGAAGGTCTTATAGAACGGAACGATATACATCTTTGAGGAGATGAGCACTCCACAAATTTCCTTTGCATCTCCTCTTAAAGTTTAAAGGCCTTCGACTGTGGAGTTGACTCTTTGAAAATTGCACAAGATCCAAAGAGAAACCATCAAATTTTATAATATTTCATGTGCTGGAAGAATGGGACTACGAAATTGAAAGTTTTGATTGGCTGCGAGAGAACAATGTCATCTATGCATATGAAAGTGTAAAACTTAAAGCACAACCAGGATGTAAAGAAAATTGAAGGGCAAATGAGAGAATTCAACACATGGTTATCAGAAAAGTACTTAGTATATAGGAGATCAACAAGAAGCTGTAAAGCACCAAAATCCCCAGCAGCTTCCCAAACGGCAGCCTTCACATCTTCGTTAGATGGTTGTCGCTGCTCATTCGACCCAGTCAGCTAAAAGAAAATAAAGTCACAACAAATAATTAACATTAAAAGTCTTGTACAGACATGTAGGAAATATGAAGATCAGTAACATGCACACATAAATGGTGATAATCAGTGGGCTAAGAGAGATAATTTTGTTAAAGTTCCAAAATAATTTGTCAGAAACTAAGAAAGTCCTACAGAAATAGCAGCTTTCTTTTAAGAAACCTATTTGTTATTTTACTTCTCAAGGAGTTAGTACAACATATCAGAGGTTTATTGACGAAAGCATGTTATTCATGCCTCTCTATCGAAAGACCCACAATAAATGTAGAATTTTATATTAAAAAAATCCTAAGTTGTAACATTCGTTGTCTATTTGTATTTGGTGATTTGGCAGCTATCATATTTCAAATGTGACTATTATCAAGGTTAGATAGAGTTTAAACAGATGGCATAAGAAATTTTCTATAAAATTTAATGTTTTTGAACGAGTAATTTTGGTTTGTCATTAAACATAACGAATTTTAATGTTGCCCCTTACTCATGAACCCAAATTGAATCCCCAATTCTTGGTCTGTTCCAGCAGGAGACAGGGGGGAAGGATGAGGAAGAAGATTAAACTATTGCATCCGCAATGCAGGCTAGTGCTGTATGAGGCGGCAAGGATCAAAATAACAGTGTGGGTGGCAGTGACAATAGTGGTAATAGGTATATCTTATGTTGCTTTTCTTAGTTTCTTCATCTCTATCCTTTCTGCCACTGACTTGGAGTCCAGAAACCCAAATGCCATTAGAGAACAGTGCTGCAACTCATCAAGCTTCTTTTCCCTCTATGAAGTTACATTTCCTCGATGCATCGATCAGGTGAAACAGTAGTTCTCCCCGGGCCATAAAATCTCCTGTTCAACCCAGATTTTGTATTGAAAACCATCTGATCATTTGAGATACATCGTAACAGCCTATTTTCTTGCGTCCACAAGATGAGGAATTGAAAGGAAATATTCAAATTCAATCACAGTTTCATAATCGCATAAATAAGCAATGGCTCGCATTTTTTAAATATCAGAGATGAGAATTAGAAAAGCATAAAAATATAACTTTGATACAAGACTCAAAAAGATTGAACCCACAAGACTATGTGCTATGCAATTGCAAATAACTACGAAGATTGGCTATTGATTTGTCCTACACAGTAAAAAGCAATATAAAACTCCTGGAAAGAAGTGGCCTTTGACACAGCTTCATGGAAACTTCTAAAGTCTTAATGTAGCATACTCTGCCACGTTCATTTGATCCTTGGGCGCTATGGAAAGCTCAACTGTTATTATCGTTTCGCTAAACATTCTGACATAGGTTATAGGAATAACTATAGTAAGGAAACGAAAAGTGATCTGCCCCTGCCTATGCTTAAGCAGGCGCTGAACATTGGATCTTGCTTCCCAAGGCCAAGAGACATGTTCACAGCGTTATGGGATGGTGGTTTAGTGGTCTAATTCAGTGCTATTCCTATAATGAATAACTACAGCACAAAGTAAGCATCAGGCATTTAATTTTAAAATAACATTGAAATGATCCTTGTTTGAACTAAGAGTAGCAACACAAACAATAGTGTCCAGTAATTTAAAAATCGAAAAGGGAAATTACCTGCTCTAATAGTTCTGAAACCCGAATAAGTTCATGCTCTTGAAGAGATATGGTCCGCAAAGAATTCAAAAATTCTCCAGGAAATATCAGCTTATTCAAATAAGATGGGGCCTTACGCTGACCACTCCAGCTGTAACCGCTGTGGTGACTGTGTGAATTTTCATTTTTATCAAAATCTTTGATGACTTTTCCAGAAGTGAATCCATGATCAAGCAAGGTCCTAGGTAAGAGGCATCTCAATTCCACTCTCTGCAAATATTAATCGAGCTCAGACAATGTCTTGGAATCAAAAGACAAATGTGTAGTTTGTGCATTATTTGCATCTGAATAACTTTGGCAAACATACACAGCTAAAATAGCCTAAGCATCTATATTCAATCTTGAGAAGTACATGGTGCAGGAAACAAAGCACTGCTCCCTACACCATGAAACTTTCTAGGTTATGAGATCAAAAACCTGCATTTCTAGAAGTTGTGCCTTGGAATCAGACAATGCAACATTCTGAAGCGCCTCCACAGGATAGTGAACCTATGTAAAGTAAGCAATGAAAGAATGGTATAAGGTTATAAAAATTAAACAGGAAAATTAGAAGGATTCAAATATGGATGTTACATATAAAAAAATAATGTAAATGCCGGTTAGATGTCTCAAAAATTATATGTAGACCATGAATATAAGCATCAATGATAATCTGATTGTGAGAGGATTAGTACCATAAGATAATCATCTGGATTATTTTCGACGACGAATCCATACAGGTAGAGTAACTCCTGAGAAAATGAAGAAAAACCGAATTTTTATTACGAGGAAAATCAAGTGTGCGGCATGATAGTCCTTCAGGCAATCCAGTTCAATAAAAAAGAACGTAAACCCTTATTTACACATGAGTTATCCATGTAATGGAAGATAACTGTTTGCTAGTTATCCCACACATACTGAATATGTTTATTGCCTGTTGATTCATGCATTTGCACTTGATTATTTCTCCATTCCCACTTCAACAACTACTAAAGTAGCAGTCCTTTTACAAACATATGAAAACAAAGAACAGTTAGGATAGGACTGGCTCCACCCAAGAGATGAGACACTAATAGTTTTTTTTTGCAGACATTGAAGCTAAAAAAACTAGTGGAAAGGAGTTAAATGACAGTAAATTCTTTGGTTTGATCCATGAAAGTTGTATATGCTCAAGGATCAGCCTTTAAGCGCAGACAGAGTTTCAGTGACATCAGAGTATAACCGGCAAGACAGTTGATGTGCCAATTATTTTACCATTCCATAATGCAAAAATTCATTAATGAGACTCAAATATACATTCTTCTAAAAAAAGATGAAAAATTATTTTTACAGCTAAAAAACATAAAAAATTTAAGAATAAAAGTACTTCCTCTGAGAGAGGATTAGAAGGAAAACTTGTCTTCAAACTTAACAGCCTCCACCAAATGTATGCCATCATTGGCTACTTGCCATTGATGTTCCATTCAAGATGAAAATGCATGCAAAAGCTCTACATTTCCTTCAGCAGAGGTTTGACATAAGACAGAATCAGACAATCAATTAAGAATGAGTATTCTTCAGTACTTCATTTTTTCGAATTTTAAAAAGGGTAGCGTACTCTCTTATGAAAAAGATCGAAGCTACCTGTTCCAAATCTAGATCAATAGATTTAGAAAAAAAAATTCCAAACGATCAATATGTTTAATTTTTATGTTAAAAATTGGCAGACGGAAAAAAAACCACTTTCACAGTTGTCTTTACCTTCCTTTGTTTCATCCATATCTTGATGCAAGTTGACTACATAAAAAACCTCTTAGTCAATAGGGAACTTTAGTGTTGAGAGATCGATGTACTTCAAACCGGGAAAAAGTATAAATTAAAATAAATAGATGATATCTACATACAAAAAGAAAACTATCGTTTCATGGAATCTTGATACAAGTATTCAAACATGTATCTCAGATTTCAGGATACGAGAATAAAAAAAGTATGAGAAAATGTTAGTACCTCATTTCCTTTGTTACCATAACTGATGCATATCTCCTTTTCAGCATCCATGAAATCTGGTGCAACTTTTTTATAAAACAATAAGACAGAAACTAGTAAGAGAGTGGGATCCACCAAGTATTAAGAGAGCAGAACACCGAGAATGAAAATCTGAGACAGTAACATTTCTCCCCAGTCAAAAATGTTTATAGTAGAATAGAATTGAAAATTTATTAATAGTCTTGGATACCCTTACTATAACTGCAGTATTAATTAGTTCAACTCAATCGATGAAAAGCTGTCACTCTAGAACCGAAATTTCTATGAATGATAGTTGGCTGAACTCTTTCAAGAAAAAAAAAATCATTGGTCTATAAAACCAATTATTGTAAATACTCTACACTATCCTTTTCTATTAATCGGTAGGATGGTCACTTAGATCCTCAAATGAATATATGATCTACTTCCAAAACACATGATGTGTATACTATTCCAAAGGGGCCAACATAGGTCGCCTTCAAGGCAACTATAGACCTTTATTGAAATACTGTGTAAATACTGCGTTAGCAGTTGGGGTGAAGTGTATCATGTGCTTCACTTAAAGAAGCACGTGAACATCACCTGTATGTCTCGGGATGTAAGGCTCTATGTCTAGAACCTTCTCCCATGGATCTGTTATAAATAACAGACCCCTGTCTCGATGCAAACAAATCTTGAAGGAATTTTTCCCTCATGTTTTGAATAAGGGTTCCATTTTTCCCCTCCACAAGAAGGTCTGTCGTTCTTCAAGAAACGAAGGAACTAGAGGAAATTCAACAACCTTCATAAGATGTCTAGGAAGTCAAGTCAGTCTTATCATTACTTGTTATTACATAATACACGAGCGTTGGTCAACCAATCCCTCTTGCAACAAGGACTAGACCGCTAAATGTTACTGGGGCAATCTACTACTAGAAACAAAATCATCAATATTTCCAATAAGTCAAAATTGGTTTGAAATTAATAGTGATTTCTAATCAGTGCTGCACTACGAGAGGTGAAAGGGCAAACAACTACTTGAGTTGACATCGTCAATATTTCTTTAAATTAACGAAGGTTTCACAAATCATAATGGTTCCTAGTTGCACCAATGATGTAATTTTTGGATCTTTTAAATGATTCATGGAGATTTTGTGCAATCTATTATCGCTCTATTTGTAAAAAAATATTTTGCCTATTTAGGGAGCCTGATTTCATGCTTTAAGTTAGGAAGCTAATTGCAGCATAATCTCAGCCCTATTGAGATTGTAGTTACTATTAATCGTGCCTACACTGTCTATAGGAGGTCAATTAATCCCCAAAGATGGGTAGAGCCTTTTGAGTCATTCTTGGTTTCTCTTTTCTTGGGTCTCGCATCTTAAGATGGAACTAGAGGCAACTAGTCTAATTCTTATCCATGTATGGAGTTCCCCAATCTACATCTAATACAATGCTAGTTTTGTCAAAAATCAGGACAATATTATTGCTCGAGACTAAAAAAATAAGTGACGCGCATAATGCAAAAAGAGTGGGCACATGCTGATTGTGGGCATCAACCTCTAGTTAAGGCTTCAAAAGCATATTACACCACTGTCAATTCAACTGAGGCTTCTTTTTAATTTGTTTCTGTCAGCAATTAGTCTTTCACCTCCCTTTTTATTGCCATTAATCTAATCAAGAAATGATTCAATCGACCTTATCAAAAATGGGAATATAACGTAAATTCGTTTCCAAATCTTGGTATATTGATTTTAGAACATCAAATCAAATGAACTCTAAATTTGTTTTGGCCTGATCTCCTACAAATGTCCTTCCCAAGGTAGCACTATAGATGGAAAATGTCTTGATAACGCTAATCTGGTACGATTCAGTCCAACTCTCTCTATCTCTGTGATGTTTCTTTTTGTTCCATAATTATCTATTAATCCACTTTATGTTGGACTACTAGTAGATAATAATTGCAAGTCGTTAATGCTCACATTCACAAGACGCAATTTTTCAGAAACCAAAGTTGATCCATCGATATTCTCACGCACAAACTCTCATCCTTACATTCACATTTACAAGACTCAATTGTCTGGAAACCAAAGTTGATCCACCAATATTCTCACACAAACTCTCATCCTTACATAGGCCATATTGTAAATGACCAAGCAGAAAACTAAACAGCGAAAACCAAAGAGAAGCCTGACAGTTAAGCACAATAAAATACATAGGAATGATTTAGTGAGAACATTCACATAAAGTTAAATTATATACCGAAGAAATAAGATACCTGATATCAGGTACATTGAAAGTGGAACAGCGCTCACACATCCTGTCTTATCAACTTCCCATGTAGTTGAAACTTCCAAACCTGAAAGGAAAGCGTCCTCAAAATCAAAGGAACTTCTGGGGCTCTCAATTTCAAAAAGCACAATACAACACAGATTCCCATTAGGAAAAACAGAACACAAAATCTCAGATATCACATATGTAGATAATCAGACGAAAGAAATGTATTTTGAGATCACAAAGAATTGCTAGTCCTTGGCCAAGATTGCCTACTTTTCGATATAAATTCGTGTTGAATTTCCACTACAAAGAAATGAGCATTTCTCTTTCGGTTTATTGGTTTGGAGTGGGAGTAGAACTATTACACATGCATCACTGTGGAAAAAATGGATAATTAAGAGTTAATTTCTGTTGGTCAATTTCCTAGTTTGGTTGAGTATCCCATAAATCGTGGGATTTAATCTAGGTTGTTTTCCCTTTCTTTGGGGCTGGTAATTTTATATATTAGCAATTTTTCTATGAATTGATAAGATAGAAAATTTTCCCAGACTGATTATCCTTACTTGGTTTGTGTCATGGTATCAGAGCCTTAGGCATGTAAATCTGGATTTTTTTCCGTAGTCTTCATCCTCCCCATGACTGGTTCCCATTGTCACCCATCCTCGAGGATCTTCCATTGGCATTTGACGAAACCCGAACCCAAGAGACAGGCATATTGTCCCTCCGCAGCCGCTGAGGCCATGTATATGGGAGGCCAGGGAATCGGTTCCATCCATCCTCTGCTCTCTGTCAATCTTGAGGCAATGATCGGGATCTCCGTTTGTATATGATTCAGTTCCAATTCGAGGAACAAGAATCGCCCCCCCTTGGGGTATTGTTTCGGCATTCATTCTTGGATGTCTCGGCATCATGTGGAGTGGATCAGGCTTCCTTTTTCAGGCTTTTGGATCAGCCGATTGTCTTGGGGATCTCCTGTTTTTGCATGTGTCAATAGGGGTTCAGGAACGGGATTGGTCTTCGTTATTATTTTCCAGATTTCAGACTTCCGTCTGTATTGTCCCACACCTTATAGATGTCAGAGGCTGTAGACGTCCGCCATGACACAATCAGAAAAGCTTGTACAGTTTCAACAATCCGAAGAGTTGAAGAGTATTCAATCTGCATATACGCCAGACGGAAAAAATTATCTCAAGGCCCCAACTTGTTTGCACTGTGCTGAACAACAAAGTGAAGATCAGCCATCTCACAAGTACAGGTCCAAAATCAGAGGATCCCTTGTTTGAGGCATGGCATGAAAAGATTTCATGATTATGGCACGGTTATGGAATTCTTTGACACCTGAGATTAGTGGCACATGTATGTTCTTGGTTACAGCCAAGGATATTTGCGATGCAATCCAACAGACTTATTCCAAAGCTATGGATGTGGCACAAGTCTATGAAGGTAAGGTGAAGACAATTGCTGCAAAATAGGGCAGCAAAATAGTCACAGAATATGCTTATCAGTTGAAAGTTGTGGCAAGAACTTGACCATTATATGTGATTAAAACCTGAGGATGCAGCTATTTTGAAGGATTTAACCCAAAAATTGATCAAGTGAGAATTTTGATGTAACACATTCATGGTCCAACCCCAGTGGACTAGAAGCCCTCAAAGAGTGAATAATGGACTACATGCACTAGATGGCCTAGTAACTAATCTGGCCCAAAATAAAATGCGTCATAAATGCATCAAAGAGTATTTTTTCCGCCTTTAGCTCATTTTGAATTCGTTTAAACGTGCCTTAAATCAGTTTTAAGTCGTCACTAAAATTGAATCACCTTTTAAGGGGCACCCTAACAGAAACTCAGCCTTTTAAAAGGCCCCACATGGTAACCCCAGAGGTATCATTCAGCATTCCGAAAACTTTCCTCTCTTTTGAAATAATATCTCTTTGCTTGTGAATTCAAGTGCATCGCTTGTGGATTCAACAGTCGCTTCAGTACATTCTTGATGATTCAAGAATTGAAGTTTTGAAGTTCTGCGGATACATGAGGTGGTTTCGTCACCAAAATTTCTTTTCTTGTGAATTTGTCAGGCAAGTTAGGATCTCGTTATTGTAGTGTCTCTCTTCTATTTGGGCCCTTAAGTGAGTCAGTTATGGATTACTTAATGAACTCTCCCTTTCTTTCTTCAAAATAAGTGGGCTTGGCCCACTATAGATGTAGCCGGTATTTAAACCGATGTAGAGGTGAATTGAAGTAGACTTTTTGTGAATCTACTCTAATGGGATTTTCTAGGTGACTCCAGTGAGAAGGGAGGGCGAAGACCTGATCAAGAAGATCAAGATCCTGGTTTGACATAGTATCAGAGTTGGTCGTGGCGTGAAGCATCACAAGAACAAGGACATGCCTTTCCATCAACTGAAAGCAAGTATTCGGGAGGTCAGTTGATAGCAATTCTTGATTTCAAGGATTAAAAAACAAGAGATGTCAATGGGGAAAGAAGCTTCTGCATCCAACTCAGTCATGACAGCAATTGTTGGTGGCCGAGATAAGACAATGTATGCGCTACCAAGTATGCATGAGTGCTTGAAATTTAATGGTACCGATTTGTAAGAATTTAATTGATGATCATGTTGGTATGAATGATCCGAATTATAAAATTTGAAAATCTGAGGAAGCCTTTATTCATTCATGGCTTCTTGGAACCATGACAATAGAAATGTGTGATAACTTTCTTTATATGGCTACCGTGAAAGAATTGTGGCGTGAAGTCCATAAGAATTGCTCTAAGCATCAGAATGATTGGAAGATCTATGGGCTGAATACCAAAGTAGTGAGGGCAATACAAGAGGAGAAGACAATCATGAAGTTATCATGTGAACTGAAGGCTATATGGCACAAGATTGATCATTATTGGCCTGTGAAGAATCCTCACTCCACAGAAAGAAATTACATATTGAAGCAGAGAACGTTTACATTCGTAATGGCTTTAAATCTAGAATACGAGAGTCTTTGGAGTTAGGTCCTACATAGAGAGGGCACCAGATTTGGATGAAGCCATCAGTATTGTTATGGAGAAAGAGAGTCGACTGCGTTTACTCTCAGATCCATCAAGGCCTAGCTTAATTGCGTTTTCCACCAAAAAAATTGAAAAAAAATCAAGCCAAGAAGTTTGGCAAGATCAGAAGAATTCAAGTGATTAAAGACAGAGGACCTCAAATGACTATAAGGATAGTCTTTGGTGTTCTTTTTGCAAATGCAAAAGACATACTAGAGAAACCTGCTGGAAGTTGCATGGTAAGCCCCAACAAAATTGAAAGGTATATGTTGTTGCTTTTTAGAGTCTTGAAGGTGGAGAACAAAGGCAGTCGAAGGAGCAAACAGGAGAGCCTGTTCATGAACGTGGGGAGGACCTTATGGAAATAAGGGAAGAACTAGAGCGACTCAAAAGCATGTTGAGTTCTACTTCATTGGCATACTCAAGTGAAAACAAAGTATTTTTCAGTAATGCTATTATCTCAAAACCCAGTAGAATACATTGGATTATTGATACTGTGCCACAGATCACATGACACCAAATATCTCTAGATTCATTATTTATTCAAAGATAAATAGGCCACATAAGGTCCTTACAACTAGAGGGATCTTATCAGTGGCGGGTGTTGGGAGCATTAAAATTAATGGGCTTGGTACACTTAAAAATGTCTTTCATATGCCAAGACTTGAGGCACATCTTATATCCTTACAAAAACTTGTGCAAGATCATAAGTGCAAATTTATTCTTGAAGATGATGCATGTTTTCTAATTGATAAGGTGTCAGGGCAGAGGACTGGACATGTTAGGCGTCAAGATGGCCTTTTCTATCTGGAAGATCAAGATGCAATATGTCTCTCCTCTCTTAGTCTTTCCGAAGACGCTAGGAGCCAAATCATGCTTCAGCATAGTCATGTTGGGCATCCTTCTTTTGAATTGATGAAACATTGGTTTCCTACCATTTGTAACAAGGTTGATGTCAAAACTTTAATGTGTGAGGCTTGTCAATTGGTCAAACACAAACGATCTACATTTCATTTTAAGAATGAAAGGAGTTTAATACCACTATATCGAATTCACAATGATATATGGGGGCCAAGTCAAATAGTTAGTATATTTGGTGGCAGATGGTTTATGCTATTTGTTGATGACTGTACCCGATTTATATGGCTTTATCTTCTAAAGTCCAAAGCCAAAGCTGCTCAAATTATCCCACATTTCTTTAACATGATAGACAATCAATTTGGAACAACGATAAAGTGGTTCAAAACAGATAATGCCAAAGAGTATTTCAATACTATCATTTCCCCTTATTTTGCTCAAAGAGGCATACTCGATGAATCATCATGTATTGATACTCCACAACATAATGGGTTAGCCGAAAAAAAGATTGGCCAAATTGTGGAGATAGCCAGAGAACTATTATTTTAGGGAAATGTACCCAAATAATATTGGAGAGAGGCTATATTGACAGCCACACATCTTATAAATCGCATACCAGCAAGATCAATCAGACATCAGAGTCCAATTGGTTTATTGTCTAAAGCTTATCAAAATGTGAAGTTGCGAACAAACTTAGCTCCCAAGGTGTTTGGTTGTGTGACATATGGTCACATTGCTAATACTCAATTGGGTAAGTTGGATCCTAGAGCACATAAGTGCATATTTGTGGGATACTCACCCACTCAAAAGGGCTATAAATATTACTCCCTATCATCCAGAAGATATTAGATCTCTGTAGATGTTACTTTTAATGAATACGAGATGTATTATAAAAGGACCGAAGAGCTTGATATTCAAAGATCAGAAAATCCTTTAGTTACCAACTCTAAAGACCCTTGCCCTCAAGTGGCACAAATATTTAGGAGACAAGTTCAGATAGAGTCACATAATACAACAATCACAGTTGAGGAAGAAAGGGCGGAGAATGTAACTGAACCAATGCAGCTGAAGAAAGATGATCCAGGGCAAAATGAGGTTGAACAACTTGATGTAGGCCTAGCTGAAGATGATCAGCTCGGATGGCCTATTGACCTACGTAGAGGGGTAAGGAATTGCAGAAACAGACCAAGGTATTCAATGGCCAATTATCTATCATATGATAGATTGAGTTAGGAGCATAAAATATTCTTGAGCTCGCTTAATATGACAAGAGTACCAAAAATAATTGATGAAGCATTAGTCAGAAAAGAGTGGAGCCATGTAATGGATATAGAGATAGAACCTGCAAAAGAACCATATATGAGATCTGGTTCCTCTTCCAACCGGTAAGAAGGTTGTGGGGTGTAAATGAGTATATACCCCAAAATTCAATGTAGATGGGTCACTTGAAAGATATAAGGCATGACTAGTAGCAAAAGGCTATACTCAATCATATGGGATTGACTATCTTGAGACCTTTGCTCTAGTTGCTAAACTTAACACTGTGAGGATATTGATTGCTTTGGCAGTTAAGTTGAACTGAGAAATATATCAATTTAATATCAAAAATGTATTTCTACATAGAGAACTGGAAGAGGAAGTCTACATGACTATACCTCCAAGGTATCCACTATCCAATCAATCAAGAGTTGTTTGTAGACTAAAGAAAGCCCTCTATAGTCTCAAACAATCTCCTCGAGCTTGGTTTGGGAGGTTCACCAATACAACAAAAAGTTAAGGATATAAACAGAGTAAGGCAGATCATACTTTGTTCATCAAACATAATTCGTGTGGAGGTATGACTATATTAATTGTAAATGTCGATGATATATTGATCACAGGTGATGACACAAATGAAATTCAAAATCTAAGTAAAAACCTCTCACAAGAGTTTGATATTAAGTCTCTTGGGAGACTAAGGTATTTTCTCGGTATTGAGGTGGCACACTTGAGAGAAGGTATTTTTATTTCTCAACATAAATATATTATTGATCTGCTCTAAGAAACTGGACAACTTACTTGTAAACCAATAGTCATTCTAGTGGATATAAATGTGAAACTTGAAGCAGGAGGTGACAGTCCTCCAGTTAATAAGGAATCCTTCCAAAGGTTGATTGGAAAATTAATTTATCTGAATCATAGTAAATCAGATGTGGCATATGCTGTGAGTTCCTTGAGTCAATTCATGAATGACCCAAGAGAAAATTCACTTACAGGCAGCATATTGTATTCTGGCATATTTGAAGAATATTGTGATAGTAGGACAATGCCTATTATTTTCACGAGGTGGTGATAGTACTGTGGAAATATATTCAGATGTAGATTATGCAGGATCAGTACATGACAGGAGGTCAAGTTCTGGATATTGTTCCTTCATTAGTGGAAATCTAGTATCATGGAGAAAAAAGAAGCAAAAGGTGGTGTCCAGATCTAGTGTAGAAGCTCAGTTTAGAGCTATGGCTCAAGGTATATGTGAAGCAATGTAGATAAAAATACTACTTGAAGATCTACATCTGTATTCTCAAGGTTGTATCAAATTGTACTGTGACAATCAATCAGCCATCACTATTGCCCATAATCTAGTCCAACATGACAAGACAAAGCACATTGAAATAAATCGCCATTTTATCAAGGAAAAGATTGAAGAAGGGATGATAAACTTGTTGTTTATCAATTCTACTAATCACGGGGCTGCCGGGACCAACTCTACAGAAACTTGTATTCAAGTTGGGCATGTCTAGCTAGGATCTCATTATTATAGTGTCTCTCTTCCATTTGGGCCCTTAAGTGAGTCAGTTATGAACTACTTAATGGACTCTCCCTTTCTTTCTTCAAAATAAGAGGGCTTGGCCCACTATAGATGTAACCGGTATTTAAACCGGAGTAGAGGTGAATTGAAGTAAGACTTTTCGTGAATCTACTCTAATGGGATTTTCTAGGCAGCTCCAGTGAGAAGGGAGGGCGAAGACCTGATCAAGAAGATCAAGATCCTGGTTTGACAGAATTTAAGGACGAAATTTCATCTCCATGCAACTCTAGCTGTGTCGAATTCAGATTATCAGCAAGCAGGAGGTTCTATGCTTTAATTAAGTAGTGGCACTGATTCAACAAGGGGAAAGCAAAAGAGGCTTAAACCAAAAAGCATGGACAGCACGGCTAAGGTGAGTGGCAATAATTCAGCCATAAACGTGGGGAGAGCACAAGTTGTTTAGAGTGAAAAACTTAGACAATTGAAGGCCCATAATCGTGACCATGAGGATAGCCTATGGTGTATTTGTTCTAAGAAGCCACATCATACATGTGAACGGTGTTGGATGCTACATGGAAAGCCTCTAAGTCAAGAATGAGGACAGAAAAGAGAGCAGCCAAGGAACAATGGTGGAACTTATGTCACAACACTATAGCAGAATGAAGCAGCACCAAAGGAGTTGAGTAGTTTCAACTAAGAAAAGGTTGAGAGGGTGAGATCTCCCATTAGCGATCTTGATAAATACAAATTCTTGTTTGTCAGCGTATTCAAGTGAGTTTCCATCCTCTACTACCTTGAAGGATCGAGCAAGTCAAATGTTGCAAAGGGCAAATTACCTTATTCTGTTGAGCTTTGTAAGGAGAGAGTTCGGTTTCTCCATCACCGGCTTGGATATCCATCATTTAAGGTTATTATAATTCTATTTCCATCTTTATTTCAAAGCCTAAGTGTTGAAGATCTTCATTGTGACATGTGCGAACTTGCTAACAAAATATGCATCCTATTCATAACGATATATGGAGTCCTTCTACCATTCCCAATGCTTATGGGGCTAGATGGTTTCCTCCTTCATTGATGATTGCACCTCTCTTACATGGATTTTTCTGCTCAAGCAAAATCTTATCTTAGTCTTATTCTCTCAAATTTGAGTTCCGCGAATGAGAATCAACTCAGGGAATGTTGTGGGAATGGACCAATTTTTACTTTGCCAAACCTTATCTTTAGTGAGGATGATAATGTCTTACTTGATTTGTCATCACTTCCTTCGTCCTCCCCCATTCCTTTGTCTAAGCTTGTATCCAAGTCCATGCCAAATCTGAGCTTGAAACTCTAGAAAATTCTCAAGAAAATTCTAACTCTACCCTTGAAAATGTGAGATCTGTTAAAAGAGAGGTGTTTTCAAGGAAGAAGACAGTTGTTCTTGAATCTGTGCAAGTCTGAGAATCCAACTTGGATCTTAAGAATGAGGTATCAATTTCGAATCCTCCATTGCAACTTGAACCTAAATTTCATATGAACAATGATAACAAAGATCTTTCCATTGCCCTTGAGAAAATAACTAGAGAATACACAAAATGACAATTGTATCCTATTTTTACTTATATCCTCTTGTCGTATAAACATTTTTACCATTTCATAGAGCCTTCCTTGTTAGTTGAAACACTATTACCATCCCTACCACCTTATCTGAGGCTTTGTCCAAAAAGGAACAGAAAAAAGCTATAAATGAGGAGATGAAGGCATTAGAGAAGAACAAAACTTGGGAGTTAGGAAGACTGACATCAAAAAAGAGAGACCCATGGGGTAACTAGTGAAGTACTAAGTAGGTAGATCTATAAAAAGATAAAAGGTTAGGTTGGCTGCCATAGGCTATATTTAAACCTATAGGGTTAATTTTTAGAAACTTTTGTTCCAGTTGCAAAGATGAATATTGTCAGAATGCTGTTATCATTGACAGTTAATAATGACAGAGAACTGCAGTAATTTGATGTTAAGAATGTATTTTTACATGGTAAACTAGAGAAATAAATTTATAAGAAAGTCCTACTAAGGTATGGAAAGAATTTGGCTATCCATACAGGGTGAAAATTGAAAAAAACCTTATATGGACTTAAGCAATCACCTCCAACATGGTTTGATTAATTTACAAGAGTTATGATTTTTATGGGATACAAACAAAACCAAGAAAATCACACACTGTTCCTTAAACACTCATCCTCATGGGGATTCACAACACTCTTGATATATCTTGATGACATAATCGTGAATGGAAATAAAGATGAAGAAAGAGATTATTGGTAATGGCTGCGTTTGAGATTAAACATCAGGGAGACTGAAAATTTTTCTTAGGATTGAAATAGCTCAATCTAGGTAGGACATTTTGAAATATCTCCCAAAAGAAGTATGTTATAGATCTTAGAGAAACAACCAAGACATATAAATCATAATAGGAAGACTAATAGGAAAGGTAGAGGAGGATGCTGTGATAGATAGGGAAATGTATCAATGCCTAATAGGAAGACTAATTTATTAGTCTCATACACAGCCAGATATAACATGCACAGTGACTATTTGCCAGTTCATGCACAGTCCAAAGGAAACCCATCTGCAGGCAGCTCACTGAATGCAGTAGGATCTCTAAGAGACACCAGAAAATGATTTTCAGTTCAGGAGAAACAGAGGGTTAGTACTTGAGGCATACAAAAATACAGATTATGTAAGGTCAGTGGTTGATAAGAGATAACCTCTGGGTGTTGCACTTTTCTTAATAGAAAGATCATGACATTAAGTAAGAAATAGAATGCGGTAGCATGGTCTTGTGCAGAGGCTGAATTCTGAGTAATGGCTCAAGGTCTATGTGAACTATATTGGGTGAAGATTGTCAAATAAGACTTGAAAATTAAGTGGGATGGCCCGATGAGGCTCTTGTGATAAAAAGCCTGAAATTATCATAGCTAACAGCACAATACAACACAATTGAACAAACACAAAGAGATTGACAAACACTTCACAAGGCGAAGTTGGAGAGCGGATTGCTTTGTACACCTTATGTGTCTACACACAACCAAGTTACAGATGTGCTTAATAAGCGATTAAGTTCAGAATATTGTATCCGAGCAGAGAATAGAAGATGCCTGTTCACCAGCTTGAGGGGGAGTGTGGGAAAAAAAGTGTAATTAAGAGTTAATTTCTGTTGGTTAGTTTCCTAGGTTGGTTGGGTTGTAAGTCAGTTTCCTAGTTTGGTTTCAGTCTCCCGTAAAGCGTGGGACTTAACCTAGGTAGTCTTCCCTTTATTTGGGACGGGGAATTGTATATAACTAGCAGTTGTTCTATGAATTGACAAGACACAAATTTTCCCAACTCTTTATCTTCATTTGGTTTGCAACATTCGGAGTCTAGCGGCCACCCCGATTATGTTTTCTTCTTAAAAACGTTAGGCATAAATGGTCTGGATACATTATGCTTCCCATAAATGGAATTGGACAGATGCAACACATCATTAACACCGACACAGGAAGGAGAACTGCAGAACTAACCCTCCACCTACCAATTCCAAGCACCAGTAACATTGGCTACTGTGATCACAACACAATATTCAGTAAAACTTTGAAATAAGCAGACCCACAAGAACGGCTATCAACTGTTACTGTTATATATGATCCAACTGTCCCTGGTCGTCTTCTATCCGTATATATATAGGCATATTTGTAACATAGTCACATAGTCATAAAATCTCTGACAACATGATCATAAAATCATAAAATCTCTGTCCTGGCCCAATATATCTGTAACATAATCACAAATGCAACCGTTCTCCATGATCATCTCTGACAACCTCATCAACAACGGTACTACATCCTCAAGAATCTCGTATCAAACGTTTCTTCCATTACTAAATCATCTAAGAATTAAATGAAAAATGGGACAAATAGGAGAGTCAATATCAATTTTAGCATATCCTGGCCTCAAGTTTTCAATCTTAAATAGTCTCTTCACAATTTTCATGCCACAGGTCTTCCATATTTCAACAAAGTGAACCTCAGCCATTCTTCACAGTTATACCCTTATGTCCAACCTCAATGGGGCAACAATATCCTACTACAGCCCTTCTGAATATCAATCCAAGCAGTGAATAAATTCAAACAAACTTGAAATGTTCCCGTGATGAGTCAAAAATGGATATAAGGTACCTAAAAATTCCAAGCATGTATCTTGAAACTATAGAAACAATTAATTAGAGAATTGTACAAAAAGTAATGACTCGTGTTGAAATTATAACCACAAAGTTCTGCTGAAACTAAAAAAAGGAGCACCAGTCCACTGAAATAAAATATATAGGTAAACTATGGAGAACATACCATGATTGCAGAAATCAATCCCAGGAATAAGACCTTCGACCCAAACAGTCTCACCATCTAATGAACTAGATTCTTCGGCACATCTTTCCTTTTCCATTGTAAGCATTGCCTAAAATTAAAAAACTTTCTGTCTCAACATATTTGAACACTCGATTTTTTGGTTGAATATATGTAGAAAGTAGGAAAACGGCTTTATTATATGATAGGCAAAAGTAGTACCTTCATTAAGCAAAAACCAACGGAATGGTTCAATAAACAACAATCTGAAATATTTACCTCAGTTCTCTCATCCTTCTCAAGAGGGAAAGCTTCACCAACTATTTGAGATGAAGAAATCTTAAGATTGCTTCCATCACAAGCTGAAGTAGCATCCCCAACAGGTGAAGGAAATACATAAGAATGTGGAAATGGAATATTTAAAGCTCGGGTCCAGAAGACAGAGTTTGCCCTGTCATAGTAAAATTGAAAAATACTAGTTAAATTCCTTTCATGAGGGTTATATTTTGAAACTATGCTGCTCAAGTTAATAATATATATAAAAAAATGAGCCTTTTCCAGAAGATTCCGAAAGTGAATTCCAATAGTGAAAGCAACAAAGGAAATTGGAATAGAATTCACTTTAAGAGGATTTTTTTAAACAATAAAAACGCAGGGTTTATTACGATCATACATTGCTGTCCATATATGGGCTTTGAAAGTCTGGCAGAGACTTTCAGTGTAAGACTGGGCCTGACTCAGGCATATCTGGAAAAGACCAAGCCATAAAACTCCTTCAAGTCCATCTAAGGTTATGCTGACTACCCCAATTAAAGAAACAAAAAGAAAGATAACCTTTGTTCAATGACTGCATTCTAAGAAAATTCTATGACAATAAGTTTTACATAAGAAACTTTCATTTGTGAAGTTTATGACAAAAACCCCCAGTTTCAATTAAGACGAGTGTCAACTACATCATAGCACGTAGTCTCTCTCTGGTTCAAGATGGACCTCAAAATAATATAATGTCTTATATAAATGGGTCAAATACTCTTTAACCGTGTAGATCTTGAACTAGCACTTATTTTGTCAGTATCAAAGAATACAGAAAAAAAGGGCACTTTTGCAACACATAATTCCCCCCCATTTTCAGGAGACGTGGTCATGTCACACTTGTGGAAGAAAGAGTTGGAAGTGCCTCCCATCCTCCATAGGCTGACAGCCGATCCAACCTAGTAGTAACTGATCCACCAAAAGCAACTAAAATATTCCATAGTGAATCGGCTGATAATTCAGCCCATTCTCTTTGGAAAATACTTTAAATATGGACATCTGTCTTCACGGATTGTCAATGACCCAAATCTGACAATGCATAAAAATTGTTGATCAGCTTGCCCACTGACTTTTTCCAGCTTACAACTCCATTTGGTGTGCTTGGATTAAATTTGGAATCTATTTTTACCAAAAAAACTTGCAGATATTATGTCTGAGGCTAGACCCTGTTGACACTCCATGTCTTATTCTAATTATAAATTGATGATAGAGATATTATATTGACTCACCTGGCTTTACATGGTCGGAATTGTTTAATCTCAACTAAATTCTTTCATATTAGGTATGCTACATGAGTTATAAAGATAATGAGACAACTATCCATAAAAATGCTACTCCAAATGTATGAACACGGCACAACTTTTGGTTCTTTTAAGTACTCATATATATTGCTAGATGTAAGGCTATATTAATCACTTCGATATAGTCCAGAAGCAATCATTACTCTTTTTTTTTGTCGCTATTTTTCTAGATGAAAGGTGCAGTATGTGATTTCAAAGTTATAATTACATGCTCTGTGAATAAATTTGTAAACATTCCCTTCTGGCCTGGATCCTGAAATCGTGACTATGACAAGATAAATTCTAACCATTTAAAAAGTATGGTCCCAACTTTGCATTAAACAATATTTGAGAAGGGACTCACCAGAGGAAATCTTCAAACTGTACCTCTCTCCCACTGGAAAATAACAAAGTAGAAAAAACATTAGTGTTTAAGAAGAGCATTCAAGCAAGAAGAATGAGAATCCTTCAGTAATAAAATTCTTAAATATAGTATGTAACATAAACATATTGCTTGAGCCTTGACTGACAAACACAATGGGTTTAAAATGAAATGGTTCAAGAAGATAATAGAGAATTTCAATGAAAATCTTCGTCCATTTACAAGTCGAATGCAAAACCAGATAGTCATTTTATTGAAATTAATAAAAGAAGGCCCGTGTGAAATGATTATGCCAATGTGGTTGGCAATGTCACCTCTGCACAGGTTGAGAAGATAATACAGCTGTGACATATGACAGTTAAAAACTTGATTGTGAGTGCAAACTGATTTGCAGAGATTGGCAAGAATCATGCTAAATCAGTTCTATGTAAAATCCTCCGTCAAACAAAAATTATTTAGATTGTTGACAGAAAGGTGATCCGTTCATCCGGAAAATGATACATCAGATTTAGAAAACTTACATGTAGCACCACTTACTCTATAAGAATTGAACAAAAACCTGAATTTTTTTATTTATACTGCAATGGGCACTTGTTTTTTGCACTACCATACTACAGCTTAGACCTTACAGATTTCTGCCTTATTGCAGAAGCTCTAATTGAAAAACAACTTCTGATTTTGCTCATTCCAGAAGACAAATCTTGAGCACAAAAAATACTATAACTCTGTTGATACCATAAAATATACAAATCCACAGTCTCAGTGTCACTACAGGTTAAATTATACATTGTAAGCATCCTTTTTCCAGGAAGAGCCCTCTCTCCCTGGTGGTCCTAGACACCTCTTTAGGAGATGGGCTGATGAGCTCATACATAATCTTCAAAATCACAGCTAATGTATGTTATCAAACATGTAGCCCGGGAAACAAAACCTAACTAATATATTTGATCCAACTCAAAAGGTTTTAAATAACACAACTAATATCTTAAACGATCTATAAGTGCAAATTTGAATTGCTCGCCTTTGAAGACTCCAACCATCGGGTTGTATGAACCACATCAAATCTCATCATGAAGAGAGCACATATCAGCTGAAAAAAAAAATCAATAACGATACCAATGATTCCAACTAGTAGACTGACTACTTTATCACTACCTAGGAAGCAATACATGCATACACTCTTTTCAGCACAATAAATCAAGAGATCAGGACTTCGAGTTGTTAAACCAGGCTGGTGTCAGAGCTGTACAGCCATAAACATATGAATGATAAATTCGACTTAGTTAATCAAACAAGTTTCATCAGAAGCTCTTCAGACATCTCCGCCATCTTCCCAAGTCACGAAAATTCCACTGCTGTTTTATTTTTTCCTTTATCTGAACTACAGTGGCACCCATAAGAAATGGTGTCAAGATGGGGATGGATCGTGAGATTTTTTATCTTCTTAATGTGAATGGTAGAGAATCAATCATGTGATAAGACAAAAAATCATTTCGTCTCAATTTCACAAAACCATATGACATAGATGATTGACTACAAAATATGGCCTACCGAATGACAAAATTGAGCTGTCCCCTAATTTTACAGACCAGTGATGGATGTTAGAGATAATCTAACTTGAGCTCATACCTTTCCGTCATTGTAACAAAATTAATTAATCAGTAACAAGTGATTAATTATATCATAACAAAGATAATAAATATATCATTAAATATGAATGGAAATAGCTCCATGTGACTTCAGTGAGGGAAAAGCAATAACTCATATCCTACACTCATACAAAAGGTGTTTGATCATTGAATGCAAGAAAGCATAAGATGTAAATTAACGATGAATAAACCAGTAGATAATGCCACTAAATGCACATCTTTGATCAGCTCTGTCACGAATACCAAAGCTCAACTCCGAAAGTGTTGTTTCAGGCACGCCCACAATCCATCATAAATTCTTCGAGTCTGAAAATAGCATCACATCAAAGAAAAAATTTATTCCATATACCTTTCCGCTTTACCCTCAAGTTGCAGAATCTCCTCGACCAGACTTTTCACTTTATCATCAAAAAGTGTCTGCAGCCTTTTTTTCTGCATAGATACACCTATTCATTTGAGCAGGCGAGATACGTTTACTGTTCCCAGATATATATTCCTCGAAAAATAGAAATAAAAACATAGATAAATAAATGAGGCAAAAATCGATTTCGTTACCACCTACGTCAATGCATGATAACTCGCCATAGTAAAAGAAAAAAAAAATTACATTCATTATAGAATTGGAGCCCAATGGTAGAGCAGTCAAGGAACAGTACCTGCAAGAGTGTGGCTTGATACAATGAAGTTCCCTTCAATTCAGAAAGTTCATCCCCAGAGAACCAAAGGGGACTACTGAAAGTACTTGGCAGCATGTCAAGATACCTGACCCAGAATTTAGGAATTATGACAATGATCCTTAAAAAGATATGTAGAGCTTCAAATTGCTCAAGTTATCAACAAAGCAATAATGATTGACCCCTCCCCTCTGCTGTTTTAGAAACACGCCAACCAACATGAATCCACTACGGAACACAATTTCTACCGAGAAGTAATGCTGACCCTCCTACGCCGAAACTAAATTGATAATATGTATCATAAAGTAGTTCAACGTAGGGTTTTGGCAATAAAGGCATACAGCAGGACTTGATGCACTGGAAACCAGTGACAGAAGCGATGGAAAAGATACAATCATTCATCAGCAAATCGCAAACCGTCGGTTGCTTGGAAAACGGTGCAGTACTTACGGCTTCCATGGGGAGTTGCGTCGCAGGCGCTCGACAGTGAGAAAGAGAACCATCAGGAAGCGGTCATCTACATGCCCTTCTTTAAACATTTCGGCGCACCGTGGACCCAACGAACCATCTTGCAGCACCCTCATGGGAGTTATGGCCAGGTTGAGAGGTATCACCATGAGAACACCTGCGAATTACTCGCACGTCGAACTCCCATTATTGATCTCTAGCGAAAAGGGAGGGAAACCATGTCAAATGGTCGTTTATTGCAAGTTTTGTACCATTCCCATCGGACACGCTTCCGGCAGCGGGTGAGGAGAAGATGCCATATCCCTTGGATGGGCCGCAATACTTGATCGAACACCCCTGTAACTGCCCGCCATTTACCTAGCGAAATGGCAATCCAACGACATAAACGGATGTACGAGCGCAATCCAGAGAACACCCGCAACAGTACAAAGAGAACGAGAGAGAGAAAGATGGGGAAGCACCTGAAGCCATTGCAGAAACCTGTCGAGTTTGGCATCTTCTTCCGCAACGATGGCCATGCCGAGCTGGGAACCACACTACTCCTGACCTTGGACTCCAGTACAGCAAAGGAGTCGGGTATGGACTATCAGGCTGACTCTGTATAAATAATGATTGGGGTATTACAAATTTCAAAACTTTAAAAACGCCTTCCCCTGCTAACAACTCAATACTCCCACCATTTCTCTCGTTATGTATGAGTTTCGAGCCAGTTTCCTCCTTCCCTCCCTGGAAAAAGCGCCCAGCTTTTCATACTAAAAGAATACATAACGCCACGCCGCCAATTTTCCAGTCTAAACCAACGGGGAAAATGACTTTTTTCTGCGTTGGCCCGAGGAAAGGGTTGATCTCACCTCCGAATCAATGAAACTAAGCTAATCACTCACTCATACCTCTGTCTCATTGCGCTCTCTCTCTCTCTCTCTCTCTCTCATTCATTGATTCCGTCTCTAGTGACCCTCATGATAGTTTTGTTGTATTATTGAGCTAGTCACTCACTAGATTAGAACTACGATATCTATAGATCAAAAAATATCACATTAATTGACTTCAAACACTAATGATGGTATCTTATAAACATTGACATGTTAACCCCAATGAGGCCACTCGTTGGGAATTGTTGAAGCTTTAAGCTCACAATTTAGACATCTTCATTAGATTCTATTTGCTTTAATTACTAAATATATCATCTTTAATGGGTGAACTTGTTGTTTAAATATATATAAACTCAAGAAAAATAAATGTACATCCAAAATCAAGATCTAAACTTTGACAAAAGCTTATGGTCACCATAGACACTTAAATCTTTATGTATTTCATGATTTTACAGTTCTCACAGCCATAGGAAGCCATGTTCTTATTATATGGGAACTTGTTGATTGGCAATCTTTATTGATCTGATTACTATTTTGAGAGGGCCAAGTCCAACTGCTGAGAGCCAGAAATTACCCTTCTTTTTAATTCCCAAGAGTAATTCTCAAGTATCAAAACATGCTTAACTACCTATCAAACCTCACCCCTAGACTTGGCAGAGGTCATTAGGCACAAAGAGTTCTCCAAACATAACTCAACAGTGGTAAGCAAACCTACTCAGCCCAATAATTGATTCTTGGCAGGACCTGCACCACTGAAGTTCCCAAAGCACAGCCAAAAATGAAAGCTTGATATTTCCAATTCTAGTATTTCCAATTAAAACTTCAATTTTGATTTGTGATTTCTATTCACAATAGGGTATTAGAGAAAAACTTTAAATGTTCTAAATATATCCTTCAACGTTTACCAAGGTAAATTATTTTGAATGACATGACAATGACCCATTCTCAAATTGGAGAATCACACCATTGAATAAGATCATTGATATCTCCAATAATTCCAGTACATTACCTACATCAAAGTTGTGCATGTCATCCAGAAGTAAGTTCATCATTTTTTTCAAGGTGAATACTAGACTTCCCCTTCAAACTTGCTTCATAAATAGTTCACTACATACTAGACTTAAACATCTTTTATAAAATAAGAAAATATGGGGGCAATACTTTTTCTACACATAATTTTGAAACACATCTTTGAAAATAAGTAAATATAAGTTTTTTGCGGTAAAAGCCCACATTAATTCTAGGTACCTCTAGTAGTGACATTGACTTCGGTTTGGCCTTCTGGTTCAATATGGCATGTAATATTGAATATCACACAATTTTTCAATGGATATCTGGGTTCATTATTCTACTTGATATAAATTAATATTAGAGACCCAATGGTATTAATGATAATTGGTGAGGCAGATAGAATAAACTAACATATCTTTCATAATGCTAAGAACACAAATTATAAAAGTTAATAGCATAGAGGGAAAGGCCATGGTTGGTTAGATTGTAGGATAGCTTTGCATGTTTTATTTTACAAGCACTATATCAACTCTATTGGAAGGTCATCATGTTTTCACTTGTTCCATGAGTGTTTTATGATCTTCTACATTGTATCATGCCATTCAATGCACCCAAATGATGATGTATTATGAAAAAAAAAAAAAACTCATCTTAATAAACCTTATAATTCTCCATGTAATTCCCTTGGAAATTTGTAAAGTATGGAGAGATCTTCGAACTCAATTTTTTTAATTCATTCCTTTGTACTACAATGATGCAATCCACCCATTAGAATTAAGACCAAAAACTCACACTTTCTTGATATCATCCACCAAATAGATATCACCTTAGATACAATCAAGAAATTATCCAACTAGTTCTTTCAAGAGAAGACATGTGTAACTTATTGATGCATCCTAAATTATACTTCAGATTATGGTCTACAGCCTTCCATTTCTGGGAGGGAAAGGAATTACCTTCTCCATTAGATACTTGAGGCTTTGGAAATAAATCTAGATTTAGATTTTCTATTTTTATATAGAAGATTCATTTTTTATAACCATAATGGTTGCATAAATATAAATATCTGACACTAGATTTATCATGAATTTTTTACCACAAAATTCTTTAAGTTTGTTGATTTGCATCAGTTTAGCACAAAATTATTTTCCCACAAGCAGTATATGTCAAGATGAATGCTTCTCAATGACACAAGTTCTATCCAACTGGACAGAACTAATTTGCCTCCCAATCTAAGCATATTCAATGACACAAGTTCTAGGCTTGATTTTTAAGTCAATGACTCTTTCAATGGGAAAAAGAGCATCATGAATCAATTCGCCTCCCAATCTAGTATGTTTTTATAAGAATTCCCTTCCAATCCATTCTCAATGCAAATCCTGGACATTGTGTAAACCCACCTATACACGAATTCACATCTGTCGGGGACTCAACATTAGACACTATGCGTTAGCCTGCTGTCTTTGGGTTCATGATTTTGGGAAAGGCAGATCTGCACCTGTTACATACCTGTAGTAACATCTATCTAATTCAATTAACCTTTACAATGTAAATAAACAAAATAGCATTCACAAAAATTGAAGGCGAAATATTTCCTCTGGGTTTGATGGTGAGGACATTGAAAAAAAAGAAGGTAAATAATTTTTAATAGCATGTCAATCCCATGAATTCTTCTCCATGGACATGAAATGTTTCATGCAAGTGGGTTAGCTCATTAATGCCAATTTTTTATCTTTCCCACTGTCTTCTTTTGTGTTTTTTTAAGCTCACAATGGTAACACAATATTGCCCATCTTGTTAGCTAACAAGCTTTTTTATCGTGTTTACCTCATGTCACTGTGCTTAAACCATTAAAACATGAAATTGTTTCCTTATTTTATGATCTTGATAGCTAGTTTTGAGGATTTAAGATGTACATTTGTATGATTTCAAGGTACAAAAGCACTAAAATTGCCCAAGATAACACCTCGAAATTGTTATTAATCATTAAATCATTATGCGACAACTGCTACCAACAGAGAAACCTCAAATAAACCATTAGAAATCTTATTGGATGCCATTATTGGCATAACATTTTCTTTAAAAGCTAATGCTTTATCGCAACCTAATATCAGTAAAGTTGTACCAATTTCAGAAATCATCAGGCCTAAGAAACATTTCATTTTTAATTTAACTCCAAGGAGGTAGCTCCTACCTTGGGAGTTATAGACAAAGACGGTAATAATGTCCATGAAAACGTGGCTGGAAATATTTTTTTATCACAATAAAGACATAATCTCTTATCCTCTCTATCTTCTCTATCCTTGCATTGAACTTATCACAGTTTCTTAACAAGATAATTAGAAGATCTTATTTCCCTGATCACTTTTGAAGGAAGTTCGTTTTTCTTACCCTACATTTTTATCATGCATTGTTGGGTGCACCACAAACATCTTGATATTTATTCCGTTCAACGCCCCGTTAAATTTACTCTTAAAGTTTAAAGCCGCGTCAACCGAATCACGCCGGCTCTCTCTCGCACTCTCGACTCTCTCTGTGCATCTCACTAGCTTCGTAGGGATCCCGCTCGTAGCCCATCCCAAGGCTCTCAAAGTTTATAACCACGTCAACCGGACAAGCTGGGTCTCTCTCTCTCTCTCTGTCTGCTTCATAGGGATCCCACTCGTAGCCCATCCCAAGGCTCCCGGACCTGGGCCGGGCCTGCCGAACCCCCTTCATATTGGAAGGATGTGGATATTCGGCCTCTCTTACGTGAGGAGATTAATTACATCATGATGACGAAAGCCATGGCGTCCTCATCACCATGCACGTCTCCGCATCAGTCCCTCCTCACCACGAAAAATGGCCGTCAACCGCTATACACCCACGATCTCCGAACGGTCCCTATATGGAAGGGAGCCTCAGAGCTCGGCTTCACCACCAACCCAACTTCCACCTACCATTCTCCCCAGCCATCTTCTTCTTCTGCCGCAACCCACCATGGGGAAAACCGAGCCGACGAGGAGGTCTCCGACCGGCGTCTTCTGCTGCTGCGCGCCGCTGCTGGTGCTGCTGTTGCCGCTGGGCCTCGTGCCTCTCCGCTCGCTCGCGGCGGAGCAGCGCGGCGCGTTCGCGCAGCGGCCGTGCGAGGAGGTGTACGTGGTCGGCGAGGGGGAGACCCTGCACACCATCAGCGCCAGGTGCGGCGACCCCTTTATCGTCGAGCGCAATCCCCACATCCACGACCCTGACGACGTCTTCCCCGGGCTCGTCATCGAGATCACTCCCTTCCGGCCTGGCCCGTAAAGAGTTCGAATGAATTGTTTATTGTAGAGTGTGTGTGTGTGTGAGAGAGAGAGAGAGAGAGCTATTCACTCGTCCACTGTGAGAAGAAGATAACCTGATTTCCCCAGACATTTTCGTATCCCTTCTTCGTCGTTCGCTCTGTTCCTGGCGGTCACCAGGAGGAACCCATGAGAGCCGTCGTCATGCCTCGCCTTCTCTTCGACTCCGACGGCGGTCTTCTCGGTATGCTTTGCCGGCGGCGAGCGCCGCTGCCGCCCAGCCGTCCCATTAAGATCGTGGACCGAATCGAAGCATATTCACAAGGGATATTGAGCCAACTCGGCTTTGTATTTGGCCGTGACCAGCCCAATTGAAGAACAGAACCGCCGTTTACTCTGTTCTTGTGCTACTTGATGGGCCTAGCTCGGTTTTGTCGGGCCGGGCCTGGAGGACACCTATTGTCCCCCCTTCACGTTTGTACATTTGTACGCAGTCGTAGGAAGTATAACCCGGAAGAAGTCATATTTGTGACAAGTTGACTACTGTCGCGTGTGGAGACGCGTCCCTCTACGGGGGGTTGGCGCACGTGATTGCCATGTCGATGGATTTCCTATCATCCTGTCCCCACACCCCATAACGGGGTCTTAAACACAGCCGGCAGTATCCCCTGAAACCCGGCGAACCCAGCTAGTTCTCTCGTAGTACCAAAACCACACCACGTTACACGCATATGCAAGGTCCCGTCAGGGACTGAATGAGAGAGAGAGAGAGAGGGAGGGAGGTGATCGGGACCGTTTGTCATGCCCGTCCATCCTGGGTCCATTCGAGCCTCGGCTTTGGATTCTTTCTTCCAAAACTACCAAGCTGATTATCTGTTACGACTGAGGAAGGGAGAGAGAACCACCCCCATGCCATCAAACTTCCATCAAATATATATATACCTACAGGTAGGTAGAGTGAGAGAGAGATAATGGGCTCCTGGTACGTGCAGCACAAGTATCTTCTTATAAAAAGCGACACGAGGAAGAAGAGGAGATCGTCCACGCGACTCCCATTTTCTCTCCTATCTAGGTCCCAAGCCTCTCCTCCGTTACTCCTCGCAAGAGCACGCTGAGGCACGTGCCTTCTCGACCTCTAGCGAGCATGCATGCATGCATGCATATGCGTGGGCTCTATAAAAGCCTTGTCCGCTGATCATGTCATAAAAATAATGAAGCCAAATGCTTGGATCACTGTAGTATCCTACGTGGCGTTCCCCTTCGATTATAATGCAAAGATTTTCGAGGTGTCTTCGTTTGATTCTACTTCCCCATTTGCAAAACATCTAGGAAATATCGGATAAGTTCGAGTATTTTCAACACCTGGCAATTCGTTGCCCGGACTTGTCCGGCTTCAAATACATTTCCCCTTGGGAAGAATAAGATGCTCTTGGAATATTCGAAGGATATCCGTTGACGAGACAGTCCAGCGCGTCGGTACTAAGAGAGTGGGTGGACCCAATCAATCTTTTCCACATTTTGGGCGCATATATGCGGACAAATTCAAATTAATGACATGGAATGTGTTAAACGCACTGTCGCACGTCGCGTTGAGCTCTACGTGTTGCTCATTCCGAGCCATCGGTTTTCTATCAAACGGGTGCTCGAGAAGGAAGCCAAGATATATTTATCAAATATATTATTATAGTTTCATGAATGGCGACGTCCGGAATCAGCCCACATCTTCCAAGCCTGTGCCTTAAAAGTAAACCCGTAATTATAAATAATTTTCTTTCTAGGAAGTGTTTTGAGAGGATATGCTCGTAACATCTTCTTACTACTTTTTCCATGTTTTGCTATTCTTTTAAAATGACAGAAAGGCCGCCCTTATGCCGAGAAAGGAAGAGAGATTCTCCAGGTAGAGATAGACAGACAGACAGATATATATATATATATATATATATATATATATATATATATATAGAGATAGCGAGCGAGAGAGAGAGAGAGAGGAAAGAGGGTGATGATTCAGTGCCCGTCTAATTTTGTCGGAATAGAAAGGATATGCTCATAATATTCTTCGGGACGTCTTTTTTAACTGAAAGAGAAGATCTAGAGAAAGAGAGAGAGAGAGATGACTTCTACTTTGACTGTGGTTAAGTCGATGCAAGAATAGTAGGAATGTGCTCAGAATAGTCCCCAAGCCGTTATGTGCCCCATTCAAACTCTAAATGACAACAAAACCTTCATTTTATATCGGCAGATATGATCCAAAAAAGGAGAGAAAATAATTTACAAGGAACGTATATATGTAGATGCGAAAAAAGATGGGTGGATTAATAATAAGCTGATTTCACGAGGACTTTTGATCAAAAGAACCCCGATAACGAAGCCAATATTTCTCTTTCTTCCGATGTGATGTTGAGAGAACCCCGGCGGAGCCTTAAAGAATCCACCCCCAGCTATCCCTCTCAGGCAGGCTCGGTTGATCTGCGACAGTCCATACGCTCACACCCAAGATCCCTTCACACAGAGAGAGAGAGAGAGAGAGAGTGAGTGCTCCGTTGTCCGTCCTCATTTATCATGCTTGCCCTTTGCAGGAAGGGGACAAAGGTAACATCAACGTGGGTCGAGAGGTGGCGAGCGACCCGGCAAAAGGTTAGAGTCTTCTCTCGTAGAACTTTGACGTCAGTGTCTGCAGATGGGTCTAACCAGCCGGTAGCGGAGGGTAGAATGCACAGTGTCTGTCCAAAACAGGCGCCCCGGCTTGCCCTGGTTCTTCATCTCCCTTCTTCGCCATTAGAGATTGTCTCGGCCCTGTGGAGATTCGTTTGGACCCTCTGCTTGGAAACAACGTCCTCATTTTCTGACCAAACTTTGGAATGGGGAGAGGAAGACTATCACTCCATTCCATCTGGCTCCCAGTTATCCAGTTATCAGATGGATACAGGACTAGAGAGAGAGAGAGCGAGAGAGAGAGAGAAAGAGAGATGTGTGGCCTCTGGTGAGTGCAGCGGAGTTATTGCCTTCTCCCTATGTTGGTGGGCAGTATTTTCCTGCGTCCATCAATCCATGCGACTATGTCATTCTCTCTCCTCTCCTCTCTCCGTCACTAAGTGGGCACATGTGAAATTCACATGCCTACTCGACCTCGGTGATGGGTCCTGTAAAACCTCATCTCCGAGGGGAGAGAAAGAGAGAGAGAAAGAGAGAGAGAGAGAGAGAGAGAGAGAGAGAGAGAGAGAGAGAGAGAGAGAGAGAGAGAGAGAGAGAGAGAGAGAGAGAGAGTATATTTGCACATTATATCGAAATATGTATCTATACAGATAAATGGACATGGGTGAAAAAAATTACACATATAGATAGATCTAGCAGTTCCCCTGGTAGTTTATCTAAGCGGTCACCCGTCGCCCTGAGCTACAGGTGCTGTTCCATTCAAGCCATTCATTTTCTATCCCCAGTCAGCTCTAAAAACTCTGATTGTTTCGTCTAACAGCATAAATATTATCATGGATGCATGTAAATCCGCTGTTCAGGTGCCAACTACAGGTAAAGCCGATAAGCCGTCGCCGCACGTTTTGTCTGCGTGCAAGTTTTGTATGGCCTGTAACTCAGTGGCCACGCGTCACATTATATGTAGGATGCAAAAAAAAAAGTATTTCTACAGAAAAATATTATCTCAGGGTAATGCTGACATGCTGACGGGCGCCAATAAATGCCGTCGTAGGTTTAGCACCAATGTTTCAAGCTTGTCTCTAGCAATTAAACCCTAAAACGTCACTAGACTTTGAGCCCCACACACTCTCTCTCTCTAGCTAGTTTCGGGCAAGTGCTCAGGTGGAGCATTGTCTTCTTCCATGGACCGCTTGTCTTGTGGTATTTAATGAATGTGGCAACTGGCGCCTTGGAAATTCTGCATTACAATAAATAAATAAATAAAAGCCCTGGGGGTGGGGGGGGGGACGGAAGTTTTTAAAATAAATAAATCGGGGAAGAAAGGTATTTGGATTTTTAAGAAATAAATGGAAAAAAATGGGAGTGGCGTGGAGCGGCTCTTGTGGATCGAGGAAGACCCCTGCGGGGCCCACGCAGCTACACCCAGCACAGGTAATTTATTTGGCGGGTGTCATCTCCATCGCCAGCCTGCAGCCGTGGTTGTCCGTGGGATCGCCGAACCCGTACTCCCTCTCTCTTCCATCTTCGGGCAGAGCGGCCTCTCTCTCTCTCTCTCTTGTTCTGTGTCTGTCTCCGGTGGTGGCGGTGGTGGCGTCGTATGCTGGAAGGACATCTGTGGTAGAATAGAAGGCCGCCTCGGCGGGAATTTTTCTTTTCATGAGCGGCTGCCGTGCCGTGTATGCGCTTCTTTCCTCTCCGAGTGGCGCCGTTGTTTGCCAGCCCTGCTGAAGACCGCCGCCGCCGCCGCCGCCGAGGTTCCTGCTGTGGCCGCGCCACCTCACCTCATCCTTCTTGTGTGACGAATGCGTGCCGTGTGTTTAGGCGAGTCGAGCTTAGTTCGGTGGAGCTTACTCTCTCTCTCTCTCTCTCTCTCTCTCTCTCTCTCTCCATGTTCTGTGTGACGATCTCATTGATGCAATCGTAGCGTTTTGACGAAATTTAATAAGAAAAAGGTCCGGGGACAAAAGGGAGGTACAAGGTTGGAGAAAAAAAGCTTCACAGCCGACTGGTGAGAAGTCTTCCGCAGTTTCTCTTTTGATACGTGTGTCCCTTCTGCTCTCAGTCGTCAAAAGCTCTGTCTCTCTCTCCTTCCCGTCCTCTCTTTCTCTTCCTATCATCTCTTGTTCGTTTTCACTCCCTCCTTCGTGTTTGTCTTTTCCATGGGAAGCCTTAATGTTGATGCGGTGATCTTTTCGTTACCGGGCACATTAACAGGCAGCCTGAGGGATGTGGGGGGATACATAGAGCACCATCTCAAGGAAGCTCCACGAGGTGTCCCTAAGCAACGGTGAAGGTAACGGTGGTTTCACTTCGCTGCTTTACAGTTTTCCGTATCCTTGTTGTTGATCGCTGCTTTCAATTCGTTTCCACGGCTGTATTTTCTCTCTTGCTGCTACGGTGCTTATCTGCTGGGCTGCGGATTATTCGTCAGTGACGAATTGTGGCCGGTCCTTTCTTAAAGTCGTGCAGTGCTGTATTATTGTCTTGATCCACGTGATATCTATGGCTCATCTCTGAATGTGCGGTCAGAATTTCGAATTCCCTTTGGGTAGTTTAGCTTGGAAGTTATCCATGAATGCTTTGCTCGGAATAATGTGTTCCTGATGCTTCAGATTTCCAGTAGAAAATTGGTTAGAGAGCCATGCCTCCGTTTTCAGCTTGCTGAGGTATAGCTGAATGAGTCTGCAAATTCTTCAGCTGCTGGGTTCGCACGCTTCAGAAATCAATAAAAAATAGCCTTTTCCGCTTGGAGTTCCTTTGGTATACATTGGAAGACCCATAATTATACTACTAAGGCACCTTCAATTTATTTTTTAATGTAACTCTCCCAACTGGGTTGTATTTGTACATTGGCAAATTTGAGTGAAATGGATAGAAACTTCCCGATACATTTTGCCTCCCATGGTGATCACTGGTAGGCCCTGAATTTCTCTGTTGAGTCCTTTGAATGGGTATATTGTGCTCAAATCTGCTTTAACAGTTGCTTTTTGCTTATAAGAGGTCATATCAACGTTGAATGTGAACCTTTAATCTACATACAGTAGCTGATTTTTTAAGTAATTTTACCTTGGAGTTCCTTTCTTGCGGGTTATGTTGCTTGTGATGGGGAAGTAATGAGAAATGCGACTCAACCAAAGCCCTCTTTTGGTGGCCGTACTTCAAAGCATTGAGATTCTCTTTGTTGATGTGTAGTTGGACCATTATTGAATATTAAGTAACGCTTTTCCAGTTGACCTATGGTGTTTGTAAAATCAATCAGTTTGTCTGTGCGCTGCTATAACTTGATTAACGCAAAAACCATTTTTCAGTACATCTTGTAGCTTGTTTCTTGTAGTTCCATGTATCACTGTTTCATAGTCCTGAAGAAATTTATCTGAGAAGGGAGCCGGGCATTATTCCAGATTAAGTGCTTCTTCATTGTTCAGCTAGTTTATCAAATCAGTTTCTTTTTTAGTCTCCTTGTGTGTAACGCGATAGCTTAGAGGAGAACGTTTAACTAAGTGGGCGCAAACACTAGATGTTCAGGGAAAAATATTTAGTGAAAAAATACTCGAGTCTCATAAAATGTTTAGGTCATTTACATTTAGAAACTTCTGACCAATAATTTTTATAAACTTTATCAAAAGGGTTGAATCTTCTTCGTTCATAGGGTGACTCTCCATGGCAATGAATCTCGAAACTAAATTTTGGTCTGATACTTCTCCAAGGAGGAGGCCTTGGTCTCCTCCCTCTAACCGCAGTACTGGTGTGACATAAGGACTTGTTTCAGCTTCATTTATACAATTTTATGCATGCTGAATGGAGCTCAGTTTATGGACCATTGGTATTTCATGAGTCGTAAAATAGGTTCAGTCACCATTTTTTTTTTTTCCAAAATTTGGAAAATCCTTTTCAGTCAGAATGGTGTGGAAAACGTATATAAGGTAAGTAGAATACATATAAGCGTGGAAAATTCTTAGCTTAACCAAATTGGGATTGAGTCAATCACCAACTTAGATATTTAATTTCGCCTTCATCTGGATATTTTTTTTTGCAAATAAAAAAGGGAAAATCACTTATTTTTGTTTGCCTTAAATTCACTTTGGATTGATGAGCGTGCACTAATTCTCTAGTATACAAAAGGCAGTATTTGTATAAGAAGCACACTGCCAATGGACGTCCTGAAGCCACACATTTTTAATTTGCGTGATATTGTTTCGTTTATCCTCCCACCCATATGAACTTTATGCGAAGATATTTCGAAGAGGATTTTGATTTTTTGCTCTCACATGACACTGTCATGTGATAAAATATGAAGCTTAGTAATGGGTGATAGTTGTCCGTCCCTTTTGAATGCTGTCATATGGAGAGTTCTAACATTTACTGGAGATCTAGAAGAAAGAGTACTGCATGCCACCGATTATTAAAAAACAAGTATTGGTGTCATGGATACCTGATTCCCACTACTGCTGGGAGGCAATCTCTATATGCTTTGTGGTTACAAATAAATCCTAACCCAAAAAAACCTGCGCAGATTAGATCATTATAGAAAATTAATCTGAAGCTTGTAACATTGACAACATTGTTTCGTACATAATACGTGGGCTATGCTAGGAGGATATTTGATCAGCATTTACCTTCAGTTTCTTTCATTTTATGTGGTTATATACTACCATTTATAATGGCTAATCTGTCTTTGTTCTATCTGATTGATGTTGTTACAAGAATTTCTAGCACTAACTTTATTGATGTAGTTAGTATCTGGCTGACCTTTCTTTGAGGAGTTCAATTTGTTTTGTTGTTTGCGTATTCTATATCTTAATGGACTATGTCATGGTGCCCAAAAGTTTCTTCTTGTTCATTTAGTTGACATTGTCTGCTGTATTTTTAAACTTCTCAATTTTTTTTCTTTTTGGATTTAGGCTTGCTCCATCATCTGAAAAAATGGTTCAGTTCGCAAAGAAGTTGAAGGCGAATCAAGTTGAGGAATGGCAAGGGTATGGTTGCTGAACTAAATTATCTAATTAAATCTTCTCTTTATAACGATTTTCTCTTTTAGAATGCAGCATCTCTGTTAGCAGAGATAACTGATAATATATTGTAGGAGAGGATAGCGTATTGTAATAATGAGTAGCTTTATCTTCCCCTTATCTATTATAGCTCAGGTGGGCCATTTTTATGGGTTTTGAAAGTCAACTTCTTTATTAGGAAATGGTGATTCGTTTTCTCAATATCCTTTATGAAAGGTCTAATATGTGTTGCGTCAATCAGTTACACAGATGTGTGGTTTGTTAACATCTGAGCAGTACTAAAATTTATCATTTTTCGATTGGTTTTGCGTGCTGTTCTGCCACCGATGTCTTGTTTTTCTTTTTTGAAATATATTTTGCTTTATACTTTCTCAAAGGCAATTTGGTATATTTATCAGGAGTCACCAACTCAGGTTGAATAAAGTCTTGGAAATTTGAAAAGCTGGATCAAACCCTATCCACTTATTAATGAGTTGTTTGTGATTCAGACTAAGCTCAGAACTTGTTCGTCTGTCCAGAACCACCCTCTCCAAATATGCATGACACGTGTGTTGGCATGATTAAACCCGATGCAGGAAGCTTCATTATCAATGGAAGTTGGATAAAATCATGAGACACAGAGTAAGAGTGAGTGAGAAGTTTATTAAAACTATTTGGTGACTTTAATTATCTTTTTATTTGGTCTCGTAGATCCTTCCTTTAAGGGAACGGTCGTGACCGCATTGCTCAAAATTTACAAACAAAATGGTGAAATAAATTGTAGGATTTACTTTTTCAAATCAATCACATTTTGCCTTTAGATTAAAAAAAAATGTACCAGTGGATTTTTGTTTGTCTAGGTTTTCCTTTCTCTCATTGCTGGTGGGCAATGGATTCTCATTAGTTCAAGAAACCCGATATAGAGGATCTGTACCAAGTCCCATAGGATTTTTCCATCATGTCTGTGGTAATGTGATGCGGTACAACCCACCTTTTTTTCTCAAAGTGGATTAACCAGTTGTTTTTTGTTGGCTGCATTCATTGGGACTTGTTTTCTAATTATGGAGATCTTGCCGCATATCTTTCTATAAAATCGGTTGTTATCCACAATGTTGGTCGTCAAGCCTTGGGCCAGCTGGCCTTTGTTGAGATGGCCCCCTCAGAGTTCGAAGAATGTGGCATCTAAAGGTGAACTCGGAGATGTGTTAACAATGGCAGATTCCTACACCGTGGACAGTATCAAAAGAGAATCTCTCAAGCACCTTGATACCAGTCCAATTATTTCTCAGGGTTGGATATCTACAAGAAGTAAAGGAAAATGATAAGTTCTTGCTTTTATATGACATATGCAATAAGTAAAAGGGATATTGTTGTCGTAGGTGTAATCATGGCATATATTTCCATCATGTTAAATAACATTAGGAAATGATCTCTTTTCCTAAATGGGTTTCTAGTTATTTGAACGTGTGATGGCTTTATTTGTCATTACAATTTTCAAGAGAATTTCATAGACCTAAACACAACGTTTTTAGTAAATTTCTTTGTTTGATTCCATTTGCACCTCATGTATGAATGGTTCATTGGGTTGGATCTGCCATTATCGGATGGCCAAAATCTGTTCAGGGTTCGGGTTGAAACAATGGCCTTTGTTAGAAGAATTATCTCATACAATCTTCTATTAGCCAATTCAAAGAAGTATTCTTTGAGGACATGCCAACAGTGATATTACTTTTACAGAAAAAAAGTGCGGAGTGAACATAGTGACTCCCATAAGGGTCTCAGTAGCCCTCAGGAGAAGCCAAAGGATATAAAAATAAAACACAGTCGACTACTGAAGTATTGTAGTCAATCGAGATGATTGAATGGAGCTTATAGCATACTATGTAAGATTGAATATTTTCACCAGAAGTCAACTAGTGAAATACTTAAACTGAGGTCCTGAACTGTCATTTTGATCCTTTGTTCTGTCATGGATATACTTGGGTTTTCCATGGCTATTATAATTGACCAGTCAGTCAAAAGTTGAACACCAGTCCTAAATGTCTATTGCTATTCCGTTTTGAATCTTTCCTTCTTAACTGGAATTCACGAGGTGTCAGCTGATTGAAAACAGAATCAAAATTAGCACATACTCTGTGAGATAATCAGACGGAATCAGCTAATTTGAGATGGATTGGTCGAAGATATTATCTAGGTACCAAATAGGTGTTCATCTTAACCCAATTCAACCTACCTCGACATCTGGCGCTAGTGGCTTTTTGGTAGCCTTTTTTCTGGCTGCAGTCACAACCTGGGAATTGATATGCCTCAACAAATTATGGGCACAGGTTTGGGGTTATCTGTTTTTCTGGCCGCTAGCTCCTTTTTCTTCATTACCTTCAATCGCCTGTCAATTCTCAGTGTAAATACACCCTTACTGATTTGGTGATCTGAGATCATTCTGCAATGCTTGGCTATGGCATCATCTGTGCACTTGAATTTACTTATAGATAAACCTCTTGAAAATGGTTGACTTTTTAGTTCATTTTTAAAATTTTATTTACTCATGTTTGCTCCCTTCCACTTTATCCTCTAGCTTTTCTATTTATTTACTGTCTTCTCATTTTGTTATATTTTCTTAACACCAGTACAGTATTACTCCCTAGCCTCTTTCTTCATTGACAATGAAGGGAAGGAAAGAATAACTGTGGCATCATCATTTAACGTTGGCCCCTTAAGTTCCCCCCAATTGTTCGTGATGTTTGATAATTTCCGCTTAAATGTGACATACTTATCAATAAGTTAGCGGGATATTATCCAATTACTATGTATAATGCTACACATTTCATTTTAAAAAGTTCAGCATGGATTAATGAGAATATTTCTTGTATTGTTTCTTTGTGAATTGGCTGTGAGTTATTTACTATTTTCTCATGTCAGTTTTTTTGAGATTTTTGTGTTCTATTCTGCTAGCCTGATCTACTTCTATGCTTGTTTGAGTGTTTGTCTTTCATGCTTATTATTATTATTATTATTTTCCCCTCTATTCAACAAGCGGATGCATTTGAAAGTGTGCCGTCTCATTTTGGGTTTCAATTCGTTTTTTCACTTCAGATACTATATTAACTACAAGCTGATGAAGAAGAAAGTAAAGCAATATTCTCAACAGATAAAGGTTGGGGGACAAGAGCGTCGTCATGTTTTAAAGGAGTTCTCCAGGATTTTAGATGATCAGGTATGTGAATTCAATGAGGAGTCCCTTTTATGCTTGCATTCCATCCACAGAAGTGCGATGAAAGGAAAAACTCATGAATGGTATTACTCACCATTGCTTAATCGCACTTTAAGTCTTGACAGGGTAATTTTTTTAGACTTATGTTTGGTTGAATTGACTTAGTATTTCCGTCGTCATTTCACTCCTGGGTCTTATTCAAGTCTCCCGAGAATAATCAAGTAATTTACCCTTATATAATAGTTAGCTAGATCTACTTTGGCAATTCAATCATGGATGCGTTTTCAAGCTCGCTTCATTTCTGGGGACCACGACTCTGAATGTCTAATGCATTTGACGCCCCCAAATTATGGACAGGCAACTGTAGAGAGAGAAGCCTTATTCAATGCTTCATTCCTAGGGACAGAGCAGGTGTAACTTCACAGCAAACCTTCATACCATACTACTTGATGTAGCTTCATAGCAAACCTTCATACCATACTACTTGACTGTGTCGTTAGTTGAGAAAAGTCAGTTAGCCAACAGGCCAATCGAAAACGTCTATCACTGATAGCAGCCGGGTGAGGGTTATGGCCTCTTCTGTTTAGGAATGCTGAAATGTTTATTCTTTATCTTGCTGTTCTGAGTGAGCACTATAGATAAATGAAATTGTCCGTTGAATCTTGATCAGTAGGTCATGCTGAATCCTAAGGACTCACCTTGCAATGAAACATTGCTCTTTAAGAAACGTTTGGAATAGTTTAGATCATTAATTCATTTGATGATTACCCGTGGGATTGGGGCTTTATATACGAGTTTTCTCTAATCTTTATCTTGTAACATATAGTTGGTTGGAAGTTATATAGGTTCAATTCAAGTGCAGATTATTAAATTCATATTGCTTGGTATTATATTTCTGGCATCAATAAACTATTGTCAAATAAGTGAAGATTACTCTGTGGATCGACATAAGGACGAAAGCAATAAGATAGTTCTGGAGAGATCTTATGAACTGAAGCAGCGTGCCAACTAATTATGAAGAATGTCACATCACTCCCTGAGGCCACTTTATTGTGGAGAGATTTTATTTGGCCATAAAGGTGGTCGATTTCCTTAAAGCTAGATAATAGGGCCATATCCTGGCTGAGAATTTCTTGAAATTTCATTTTTTTTTATTTTCCAATGTGAAAAAACAATTAACAGGATAAGCATTACCGTGATGTTGAAAGCAGTTGTGGCTTTGATTTTTGTTAGTAAATGAAGTTGATATCATGCCCCCTTTTTCGCTACAGATTGAGAAAATTGTTCTTTTTATGCTGGAGCAACAAGGGATTCTTGCAAGCAGGATCAAAAAATTAGGAGAGTACGGTGAAGTTCTGTTGGAGGAGCCTGAAATATCTAAGATATGTGAACTACGAGAAGCATATACATCCGTTGGACAAGATCTTCTGAAGCTACTAAAGTTTGTTGATATTAATGCTACGGGTATCCGCAAAATTCTAAAGAAATTTGATAAAAGATTCGGCTATAGATTTACTGATTATTATATGACAACCCGAGCAAATCATCCATATTCCCAGCTACAGCAAGTATTCAAGCATGTGGTAATGTTTCTAACACCCTGCTCATATCCTGTATCTTTCACATCTTTTTTAGTATTCAAAAGCTGATTTTTGTTTTACTTTCCTCATATTGTGTCATCTAATCCTTACGTTTTCAACAGTCATGATATGAATAGCGCCCTGGCCCTATTTCTTCACTTGCATTTACATGGTCTAAATTTTCGAATCCATATTTTTTAATGCACTATCTTAGTTCATTTTGAAATGTTCAGGGCATAGGAGCTGTCGTAGGAGCATTGTCTCGTAACCTAGCAGATCTTCAGGATCGTCAGGGAAGCTACCTATCAATTTATGATCAACCATCTGTAGTTCTCAAGGTAACCTTTAAATCATCTTTTCTATTCTAAGATGGTACTAATGTGTGAGAGAACAAATATACATTTATAACATATTTATGGTTCCTCTACCCTCACAGTCACATGTTGACTCATGCAGTGATATAATTCATGCTCATATTACTGGCTTCTGATTTTATATTGCAGGATCCCATAATTGACTCCATACAAGCGGCTGTGGATAGGCTTACACACTCGACTAATTTAATTCAGTTTTTAGGACAGCATGCCCTTATTATCCAAGAAGAGCTAGCAGTTACAGCTGAAGAACGCATTGATGACCAAAGATACCATTTTATGTCTCTTCTTTTGAATTTAGTGAACACTTTCCTCTACATGGTCAACACTTACATAATTGTTCCGACAGCAGATGACTATGCAGTGAGCCTTGGAGCAGCAGCGACTGTCTGTGGTGTCATTATTGGGTCAATGGCTGTTGCTCAAGTGTTCTCCTCAGTCTATTTTAGTGCTTGGTCAAACAAGTCGTACTACAGGCCTCTTATTTTCAGCAGCATTGTTCTTTTTCTGGGCAATATCTTGTATGCATTAGCGTATGATTTGAATTCTATTGCGGTTCTTCTTGTTGGTCGTCTATTATGTGGGTAAGTTTACTTTTCCTCCATTTCTTAAAATGCAAAGTTTACTTTTGTTCTTCTTGGACGCTGCATTTTCAGTATAAATGCTATGATAGTTCCACTGTTTTTTATATCCAACTGGTGTACGTTTTATTTTCGCGCTTAACCATTTTATTAATGCCTTGGTTTTGCTGCAAAATTTTCAAGGCCTCGCCTATGTAATGTTGTTTCATTTGATGCTAGGTCAAATTTTTAACATGGGTTACAATTTCTTTGATCTTATGTTGTATTCTGTAATAATATTACAAAATATAATTGAAAGTTTTCCGAATATTTTTCATCACTATTTTTAAATGTTTTGGTGCCTTTTGTATTAATAATGCCATCAAATTGTTGTAACATGGACTTAAAACATTAATTATGTGAAATTAATAAGAAAATGTGCATTTATTTGTATTAATAGAATCCCCAAATACATTATATGATAGTCACTTATATGATATGTCAGTTAACATTTTTTAATGATTTTAAAATTATTTAAACTTAGGTCTTGTCTAGGTGATTTCTAGTGCCTCATCTTATGGCCCATGCGGTTAGGCAGTGATCCACCACCCTGCTCACATTTTTCAACTCAAAAATCTTGTTTCCAGGTTTAGTTTTGGCATTTTTTTTGAAAGCTGCAGACATTACCGGTGGCACATATGGAAGCTTCAATGTAAGCCTTTTATTCGGGTCTGAGTCCCCCGGGGTCTTACTGCACCAATGTTCCTGGAATCAAATCATGAGCTAGCTTCCAAGTTTTTTACCTTGAGTAATTTCCTTCCTATACTGTGTAAGGAATAAACGATTTATTAAAACCTAGTCGACATTGTACAAAACAGATGTGGCATATTTGTATCTTAAAATCGAACATCATTACGCTAATGTTAAAAGGAGAGCAATTGCTCTTGGGTGGTGCAATAAGGAGCGCGAAATTGGTCGTTAAGGCAAATTATGCCCGAGTGTTGATTTATTGTCAGGTACAGTAAATGGTATAGCCATTTTGAAATTAAAGAAAAAATGTATTTTGATGAAATGACCATGAGATTGGAAAGATGAGACTAAAAACTCTTAGATTGAATCGCTGAATTGACAACTGAAAATTTCACAGATAGTTTTTGAATGATATAGTATATGCAAAGGTTTACATGTAATGAACTGAACATCAGCAGCCCTATCATAATAGAAAAGGGGATGGAGTTATGAGAGGATATAATATGTGGCCTGTCTCCGTGACATTTGATGTAGTTTGATGGAGGTATGTTGAGGAATTCATCGGATATTTGTCTATACAGATTGATTTAATGAAGATTTTTTTTATTATAACTTAGCAGTGGAAAACTAAAGTGTAATATATCTAGACATGAGAGCATATGCCCGACCAATAGGAGATACAAAGTTGTTTGTTTGTTTGTTTATCTGCTGTTACGAAATGATTGTTCTTCATTAGTATTTGGCTGTTGCAATTTAATATCACTCATTTTCCTTTGTCTGGAGGGGTCGAAAATGTTGCATAACATTTGAATCCCACAAAATTCCCAATTTTTCATGGTAGTATTTTTTTTTTTTCGAATAACTCTCCACTCTGCACCAGTTTTAGGGTATTTATTTTCTCTCCCAGGAGTACAGAATGACCATAGTAGCCATTCATTACTGTTGAGAACATGGGTATAACGGGAATTGAAGAATGAAGATCAGAAATGGATCGGAGGCACCCAATAATCCATCAATAGTTAGAATAAGAGATCATTCCTCAGCAAATTCATAATTGTACATAACCTTTCTGAAGGGATAGTATCATGACACAAATGACTCTGCAATGTCTGAGAAGAATAATTATGAGTACAGGGGCAGAAATGCCTTCGTTTCCATTAGGGACTCAATACCCCGATGAAAACATGATTTTTTGTCTCTTTGCTAGATTGGCCACTGGCTGGCCTTTTTCAGGCTCGAAAGAAAACTTTGGAGGTATTTATAATTTGCAATTTACCATTGTCTTCTCCTAAACGCAATCAGAGCCTCATGAACATTTACAACTCTGTTGAAGAGGCTTTGGACCCTCCCTTGAATCTGTTCTTAAATAATATTGGGCAAAAAGATGTTGAAAGTCTATGTCATTCTCAAAGCTAAATGCTCCTAAAGGAGCTGATATTGAATCAGATACCTGACGTTATAGAATGGTTACTGATGTTGAAAGGAGCTGAATTAAGGCGCAAAATTATGTGCTCCTATCAAGGAGAGAAGTCATCTAATGGCATCACAGGTGTCCCTCTGCATATTGTACATATGCCTGCTTTTTCTCTAGGACCTTACCCGTCAAGTATTTTCCTCAGCCAATGAAGACATCAGAATGTCAAACTGGAATCCCTGCTTGCCTAACTTTATGGAATCATCTTTTATCAAACTTCAAAGACTGAAAGCCGTATGCGTAAGTGTAGATATCTTTGCGATAATTTCTATAGACTCCAATGTAACTACAGTTCCCACATCTTGGCAATCTCCAGCAAGACCAACAATCAGTTCCTTAATTTCTAGGAAGGCGTATTAGGGACTGATCATACAGTTATACTGGTTTCCAACTGAGTATCCAAGTGCTCAATGATCATCCCTTCCTTTTCTTGTTTTTAGATCCATGCTCTATTTAATCTCCAGACTGTGAAGTCTCATAAAGTATTATTTGTGAATTTGAAACTTGAAATGATATATTTCATTATCAACAGTGCAGTTTTGTCTTTTGGGATATTCCACCTTCTGCCCAATCTGATTAGTATAATCAGCAACGAAGCATACAATAATGCTAATTAAGTTTCTTTTTAAATTTATATTGATTCAAAAATAGTAGCAGATCTATGTTTCGGCATATTAATCACCCCCAACATACCTGAGTTGCATCTCTTCACATGTACTATTCATCTCAGGGATTTTTTGTCTTTGGTGGCTGAATGTGATGGTCGATTAGTAGGTTTGAAATGCGAAATCCTGTTCTATGGGTCGTAGGGTTGTGTTATTCTAGGTTGTCCTCTGTAGTGTGTCGATATAGTACTTATCTCTACTCTGGATATTGCCAACTGTATCCATGATTTTAGATGCAATCCATGGCGTGTGATTATGTTCCATAAATTTGTAGAGTGTGCAAAGGGAAATAGAAGTCTTGATATAATCAACACCTGAACTTTCAATAAGGCACTACTCGCCAAATGGTTCCAGCCTTTGGAAACAGAGGATTATGGGGAGAACTCATATAGCAGAAGTAATGTAGAAGAGTCATATGATGGGACCTTAATCTTAAAATTTCTACTAATATCTCTTGAGTGTGGAAAGATATTCCACAGGCTACAGACATTGTAATGTACGGATATTTGTCTTTGAAATGGCCAGATACTGTTTTGGAAGGACTGGTGTTATGAAACTACATCATTCTAAAATGATTTCAGAGTAGCAGAAAATCTGCTCTTAACTGTTGTTGAGCCTTTTAATGTACACGAGAGAGGATTGGTGTCTAGGATTTAGAGGGAATATTTCTCATGAAGTGGCAAAATAGTTCGTACCTCTTGTTGCTTTACTTGCTGGACCATCGCTGCATAGGTCAGAAGTAGATTAGGAAGAAGGCCATTTGACTCAGCGTATCTCACTATTAATGATGGGGCTATCAAACACCATGATAATCATCTAGTTCAGAGAGTTTCTTTCCCTTTGAAAGTGAAACTCTTGTTGTGGTGTCTAACCTAGGTGCTTCTTGCTTGTGATTGAGTAGCCACCTATTTAGACAAGGGGAGCACTTTCTGCTGTCTGCGTGGGAGATGAAGAGGAAGACATGGTTCACCAGTTCTTTAGGTGCTCCTTCATAGGGTATATTAGACAAAAGATGTTCATCACAATAACCACTAAGAGCTGGTTCCTGGAGCTATGAAAGTGGTATTGCGATGAGGAGAGCAGAGCTGGAGTATTGAGGGGATTTTATTGTGTAATGGCTCATATTTTCTGTGGCTTCATAATGTCAGTTAAGAGTAACCGCATTGTAGCCATATCAGCAGCTTGGTGGATCTTTTCTATCTTTGCTAATGTGCAAGAGTGGCCAGGAGTTGCTTGGTGGAGTCATCCATTTTGAGAAAACGAAATTGTGACAGTTGTATGTAGGGTCCTCTTCTGCACTTCGTGGTGTTATGTTAGATCGTTTTTTCTTCTTTTGGGAGCTAAATCTTATGCGGTGTATGGTTTTTCTTCCTTTACTGTTAACGATCACTTGCCATTATTAATTTTCAAGAAAAAATAAAAAAACTATTGTGAATTCTATGGCGAATTTATGCGGTAGTCTTCAGCAAGGCGAATTCTATGGATTTTTTAATTTTTGTTATGACTATGTTGACTTCTTGCAAAAAAAATCCCTTAACTCAGAATCCTCGTAAATATTGCTTCTAAATATGATCATCGTAATATCCCTTTCTGATATAACGTCTTTCTGGGTTTACAGTTTAGGATCTGCAAGAGCTGTTAACAGGCGGTACATTAGTGATTGTGTTCCCCTTAAAATACGCATGCAAGCTTCAGCAGGTTTTGTTAGTGCAAGTGCACTCGGAATGGCTTGTGGTCCTGCTCTCGCTGGGTTGCTTCAAACTAATTTCAAGATTTATTCTTTGACATTTAATCAAGCCACCCTACCAGGATGGCTTATGGCCATTGCATGGCTCATTTATTTAGTTTGGTTGTGGATTTCATTTAAGGAGCCCATCCGTGAGACTGATGATAACCACACCCAGAATGAACATTTTTCAGGTAAGGGGTTTTTCACCCTTAAAAGTTCTGTATCTTTAAGTATAATATATGGTATGTTGGTTGAAATGATTTTTTTTGTGTTTCTTTTCTTTCCTATGTTTTCGTGATCTCCAACTCCGTGCATTGGCTTTTGAATGGATCTCATGAACATTTGTGAATCAGGACTATTTGCTTTTAAAAAAAATGCTTTTTCGTGTACGATTTTCTTTTATAATGGAATGAATCCTTTTAGTTACTTGACTCCATCTGTTGTTTCTATTAAAAGGATTTGGCAGATGATACTAATGAACATATACAAAACCAGTGAAGATTTTAAACTTAAAGAGGTTTAAATAAGAGTTTCAAAAAACTCTGTGGCATATATGTTTATCATTTAGCGATTTTCATTTCTAACTAAAAGTTTTGCATCTGAAACAAATTTAATAGCGCATAACACCCATTCAATTGAATAACTGAGAAAAGCAAGAAGGATTGAACGCGTTTTCTTTCTTAGATCTGAAGTTTGGTCGTCTTGCATTGATTATCTTGAAAAAAATAATCCTATTTGGCGATAGGAGATCTTCGGGGTGTTTTCTGGATAAGTGGTATTATAACATAAAATATAAACCCTTTTGCATTGTTGACTTTTAGGATGTTCAACTGCATTGGGAATCATCCTTGAAAACAGAGACTAATCTAAACAGTTTTACAGTTATGTGTGCATAAATGTTACATCATCAATGCATGCATTTCTCTGTGTCCAAGGATGTAGAGAGTTATACTCCTTAGAAAAACCTAGAGGTAACCATCGAGTGGCAAATTGTTTTAATGTTTTTTGGTAGATTGGTGCTTTAATTAGAATACGATATGCTGTCAATGGATAGAAATTGGTTAGTTACGGAATTGTATATCTATGCCACCAGGAGATGTGGAAAGTGAGCAAGTAGAGAGCAGTCTTGTGCAGCCTTTACTTTTAACGTCAGAAGAGAAGCAAGATGGCATCAATGAAGAGAGAGATTATGAAGACAGTGAAGAAACATCTGAAGATTCACGCGGACCTGCAACCTCGATTCGATCTGCGTATAGACTACTCACACCATCTGTGAAGGTTCAGTGCTTGTTCTAAATTTCCTGTGTTCCTTATTAGTAAATTTAACTTTTATGGAAAGTTCTGTGGAATAAATCATAATCATGTTTCTTATTGTGATGAAGTTAATTACAAACACTCGCTGTGAAATTTAGTTTGTCCTTGGTTTTGTCTTGTGAAATGTATGTGTTGGAAGTTTTTTCCAGAAGTATGCCACAGCGTATTTATCTCCATGAAACTCTTAGCATCTTCTTTTCTCAGTGTGGTTCTCTTTATTGTAGGGTATAGTTTTTGTACTGTTTGGACGCTGGATAACCCAATTTTCTCTTCTGCCAAATGGACGAAAACACTAGTGAAAGCCACATAACCCAAGATTGTTTCCCCCTACAGACAAAACCATAAATTTAATCCGTGGATTATCCTATATCAACTGTTGCCTTTTTGCCAGGACTGTCCTGGAATGATTATTCTGCACATTTTTAAAGATTAACTGATATATGTACGGTGAAGGGGAACTTGTCTCTTTTGTTGGCAGGAATCAATATCTTGAGCACAGCCCATTGTAATGTTTACATCTTTTTTTTCCACAGAAGAACGTAAGTTAAGTGCATATAATATTAGTTTGTACATAGTCTTGCTACCGAAACTGCTTCTCATCTTTTCCCATTTTGTCTTTATATTCATTGTCGGTATGAGTTCGATCCGAAATATTGTGATTGCCTAAAAAGTCTTCACAACACGATATGTCTATTGACTAGGACATTTTAGTCTCCAGGGATAAAAACGTAGAAAAGTCAATAACATTTTTTCAATGAATACATGCTTGAAGTGACTTTCATCTTTTTCTTAAGTGGGTAGAGGACCATATGTTTACTAAAAAAGAAAATAGGAGAGGAATGTACATGTGTGTGTTAGTTTTGATGTGTCATACTGGTTGAATTATGAATGCTGTAAGCTCTCAGAAAACAGTCATCCGCTGTGCTCTACACCAAGGTTGTGGAGGCTATACTAGTACCCACAGTACTGAAAGTAGCAAATCCGTCACGCATCTCTTTTAGAAATGTCTCACCTTCCCTCTGACCGTGTCACAGAAACAAGTTAACTCTTATTGACTTCTATCACTGCAGTGACCCAGAAGGTCAATTGGAGGATACCGACCAAATCTTACAGCCAACTTTCAGGATCAAATGATTGTCATCCTTAGAGTGACGTTGGAAAGCCACGTCTTCCCAGAATTTATCGAGTCATTTCCCATAATGGTGCTGGTGACACATGAAATGGGCATTCTTCTAAATGCGCCCCCCCCCCGCCCCCCAACCACACACACACACGTCAAATGGAAATCAATGGTGGCAGTGCACATTTCTTCGCTTTTAAGGCACTCCAAAGAGTATCATACCAATCCAAAATTTCCTTCAAGCCACAATAGATTCAGATACTGGCTCTTTGCTCCGCAAAATATTTTCAGACTTTGTCAAATGAAGTTTTTTTCGAATATGTTCTCCCTGAAGGGAATTTCTTGTGGGTACAAACTTAAAGCCTGTGCTGTGTATTTGAATATAGAGGCAACGTCTTTGGCTAGATTTGACATCACTAATGTAAAAGGTGTCTACCTTCATTCTTCTTCAAGGGTCCTGGCTTTTGATGAACTTAATGTAATTCCAATATTTTTGCTAATTTAATTTGACAGTATTCGCAAATATTGTGTACAAGACAGAAAATTTATAGCGAAAAAATTATATTTAAACTTCTATTACAACTTTTTGGCATTTTTACTTTTTATTTTGGTTAATCTATCATCAATCTTTTGACTCCCTCAAGAAAAGAAAAAAAAAAGAAAATTTATGTTCATTAGGTATATGAACAAAATGCAGGTACAGTGTGTGCCAACTATTGGTACATGTCGTGGACAACATCCTGTAGGGAGGATTACTTCCTGTGGAAATTCTCTCCATAGGACGCTCTCTACTATGCAAGTGGCTCTTATTGAGGCTTGTTGAGACAACAGCAATAGTTAAAGTAATCAGATGCTTCAATTCTGATTCAAAACAAAAGCAAAAGTACTGAGTCTGGAAGTCCTTGCCTTTGCCTCATATATCTTTCATCTCATTCAAAAGTGTAAATTCACGTTGATGGTCTTTAGATGGTACGGATTAGCATCTAGTTCATTAGTTTCATTGGGGAACAATCTTTATGAAAACGTTTAAGAAGTTGATTGGAGGAAAGATATTTGCCCTTAATCTCTTTGCAAACAATAGCATTAAAGAGGATAACGAATGATGGTTCCCTCCTTTTATTTGAATATTTGGTTCTAGACATATGTGTGTGCGTGTTCATGCTTATCAAGGTCAAAGAAACCCTCGTTTCCCTTATAATATTCCACCATATTAGCAAAGCCTGCTTCTGATCTTTGGTTGCCTTGTATGTTTCCAGGTACAACTATTGATTTATTTCATGCTGAAATATGCTATGGAGATCTTGCTATCAGAGTCGAGCGTCGTCACATTGTACTACTTTGGTTGGACGACCAGTGCGGTGGCAATTTTTCTCGCATGCCTCGGGTTAACTGTTCTCCCAGTGAACGTCATTGTTGGCAGCTACGTCAGCAACATGTTCGAGGACAGGTGGGCAGATGCATGCACGCTGCATGCTGGCATTTCTTGCTATGCGTTCGTTCGGTGCGTAGTTGATTCACGTGGCTGACGGTCGGTGACAATTTCCCTTTCAGGCAAATTTTATTGGCTTCCGAAATTACGGTATGTGCTGGTATCCTCCTCAGCTTCCATATTACCAACCGATACTCCGTGCCCCAGTATGTGTCCTCTGCACTTATCACGTTCGTTGCCGCAGAAGTTCTTGAAGGTATAATGATATCGAAGGTTCACATCGATACTGAGCAGTTCTTGAAGGTCAACACCTCTGACCCTTTTGCCTCGCCCCCACCTCGTCAAATGCAGGCGTGAATTTGTCGCTGCTCTCGCGGGTCATGTCCTCTCGGCTGGCCCGGGGGACGTACAACGGGGGGCTTCTGTCGACCGAGGCTGGGACCATCGCGCGGGTAGTTGCCGATGGGACCATCACGCTGGCGGGCTACTTGGGCGAGGGCAAGCTTCTCAATGTGACCCTGCTTCCGTCCCTGTTCATCTGCGTCGCATCCATCGTCGCCACCTGCTTGACGTACAACTCTATGTACTGAGAAATCCGCCACAGGTTGGTTGGCCCCCTCAAGACGACCCTAAAATGAAATGAAGTATCCGTAGATAAGATTACCGGTGGATGTGGCTCATCTTGTATACAACGGTTGAGTATCTCGATTCCATTGATTCAATCAACTGTATTTTTTTCTCCCCAGCTCCTTGGATTGTATTGTGGGGGCTGTGCTTCTACCCAAACTCTTTTGTAATAATTTTTGGCGAGTGTTCAAAATAAAGTATGGGTTGTGTTATATTCTTGGATGACATCAGCAATACCTTATGTCTTTCCAAATTCTTCTCTCTCTCTCTCTCTCTCTCCCATTCATCCGGCCCTTCCCAAGTCCAAGCTTTGAAAAAAGAAAAGAAAACTGGACTGGACTTGGCCTGTTGATACTCTTGAACATATTTTCTCACACGGTAATAAAAACGTTGAGGAGAGTCCAGTTTTCATAAAGATTGTTCCCAAGTCTGCAAGTCCCTCCCTCTCTCTCTCTCTCTCAAAAGGCGTAGGAAACTCTGGAACACGAACCAAGCAATCAGGGCTCATTGGAGTTCATTTTTTATGCAAAAGTAATAATAAAGTAGCTTCCGCATAATTTTTAATGATATAGTTTCATGTTTTTTATTGGGCCTTAAAGAAAGCAGACCCATAAACGAGAGAGCTCGTTCTTTCCTAGCTGATTGCCAATTCCGGCCCAGTTACAGCCACGCACTGCCGACCCAGAGCAGAGCGTACGCAGAAAACATAAGCCTGGTTAGTTGTCTTCACTCCCTCTTTCTCTCTCTCTTCTTCAGAGCGTCGACTCTGTCACGCAGAGGGAGCAGAGAGGGAAGGTAAAGCGAGGGGAAAGAGGAGAAGGGGAGGGGAGATGGAGGCGGAGGGGGGGACGCCCGAGGGGACGGTGCGAAACCTTTTGACGCAGAAGAGCCTGAAGTGGGTATTCGTCGGGGGAAAGGGGGGAGTGGGAAAGACGACGTGCAGTTCGATCTTGTCGATCCTGCTGGCAACCGAGCGGCAGTCTGTTCTCATCATATCCACTGACCCTGCTCACAACCTGAGCGACGCCTTCCAGCAGCGGTTCACTAAGATCCCCACTCTTGTCAATGGCTTTACCAACCTCTACGCTATGGTAAACTAGCCGGTGAACGATGCGGACTGCCGGTAGAAATCAAAATCGGACATAATCACCGGCTTTCCACGATTTCTTCATGAATTTCGTGTTTATCGCCCGATCTCTTCTCGCTTCTATCTCCTGGACCGCATTTATTATTATCTTTTGGTTTTTGACCCTTTATCACTGACTTCGAATTCATTGGTTGGGTTATATTTATGGGTTTTTCCTCCATCTCCCAGCACGTATGTCAGCATTTGGCGCCATTCACTGGATCAGGGGAGATCAAATAACATCTGTTCGTAGGGTTATTAAATAGACTCGTGAAAAATAATCATTAGATGGTCCAGGAATCATGACACTACATCAGACATTATTCGCTTTTGCACCTTACTTCGTTGGAAGCCCCTACGATGTATAGGTTCATTCGGTGCTACACATTTATTTATTTATTTTTCTATCATAAAACTTGCACTTAAAATTTTTTTGAGGGAACAGAGCACCGCCGTGCCGTATCTAGGTTAATTAATACAATATGGTCACGCCTAAAAACGTGACGGTTTGTAAAACCTCTTTCGGCTCTCCAGCGTCTCAAATGGGCTTTGAGGCCATATCTTGGTTCAGAAAATGGGAGCTTTTCAGCTTTATTGAAATAATCAAGAGAATCACTTGATTCCGATGCATTGTTACATCTGTTGGCATATATGGCTTTTCCCATTAGGGATTGGTCCCCCAGCATTTAAGCATCAATTATACATGATATGAATGGGTCTTAAGGGATATCACCAAACTAGGAATATTAGTTAAAATCTTCCACTCCAACACCAACTCGGCCATAGATTTTGTGATTTTTACAATAGGTTAAACAGAGGCTTTGATATTATTCCTATTCCTAGTTCATCTGGATGATAAGGATGCTGGGATTGCAGGGGTGTTTTTTCTTTCATGTATTGTGTGCCCTTTAAAAGCTAATTTATTACTGTTTGAATTACTTCTTTCTTGCATTCCTTTTAACTTCAATACACCCATACCCAGAAAAGTTCCTGTGTTATCATTTCTATTTATCTACCTTATGCCTATCATTTTTTCTTCTGATCTGCCCGCCTGTGATCACTTGGTATGAAAATCCTGCTTCCCTCATGTAAGAGTCCTCTTCAGTTTGACAATTCACTTCCATGCAGGAAGTAGACCCCAAGGTTGAGAGTGATGAGCTGCCAAATATAGAAGGGATGGATAGCTTTCTTTCTGAGCTGACAAATGCAATTCCTGGGATTGATGAGGCTATGAGTTTTGCTGAGATGCTAAAGTGAGTATTTTTCATCATTGTATTTTATTTGGGAGTTACTATTCTTCCCTCTCTATTTTTTGGTTCCACTGGACATGTTATAGTGGGATGCTTTACCTATGGAACTCTTTTTCCTGCGATAGTAAAAATCAAACAACTGATATATTTTTCTTGCTTGAGTTTATTGCTTTATCGTCCCAAGTCTATTGTAACCTTGAGAAAATGGGGCATTGTTGTTTTTTTTTTCTATCGTTCTTTCTTTAATTCCTTTCTGGTGATCTGGCCATCTAGGTAAAGAATTAGTAATGATCAGTCATGGAAGAGGAAGAAGCATGATTGAGTTGAAAAAGAAAGACAAGAAGATACGTAAAAAAAATTCATAATGCATATTATAAAATGCTACCATTTGACAAAAGGTCTTATCCCTAAAGTGAGTTCACTAAACTCCCCTGTCCAACTTAGTTGTCACATGGACGGGAAATATCATGTGAATGTGTTTGCTTTCGTTTTGAGTTACGTTGAAATGTATTAAATTATGTTTTGTTTCTTTATTGTTGTGCTTACCTATGACCAGCTAATAATTTCTTCCCTGTACCTAGCTGTAGAAATTTAGAACTTACAGAGTCTTGAAGTCATAATGTTATTAGGCTCCTTGGCCTTTCGGGCACTAATGAAACTTTTGGGCATCCTTCTCAACACATGGCAATGTCGGATACATGTAAATCGTATTGACTTATGCTTTTAGTGTTTGAATTCAAATGGCTTCCATGTAATCCGACTATAAAATATTGTCAAAACATAGGAGAGTTATGAACAAATTGTCTAGCTTTTTTATGAAAATCTTCTACTCCCTTGACTTATCTCGGGCATGATTTAAATAATCCCATGTTGTCGTATCCCCTTTCATGAGGTCATATTCTACTGCGAAATATTTGGTCTGCCATATGTTCACACCAACACGAAGCACTCATTGTTGTTCTATCAAGGATTAAAAAAACTTGTTGTCAGACTTTATCGAGTGAAAGTCGTGCTGGCCACTGTACTTATGACAGTTCTGGGGAAATTTTGGATAATCGGACTATATTTGCACGAGCATACTTAAATCGAGTGCCAGCAGATGGCATGATCTCGCTGCCTTTGATATGAACTATTTGCAAAGACTGGGAACTGTTTGATGTGTGGTCCCTTGGTACATGAGCATAAAACCTGGGTAAAATTTGCCATCTGGTTTCATGGGCTGTCTATCTTTGTAGATAACACTTGTAGTTCGTGAAAGAAAGTGGAATATCCTTTGAAGTGTTTTGTCCTTGCATTAGGATTCTTACTAGAGATCAAGCAGAAGCAACTTCAGAAAACAAGCCTTCAACTCTGCCCTTTAGAATAGTTGATGAGACATGGACGTGTTGTCTTTCACAGTATCCATTCGAAGGCAATTATGGCAAATTATGGTGGCTTATTTTGCATGCAACCCTTTGGACAATCTAGAACGAGAGGGACAACCAAATAATTAAAGGTCAGAGTTTCCCTGAGAGGCGGTGTTCTATATTATCTGTGATAAAATGAAAGTGTGATCTCTGATCTTTTTTAGAAAGGGAAAAGTGTGCTTATTGATTCTGTCAGTTTAAAATCCCATCGTCTTTCTGTAGACTGTAGAGTTGTTATTTATGGTTTCTTGTGGCTATGCCTCAATGATCCCTTTAGTGCAGTTCTGTCTAAATCATCTTGTCATGGTTCTTGTGAGTGTTGTTTCACGTCTTGCCTAATCGCATTGTTAAATCCTTTTAGTCGAAATCTATGGTTTTTACGAGAAACTTTCATCCTTGACACATACTGTGGTTTTTCCACTTTCTGAAACTCAAAAACTTGCGCTAATCTTCACTGTCTATTAGATTGGGTTACAATCTTCACTGTATTAGATTTTTTGCTCTGCACATATCATCGTGTGATTATTTGGGGCATATTTATACATATCGATTTCATACCTTTAAAATTTGCGCTGCATAAAGCTAGATAACCTGGTTATTATTTATTTCACTTTGAAAGCCTATATTGTTTTTAAAAGCAAATCTTCATTTACTGCAGATTAGTTCAGACAATGGATTATTCAGTTATAGTATTTGATACAGCACCAACTGGCCATACATTACGACTATTACAGTTTCCATCCACGTTGGAGAAGGGACTATCAAAATTTATGGCCTTGAAAAGTAGATTTGGTGGGTTATTCAGTCAGGTATATCCTACGGTTTATGTAGCTCTTACAAAAAAATTAGTGAAATTTCTGGTACAAGCTCATAGACTGACGTCTCAAAAGTAAAGAGCATGTATCACACTTTTTTCGAGGATGTACTACACTTTTTTCGTCTATTTTTTTTGTCTACTGGGTGTAAAATAGCAGTTGATGATCATGTCAAATAGATTGACCATAAAATATGAATTGGCTTTCTCACATTGACTGTTACATAATTTGCCTTAAGGAACCATTTCAAAATTCTGCTTTTGTAATGTTATAGTTACAAACACTAGTTGCATGGTGCTTATTTGGTTTGGTTTACTCTAGCTTTCGTTTATCACTGTTTTCTTCAGGGTACTACCTCAGAGAGAGTGAGGGAAAGAGAACATAGCATGTATATACCGTGCATATCACGGATGTGGTGTAGTCCCCAGCTGCAAATTTGTGGCCACCATATTGCAGAGCCAGCTTTCATGTGCTTCAGATAAGACATGGTGCTTCAGCTTCCATTCAACTGACTGTTAAGCATGTTCTGTGTAGGAGCTCTCAAACTGTATATTGGGTGTTTCCCATCAAGCTGTCTTTTGTTATAGAGAACAGAAAATTCTGGTCTCATCAATGCACAGGGTAGGAAAATCCTGAGGGAAAAAAAGGGTTATGGATGACTAGACCCAACTTTGACCCACAGATTCAATTACTGTAGTTAGTCTACCGAGTGTCATAAAAGACCAGGACCTCCAACAAGCTGTCGTAACAATTGCATCAGGGACAGTATCAGATCAGGTGTCCATAGCCAAAACTTATATATAGCTTTAACTGTACTAGATCGACGCAGAGAGTTGCATGTTGGTGTAGAGAACAAAAGTTCATGGTTGTTGATTCACCTAGTCCAGATAGTATGAGTCGTGTTTGTTTTTGACTATTTTGCGATCCTCATCCTGTATGTTCAAATCTGATAGCAGATATTTTAGATTACAGTGACTATTGAATAATTCATTTTAATATATGGCTCAAGCAGATTTTGCTGGAATGGGTTGATCACACTGCACAGTCCTGTCAAATTTCATGTCAATCTAAGAACAGCAAAGAGGAAAAGCCTCACCAACACATCTGTTACTTCTTTTTCTTCTTCCGTAGTCGTCCTCTTCATCTACCTTTGCCACCTCCATCTCATGCCATCAGCCTCAACTGTCATCGTCTCCTGCTTCCAGAGTATCAACACAGACGCTGTCAAGCCTGAAATCAGGATCTTCGATGGTCAAGGGAAACTGTGAAAAGAAGTATCCTTGAATGAAATCTATAGATGTCGTTAGAAAATATAACGGTTTGCTATAAAAAATTAAGGACGACAGTGAGACCTTTGCTGACTCAGTGGAATCTGATTGAGTCGGACCACACGTCTCAAGAAAGCAATAATTTGATATGCCCATTGATGTAATTCCTGGATAACATTTTCAGGATTTTTCTGATCCTAGGACACAATTCACCCAATGCTATGCCAATCCTACCCCATTGAAGTAGAGAAGATTTGTTACCTCTGCCACTGCCTACTATTTTTCCTTCTCGTTCTCTATCCACCTCATCTGCTTCATGGCTCCTCCAAAATCTTCACACTGCTGCCAAGTGCTCAAAATTAGGCATTTATGTTATGCAGTGTCCCAGTCTGTCTCGGAGATTACAATAGAGTGACCTGTGTTTAGTCAATTGCGTGTCCTTCTCACTAGCAGTGTTTGGTTTAGAATTCCAAGCTCTAAATACTGCTGTAACTTTAGCAGATCTGGCACTATCAAGAGAATCGTAGCTTGGTTTTCTGTTTAGGAACGGGTAAAAACGCTTTGTCAAATTGATCCTCTTGTTCACTCTCTACAAAATTTCCCTTTCTTCCTGTGGAACTGAACACGCGAGGCATTGTCTGCCCTATAATGTATTCCACGTTATCGAATACTAAAAAACCTTGTGGCTGCCACCAATAAATTGTTGCTTTTATTCTTCTCATCTTATTTTAAAACAATTTCAGGAATTTGATTTATTTTTGTTCCCAGGTAACTACTTTCACTACACGCTGTAACTTCGATTCCCGTATTCATGCCACCTTAGTTTTATGGTTGAGCTCTGTTTTCTGACTCTTCGAACTTGGTTTGTGGCAGGTTACTCGTATGCTTGGTTTTGAAGATGAACTGAGTGATGATGCCCTTGCGAGCAAGCTTGAGGGGATGAAAGATGTGATTGAGCAAGTGAATAGGCAGTTCAGAGATCCAGTGAGTTTTCTGGCATCCTGAAGTCTTTTTCGTCTGACACCGAAACTAAGAATGCGCTCTCTGAGCTCTTTTTTTCATACCCTATTAAATTATTTATTTTCAAGATCACCCACCAGAAGATCTTTCGACATAGAGCGACACACATAGTTGTCTTTCTTTTTCTTTTTCAAATGCCCTTTAGACTTTTCTATGCTGCTTATTTTTTTCCGTCAAAAGCAAGCCTTCAAGGGTAGTATTGGTCACCGCTAGTCAAGTCATGGGTACAGCTAAACAGAGATAGCCATATCCAGCCACACATGGGTGAGAGAGTCAACGAGACCAATGAACTTCCTGTATCTTCCTGTATCTTGTTGTTTCTGGATAAAAACAGTCTTGTCGATCGAAACACAGGGTTGACTTTTTGCCAAAGTAATTTGTCCTCGCGCATTTTATTGCCTGATTCGGCAAGAACTAACACGTCCCCCATATCGCGCTGTCTTCCCATGCCAGGATCTGACAACCTTCGTTTGTGTGTGCATTCCTGAGTTCCTCTCCCTCTACGAGACGGAGAGACTAGTCCAAGAGCTTGCGAAGTTCGAGATCGACGCCCACAACATCATCATCAACCAAGTTCTCTACGATGACGAAGGTGAACGGGAACCAGAAACCAGAACTCCGTTTGATAGCTTTTTTCTTTGCCTCTTTTGCTTACATATTTCTTCCTGCACTCTTCACATCTTTGAAGCCATCCAATCGAAGCTGTTGAAAGCCCGGATGCGGATGCAACAGAAATACATTGATCAGTTCTACGTGTTATACGATGACTTCAACATAACGCAGCTGCCCTTGCTTCCGGAGGAGGTATCAGGCTGATCTTCCTCCTCCCATTGATCCCCCCTGCGCGCCCCCCCCCCCTTTTTCTTATTGGACGGTCTGCCTCCGCAGGTCTGCGGTGTTGAAGCCCTGAAGAGCTTCTCCAGCAACTTCTTGACTCCATATAAACCCTCTTTCATTAGAGGCACGCTAGAGGAGCTGGAGCTGCGTGTGTCCACGCTAAGATTGCAGCTGAAGGAAGCTGAGACGGAGTTAGTTGCCCTACAGAAAGGTAAGCAAAAGGCTTGAAGACCCTTCTTTCCTCTGACATCGAACAACTTCCCTGCTGTGCGGCTCTACTCAGAAGTATCAGTTGAGGTCTTCATCTCTCTGTGCCAGCTTTTGGAACAAATTCGAGCAGTTTTCCTCCAAGGCAAGTAAGTAGTCATCGATGCAAGTCTCGAACTTCTTGGTCAAACTCATGTCACTCTAGTTGATAACCTTTCGGTGTGACGAATTTTTTTTTCTTAATATTATTTGATATTTGAGCTACTCGCTATCGGTTCCCAGTTGAGCTCTGTTTGAATAAGGGTTGGATCAAGCGATTAACAGCTCTGATGATTAGTGCAAGGTCAACACCCAATGATATCAAAGTCTTTGACAAATTACTACAACTGTCTCACCCATGGTCTACCTTGAACGTGTTTCACCCTCTCTCTCTCTCTCTCTCTCTCTCTCTCTCGCGCGCGCGCCAGATACCTGAAGTGCAAGGAGAGAGTCTGATTGGCTACTGTTGATCCTGCCTGGTCAATTCAATTCTGCCATTAAATGCCTGCTAGATCCCATCCCTATCCAAGATTCACCCCCCCCCATCTTGAACCCAAGTGGTGGAAAAGATAAAGTCTCCCACCGCCAACACCCCCCCACCCTTATCCTACTCCACAGCCGACGAGCCGCCACCCCCAAGGACACGCAAAGCCGCCCACGCCGGTCTGTAATGAAGAAAAATAAGACCCGGAGTTACCGTTGATCTTACAGCCACTAAGAAGGCCCCTCGAGGGTTTTAAAAGAACCGCGTTCAGCCCCCATAAACGACGTCCATGGAAAGGAAGAGAGAGAGTGAAGTTTGAGCTACCTACCCATCAGAGGTTGCGACAGCGAGGTCTCTACCCACCGGGGAGTCCCTACCGGGAGGGCGACGCGCGCAAGTGACAAGGAGAGATGACAGAGACGCGGGGGGAGCCGTCCTGAAAGACTTGGGACCCCTATGTGAGCTCGAGGACCCTTCTTCATTCAAGCTACCCCCGCCCACTTGCTCCTCTGGCGTAACCTCGCTGGCTACCGAGAGGGATCCACCCTCTCCTCATATCATATGATGATTCTTTTCACGCCAACGCCATGAATTCCCGGCCAGGAGTTGAATTTCTATGTGCCCAAGAATCGTTCAATGCTTTTTACTGGTGAATCGTGCGGGGATTGATTACCAGCGTTCTATTCTGCGGCGGTGGGATTTCATGGCGTCCATCCATCGGGTTGAGAGATCTCTCTGCTCGGAGCTGTTGGAAGGTTTGGCGAGGTGGCCCCCCAGCCGCCGTGGAACTGCTTGACCAGCCCAGCGACCGACGACCCTCCGCATTTTGCGGCGGCGGCGACCAAAATTCTGTCTTGGTGCAGACCGGGGAAGAACTCGGGAGCTGAGCAAGGAAGCTATGGCACCGCCGCCGCCGCCGGCAAGGGAAGCAGCCACGCCGCTGTGCCTCAGCGGCTGCTGGTCCGGCGGGGTGCTGCTGGGCTGGTCCGTCGAGCCCAGGCCCCGCCCGCGCGGGGGCGTCGCCAGGTCGGCACGGGCAGATTTCGCCGCCACCACTGCGGCCCTCCTCTTCCCCAACACCTTCTTCACCAGCCACGAGTCCATCCCCTCCCTTCCCGACGCCTTCGCCATCTTCTCGGCGGCGTACCCGCGCTACGGCGAGTCGGAGCTCGCCGACCGCCTCCGGGAGAGCGAGTACGACCACCTCACCGGCCGCACCTGCCTCGACTACACCGGCTTCGGCCTCTTCTCCCACGCCCAATTCCCCTGCGCCAGCGATCCTCCGGCGCCGGCACCGTCGTCTTCTCTGGCGACGGCGGCGGATTTCGACATCTCCTACAGGGCGCCCGGGGTGGACACCGCCATGGAAGCCGCGATCAGGAAGAGGATCATGCGATTCCTGAACTTCTCCGAGGAGGAGTACTCCATGGTCTGCACGGCGAGCAGGGCCTCCGCCTTCAAGCTCCTCGGGGAGACCTACCCCTTCCAGACGAACAGGCGGCTGCTCACCGTCTACGACCACGAGAGCGAGGCGGTCGCCGCGGTGTTGGAGAGCTCCCTGAGGCGGGGAGCCAAGGCCACGGCGGCGGATTTCTCCTGGCCGAGCCTGAGGATCCGCTCCGCCTCCCTGAACAAGACGATCATCAGCAAGAGGAAGAACGCGAAGAACAGGGGGCTGATGATCTTCCCCCTCCAGTCCATGATCTCCGGGGCGAGATACTCATACCAGTGGATGCGGCTGGCGCAGGAGAACGGCTGGCACGTCGCGCTCGACGCCTGCGCCATGGGGCCCAAGGACATGGACACCTTCGGTATCTCCCTCATCCAGCCGGACTTCCTCATCTGCTCCTTCTTCAAGATCTTCGGGGAGAACCCCGCCGGATTCGCCGCCCTGCTGGTCCGGCGATCCAGCGGCTCCATCGTCGAGAGCAGCATGACGACGGCGAGGAGCGCCGGGATCGTGAGTATCGTCCCCGCGAGGGCGCCGTCGCATCTGCGCAGAGACTGCTCCGATCTGGATTCCTCCGGTGATCTCGGTCAGATCGCCAGAGCTCGCCGGTCCGACCACGGCGAATCGTCGTCGGAAGGGCATCCGCCGCCGCCGCCGGCGATCGGAGGAGACCTAGATCGGAATCCTTCCGAGATTTCCGACCGCAGCGAAGGACCGGAGATCCAGCAGACGATCGAGGAGGAAAGGACGGAGCAAGAGGCAACCGAAGTCGAATGCAGGGGATTGAACCACGCCGACTCCCTGGGCCTGATGCTCATCAGTGGCAGACTCCGATACATCACCAACTGGTTGGTCAACGCGCTCACCAAGCTGCAGCATCCACACTCGGAGAAGGGGAACACTCTGGTCAGAATCTACGGACCGAGAGTGAAGTTCGATCGGGGGCCGGCGGTGGCCTTCAACGTCTTCGACTGGAAAGGGGAGAGAATAGACCCGGCGCTCGTGCAGAAGCTCGCAGACAGGAGCAACATCTCCCTGAGCTGTGGATTCCTCCGCAACATCTGGTTCTCCCAGAAGCACGAGAGGAACAGTGACGCAGTCGTGGAGAAGAAGCTCAACGGAGCCGCCGCAAATGCTAGCCGGAAGAGAGGAGGAGTTGACCTCGGAATCTCCGTGGTCAGCGCCTCCCTCGGCTTCCTCACCAGCTTCGAAGACGCCTACAGGCTGTGGGCATTCGTGGCCAAGTTCTCGGACGCCGACTTCGTGGAGAGAGAGAGGTGGAGATACCTGGCGCTGAACCAGAAGATGGTGGAGATCTGATCTGCCATTGCCGACCAAGAACAACAGGAAGGAAATCCAAGGCTAAAAAAACGAACAGACGACCACTGAGATCTCTTGGTGTTCTTACACTTTTTTCCTCTGAGTGACAGGAACACATTCCTGCTGGAACACGGGTAGAGCAAAAGAATGAGCTACCCGTGTCTGACGACGCCATGCATGCGGGCTGAAGGACCCAAGTCCACAGACCAGGAAAATAATGTCAAAGGTTGAATAAATGCGTACAAAGGAAAAAAAGAGAAAAGGAGGCGATTATCTGGACACTGGCAGATACATCAGGAAACGCAAGCATTCCTCTTCATTTTGACGGCAATGTCAACCAATGCTAAAGGCGTTGACTTTGTTAAAACATAGACGACTCGAACAGAGAGGGACATTTCCCCAGTCAAATTTACCCAATGGTTGACAAACACGAGACCGACTGTCTGATAGACCACATAGCTCGATCACTGGAGTTGACCTTTTCGACCAAGCGGATGCGCAGGAGATCAGATGCTAGAGGTCTGAGTGAGTTGACATTTCTGTGACTCTAACCTCCATGTAGGGTTGAAATGAAGACCACTTCATCCTTCTCCTCCAGTCTGGTGTCAAGATTCCCGCTCAGCTCCCAGTCACAGTCGTTTACAAGGACCAGAACTCCAGGTCTCCTGCATCGCACGATAAACAGCCATGTCGATTAAAAAGGGACCCACCCATGAACAGCATTGACCTCTGCAGCACAACGTGGGAAGAGAGTTACACCGAATCCCCTTTCATGAACATCTCAGGCCTCTCCTTGATCAGATTTGTGCGGATCCAACACAGCAGGTCCTTCATAATTAGCTAGTGAACACAGCACACAAATTATTAAAACCGCAAAAGATAAATAAATAAATTCCATGATGTCAACGGCATGATTAATTTAGCATAAATGGCTCACTCCGTCAGCTCCAGGTTTCAGTTCAACATCAACATGGTGAACCTTTGTCGACCGGCAGAGAAGCTCCAGCCCACCGCTTCACCAGAAAGAAGTCAAATGAGAAAGCCAGATACAGCATATCCAGGTAGCAGAAAAACGACGAAAATGACAGGGAAATCTTTGATGCACCGTAACGGAAGTCGACCTATACCTGGCTAAGAAAATACTCAGGAAATATCATAAAGTACCTAAAAAAAAAAGAAAAAAAAAAGAAACGAGCAATTATAACATTGTAAGAAATCATATAGTAAAAGGACAACACTGCGTTTTTAATGCTACTTACTAAAGACGTAGAACACCACAACGAAAGTACATTTATCATTACAAATTACCAAGCAGGGAAATTTTTTCGTTGATGTTTATGAATATTGAAAGCAGGGCGGCAATCACTTAAAAGCATTACATTCATTACATAAATCATTAAATCATAGATTGTACGCCTTGTCAGCCTTCTGGAAAATAGAAGTTAATTCTATTTTTTGTTTCTGAAATGAAAGAAGGTAATACCAAGAAAAAAACACACTGTATTGGCATCTATGCCTCGCCTGCATGTTTGTAGTTCTTTCAACTATGGCAGAAGGAGACCGATGAATGAACTAGCAGCCTATAATGAACTACTCTCGTCTCTCTGAAGTGCATGTGACGGAGAGGTGTTCTCTTCCGATGGATATCTGTTTCGCACCTAAAATCAGTGGGGGAAAAATGGTGAATGATGGATAACAATATCCTGTTGGATTGCGAAGATTACAAAAACAAATTCAGCGTGGAGATCCACAGAGTTCTTGGAGACGACCCGGGGGTAGCCAAGTTGCTCATCAGTATAGGCCACCCAAAGCCTATTCCATCCTGAAATTCCTCATAGTGGCCACTATATTCGTCCATTATGAAGTTCCCTAACTGGGATCACATTTGCCCGCCTCCAGAGAGTACTAAATCGGGCAATCACTTAAAGTTCAGCAAGATAAGTGTTCCGCATGGTTCCATAGAATATGGACACTCAATTTGTAAAAGGCAATCCCTACAATTTCCTCAAAATATTTCACATAGATCATGCAGTTTGATCAAAATCTTCCCTGCATTAGCAACATTTCCTAAGCAGACTGGACCGAAAAAGTAACCTGTTTAAGGTGATACTGAACCAAAAAGCAGTATACTTATGCTAGGTATCATGGATTCAGGGCTTATGTGGTCAACGGAAAAGCTGATCGTCCATACCCAACTCTCAGCGTTCTCAATAAATCTGTCTGAATGCAGAACCTCTACTCTTGATGGACGTCATCAGTGCCAAAAGTGTCCAAAATGTGAACACATTATGACAGAAATCCATTCCATTCCCCAAACTTTTCTTCTTCCAAAGTTTAACTGCTGTGGTAGAACCCTAATAAACAGTCGAACCAATCAAATACCAAGAACAAAACCACTTGAGAAGCTATGAGGCCAGTGAAGTGATAAGACTTTAATAAATTATTGAAGATAAATAGGAAGATATACTTTAATTTTAGAACATGAGTCAAGCATTAGAAGACTAACTTGCCGAACTCATGAAATTGTCAGTGAATGAAATAGGCACTTATTTTTTGACAAAATTCAAATTTTCTCTCAAAAATATTGGACCAACAAACCCTTCTAAATGCAAGTTTTCTCTCAGTTACAAACAAGCACAACAAATGGATGGAGCGCCAAAAGAAGCATAACCGTAGTGGATGTGGGTTCAGTGTCTGACCCGATGGAATAGTCACCACCTCTCCTAGATTTCAAGGTTACAGTTATGATATATGATAAACAGACAGAATTCTGGTATGATAGAGGCTGGCATGGCTATGATAGATGAGAAGATAAAGTTATCAAGAGAATAACCAACAGAGATATCATGGAAGATCGAGAACAAGATACGAGGAATATGTGTATGATACAATTAAATAACCAGGCTTCGCATTATCTTAGCATTCTATCCTGATGTCGTTTTACTGTTTCAAAGCAAACTTATACACGTACAAAATGATGAATAATATTCATAAATGAAAATAATCCTCAACGTGAACGATGAGGTACCAAGTCGTTGAACAAATCATGATGGCTACGGTCAAGACTAAAATAATACTATCATGACTGCCAGGTAGATACAAAATTAGGATCCATGGTTAAAAAAAATTCATTCATGAGAATCCTTGTCAATGTAAAAATATTATAATAAAGATGATACATCCATTCATAGTCAGATCCATGCATGGCACAGTCCGACCATGCGTGGCAGAAGATAGCCCAACACAAACTCTTTTAATGAGGAAGATAGATCTAACATAGTTAGAGAATACTTCGGAAATACTATCAGACCTTAGGTTTGAAGCTTACTCTAAAGCAAAACGATCGAACATAATCAAATCTGCTGCCCGAAACGGATCAAGTCCAATTTTCAAATGTTCAGCTTCCTATGCAAATCGCATGGTATCATGAAATTTATCATAAAACCATGTGATCCCATGTGCTATGGATTCAGGCACGCTTTATTGTAAAATGATCACATGTAATGCTCACAGCGTGAACACCTCGGCATCAGCACAGACACCAGTCAGACTGTACGATAAGCCCAGGTCACAAGGCATGCTGGACTCATGTGGATGATAAAATAAAAAAATAAAAAAATCATCAACTCTGCATAGAAAGGCTGAGCTTGTTGGGACGGGCTTATCAACTCGATAAGGACGATGACTCAAATAAGTTAAAATATGTAACGAGGATGATTCCCAGAAACCAGGAGATAATGAGCTATTCTAGTGAGTAGAAACATACTCTTCCATTACAATTTCTGAAAGCAAAAATATGTAATGGATGGTAAATTTAGCTTTGGCGTGTACGCATCCCAATCTGCAGATTGTTTCACGGGCGGATTTTCCTCATGCATACCCAATCAGACAAATCCGACCATTCCAGAAGTAGACAAAACTGGATTTCCCTCATTGCAGGCCCTCTCTATGCGAAACAGTTCAAAGTGTCCTTAGCCGGGAGAATGAACAGAGAGAAGACTGTGGATGCACTCGAAGAACCCTAGACAGAATCATGATCAATTTTTAATGTACAACAAAACCCACTGAGATGGTCCCTTAAGTCGAAGCCAATCATCACAACCACGCTCAGAACATGCCCGAAATTCGTCGTTGCAGATGAGAGATTTCATGAAGAAAGCATGATAAACGATGAAACAAGCGCAGGCCGTTGAAAGCTAGGGATCCTCCTAGCCACCAAACAACGAAGAGACGACCGAAAACACAGATGGGACCAACTGTCGTCCGCTCGGAGTAATCCCACCGAGAAAAACGACGGAACGAGAGGCCAGCCACAGCCTTACCCGAACTCGAGCGTCAGATGCATCTTCGGAGAGCCGATGTCCCCTTCCCCCGGACGCCCGTGAAGAAGCAGCTCCTATCGCAGTCAACGTGGAAGGCCAGAAGAATCGACCGTCCGACGCCCCTCCTCCCCCCTCCCTTCTTGTCCCTTTCCTCTCTGCAGGATCAGAGATTCCTTCCGAAGGCTTTCTCGATCAAAAATATAAGTTACGATGTTTTTCGAGAAATAAATCCAATCTGATGTCGATTCCTCCGAGAAATCCGATACCTCCAAGAGAGGAGAACAGTATCCTTGCTCGGAGCCTCGACAGAAAACAAAAAAAAAAAACTAAAAAAAACTCAGTAACAACACTGAATCGCGTCATTTCATCTCATCAACGAACCCCTCTAGCTCCAATTTTCCTGTACGTTCGTTCCTACGCACATATCCAACTGGGTCACACCATCCTCTTGTGCGTGCATGCAATTCATGGTCTGCCACTCTGCCGTATTATTACACCCCCCCCCCCCAATATTCACACAGACTTCTCTCTTCGCGTCATGGAGATGCAGTTGATCCCCCATATTTCGTCGCATTTTTAATTTCTTCTTATATATTATTGTCAGAGAACGAAATATTACAATTCTATAATTATATTTATATAATTGTGATTACTTTCACTTTATTTTTGTGTTTCTATCCGGTTCGGCATGAGTTAAAAAACTGATTGAACGGATCCGACCCACTAGACATGGTTCCGTACAAAGACATGTATCACCGTCTTCTCACTTGGAACACAAGCCAATGGGTCTCTCGCCGCCACCGCCGCCGCCTCCGGTGACCGGCGCTCTCGGCGGCTTCGACAATTAATTTATTTTTCATACAATCTTGACCGGGCATTATCTGAGTAACTTTTTGTGAATGAGTACGCGATTGGGCAAATTTAAAGAACATCCATAAATGGCACCTTACTTCCCACGACTTCGGGTCTCAGTATCCGATCGCCCATGCAATCCAGTTAATGTCGGTTCTCTGTCTCTAGAACGTATCCCACCAAAACCATGCCAAGTCAGCGCCCCCGCCCCCCCCTCTTGCTGAGCTCAGGATGTATCTGGTCGATTCAGCTAGCAACCATCGACCTTGAATGTGAGCCTACATTCGAATTATTTAACATAATTGCTAGAATTAAAACGAGATCTAGATGGGCCCGGGGAAATTTTAAATGGGGCATCTCACCACTTAAGTCAACGCTGAAGAACTTAAGGTCAGCTTCCTTTCCGAGTCCAGCGAGAACATTATAGACTCAAATAGTGGATTCCATTAGTGGTAATCTTTGAAGTAACCATGAATTCCATTAGGGTCCATATTTTTTCTCCAAGGTTTTTCTCAACGTGCTGGAAATAAGTTCAAATATGGTAATCGGATGGTCAATGCAAGGGCCACTTGTATTCCTTTGGGTAGACTAACTGCTTGCTTGTTTCGGAGTCAAACACGATTGGGTCAGCCCGTGCGACCTCCCAACTAACACTTTAAATTGGAGCCGATCCATTGAACGTTTGTTCGGACTATTGAAAGTTGTGGGCCCCGCGATCCGAAGCGCCGTCATCTTTGTCTATATCCGGAAAGCAGGGCGTTAGAACCGAGGAGGAGGCCGCCAATCCACGTGGAAGGTAGCAGCACGTGGCGGCCATAACTGTACCCGCCGGGTAACGAAGGGAGCACCTACGTCTGTTTGTGGCCGTCGGATCGAGATCTGACGTTACTGCTTGCTTAGGCGTCTGGGGAACGTGGTATCTGGCGGCTCTTCTTGCGGCTGGGAGAGGATGACAGGGCTCACGTGACAGCAGAATCTTGGATCGATTGATTGAGTGGTACAATCGTAATAATATCTAAAATATGAGGGTAGGATGGAAACTGCACGCAGAGCCGTCAAACATGGATTTTTGGATCTCCACCTGGTTATAAAGGGGGCCACTGCTCTGGTGCAAATCGTCGTCCCCTGCCTCCGCCGGCTCCTCAGACCCCCCCCTACCTTCCACCTCTACACCCCTTCCTCTTATCGAAGGGGGGAGATCGTTGGAGCGCACTGTTGGCTGCGGCGAGGGAGGGGAGATTGGAAGAGGAAATGGCGTCGGAGAGGAAGGATGTCGGAATTCTGGCCGTGGACATCTACGTCCCTCCCGCTTGTGTTCAGCAGGTCCGCCATCGGAAGCCACATCACTATTTTCCTCGTGCATTTTCCATCTAGGACGTGTTTTCGTGGTCGTTTTCGCGGACAAATTTTGTTTTTTTCTTTGGATGATTTCGTTCGTACATTATAAAATGTAGCCTTCCGCGTGCTTATTCCACGGGAGATGGTGATCTTCTTTTTTCCGAAGCATTTTTTTTTTTCATGACGAAACCATTCTTTTTTTTCGGTTACTGATCTAGATCGGGGGAACGGAAGGAACCATTTTATTTAGTATCTTATTTTCTTATAAAAATGGATAAAATATCGAAAATGCTATTTTCAACCAGAAAAATGAATAAGCCCATCGGTCATCGAATGAAAGCTTCCACACTATCTCCTCTATTGTAGGATTCTCTGGAGACTTACGATGGCGCCAGTAAAGGAAAATACACGATCGGTCTTGGGCAAGATTGTATGAGCTTCTGTTCCGAGGTGGAAGACGTCATCTCCATGAGGTGCGTGAGATCTCGGGTCTTTTTAATGAATATCTCATTGATGCTGAATTATGTTTATAGTTGGAGTTTTTCCTTTCAAGGAGATCTTACCACTGGTGCAGTTGTCATCCAAAGTATGCATAATGTTTGGGCAAAAATATATTATCTTTCTATCTCTGAATTTTTAACATCATTAACTTCAAACAACTGAACCCGTATACAAAACAGCCATCGATTGTTACTTGCTCACCCCGAAAATCCATCAAAACGAAAATACTCTCTCCTTTCTTTTGCCGAATATTTGTTACTACAACCTTTCAAGGTCCTAACTAGGAGTTAAATCTGCAAGAGGAGAGCAAAATGTCGTGATTTAACATGCCAATATCGAAATCAAGGTTTGCATGAAGAAATAAAGCACGGTCACAAATCTAGGAATTTTACACTAGATTGAAGACATACTCCGTTCCCCTAGCCTCTTTTTGGGTGCTACACTAGTCTACCCAAGTTTCCTATTACAAGCTAACTTCCCTATCTGTCAAATCCTTGCTCATTAGCAAGGTCGTTCAACGATTACAAAAAACAAGCTAGACTAGCTTTCAAAACCTCTAGTGAGAATATGACTGTTTGAAGAACCCTGGAGGTTCCACTCGGATGTTATAGAAGCGGTTGAAAACTTATGAATTCTTGAGAGAGAGAGAGAGAGAGAGAGAGAGAGCTCCGTGTGCTGAGTCTTGTGAATTCGTATTATTCCCAAAATAATCTCATTCGACGAAACTTTATAGCCTGAAAAATTCAACTATTCGTTAAAATAAGTTTTCCCTTAAGGATTAGAAAGAGACTTGTCTTTATCATTTTTCTTGTTGATAATTCGCCCAAGCTTTATATTATTAACCTTGCAGGTGCCGACCATGGCACCCTCCTTAATCTTTGGCTTTTGCTTTCCATGTAAGAGGCCTCACTTCATACAAGAATCGAGACTTGCAACTCAGGAGTTGACACATTATTTGATCGCATTTTTCCCTATCTAATCATTTATTTTTGCATGTTTTTTTCCGTACAACTTTGAGGAATCATACATTGTCTTGTTGTTTTCATTTTTCTGGCCATTTTAACTCGTCGAAATTTCATGCTCTGAATAAAAATCATACAAAAGATGTACACATGAATACAGAAGTTGAGATTTTGTAATTGCCAAAATCAGAGTATCTAGTTTAGCAGCCTGCTAGTAGAAATTTACCTCGGCATGGTTCCTGGGAGTTAGGGAATTCCCTGGCTTCGCTCCAATCCTGGATTCAATGTCGTGATTCCCTTGCCTTCTACTTAGATCATCTTTCCGCTATTTGTTGTTTTGCTCCTTATATATTCAGAATTCCAAAGAAAAGCTTTAGAACAGAACAGTATGCGTTGGTTTGCTTTAGTCATTGGCCTGGCATGTGTACGCACATAGTTTTTTTTTTAGTTTCAGAAAAGAACTCCCTGCATGACCTCGATCCTGTGAAGTAACCAGGGCTAAAAACAAAGAAAAAATAAACTCTTTCGGATTAATGCAATGCATCTTTAATTCGAAGATTCAGTAGAATTGAAGAATAATGAATGTAATTAGTTGCAATCTCATGTTTTACATCAACGGCATATTTTTTCATATGTTTTCTTGATTAAGGATAATATTTGACTCATTGTATTGTGCAGCTTGACAGTTGTTACTTCGCTTCTTGGGAAATATAAAATCGATCCTAGGCAAATTGGGCGTTTAGAAGTCGGAAGTGAGACAGTGATTGATAAAAGCAAGTCTATAAAAACTTTCTTGATGCAGATTTTTGAGGTTTTGATTCTGATCCTTTATTTTTATCTGGAATGTTTTATTGTCGCTACATACTTATGAGAATTGTGCAGGAATGTGGCAACACTGATGTCGAAGGCGTTGACTCAACAAATGCTTGCTACGGGGGAACGGCTGCCTTGTTCAACTGTGTCAATTGGGTCGAGAGCAACTCCTGGGATGGACGCTATGGACTTGTTGTTTGTACAGACAGTGCGGTACTAATCACCTCGCCTGCTTTTCACTCTTTTTTTTCCGTAGGAAATTTGTGCTATGGCCGAAGTTTCTGATGATTACCAGTTAGGTTAGCTATGCTTCTTTCTGCCATATTAACTATTTTTGTTTATAATGCAAAAGAGAAAATGACCTAACATAGTGTGGACAACTGATGATCACAGGAATAGTATGTTCACCATGATGACCATCCTTACTGAAAATTTTCTTTTGTTAGGTTTATGCTGAAGGACCAGCCCGTCCTACTGGGGGTGCTGCTTCCATTGCCATGCTGATAGGACCAAATGCTCCGATTGTGTTTGAAAGTAAATACAGAGGGACTCACATGAGTCATGTGTATGATTTTTACAAACCCGATCTGGCCAGTGAATACCCGGTTCGTTTTTCTTCTCTGCACTCTGGTTCCATATGCAACTTTAGATGAATTTTCTTTTCGTTGTGTGCTTGCTGTAAATGGACGTTGGTTTCTTAATTCCGTTCTGTTTTGTGATAAAAGGCTTATTTCCATCCTTATCTTGATAAAATTGGACTGCTGATGCCAGAATGTCAGAGTCTGTGTATACAATATATATTTGTATTTTTATCCTATTAATTTCAATTTTAAGAGCTGATTGGGAAATGGTTATCACGAGCATCCTGGCAAAGGTACTCACGTGTAATAGAAATGACTGTCTTGATCCTTATCAGTTATTGTTTGTCGCATCAGTCATGCTACTTTCTTTCATTGCTTGCATTGATAAAAAAACATTGTCATTATGTACTACTTTTTATTTTACTATTTTTTATGTTTTTATAAGATGAATTCCTTAAGTTTTATTACATGGTAAAATAAATTGAGGATCTTTTTTAAATATGCATCGTCCAGGAAGTCCTTAAAATATACAATAAAGCGTCAATTACAATCTCAAGTGGATAATTTCACATGCTCTGGGGTTCTTCAGCTTTCATTCTGTATTTCTTTCTGTACGTAGACAGGCTTGTGTATGGTTATTTAGGCTCCACCGAGGTGATTCTATGGAGTTTGATGATACGTCTTGCATAAATATCCTATGCAAATACGCCTTGATTCAGAACCTTTTTTTTTTTCCCCTGGGAATCTTGCTAAATTAGTGGCTTCAATCAGGATAATATTCTACTTGCTGATTTGGGGATTTAATGGATGCAATGGTCCTTATTATAGCCTCTTATTTCATGGATGCATACTTATTTCCCATTTTCTGTTTTATTTTATTTTGTCCTCTCTTTATTCAATGTGTATTGTTCAGTGGCAATGTTCCTTGTGTTGTGCATCTGCATCCCAAAGCGACTGCTCTCTGTTGTGGCCATGCTTTTCATTATATTTTGCATTTGAATGTTCATAGGTAGTTGATGGAAAGCTATCCCAGACGTGCTACCTAATGGCGCTTGATTTATGTTATAGTCGCTTCTGTAGCAAGTGAGTAGCCCACAAAGAGGCCATTGTTTATTATTTCCTCTTTAGTGTGCTTCTAAAACTTGGTCTCTCATCTTTCTACTTGTAGGTTTGAGAAATATGAGGGGAGGCAGTTTTCGCTGTCTGACGCTGATTATGTTGTCTTCCATTCCCCATACAACAAGGTAAATCCCACTCTACGTGATTCCTGAGCCGGACCCAGAATCCACTACTTCAGTTTTATATCAGATGATTGAAACTGTTCTTATATCCGTGTTTTTTGTGATGCTCACCAACAGCTCGTTCAGAAAAGTTTTGCCCGGCTCTACTTCAATGACTTCACCAGGAATTGCAGGTTTTATTTTTTTTCTATTTATCATGCCTCTACCATTCATACAGTTTTTTGCATTATTTTTCTGATTTAATGAAATCCTCAGATACTTCATCTTATAGATTCTATTGTAACTTTGCCCGTTTGCTGGCATCTGTAAGTAGGAAATTTGTATGCGATTATCCCTGCATTAGGGACAATGTTCTTGCCAAGCTGTTCGTGTTTAGTTGCTGTTTAGGCTTTGGTATGAAATGCTGGATCATCTCTTAATTAGCTTTTTTAGGGATTCGGAATCGGTATGAGATTGAAGTCCTTTTATTCTTTAGGTGGTGGTTGCTTTTCTCTCCATATTATTCACGATAATAGGACCAGGACCTTTGAATATGATTAAGGACGAAAGGACGCTCGACAATTTGCAGATACTCAAGGCAAGAACCTACTGGACTTGGCAACAACAAAATCTTGACCGACGCTTGATAGTGTGGGAACATCCCCTCGAGTGTGATCAACGTGCGTAAATAGAGACTATATATATATATAGTTGTTTCAGCAAGAATCCACTGATTCTGCCATTAAAGGATAGGGTTTTGGAACAAGTCTGCAGAAAGTTTCTATGTTTGAAGTGAAGGGGAGTTGGGCACAAGGCACGGTAGATCCCACCCCCAAGTGAATGGACGCTGGATGGTGGATTTTGCCCTCTGCCCAGAAAATCCTTTGGTTCCGATTGAGCAACTTTGTTTCTGCCCGTCTGACTGATTTTTCATGTGGTATAAGGTTTTGGAACATTAAATGTTGTAATTATGTATGCAATAGTGGCTACTTGCAAGCAGAACACTGCATCTCATATGAAAGTTCCCACTAGCATATTTTTACTCAATTTCAAGAGATTTTCGTTCTTCGTGTCTCACACTGTGATTCCTCGTCTGTACATGCTCTCTCTCTCTCTCTCTCTCTCTCTCTCTCTCTCTCTCTCTCTCTAAAACGAGCCCCTTTTCTCCTCCTGCCCTAGCTGGATCGAGAAGGAAGCGAGGGAGAAGCTGGAGCCGTTCTCGTCCCTCTCCGCCGACGAGAGCTACCAGAGCCGCGACCTCGAAAAGGTGAAATCATGTCACCATCACTATTTTGGGGTTCGAATCAGCTTTCTATTTCTCGTGGTTGACCATCTCGTCTCCGATGCTTGCTCTCCCCCCGGAACGAACAGGCCTCTCAGCTCGTGGCTAAGCACCTGTACGATCAGAAGATCCAGCCATCGACTCTACTGCCCAAGCAAGTCGGAAACATGTACACCGCATCTATCTACGCCGCCTTGATATCCGTCCTCCACAACAAGCACAGCTCTCTGGTGAGTCTCTGGTCTCCTCCCACGACTGATCCCGGAGACTCTTTGATTGATGATCCCGCGATCTCCTCCAGGCCGGTCAACGCATAGTGATGTTCTCCTACGGAAGCGGCCTGACCTCGACGATGTTCTCCCTCAAAGTCAACGACGGCCAACACCCTTTCAGCCTGTCCAACATCGCCGCCATCCTCGATGTCTCCCACAAGCTTGAGTCGAGACACGTCGTACGTTCCCCTCTCTCTCTCCCTCTCTCTCTCTCTCTCTCTCTCTCTCTCTCTCTCTCTCTCTCTCTCGCTGCGTGTATTTCAGGGATGAAAAGAAAGAAAGATTACACCGTGGGGTCGTCATCTTCCGCAGGTGGCGCCGGAGAAGTTCGTGGAGACGCTGAAGTTGATGGAGCACAGATACGGAGCCAAGGACTTCGTGACGAGCGGAGATGCCGACCTGCTTCCTCCGGGGACGTTCTACCTCACGCACGTCGACTCCTTGTACCGGAGATTCTACGTCAGGAAGCCCGAGGATGCCGCCGCCACCGCTGCTCCGCCGGTGGTCAACGGCCACTGATCGCCCTGCTGGCGCCTGAATTCTCTCTGCTAGGATCCTCCTCTCCTTCCCGAATCTTAAATGATGCCCTCCCGGGGTTGACTTTGGTTATTGATCTAGACGCCGTTGGCCCAACGAACGGCATTGATCTGGGGTTGTATTTCTATGAATCATGAACTTAGTTTACGAAGAAATAATCGTGCATGATGTTCATCTCCTCTCGACGGAGACGCCGGGGGAGAGAGAACTCGGCAGCTATCGGCTTTAATGGCGTCGCCCAGATCCTCCTCCGCACGTGAAACAGGCTCCCCGCGGCCGTACCGCCGTGGCGCGAAATGGTGACGTAAGAGCTTACCCTCCAGGAGGACTGTGGGTCCCGTGGAGGCAGCAGCTGCTGCAGGTAGGTGGCAGCATGGGGACCTCGTCCTAGGGTTGTCGACTGCCGAGAAAGAGAGAGAGGGGAGAGGGGGCCTCGTTGACTAGTTGCGTGTAGAGAGGAGCTTTTCCGGTGGTGGGTGCGCTTGGTGGTCTCTGGTTTCATGGGAAGGGAGGAGGAAAGTGAGGGCAGTGAAGAAAGAGAAACCAACCTGAGGATGGGTGGGGGCGGCGCCGGCGGCTTGAAATCCCTCCAGCTCCAGAAAGTTTCTGTTTCTGTCCGTGGAACGATCTTTCCCACGGCGGAGGAGGTGTCGGGCGAGCAGCGGAAGGCAGCGCCGAGGAGCAAGGACCGGCACACGAAGGTCGAAGGCCGCAGTAGGAGGATCCGCATGCCGGCGGCGTGCGCCGTCAGGGTGTTCCAGCTGACGCGGGAGCTTGGGAACAAGTCGGACGGCGAGACCATCCAGTGGCTGCTGCAGAAGGCGGAACCCGCCATTGTAGCAGCCACCGGCACCGGCACGATGCCCGCCATCGCCACGTACGTCGGCGGTGCCCTCCGTGTGCCCACGCAGCCCGCTTCCTCCGCCGGAAACGCCGGCGAGAGAACGAAGAAGCAGCAGCCGCTGCCGCAGTCGTCGCAAGTGCGAGTCTCCATGTCTTCGGGCCTCGCCCCGATCGGAGCGGTGGCTCCGGTGATCCAACCCCTGTGGGCTGCTGTCAACAGCGGCTGCGGCGGCGGCGGAGGAGGAACCCTGTGGATGATGCCGGCTTCCTCCGCCGTAGCGGTCGCCGCCGCCGCCGCTGCCAAAGAGCTACAGTTACTGGGTGGCACCGCCGGCGCCGGTGACAGCCACTACATCCACCATGATCGACGGCGTGGGAAGAGGGAGCGGCTGGAAGAGGGCGAGCCCTCCCTCCCCAGAACGACGGCAACGTAGTAGTAGTAGTAGTAGTAGTAGTAGTAGTAGTAGTAGTAGTAGTAGTAGTAGTAGTAGTAGTAGGATTGTGTAAGGTTTTCCCCTTTCCTTCATCACCTCATCTTCGTCTTCTTCTTCCTCTTCCTCTTCCTCCTGTGTTTTTCTCCTCACTCGCTACTGTCCCCACCGCGATCCAAGTGAACCGGGAGCGATCTCCGAGGATGTGGGCCCCATGGTTTCGCCACCATTAAGTGTAGGTGAATACTATGTGGGCCCACTGCTCTTCGATGGTGATGACTCTGGGGCCTCACTTTCTATGCTGCAATGTGAAGCGTGTCTGAGTCAACGTGACTGCATCGGATCACAAAACGTCTATTCAAATCATGGTTAGAAGCACCTCGGTTGATGACGCAACCAAGTTAATCTCTCTCTCTCATATAATATTATATGAATCGGAGAGAGAACCCGGAGATTTATGGCAGACCATCCGTCACACATGTTTTCCGGCGGAACCTCCGAAGGGTGGGAGTCCAACCAAAGTAGTGGGCTTCATAAACGTACTCAGAGAGAGGGAGGGAGAGTCAACGGCGCAGGCATACATAGCAAAGTCAAGCAAAACTGGGCATCCGAGGCATATTATTATTGAGAGTCTGCAGAGGGGCGGCGTCAGCGGGGGTCCTCTGCGTAGTCGGGGGAGGGGGCTCTCTTCTTGTTCGGAGGGGGGGAGAAGACGAGGGAGGGCTTCGCGCCGCTGCCCAGGCGGTGGTGGTTCCTGCTTCCCTTGATCAGTATGGCTCCACGGGGGCCCGGAACTTCTCCCCCGCGTACACCGCGGCAGCTCCCAGCTCCTCCTCGATCCTCAGCAGCTGCGTGCACATCATAAAATAAAAGGCAACTCTCAGCCAAGGGAAGGGAAAAAAATCAAGAACCCACACGAGATGGATATGAGAGAGCGTGGAAGCTGAATTGGGGTGGGTTGTTAATAAGGGATTTAAACCTATCTTGATCATCTTCAGGCTCTGCAACTAAGACTTGAACCAAATTAAGCAAAGATAAAAGCCCACACATGAAGAGATGAAGAGAGGTAGAGAGGAAAAGAGAGAGAGAGAGAGAGAGAGAGAGAGATGCACTGGGCCAAGGGTGGTGGGTGGCAGGGGAACCCACCTGGTTATATTTGGCGAGGCGCTCTGACCGGCATGGGGCTCCAGTTTTGATCTGACCCTGGTACAGAGAACACAGATTGGATGAGACTAGATTCTCTGCAGGAAGCGAGCAGGGAGAGATGGAGAAGGTGCGGGGATGGAGGGAAAGGTGATGAATTGGGGATTCTTACCGTAGCCAGACCCACTGAAAGGTCGGCAATGAAGGTGTCCTCGGTTTCACCACTGCATTAGGTCAAATCAAGAAGATCAAGTCATCAGTTACCTGCGAGTAGATAGATGATTTCAAGCTATAGAAGTAGAAGACATCAGGAGCTACAACTCGGTCAAACCTCCGGTGGCTGGCCATTACACCCCAACCAGCCTTCTTGGACATCCTGACGGCCTCTATGCTCTCTGTAACAGACCCTATTTGATTCACCTGGTTCAGAAACAGAGAAATAACCTCAGTAACCTCATCGGCAAGATCCATATCGCTATAGAGCTTAAGAATTCTGAATATACACCTTCAACAGAAGGGCATTGCAAGACTTTTCATTGATAGCCTTGGCGACACGCTGCAGGGGACAAAAAGGCAAGATAGATAAATAAGCAACTTAGGCTATAATAATCAGGGATTCTGATCCACTGGAGGGGGTGACATACGGTTGGGTTGGTGACGAGGAGATCATCCCCAACAATCTGAACCTTGTCCCCAATTTCTGCGGTCATCTTTGCATAGTGGGTCCAGTCGTCCTGGTCAAAGGGATCCTCAATTGACACAATGGTATAATCAGCTACAAAGGATTTGTAGACGTCCTTCAGACTGTCTCCAGATATTTTCTGTGAGCCGTCGTTGTTCTGCAAGAAGATAACGGAAACACTCGTCACCACCGTCGGTCAGGTTATGAATATAAGTCTATGCTGAAAGAAATAGATGCATACCCGCAATTTAATAAATAAAGCAAGGCAGATTTCTTACCTCTTCCTTGAAATTAAGATCGTAGGTCTGATCCTTATCATTGTAAAACTCTGATGCAGCAACATCCATCCCAATCACAACCTGCGACAAAAAAAGGCAAAAATGAACAAAACGTCCCCAATCTCTTTTTCCTTTTTTGGAAAAGTTGCTAGTCGCACAGAGCGTTTGGTATGAAAAAAATAAACACGAAACAAGATCTCACTTTGCCAGTGTAGCCGGCCTTTTCAATGGCAATCTTCAGCAGCTCGAGTCCCTCTTTGTTTTCCTATGTGACAAGAAATGGAGAAAGAAATGAGGACAGACATGATCCCAAACAGAAGTAATGTTACTCAGATGATTGATGAAAAGAAGAAGAGTCTTGTGTTCTTCATATGAAATGCAAAAAAAAAAGATGGAGAAACATTAAATCTTATGTCACTCAATAGAAAACTGACAAGAATTTCTTGGTGTCGTTAATCAAATAATCAGATCCAATAGACACGAAAGTGTTAAATAGACTATTTTTATGGTCGTCAGAATACAATCGAGCTCTAGACAATAATTCGGACTGTTCAGCTACCTCAATGATCCACCTACACTGAAATGAGCTGAAACGTGTAAACTAAGGGAACCCAGGAAGGGCATGAAGGCAGATATTTACATGGACTACGCCCTAGCACAGTGCAGAGATGACGATCCGGCCATCCTCAAGTATTTCTATATAAGGACAAGAATGCAGTAGATGCGCGAACTATCACATCAACTTCTAGAGTACTTTTTTTTTCTCTCAAACTGTTAGGCACCCAGAGAAAGCTCTCATCATCATAGCAAGATAGCTCAAAAAATCCAATGAGCAAGCACACCTAAATGAACATTCAAGCAACTTTAGAAGCATTCTTTATCTAGAAATGTTGTGAAGCAAACCTGAATGTTAGGAGCAAAGCCACCCTCATCCCCGACGTTGGTAGCATCCTGACCATACTTCTTCTTAATGACGCTCTAAAAAATAAGAACGAAGAATTAGTTCCCACATTTCTCACAAATGAGCCATAAACTTCTTAATAGAATGATGATCACCTTCAAATTATGATAGACTTCAACCCCCATCTTCATAGCTTCTTTGAAAGAGGAGGCACCAACTGGAAGAATCATGAATTCCTGGGACAAAGGAACAGATAGTTAGATAATCTACCCAACGAAAAAAGGATTATTGTAACTCGGATGAATCGCTGTAGCATTTTTATTACCTGCATAGCTAATTTGTTCCCTGCATGCGATCCTCCATTAATAACATTAAAAGCCGGCACTGGCAACACCAGGTTCTTGTTTCCAGCAAGATTGGCAATGTGCTGCAGACACAAGATACAAAAATGAGTTATAATGACTGCGTAGGTTTCGGGTGAGATAAATTAAAATTTGAAAGGTACAAAACCTGGTAAAGGGGGATCTTTTTAACAGTGGCTCCAGCCTTGCAAACAGCCAGAGAGACAGCCAAGATAGCATTTGCACCAAGCTGAAGAGAAATGAAGGAAAAACCACTTAACAAAGGAAGCACAGTGTCTAGATACATAAGAGCATGATATGAACAATCTATGTCTCACCCTTTGCTTGCACCATCCCCATTCATTTGATGTTCCATCAAGTTCTTGCACCATGAAGTTATCAATCGCAGTTTGTTCTGTGGGGTCCTGAATAAGAAAAGCGTAGAAAAATCAGTAACACCATAATTCAAAGAAGACGAAGGGCAAGGAAACTCAACCCCATCACAGCTCAACAACCAAAAAAGGTCCAGAAAGGTACCTTTCCGATCAATGCTGGTCCAATAATGGTGTTCACATTCGCAACAGCCTGAAACGGAAGTATTAAAAACTTTAACTCATTCTATTGATCTACAGTAGGAAAAGTAAATGCTCGTGATGAATTTCATGAATAAAATTTTCAAGAGAAAATAATAGAAAACACAAAATTTGGGAAAACCTGCAAACGGTAGAAATAAATTTCTTACTTTATAAGAAAGAAAGAACTCTCTCGTAATCTTTTTAATAAATCAGGAATGACATAAACTTATCCATGAAGCATTATTGACACCTATCAGATATCTGCCTGTATCACACAAATAGTTTCAAATGGACGATTGATCTCTGACCCCCAGTGTAGCCTTTGATATAAAAAAGTACAAGGTTAAAAAAATAAAATGAACATAAGAAAAATGTCGTATATAATGCAAACACTCGTGACAATAATTGAGAGAAAAAACTGGGAAAAAAAAATCATCGGTGCTGATTTTGATATCCTAATCCACTGACCTTAAGAACACCCTTTCCAAGGTAGTCGGATCCGCCATCTCTGAGTTCTAAAGCCTCGTACACACCTAAACAAGCAGAGGAAACAATCAATCATACTTATCGATGAAAAGGTAAATATATAAAAGAGGAAAACTATCTTTAATTTGTTGGACCGTATACCCTACAGATGTAGACTTAAAAACACAGTGACTAGTTTAGTCGTTTCTTCTCTAGCACAAATCATGGAAAAAAATAAAATAAGAATAAAGACTGTACACAAAGCATCAGAGGTACATCACACACACCTGTAGAGGCTCCGCTGGGAACAGCAGCCCGAGCGAGTTGCCCGCCACCATATATAACGTCAACCTGCAGGACAAAATTTTCAGAGTGAAACGATAACTCAAGATAAGCCCCAAAACAGACGAATACACACGCAATATGTTCAATATCTCTATAATGAATGCGAGTAAAACCCAACGAAGAAATCACCACAATTATTCTCTTCTCCCGAATAAAAACTAGGAAAGAGTAAAAAGACGGGGGCTGAAAGTGCTACGCAAAGCGGGTCGACTAGCGAATCAAGTTCACAGGGGGTATTAGAAAGAAAAACTCCATTTTTTTTCATAACACACAACAGATCCAGCAGATCGACGAGAAAAAGGTAAGGCGCGAACAAGAATAATAAAAAAGAGCATCGTCAGTGGCATGCGGGGAGACATCCATAAAGACAGCACCGACGCTTCAGATCTCGGGCTCGGAATCACATCTAAAAGCTGATGGGGAACGCTGGGGGGGGAGCGAACGACTACCTCCTCCTCCACCGCGATCCAGATCAGACAGAAGCCCGGCGGGAGAATGAAACGCTCACCTCGACGGTGGGATTCCCGCGGCTGTCGAAGATCTGCCTCGCAACGACGCGCTCGATCACGGGGGCCATGGAGGGGTTTAGGAAGCGGCTTAGGGGAGAAGAACCGGCGGGCAGAGAAGGATCTCCGCGACCAAGAAATCTAAGCAGTACAGAGAGCCTCTAGAAACTCGGGAAAGGCCGGTACTTATAGCGACCGAGATGGCTGGGAGCTAGGTGAGCTGACCGGGTTAGGTCGTCACACCCACAGAAAACCAATCTCCAGCCGTTGGATTTTCACAAGCCACTGGTTCTGACGGTCAGATTTAAGAGAGCGACAGAGACGGACACCCTTTCTAAGGGGGGCAAAGGGTCTACCAACGCGTGGCAGTCCGTCACAAGTATCTTCCTCTTCCCTGACGGCATATCCCAAGACTTGACGCCGTTATCAGTGCGTCGTTATCGAGACGTGACACGTCAGCCCACGTTCTTACCCCTGATCAGCTGACGGAACCACCAGGGAATCAATCTGGCTCTCGAGCGTGCGCTCCGAACCCCCCCCCCCCCCCATCTGTATTTAATTAATTCATAACAATCATTGAAATATTTACCGGTTTATTTTATGGCGAGCGTGAGAATTTAAACATTATTTTTAAATATATAAAATTATTTAATGGAGTGTCGGGTCGGACGGAGATTTTTTATTTTCTTTACTTTTTTTAATCAGATGTCGCCTTTTCGCATGCACGGATGAGGCCATCATCTGCCATTGTCGCAAAAAACTGTAGTCCGATGGATGGCCCACATTTTTCATCGATATACCATTTTCCAAATATTCCAAATATTCTTACAATAAATAAAATCGTTTTTAAAAAAATTGAGCAGCTTGTCATCGTCCCAGGCCCAACAAAAATGGGCCTCTCTAGATTAATGGGTCCTTCTTGTCCTATTCTGGTGAACTTGTCGCGATCATAGTGGACTTTTGGTCCTATTTTCATATTTACCCAATGTTTGAGAAAAATGAAACGATTCCATTGACTCATCATTTTAATGCACTTATTAATGGGCAAAGTTTCGTTATTTCGATCTATTTTATGCACTTATTAGCGAAATTCCAAGAATCGCGTTAGAGAAAGAAGAACGAGTCAATATTTGGAAATCGACCTGTCGTAATGGAAATGATCACCATTATATTTGGAAAATAAGATTAATCGAATTATATGAAAAAAATGATGTATTCATATATATATATATATATATATATGTTTATATTTATCGATAAGGTGTATAAAAAAACTGCATATTCATATGATTTATGACACACGTGATTGAGAAGCCCCAATGAGGAGCGGAATTTTATATTAATTTTTAAAAATTTCTGAACGACCATAATTCCATGTTTGATTACTGTTTTCAACAGACTTTATGCTACCAAGAGTCCGCTGAATGAAATTATATGCAATTTTCAACAAAAGTTTTACCGATTTGTGAAATATAATATCTATCAATCATCTCATCGGGGGGCTTTCGAGAACTAGCTGACTCTCCCTCGCCCCCCAAACAAGCCCGTTTTGTGATAAAAAATCGCCCCTTGGCCGGTTTTCCTGGCCTCAGAACCAACCAAGTAAAGCCGCCATTTCTGGAGTCGCGTCGCGTCGCGCCGTGTCGTGGCCGGATCTCTTCGCGCCAGCTCTCTTTAGCCAAGGTTCCGCGGAGAAAGACATAAATCCGCGGGCCGCGACGGCAGGTTGTATATCTCGCAGTATCCCATTTCTCCTCTGGTTTCGTGCCATTTTGACGGAGGTGCTCGGTTGTCCCTTCTTTGGCTGCTTGCTGTTATTTATTGACGGGGACCGAGGAGAATGGATCGCCGTCCACGTCGCCAAGCTGGTTCAGGGAGGATTTTTCCTTTTATTAGTGAGCGTTATTTATTTCCTTTATCATTAAACTTTGGAGAGGTTAAAAGTACCTCCTTAGAATCATAGAACAGAGAAGAACGAGGGTAGGAGAGGCCGTGAGGGTCATTATCCAACGCCATAGCCTCCTTCCGCCGCCGCCCATCTTTCAGCAGCCCTCCCTCCGCCATCGTCCGCCTTTCCCCCGACCGTCGTCTGTCGTCCGTCGTCCGCCGCCGCCGCCAAGGACACCTAGGGATCGATTCGTGTCTTCGCCACCGTTACCGTCACCGACCGTAACCACCAGAACGCCGCCGCCGCCTCTCAGCCGCTCTGCCCTTCCGCCCCGACCGCTTTCTCCCCCGATCGTTCGTGCTGCCGTCCCATCGGTTAGGGGTAATACCCAACCGGTTCGTTACACGACGAACCGTAGGCCCGAACCAGTCCGGATCCGGCCGGCCTGATTGGCCCATTTCCCCCAGGCCCACCCAGCCTGGGCCGCTTGGTCCGAGCTAGCCCAGGTCAGCATAGTCCACGATCAACGAGTCAGTCAACTGTCAACGTCTGGTAAATGGTCAAACGTCTGTCAACTATCAACAATTGGGGTCCAGATTCAACGTGTGCTCCACCGATCAGTCGCCCATTCTGGCAATAAGGTTATCCCTAAACCCTCTCTCTTTCTGAATTGAGTATTTTTGTTCATCTAGGATATTATCTTACAAAACTGTCAAATTATCGTTGTGTGATCCCTAGATAGGTCCACTTATTTCCGTAGCTGGTGGTGAGTGTGGAAAGAAAACCCACTTGATTTACAACTAGTCAACTTACTGATACCGAAGCACCCTAGTCGCCGGTCTAGGTTGCTTTTAAGTTAGGGTAGCTTAATCATTTCCTCATCTCATCCCGCATTAGTTATCAAACTGTTGATGCTGCTTCACTGCCATTGTTCTCCATTCCGCTAATTCAGGACCAGTATGAAAAGAACAACAGTTGACCGATCCATTGTCTAGAGGAACATCGAAATTATAGATCCAAAAATAAAATCGAAATCCGTTCACTTGTTCAGCAAAATTATAGATTTTGTTAAGGATTCCATCAGCTGTTATTCATTTACCTCAAAATAGGAACACTTCCGTAGAGCTACCTAGTGATGATCTCCAGTGATGATCTTACGATACATGTATCAGCATGCTCTTACATTGATATACAGTGAATTAAGTATCACTCATTGGAAGGATAACCGTTGGTATTCCACATTATTTTTAGTTTAATCACGTTCACAAAATCTTGATGAGAACTCATCAAAAGTTCATCCAGTCCGGGTGTTTCTCTTGATTCAAAGATGCATTTTTTGAACTTCTTCCGAGAATTATTGTATAAGGCCATTAGTGTATCAAGATTAGGCAATCTATTAGCAAATACTTGTAGTTATTTCATTCCCTATTCTTTAAGCGGAAACTGAAAAGAATTATACATTTCTTTGATTTAATATTTTCCCAGAATGGCCCACTCTTTTTTAATGTCTTGCTGTTCTCTATGGAGTAGTTTAGGACCCTGATCTCCTTTCAATCAGATTCTTTGGCTTATTGACTCCATTTACGATCGTCCTTACTCATCACAGTGTTCTTTCTTCAACTTTTTAATTTCCAACTTTCAAAAAGGCAAACTTCTTTATTTCCTGGCCACCTTGGTGAGAAAAAGTTTTTTTTTCGTCCATTTTTTTAGTAATTTTATTGGGCATCATCTCCTCTCCACTATCTCAATTTTTTCTTAACACAAGCCTATTTACTCTGGAATACAACCTGAGTAGTTTATTCCATCCACCATTCTACAAATCCTCCAAGAACTCAATCCATCTTGCTCTGCAAGCATGCTTATGCACGCATTGGCTTCTCCTATCCTGAAGAGTAATCTCCTTAAATCCCTTGGGTTTTAGATGTACACTGAATGCCGTATGAAGTTTTTCAAGGTTGTTGGGATTGTCAGAAAAAAGAAGAAGATACAATCGATTTCTTGGACCGCTTCTGGCAAGCGTTTCAAAGGAGCCTTGGGTATGTGAAAATAGAAGAAATCAATGAGGTATGCAGTCTCTATGGGGGATCATCAGAAGATAAATTACCACGAAGAAAAAACTAGGTGGTTTGTTCAACCTAAGTTTTCATCAAGACTGTTCTCTCTGTGGACGAATATTTAGGAGTAGCAGACATGGTGATATCATCTAGGCAAGGGGAAGAACCAGATATTATTGGATGATAAAAAAGTACTGACTGAGGAGTTTCATCTATTTTGTAAGGAATTACTGACCATCTTTAGAGAGAAAGAGGAAGTGATAGATCAAAAGATAAATCACAGAGGGGAAGTATTTTGTATAGGAATATCTTAAAAGGAGAACTTTCTGAGTTTCTGAAGATCGTTTAATACATGTTTAGAACTGAAATAGCTATATCTGTGCTAGTTATAATGCTTGGAGTGTCTATACATGTTAATAAACTTCCTAGACTTCTTCTGTCTCCCGTTACCTGTAATTTAGAACATAGACATGTTAATCAACTCTCTAGACTTCTTCTGTCTCCCTTTGCCTGTAATTAGTAATGTTATCAATGAGTTCTCTTTCCAAAAGTATTACATGTTCTCCCCACGGAATGTTACTAATGGGCGGTTTGTTCATTCAGGTTATTCTTCTAACATAAGATGGTAAATGCCATCAAAGGCTTGTTCATCACCTGGTCAGTATTGGGCTTGTTTCATTACGATAAACCCATTAATTGAATCTCCACAAACTTCCTTATGGCCTCTGCTATCAACTGGCCTTACCCTTTTGTTTTCTTGGTCCATTCTCTGCAGTGACATCCCCATGGCACAATTCATCATCAACTTCAACGCCTCTCTTCCTGCTTCACAGAAGTTTATACTGCAGATTCTTGACGATACCCACTTGTTTGTCCAGCCCCATGCTGGGGAAATGATAAAGAGTCGCATGTCAGAGTTCAGAGAACAGAACACCTACGAGAAGCCAACTTGAGCCCATCTAAAGTTGGGTCATCCATCATCAAAGTTTCTTGATAATGCGGTGAGGTCAACCGTATGCAGAAGCAATCTGATTTCATTGCCTTCCCACCTATATATCTTTTCAGAGGAGGCCTTTTTTGTTGTATCACGGAATAGAAATGTTGTTAACTGTGGTAGTACATCTTCTTGGAGATGTTACTTTGCTTACATTATGGGTAAAAATGGTTCTGCATGTCGCATCGAATTCTGAAGCCTCTTGCAGAAGGAGAGAGCACTGGAGGGAAGCTATGGAGAGCGAAGATACGAATTTTCCTCTTAATTTATATCTGAGATGTAGATCTCCGATGACTCATCATTCCTCGAGGTTAAAGAAACCCTAAGTCCCCCCCCTTCATCAGAAGCTTCATCCATTTATCTGGGCATCTGAGCCTCGAGTGTAATCAATTTATTTGGACATAACCAATTGAAGCTGGGAGGACTGGATTTCCATACCAATTCAGGAACTTGGGGAGTCCGTTTTTTGGGTTTGTACAAGGATTCCAGTTTCCGTCTTGGGAGTCTGATAAGCTTGTTGAATGTCTTTGATGTGAGGCTTTTATGCTCTGAAGAAGTAGTGACGGCCTCATCTGCCTCCCTAATCTCTTTTCTAGAAATGGGCATTGCTGTCAATGGAGGAACTACTGATGGTGACTCTGTTTCGAGGATCTTCCTCTAATGTTCCTTATCATGACCCAGTTCAGACTTAAAACTTAAATTAAGCGCGGAAATAAGACTAAACCCAGTCCAGATTAATGTTTACTTGGTCAGAGAGTTTTTGAGAGGTTCTCCCTTTTAAATATTTCTTAATTACCTAATTGGCCACTTGGAAAATTCTTCGTACTGTTAGGCCCAGTGTGGATTCAAGTGCCCAGGTTTTGAAGCAAATTTTGGAAAACGAACACTTGACTTGACACCTATGTAGACAGAGCCTAGGTCCATCTTTTGTTTGCATTTATGTAAGAGGGAGGGAGGGAGAGAGCAATTAGGCTCTTTGCTTTCAAGCTAGGACTAATTTCTTTTTATAGTTCTTTAAAACTCTAAAAACAAGTCAATATCCAAAGTACCCAAATTGTTGGTTCATGGGGGTAATATCTTTTCCATTTCGTGAGAGTGAACAAGACCACTTCTCCATCTCCAGTGTCTTTCATAAGAGAAACAAAATGTTGTCACATTATGTAGAAATCTTTCATCTGAATTGGACGCATTTTTTTAGCAAACTATCAGGATACTTTGCTAATTTTGTGCTCATTTAGGGCCAGTAAAGACACTTTTTCGACCAAAACAGCTCCTTATTCTTCTACTTTTCATTGGCATACGTGACTCAAATGAACCTTTTAGTAGTACATGAGCAAACGTATTAGAAAATCCTCACAGTGCATCAGTTAATGGATTCTTAGAAGAAAAAAAAGGAGTTTAAATATAACCATGGTCTCCAAAAATTAGGACAAGGATAATAACGTGTAAAGACATTAGAATTCTAAATTTCAATTGTATTTTGTGAAATATGATGCACAAGTTTGTTTTTTGGTGTCCAATTTATTTTAAAAAAATTATGACAACCAAGCTTATTAATGTCATGAACAAAGGCTAGATTGAAGTTCTGCATGGATAACCAAGGTACTTTAAGTATTAATTTTTCCAGTTATGGCTTTGATTCTCTATCATCAAGTAGTTGTGCTCTTGATCAATTTAATGAGAAAGTTAGATTTGGGTTTATGAAAATGATTCCAATTTGAAGGAATTTTTACTATGTTTACCCCAATTTTCCTCTCTTCTCTCTTTTATACATCTAGAGGCCCGTCTACATGAATAGTCTATCATTTCCTAAGTGCATTATTCTTTTATACCATCTGCATACATTTGGTAGCCCTACAACACCCATATGCATGCGTTAACTATATAATATTTGCACATGGGACACCTTTTAAATAATCATACTCCACACCACCTACCGTTTGATGCTCATTTTGTTTTCTGTTGTCACCTACATTTATTGCTCATGCATTGCCTGATTCAAGCATAAATGATTAGTTAATCTATACACATTGACCACATCCACACGCCCAATATAGAATGGTCGCTGCCCCGTCCGCTTAGGACATGCTGCATTTTTACTTGAGAAGAGGACTTCATGTTCTTGTTGAATTTTTGCTAATAGTTCTTTGATCATGCCCTTAAATTGCTGCAATGACATTCTCTCATGTGGCTTCCCTCTTTTCATTTTGCCAAGAGAAAGACAATAATTTTTCTCACCGATGACTTGTTTACTTTGTGTGTGATCATATCATTTTCAAATTATTAGTAGATGATTTATTAGTATAATCTGTGAGGTATTGTTTGCATCTCCTTTCTAATGTTTGAGTAAACTAAACTGAAATGTTGGCAAAACTTTAGTACAAAGAGGCTTATTTGTTCGGCAAATTTTTTGTAAAGCTACCAAGAGAAAATTACTAAGGGGGCAGTAGGGCATAACAAGGTATCTTGCCATCAACCTGAAACTCAACCTCACATTGATGTGTACACAAATATCTATGTGTATTATGTTACTTTCTCAAGACGTTCTTGTACCTCAATTGAAGCTCAAACAGTCTGTATGTTGTGCTATATTGAAATTGCATCTTCTACTTGGCTATGTCAAAAGAGGTCAAAAGCTTGGTGCTTGTGACTAACTTAAACATAGGTTATATCTTCTTACCAAACTATGAAGAATACTATACAAGAATATTACAAGATCAAATTAATCCAACCTAATTTCCTTAGCTGGTTATAACTTGTAGTCATATGCATTGCCCCATCATACTATGAACCTATTATATTTTTCTGTGGCTATGAGTAATTGCTTGTCAAAATGTTCAATGTTGTCTCAAGCAAATAAATGAAGTTCCATAAAATTGTGCATGTGAGATAGGTGCCATGATTGGCAAGGATGTTGAGTAGCCCCCAATACTTTAATGATCCAATAATGATGTGCACAAAAGAAGTTTATTTCATCTTGAATAAAAGGAAGATTTCATAAGATGATCCCATCCAAGTAGATGACAACAAACTCATTCGTATAATCCTAAAAATGTTATTCGTTTAGGAGATTCTTGAATATAGCCAATGTTTTCATCATCTATCAAACCATGCTTGTCAATACTAATAGTAGAGACTGCCAATATCCCCCTCAAAACCTACTCGCTAGTGTCCAACAGGGTTGTGTCCAAGTTTCCATGCATCACAGTCGTCACAAAAGCTTCCTACCCCTTCCATAATCCTCATGAGTCTATAGGGTTTATAGAAGCTCCACATTCATATTGTGTTTATGCCACTAAGGCAGAGCATGAGCTTCCTTGGATGAGTCATGGCCACTCTTCTTCAGAAGAAAACACATTCCAAGGAGGATTATGAAGTTATTCTTTGAGAATGATAAAAGTTCATATCCCTTGGACTATGGACTCTTGGACCTTCTTTATTATGCTATTCAGAACTCACACCAGTGAGTTTATTATATTGACTTAGTCTGAATCACTCATTAGGATCAAGCAAAATTAATGGAGGCTTACAAATCCTCCATTCCTTGGACACTAGTGCAATTCACTCTGCCTTTGACTCAACTTCATTGTTTCATCACAGTGTGAAGTCCTTGTCAAGATCTGGAGGAGATTGTTGGCAAGGCATTCACTCGGGTTATATAAAATGTTTACAATTGTGGCATTGGCTCTCTCACATTTCAGATAGTCATTGGCTTCATGGGATTTAAACTAGTTGACTTCCTGCTTCTTTGGACCTGTTGCTACAAAAACACCCCCTTCTCTTGGTCATGGCTGTTTTTCTTCTCCGGCCAACTTTGTAACTTTATCTATAAAGTTTGCATACAACCAAAGTCCAAATCAACACCCCTGACATAAGTTTCAAAATATTAGAAATCATGCGAAAAATTGTATTTTCTCTACTTAATTCTTCTGAAACTAACTCATCATACATGGTGCATAGTTATCACCGTGTTCTGCTGTACCTAAACACTAGGAATTATGGTTATCCTAACGCCGCATAAACTAGAAGAACGCGTGATTAGATTACAGTGTGAACCTTGCCTGAGTATTCTGAAAGCATAGTCATGACCTTGAGTCCGCAAAGAATGTGATTTTGTTGAGAGCTCCTTGTCTTGAGACCGCATGACGTATAGATTTGTCCGCAGGGCCCCCTAGAATCTACCAGGAGAAGGGAAGGGAAGGACCTCCGAAAATGAAGGGAACTGGAAGATTCGTCGAAAAGAATGTGCCTTTTGGCGGGTGGGGGGGGGGGCGCTACGAGGGAGGCCCTGCCTATAGGCCGAAAATTAGTTACATACAACTAAAGTATAAAGGGAGAAATCTGTTATGATCCTAGAAAATATGGAGAAGAGAACGGATTACGGTTATCTCACATGAATCAAATGTGCGAATCGTAAGATTCAGGGCCAATAAATGTGTGACCGAGTCTCTTAGTGGGGCCATTGGAAGCTGAATTTGGGTAAAGGATAGTAGTCTACGCATCTTTTGAATCTCTGACTCACCTGAGTTGGTCCAACGCATCATTTGCACCTGGTTCTATTCCCTTTTCAGCCGTCTCGACGCAGATCTGATCTTATTGGTTTCTCCACCTGGGTCCGAAAACCTTGACATCGGTTTTTGGGCTGGATCGTATGCATTCATTAGCACACCAATGAATTTGTGGTCATAAATTATGGATTTGTTGTGCTACGCTTTGTAAATAATGCATTTGTTCACGCTTTACCAGTTATCCGTGTTCGTGCGTTCAGGGGTTGGAGAATGCCTCTAGTTTTATAGATTTAGAAACCGATCTTGTTTCCAAGATTCGTATGCTGCGGATTCGTGCTCAGATCTTGCTATCTTCGGCGTCAGTCCTACACGTGGAAGTGAACTCAGAAATGAATTGCGGAAAACGAGAATGCCTCTAGGGCTACAAGGTGGTGATTATTTTATATGCTGAGGGGTAGTTATAACTAACCTAGAAATGTGGGAATCGAGATTTTGACACATTTAACATGTGTCCGAATCTATTGCTAGGCTGTCTCCAAACTAAATTGAGCTGAGTTAATGCCTTCACGCATGTTGCGCCTTTGATCCACTCGAATTGGGTTGAAATTGGGCGGCATCCCCCCCCCCCCCCGGCCCACTCGAGTTGAGCTGAAATTGGGCCACGCTATACACCAGAGTCTCGCGATGGAAGCCTACTTACAGTCTTATTGGGCTATACGTCGTTCGTAATTTGATCTGCTTCAACGCATAAATTGAACAAACAAGATATATTTGCATACCGTATTTGAACTGCTGCCTGGGTGACCGTGATTAGTGACTTCTCAAGTGCATACAACCACAGTCCAAATCAACACCCCTGACATAAGTTTCGAAATATTGGAAATCATGCGAAAAATTGTATTTTCTCTACTTAATTCTTCTGAAACTAACTCATCATACATGGTGCATAGTTATCACCGTGTTCTGCTGTACCTAAACACTAGGAATTATGGTTATCCTAACGCCGCATAAACTAGAAGAACGCGTGATTAGATTACAGTGTGAACCTTGCCTGAGTATTCTGAAAGCATAGTCATGACCTTGAGTCCGCAAAGAATGTGATTTTGTTGAGAGCTCCTTGTCTTGAGACCGCATGACGTATAGATTTGTCCGCAGGGCCCCCTAGAATCTACCAGGAGAAGGGAAGGGAAGGACCTCCGAAAATGAAGGGAACTGGAAGATTCGTCGAAAAGAATGTGCCTTTTGGCGGGTGGGGGGGGGGGCGCTACGAGGGAGGCCCTGCCTATAGGCCGAAAATTAGTTACATACAACTAAAGTATAAAGGGAGAAATCTGTTATGATCCTAGAAAATATGGAGAAGAGAACGGATTACGGTTATCTCACATGAATCAAATGTGCGAATCGTAAGATTCAGGGCCAATCAATGTGTGACCGAGTCTCTTAGTGGGGCCATTGGAAGCTGAATTTGGGTAAAGGATAGTAGTCTACGCATCTTTTGAATCTCTGACTCACCTGAGTTGGTCCAACGCATCATTTGCACCTGGTTCTATTCCCTTTTCAGCCGTCTCGACGCAGATCTGATCTTATTGGTTTCTCCACCTGGGTCCGAAAACCTTGACATCGGTTTTTGGGCTGGATCGTATGCATTCATTAGCACACCAATGAATTTGTGGTCATAAATTATGGATTTGTTGTGCTACGCTTTGTAAATAATGCATTTGTTCACGCTTTACCAGTTATCCGTGTTCGTGCGTTCAGGGGTTGGAGAATGCCTCTAGTTTTATAGATTTAGAAACCGATCTTGTTTCCAAGATTCGTATGCTGCGGATTCGTGCTCAGATCTTGCTATCTTCGGCGTCAGTCCTACACGTGGAAGTGAACTCAGAAATGAATTGCGGAAAACGAGAATGCCTCTAGGGCTACAAGGTGGTGATTATTTTATATGCTGAGGGGTAGTTATAACTAACCTAGAAATGTGGGAATCGAGATTTTGACACATTTAACATGTGTCCGAATCTATTGCTAGGCTGTCTCCAAACTAAATTGAGCTGAGTTAATGCCTTCACGCATGTTGCGCCTTTGATCCACTCGAATTGGGTTGAAATTGGGCGGCATCCCCCCCCCCCCCCGGCCCACTCGAGTTGAGCTGAAATTGGGCCACGCTATACACCAGAGTCTCGCGATGGAAGCCTACTTACAGTCTTATTGGGCTATACGTCGTTCGTAATTTGATCTGCTTCAACGCATAAATTGAACAAACAAGATATATTTGCATACCGTATTTGAACTGCTGCCTGGGTGACCGTGATTAGTGACTTCTCAAGTGCATACAACCACAGTCCAAATCAACACCCCTGACATAAGTTTCGAAATATTGGAAATCATGCGAAAAATTGTATTTTCTCTACTTAATTCTTCTGAAACTAACTCATCATACATGGTGCATAGTTATCACCGTGTTCTGCTGTACCTAAACACTAGGAATTATGGTTATCCTAACGCCGCATAAACTAGAAGAACGCGTGATTAGATTACAGTGTGAACCTTGCCTGAGTATTCTGAAAGCATAGTCATGACCTTGAGTCCGCAAAGAATGTGATTTTGTTGAGAGCTCCTTGTCTTGAGACCGCATGACGTATAGATTTGTCCGCAGGGCCCCCTAGAATCTACCAGGAGAAGGGAAGGGAAGGACCTCCGAAAATGAAGGGAACTGGAAGATTCGTCGAAAAGAATGTGCCTTTTGGCGGGTGGGGGGGGGGGCGCTACGAGGGAGGCCCTGCCTATAGGCCGAAAATTAGTTACATACAACTAAAGTATAAAGGGAGAAATCTGTTATGATCCTAGAAAATATGGAGAAGAGAACGGATTACGGTTATCTCACATGAATCAAATGTGCGAATCGTAAGATTCAGGGCCAATCAATGTGTGACCGAGTCTCTTAGTGGGGCCATTGGAAGCTGAATTTGGGTAAAGGATAGTAGTCTACGCATCTTTTGAATCTCTGACTCACCTGAGTTGGTCCAACGCATCATTTGCACCTGGTTCTATTCCCTTTTCAGCCGTCTCGACGCAGATCTGATCTTATTGGTTTCTCCACCTGGGTCCGAAAACCTTGACATCGGTTTTTGGGCTGGATCGTATGCATTCATTAGCACACCAATGAATTTGTGGTCATAAATTATGGATTTGTTGTGCTACGCTTTGTAAATAATGCATTTGTTCACGCTTTACCAGTTATCCGTGTTCGTGCGTTCAGGGGTTGGAGAATGCCTCTAGTTTTATAGATTTAGAAACCGATCTTGTTTCCAAGATTCGTATGCTGCGGATTCGTGCTCAGATCTTGCTATCTTCGGCGTCAGTCCTACACGTGGAAGTGAACTCAGAAATGAATTGCGGAAAACGAGAATGCCTCTAGGGCTACAAGGTGGTGATTATTTTATATGCTGAGGGGTAGTTATAACTAACCTAGAAATGTGGGAATCGAGATTTTGACACATTTAACATGTGTCCGAATCTATTGCTAGGCTGTCTCCAAACTAAATTGAGCTGAGTTAATGCCTTCACGCATGTTGCGCCTTTGATCCACTCGAATTGGGTTGAAATTGGGCGGCATCCCCCCCCCCCCCGGCCCACTCGAGTTGAGCTGAAATTGGGCCACGCTATACACCAGAGTCTCGCGATGGAAGCCTACTTACAGTCTTATTGGGCTATACGTCGTTCGTAATTTGATCTGCTTCAACGCATAAATTGAACAAACAAGATATATTTGCATACCGTATTTGAACTGCTGCCTGGGTGACCGTGATTAGTGACTTCTCAAGTGCATACAACCACAGTCCAAATCAACACCCCTGACATAAGTTTCGAAATATTGGAAATCATGCGAAAAATTGTATTTTCTCTACTTAATTCTTCTGAAACTAACTCATCATACATGGTGCATAGTTATCACCGTGTTCTGCTGTACCTAAACACTAGGAATTATGGTTATCCTAACGCCGCATAAACTAGAAGAACGCGTGATTAGATTACAGTGTGAACCTTGCCTGAGTATTCTGAAAGCATAGTCATGACCTTGAGTCCGCAAAGAATGTGATTTTGTTGAGAGCTCCTTGTCTTGAGACCGCATGACGTATAGATTTGTCCGCAGGGCCCCCTAGAATCTACCAGGAGAAGGGAAGGGAAGGACCTCCGAAAATGAAGGGAACTGGAAGATTCGTCGAAAAGAATGTGCCTTTTGGCGGGTGGGGGGGGGGGCGCTACGAGGGAGGCCCTGCCTATAGGCCGAAAATTAGTTACATACAACTAAAGTATAAAGGGAGAAATCTGTTATGATCCTAGAAAATATGGAGAAGAGAACGGATTACGGTTATCTCACATGAATCAAAT